GACCGCTTACACTATAACTTTAGAACAAATAAACCGATTCCTTTGAGAATCGATATCTATCATACTGTATATTTCTAAATATTTGTCAAATAGACAGAACTCCCAAAATTGGCCTCCTTCATCTCGCTAAATCGTGTTGCCAATTTCCATTTTATATACTGACAGGAGATGAGGATGTCTCCAGACAAGATGATGCACAGACAGAAAGCAATTTGCGAGATGTGAGGAAGTGTGTCCAGGCGAGCAGAGAGCGAGTACTGATTGCCTCCAGGCAGATGGCGGTTGATCCGACAGAAACTCCCACAGGCAGAACATGACATGTGCAGAACAGCCTCCAAGCAAATATGGAGCTGGTGAGAATAGACTCCAGGCAATTGGCAACTTCTTTGAAAGTGCCTCCAGACAATGAGTGACTTGCTCGAAATCGCCTCCAGGCAAAGTGTAACTTGCTCCGCAATCGCCTCCAGGCAAAGTGCGACTTGTGGGAGAATGCCTCCAAGGAGAGATCAACTTGTGACGGATTGTCTCCAGGCAGATTGGAGCATATGCAAATAAATGAAATTGTTTTTTGGGTATTTACAAGATGTGTACAAAACGGCTGGAGGCATCCTTCAAAGGGGAGAGGACATGAATTGCCTGGAGGCGTGGCCGGATTCCTCCAGGCGTGGCCGGGTTCCTCCAGGCATGGCGGCGCCGGACTCGCCGGACGGGTTGGTCACAGTATGACAGCCGCCCTCACATTTCCACAGGACCTGTTACAGCGGTAGTGTGACCTTGCCTATATATTATTCAAAGAGGACATTTTCTTCCCTTACATTGCCTCTCAGGATGTCATCGTCGTGCTATGTGCCTAATATCAGGTGCGTCTCGTGCTTCGGTCTCGATAAGAATATTTGCCTTCGATATGTTTCTAGTTGGTTCTGCGTACCTGTGTCGATGCCTCTATGTCGGGCAAGAACCAAGAAGCTTCCTTGAATGACTTGTCTCATTGCCTGCTTATTTAATTTTTTGTTTTTCTGCCCCTAGAGGTGTTCAAATGCCTCACGCTCATCACCGTTCACCCACGTCTATTGATCGTGAGCGAGTAGAGGTGTGAGCTTCACCTGTATCTCTGACAACTTCTGGTGGGAAGAATTATTCGGCATCAGAAAACTAGTCAACGCGCCATGGGGTGCAATACACAAATTCTGCTTCCTTACGCCGAGGCAGCGCCAGTGTTAGTCTTCGTCCAATCAAATCTATGTCCTGCTTGGGAAACGCGCAGTAGAAGGCGATACCTTTGTGGCCCCTTCTTCTCAACTCTAAATTGAACGCGCGAAGACTTCAACACCATGATCATCTGATAGAGCCAAACGACAAAGTTCGCGGTGTTCGACGGAGTCGGAACATGGGCTCGTCCGAAAGTAAATTCCAAGGGGTACCGTTCTCCTCACCCTTGGAATGCAGCGTGTTTATTCTCTTGTGACTTGCGTTCTCGTTTGGTTTCTCACGTAGAGTCTGTTTATAGACGTGTCGATGTGAGATCTCGAGATGCTACCTCGAGTGCCACTCAGTCTCTCCGCTACGTCGTTTCTCATAAATGTCACCCTCGGAAATACAGGTGTATCGTTTGGAGATACTGGACGGTAGCGACGTTTGACATTTTTTTATCTGTCCGCTCTCATGACTCTTGTCTAGATGACAACACTAAGCAGGCGGTGAGCACACTTGTTGAAGCCTTCAAAGGCGGTACTAGTTCTACTCTTATAACCACTGAAATACCCGACTCATTGCTATTCGGCTTTCAGATTCTTTCGTAACAGTGTGCAGCGGAGGCGATGACGATTGCTTCGAGCGGTTGATAGATTCGATCTTTCTGGCAGCGTACAGAGGAGGGCAAATCTATGTTGCGAGCTACAAAGAGCACACATTTGCGGGCGTGGCCGCATGGTTTCCCCCGGGGCAAGGTCTGTTTCATACGTACGTCTTCAATCATCTCAGTGGAATAACATTACTTATCTTCTGCTACGGTGTATTCAAGACCTGATCAAGCCGTCGGGGGCTTCGATGACCTGGTTGCCGACTTCAGCCCTGAGTTGAGAGACTGGTGGATAAATTATGTACGTCAACGGTGCACGACTGGTACTCACCGTTCCTTCACTAATTTGCTTCCAGTTCCTCCCGAAATATAGCAATCAGACGACATCCGCTCTCGGAGAGGGAGTAAAGCTCGCGTCCTGGCATCTTCAGCTCATTGGCGTCTCTCCGGAGCATCAGAGGAAGGGCATCGGTAGCGCTCTAATTGACTTGATTAGTACCAAGGTCAGATATTGAATCACTCACTGTAAGCAGCCTACGAAAGCGGTCGGCTCATTCGTCCTACAGGCTAAAGCAGACGGGGTCTCCCTCTGTCTTGAAGTCGAGGAAGGTCCAAAGGTTAGCAGCTCACCTGTTCTAACGTAAGATATCAGCCATCCATGGATTCTCTTCCTTAGATATCTTTCTACGAGAAATGTGGTTTCGTTGTGAGGCCGCCTGCGGAAGAGTATATCAATCCAGTGAAGCCCCTGGTAATATATGTGATGGAGAAGCAGGCGTCGTAGATGTCTGATACATGTCGTATTGATCTAATGTAACTTTCAACATTGTATTCGGCGACACCTTGAATTATATGCTATCTCACCGTGTTGACCGGAGGATACCTATACTAGCAAGAACGGTCGAGTACGCAAAGACCAAGAGCAAGACTCAGTTGGTCGGCTACCTTACCTTGCGGGGCTTCAATAACCGGCACCTGCCGAAAGACTATAACGCGACACCAAAATTTCGTCTTCCTCTTCGCATTCTTTTCCATTTCTTCATCTTTTCTTTCTCTCTTCTCTCGTCGTATCATCTCTTCATCGTTTCATCTGTGCTCATCTCTTTGTTCATGAATAGCTCCGTCTTTGCGATTTCTCGATCATATCCCATCGTGTCTGATCTTCAAGTTAGCCGCCAAGCACCTTGCTCAACCGCTCTAGCCAATGACATACCTCTTCACTTCTCTGCCCAAATAGACACTGAGTAAACGAGACTTGACGTCGTTGAACGTCGAACATAGAGCAGCCATGGAGGACTCAGAAGCCCGTCCAGAACGTCACTATCGCCCTCCTATCTCTAGCGGCATCCTTCATGCGCACTGGAGGATAGTTGCCTCCGGACGTTCGATTTATCATGATTTTGACAGAAACCTGTGAGGGCCCGGGACACTCCTATGAGGGTTCCCCGGTCCAGTTGCGTATTTTTACGCAATTTTGAGGGCGAAGCCCTCCCGAAAATTTGCGTATTTTAAGCCCAGGAGCACCGAGGTCTCCCGAAAATTTGCGTATTATTGGTGTGAGCCCCCACATAACCTCAACTTTTACTTAACCTAACCTTAACTTCCCCTAACCTACACTAGCAACACGATAGAGACACAGAAGTTGGTCCTGATTAGGCTAGGTTAGGATAAGTTGAGGTTATGTAAGGCTATAAGGGTAAGATCGAGCTTGCCTCGCCACACAAAACCCGCCAATAGGCGCCCTACCCTTCCCGGAATTTGCGTATTTTAAGCCCTCGCCAGGCCAAAATTGCGTATTTTTACCTGTTTTTGAGGTTGCCCTTCGGGCAACCCTCATAGGAGTGTCCCGGGCCCTAACCTGTGCGATCGGTCTCCAGCGTACTTTACTGCGCACGCCTTCAACCCGCCTTGAACTGCACCACATCGACAGCTCGAACAGGCTTTTTTTGTTGCCACCGCCTGTGACGTCATGGATATTGCGCCTCTAAGCCTCCTTTCCTCCCCACCCCCGCCACCCTCGCGCTTGTTCAGAGGTGCTACGTTGTGTAACTGTTGGCCCCGGGGGTTGCTTTGACTGATCGGATCGACCACTGTGCCTGGAGCATTAGACGGCGGTGGTGAAAATTTCTCCTTATATAAGTAGGCCTCGGTAACATGCTCTCTGCACACTATTCCCGCCTCCACCACCAGGGCGTAAGCCCTCCAAGACATGCTCATTTGTCACCTGTTGATACTCCTCATCCCCGCACTCGCCTACGCCAGCACCTATGCACCATCACGACGTGTCCTTGCGCAATTGTTCTCCGATGTCACTTCGATATGCTACTCTACCTCCTGTCTGCTAGTCTCACTGTTCTTGGGTGGCCAATCTAGAGCAGACCACAGTCTCGTGATCAAACACGTCAATCTATTCTCACTTTCAATCGAAGGCTTTCGCGCCTCCTTTCCCTCTCTCGAATCACCATATGCTAAACACACCCACGCTTACCTCGTCGGCACCTCGATCTCCTTCGTCTCCCTCTCCCTCAAACTCCGCCGTCCATCTCGCTCAATGCCAACCTTCACAACCCTAATCCTTTCCAAATCCCGCCTCCAAACCACCCTCTGCGTCACATCCGTCAAATCCCTAACCGTCAACCTCCTTTTCTTTCCCGCCTACTTCTGCTTCTCCGCCGGGCCCTTCATCGACGCCACACTCGACACCCTCAAGCTTCGAGTATTTTCGAGCTCGAGGACGCCTTATCAGGTGAAAAGGCTGAGGGAGGCTTGTATTGGGAGCGCGTTATGGGGTGAGATATTGAGGGTTGCCGATTTCAAGACGAGTGTGGAGTTTGAGCCAGAGTACGTTACGAGGGATCCGGCGGAGCCGATCAAGCATATGTTGGGGGAGGGAATCGATAGTTCGATCTCGGTGGAACATGATCCGGACGAGGCATTCGAGTTTCCCTCTGCCGCTGCTAGGTCTTTCGCCACGCACTCAAAGGCTTTGTCGAATGGGGATGGGAATGAGCACGGGGCTGAGCTCCCGGAGAGAGATGATGTACTTGTGCATGGTGAGATCCATGGAATGATGGTGCACGACGGGAAAGGGAGGATGTACGCGTTTGGAGATATCTGTGCGGCGTTGAGGAGGACGTATGGGAGTGCGATTGCGGAGTGCGACAGGGGAAGTTTCGATATGGAGGCGCATGGGTGTACGTGGGTTAGGATTCCGGCGTATGTGCTTGGAGAGAGCAGGTTTGATGAGCAGCCATTCTGGAGGTACGTTCCCGTTATTTCCATCATAGGACAGCGTCGTACGCGCGCCTTAAGTTGAGAACCTCATGCTTTACGTTTTGGTGTATAGATATCTCCTCTCACTGTGGAAAGAGATCCCAACATTCGTACATAACGTCTTCAACGACCCATTGCTTTATGTGAATCTCCATGTCCCCAAGGCGGATATTCAGTTTGACGATTTTAGGGTTCGGGATGCGGAATTGGTTTCACAGATATTCGAACGTGGGGTCGGTCCATGGCTCGCTAATGAGCTCGGAGTGGAGGGTATGCCGACGCGGGGCACGGAGAGTGGCCAGGATAGACGATGACAATTAGACGAGGAATGAGAGAGGGTGAGACAAGAGGGCGGCGTAGTTCTCAATCTTCATTCGAACTCAGGGGTTTTAGGACACTCTATATTCACTTTTGTTTGAGACACTGACAGTGCTACGTTGTGACAACCCACTTTGTATTTCGTATCCTTTGTCTCCCCAGTGTGTATCATTTACCTGGATGGTTGTCCCCTAGAAAGTAGACCGTACCAATTAATATTACGGCTACGTTGATCGTGGCTCTGCATGAATGTGCTTTGAACGCACCCGTTCAGCCACACCCACCTCACATAACATCCTGAGTTCCGAGCACGTATGGTGGAGTTACAGTCATCTACGATTCCTCTTCGTACACGCTTCCCCGTCCACAACTGAAGCCATCGTACTGGACATGTATTCTGGTGGTTGACTCTTGCCACCGGCCTGATGGTCTAGTCGTATGATTCCTTCTTTGGGTTCAATCTGGCGTCCAATCCCATCACGGGGTTGCCTGCAGGATATTCCTGATTGGAGGAGGTCCGGGGTTCAATTCCCCGTCAGGCCCGTCAACTTTTCTACTCAGTTTTTTTTCCCTGATTCTGCAACCATCAATGCAAGACTTCAAGCTCTCCGGTGTACTGTGGTGGCGTGAACTGTCGGGAATTCGTCAGTGAGGTCTTAATGGACGTTTTGTATTCGTGAAGTTGCCATGCAGACTTTCTGTTGGATCAAGTACTTAACAGCGGCCATAAATTATACTACCGCAGAGGGTGAATCAACACTTCTGTATGCTCTTGGGAGATGGAGGGCAACAAATGTTTCGCTGGAATTCGAACATGTACAGTCCTGTCGATAAACACTGTCCGTGAGCCAATGGGTGGCGAGGCCACACCGTAACATCGTGCCAGTCGCGTGTGTCACGCGGAAATGTTCAGCGTGTCACCTTCAAGGTCACGTCACATCCCTTCCTCTTCCCTCCCGTCACCGTCCCTCCGCCAATCCCTTCACCATGGCAGTGAGCATCTTCCTCCACTACATTCTTCCACGGCGTGCTAAAGCTAAACGTATGTGAATAGAATTCAAGGCTTCAGGATGAAGACATTCTGAGCGACGTTGTCCCAAGTAACATCGTTTCGCGCCAAGTGAGCATTCCAGACCCTAGACTTTGCAAAAGCGCGTCTTACGCGTCGACATTATGCTTATACTCCGTGCCTTATGTGTGTAGGATACGCCGGGTGATGAACATGAAGTAGAGAGCGAAGGTGCCGAGGAAATCCCTGTCGAGGTGGACGAACTGGGGAGCGGGGACGTGCGTTGATCCTTTATTCATGCATCTCTGGTGTGTTAACGTATTTATCTTAGGAGTCCGAAGGTGGACCTTCTTCGCCCCAGACGGCTAAAACTAGAAGAGTATCAGAGAAGAAGCAGAAGAGAAGAGCGGCAGAGGGTGTGCTGCAGGAGAGGCGACACGAGATGGATAAAGCCAAGGTGCGTTCCCCGAGAACTTGGGCACGTATCGAGAGATGCTCAAATATGCTTTGTGTAGGTTGCGGACGCCGTCAAGCGGTATACCTATCTTCTTGGTCAGACGGATTTATTCAGGCATTTTGTGGACATGAAGGTACGTGTGTGGTCTTCATTCGTATAGCTCGCATGCTTAGTATCCTGGTTCAGCGTGCGCGCGACCCGGAGTACGCTGCCATGCTGGACGCTCAGCCAAAGCCCAAGGGAAGGGGGCGGAAGAAGACAGCGTGAGTAGCTTATCTTTGATGGGTTTCGGGTTTCATTCTAATACGCGCCACAGCGACAAGAATGCGCGTCATCGTAAGTCGGAGAAGGAAGAAGATGAGGAACTGCTCAAGGACGGCGAGATGGCTGTCGACGGAAATGATCAACCCTACGTTTTCGAGGAGTCACCGAGCTGTGAGCCACCTTCATCATGGTTATCAGTCTCATCGTCTAACCTGTCCATTCTAGTCATCAGCGGCACCATGCGTTCCTATCAAGTCCAAGGCCTGAACTGGATGGTGTCACTCCACCACAACGGTCTCAATGGTATCCTCGCGGATGAGATGGTAAGCTTCCTCGTTCCTTGCACGTCCTCCTACTATCCTAACATCCACATAGGGTCTCGGCAAAACGCTTCAAACCATCTCTTTCCTCGCCTACCTGAAACACCAAACAAACACCCCCGGCCCCCATCTCATCGTCGTCCCCAAATCGACTCTCCAAAACTGGGCCCGCGAGTTTAGCCAATGGACTCCAGACGTCAGCACCGTCGTTCTCTCCGGCTCGAAGGAAGAGCGCGCGGAGCTCATCGCCACTCGTCTCATCACGCAAGACTTCGACGTCTGCATCACTTCGTACGAAATTTGTCTCATCGAGAAATCGGCGTTGAAGAAGTTCAGTTTCGAGTATATCGTGATCGACGAGGCGCACAGGATCAAGAACGTCGACTCTATTCTTTCGCAGATCGTTAGGTCGTTCATCTCGAGGGGAAGGTTGTTGATCACTGGCACGCCGTTGCAGAACAACTTGAAGGAGCTGTTCGCGCTGCTCAACTTTATCTGCCCGGAGATCTTCTCCGACTATGGTGATTTGGAAAGCTTCCTGCATAAGGACGAGGAGGCGGGGGATGCGGATGAAGAGAAGAGTAAGAAGGTGGTTGAGGCGTTGCATATGATCCTTAGGCCGTTTTTGCTCAGACGTGTTAAGAGTGATGTGGAGAAGAACCTCCTTCCAAGTGAGTCATTATCTTCCACGTCTTTCTTTCGGATAATTCTGACTAGTGCGTGGTGGCCAACAGAGAAGGAGATCAATATTTACGTCGGCCTGTCCGATATGCAGCGCAAGTGGTACCGTTCGGTCTTGGAGAAGGATATCGACGCTGTGAACGGATTGACTGGGAAGAAGGAGGGTAAGACGCGGCTCATGAACATGGTCATGCAGCTGCGTAAGGTTACCTGTCATCCCTACCTCTTCGATGGAGCCGTACGTATCGACCATATTTCGAACTCTTTCGGAGGACTCACTGACATGTGGCGGTGGCGTGCATATAGGAGCCTGGCCCACCCTACACCACGGACGAGCATCTCGTTCAGAACTGCGGAAAGATGGTCATCCTGGATAAACTCCTGAAGTCGATGAAGGAGAAGGGTTCTCGTGTGCTCATCTTCAGTCAGATGAGTCGTATGCTCGATATCATGGAGGATTATTGTCTGTTCCGCCAATACAGTACGTCGGTCTGCTCTCCTTCATCATGGGAACACTTTTACTGACGTGCTATGTTTCGATAGAGTACTGCCGTATTGACGGAAGCACCGCTCACGAAGACCGTATCGTTGCTATCGACGAGTATAATAAGCCTGGCAGCGAGAAGTTCATTTTCTTGCTCACCACTCGTGCTGGTGGCTTGGGCATCAACTTGACCTCCGCCGATGTCGTCGTCTTGTATGACAGCGATTGGTACGCTATCGTCATTTTCCTGTCATCCATGTTGCCGATGGTTTGAGACGCTGACGTTGCCGTGTCCTACAGGAACCCGCAAGCCGATCTCCAAGCTATGGACCGCGCGCATCGTATCGGGCAGACGAAGCAGGTGTACGTGTTTAGGTTCATCACTGAGGAGAGCGTGGAGGAGCGGATGTTGGAGCGGGCGGCGCAGAAGTTGAGGTTAGACCAGTTGGTCATCCAGCAGGGGAGACAGACGCAGAGCAAAGGTGTGTTTTTCTACACACGATTTGTACACTTCAAGGCTGACGAAATGTTAGCTGCCAACAAGGAGGAACTGATGGAGATGATCACGCATGGCGCTGAGAAGATCGTGAATGCTACGGACTCGTACGTTCATCCTCCCCCTTCGTCAGCGACCTGACCCAACAATCTAACCCGTACCATCGCAGCATCTTGATCGACGACGACATCGACGCCATCATCCACCGTGGCGAAGAACGCACCGCTGAACTGAACTCCAAATACGAAGGTCTCAACCTCGAAGATCTGTCCAACTTCAAATCCGAAAACACTGTCCAGCAATGGGAGGGCGAGGACTTCAGACCGGGCCAGCGCAAGGCGCTGACGCTCAACCCGTTGGCGCTGTCGAAGCGCGAGAGGAAGCTGAATTATTCGGTGGATAATTATTTCAAGGATGCTATGAGGGCGGGGCCGAGTAAGACGGAGAAGGCACCAAAGGTACCGAGGGCGCCGAAGCAGATTCAAATGTGGGTGTTTTCTCCTGTGTGATCGTGGCGTTAGGTCATTGGTACTTATATGTCGTTTGCAGGCAAGACTTCCAGTTCTTCCCACCACGGCTGGCCGAGTTGCAGGAGAGGGAGTTGGCCGCTCACAAGGTACGCCACCTAGGATGTTTCGATTTGTAGATGCATAGTTTGCTCATCGTTGGATGTGTCATAGCGCGCCAATGGCATTGCCGCCACACTTCGTGAACCGCAGGGTGAGGAGGATACGCCCGAAAAGCTGGAGGCGGAACGGCAGGCTGCCCAAGTCTTCATTGACCAAGGTTCGTACCATCCATTCAACTGCGTTGATCTAATGACTAACGTTACTGTTCTTCCGGACGATGTTCCGCTATGTAGCTGAGCCCCTGGATGATGACGAGCAGGAGGAGAAGGACAGATTGATCGCGGAAGGATTTGAGGATTGGAGCAGACGTGACTTCCAGCAGTTTGTCAGGGGACTGGAGACTTATGGATGGTTCGTCTGTTCGACTCTTTTCTCCGTCGTGGTGGCCGATTCTGAGATATATGTCTGGGTATTTAGGACCGAGGATCTCGCTTTGCTCGCTTCTGAGATCCAGGACAAGTCTGAGGATGACATCAAGGCGTACTACCCCGTCTTTAAGCAGAAATGGCAGACTCTGTCTGGTGAGACTTGCACTCGTACTTGGCAAATTTCGAACACTGCTCATTTTGTTCATGATGAACCACAGAATACCCTCGAATCTCAGCACGTATCGCCGAGGGCGAAGCGAAGCGCAACAAACGCTCCAACCTCGAGTCCCTCCTCTCCAAGAAGATCAACTCCGTTCGCTACCCCATGCAAGAGCTCGAACTCAACTACCCCACCACAAAAGGCAAAGTCTACTCCGAAGAAGAGGACCGGTATCTCCTCTGCCGACTCAACCACTACGGGATGGGCGTGGACGACGTTTACGAAAGGATTAAGAAGGACATCACGGAGTTCCCGGTGTTCAGGTTCGATTGGTTCTTCAAGAGCCGGTCGCCGTTGGAGTTGCAGAGGAGATGTAATACGCTGTTGGGCATGATTGAGAAGGAAGCGGAAGCTAGACAGGAAGAGATGAAGAGCAAGGGGACGGCGTCCAGAGGAAAGGTTCGTCACCGTTTTCTTCTTCCCCGCCGGTTTGTCTGGCTAACTAGATCTTCCGCTTGTGGCATAGAAACGAGGAGCGGATGACACAGTGAAGGTAGAGGCCTCGAGAGACTCGACGCCTGCAAATGGGACGGGTACGCCTTCAGGGTCGGCTCAGCCATCCAAGCGTCCGTACAAGAAGAAGAAGACATAGATTCTTCCAGTTGGACGGTCGATCCTCTAGTTATGTCCTGTTTCTATCGCACTTGTTGCATTTGCACTGTCGTATCTTTTCTAGACCTGTTTTGTACCGTTAATTTGTTCTCTCGCCAATTCATCCTTATTCGTGTCTCGTGATGTTTAGCGTCGGTGACGCTGCTGACTTCGGTGGGATCACCCTCTCCCTGGGATAGGTTTGACAGCGATTTAAGCATCTCGTATTTGCCCGTAGACGCTCTTCATTACTCCCGATAGGTCGAAGACGACATGCATTGCGTGCTAAACAGCGGTACGGACTGGATCCGAATTCGAGCCTGCCGGAATGAATCTCAAACCAGATCGCCGTAGGAACTTGACATTAGAAGATTTTACCCGGTGTTATGAATATTCGGGCCAATCAACTGCTCCTTGATACCTGGTTGCACCAATCCTGGTCAGTACCTCATGGTCGGTTCCGTTGGCCCTGCATTGCTTATAGGCCGGAGTGCACTCTGCCATGCAGGCTCATTGGTGGAATAAAGTTTGAATTCAGGACTTCCATGCGGCATTAGTTGCGAAGACGTTCGTCGTGGTTTCAGACACACATACACACAGCTGGCGAAATTCATACTTCGACCAGCGCTCCATCTCTGACCCGACAGTGCCTTACTAGAGCATCATCGTGACGGGAAGGAATACCGAGCGACTTTATTTCGCTCTTTGGAGAAGTTGTTCTAGTCCATCATCGCATGATATCGCTGCGGGGACCTTGTTCCCCATAGTGGAATCCGTGTAAGTGCCTAACATGACGGCGGTCAGGAAGCGTCCCGAAGAGAAGCCGATCGCACTATTTCATCACTGAAATGTCGAGGAATAACAGTTCTGCATCTCCACTTGGCGGAGAGGTTGATATTTAGCAAGCCCGCCATCAGCCATTACCAATGCGCGCGTTGCTCCCTCGTCCTCCTCTTTCTGGTCTTTTATCCATCACTACAACGCGTACTGGTAAAGGCTTTTGGTGACAGTCTTTCTACCGACTTTGCGCAGGTCATGACGGCCACGGAGGGGGTGAAGCAGTCCGTTGGCGCCATACTTTTAGGATGCCTGATATCGTGCGCGTACGTAGCAATATTCTTGTCATCCTTTCACTCTTTTCATCACATCTCTCTCCTTGCGCAGCCTTTCCGGAATTGTCGCTACAGAGACGTTCATGTACTTCCGCTTGTACCGTAAGGATCGTCTCACAATAAAAGCGGTGGTATGTCCGTCGATGTTCCTCTCCATTGCACTCTCAGGAACGTACTTATCTTTCCTCACACAGGTTGTCCTTGTCTGGTATGCCCTGGTGACTTCGATCTTGTGGAGGCACTGATAACGTTTGCAGGACGTTGGACGCTGTGCATACTGTTCTTGCATGCGATGGACTATGGGACTCGCTCATTCTGAACTATGGCAACCCGGAAATGGTCGACTTCATCCCTAGGTGAGGATTCTTCCTTGACCCTGCCGGGTCCCGGCCCTTTTCGCTGACTGCTTGGCATATGTGGCCTGTGCAGAGGAATAGGCGTGAGCATGATGTTATCTGTGTTGCTGTATACGCTGACATGGATGGAACAGTTGACGGTTGCGTTCACTGCCATCGTAACGTTCATCGTGCACCTGTGAGTAAATCGATCACGTCCTATCTCTGGTCGAAATATGAAAAATAATCTGGTGTATTCCTCGTCTGAAGGTTCTTTTCTTGGAGACTGTTCAAATGTGAGTCTCCGTACACCAAATCTCAACTCGCTATCTGGACCGGCTACCAGCATGTAGTCATCGACAGTGAGCAAAGGAAACTGGTTCCTTGCCACCCCTCTTGTCAGTCTTAATCCTACCCTCCCATTAACCATATAGACTGATATATTTCCACAGGCTTTACTGGCACTGGCACGGCTAGGTGAGCATCGAGCTCGAAACTCGTGTTCTTTTTGTTAGTAGACCAACGCCTTCGTCCTTGTAGTGGCTGCTCTAGGTACGAATCTCTGTTGAAGCCATCTGGAATCATATTGACATCACGATTTCCGTGAAGTATCTACGAGCGAAATGTATGTTTTTCCATCGATATAACACAACAAAAGTTTGCTCACCCTGGTGTTGTCCTCTTTGTTGGCCAGGCTCCGCGTGAAAAGCTTCTCCGCGTTCGCGCATAATCTCGGGGTACGTCTCTCCCATGCCTTGACAGTCCTCGCTCTGAGATTTCCGGTTCCCTTCGCATACGAAGTGGTGCTTTACTTTAGGGCTATCAATATCCTGCGCTGTCGACGTCCTCATAGTCCTCTCGATGTGCTTCTACCTTCGGACAAGTAGGACCGGATTCAAGACGTACGTTCTTTATGACTTTTGCAAGAAGACATTGATACAATCCCATTCCTATCCTCTGTCTGGCGACGGCGACTAGGGTGGATCACATCATTGATATGATCATGCTGTATACGTTCAACAATGGCTCGATCACCTGGTAAGCCATCCACCTATCTTGTCCCATGTACAAGCGGTTCAATGCGTTGGTATTTTCATTCACAGTGTTGCCACAGTCCTGTCTCTCATCTTCGTGCGTTTCTACTGCTCAATTTGGACCGAGGAGATTTGGAATGAGCACTTCTAATTCATACTACCACTCAGTGGTTGACAATGCCCGACAATCTCATCTTCTTTGGCCTGCATTTCACGATCACGAAACGTACGTCTCCCCCTTACCGCGTTTGATCGTACTCAGGACTCAATGTACTCCAAGGCTAACCCTTCTTTATTGACGGATAGTATACGCTATCTCACTGCTCTCGACGTGCGTTTCTAGTTATCCCCCTCTCGCGCTGACGCTCATGGTAAAACTGTGGCATCGTCGCCGAATATGCATCAGGCTCAACACTCGAAAGTCCCTTCTTGAATGGTCCCATCCTTCCACAGGCGACAATCATGAGATCTCTTTACCTATTCGATTCCCGGGATCGATTGGTAGCAGGGCAGACAGGACTAGGTTTGAAGAGGTACGTCCCGCCCTATCTCGTCTTCGCCTTTTCTTCACCTCACGCTATAATCCATATCATCCACACCCAAATCTCGGCGTTCTCTCTATCGACGCGCTGCAGTCGCTACGGCTCGACGATCCTACCGCTACACATGTCTCCATCAACGTAGAGAAGACGATTCAGTACGATATCTCGGATGCTAGGGACGTCGACGCAGAAGCTGGAGATCCTTCAGAGCCCCGTGTATCCATTACCACGAATGCGTCGACATCTAGGTCTGGTTTTAGGCCGGACAAAGCACGAGCCTCTGTCTGACTATCAGTCTTTTGTATACGTGCACGGGCCGCATTTGTACCTCTTTATTTCTATGTCCGTTATCTCGTTTTTTGATAAATGATTTCCTGACCTTTTCACTCGCTGAGTAGTGCTTTGGCACTTCATGGCATTACAATGACTTTACGACACTCAATATAGTAGGCAGTTGAGCATGTCGTTAAACAGTATGAGGCGATCAATGGGACCGTACACAATTCAAGACGAGACATAAGGTTGCTGAGCGCAAGGTATTTGATGCAATAATCAGTGCCAATAGGAGATGAAGATTCGTAGGTAAACTCGGCTCGGAACGGTCGATTGGGATGTAGAATGTGGCGGTGGTATCAGCATAGTAGGTACTTACCGTAGAAGGACGGGCAATTGGGCTGAGAGGCGTTCAATCCGCCTCGAACTACGAGACCATGGAGGAATAGATTCCTGCACGGTCAAGTAGCTCAGCGACCTCGACATCTGTGCACAGATACAAAATTGCGAGATTGAATGAAAAGATCGAGAGCTATTGCTGTGTCGGAGCGACGTACGATCCTCAGTATGCTGCATCCTCGACGCAAATGAACACTCCAACCCCGGCCCAAGAATGAATTCTCCACCCAGTTGGGAGAAATTTCCCTGCTTTCCGATGTGCGACGGGTTGTGGAGTGCGCGCTGGTCATACACCAACGATATAATCAGCTTACTGTTCTTTGAGTTGACTCGCGCAGGAAAGGAAGGAGTGTTGACGGAAAGAAATATGTAGAGGAAGAATAATAAGAAGATTAAGCTCACCCAAATACTACCGACCGTAGTCTCCCAAGTTGACTGCGTCAGGTAACTCCTCTTTTTCTCCCTCGATGGCGTCTGCTTTAGGTTCTCGATCGTCATACCGAGCGCGTGGTACAATGCCCTGTCGGGATCGGCGTACATCTCGCCTTTGAAGTTCGTGACATCTAAGAGAAGAAACAGCAACCAATGATTGAGGACGTATGTGCTCCGTACTTGATGGGAGAATGAATGAAAGTAGTATGGATGATATGTACGTCGATGACGCCGACGCACTTACCCTTGTAATTCCCTATGAGCTTCCACTCTCCGCAACCTATGACTACCACCTTCGCATTCGCAGCTTGGAGACCTTCTGGAGTTGTGGCCGATTCAAGTTGACTGGTATATTGCTGGTGTCGTTGCAAGAGTAGCCATGTAACCGGTCAGCCTTCAGAACAATATAACGGATTGACCAATTACTCCAGCAAACTCACCTGACAGCTCTACGAACAAACCGTACGTCAGACCAAATAAACAGGGGATACGCCACTGGACAAGGTTCGTGTCAAACATAACGTTCGTTGTATTAATGCATGTATAAAGGGCTCCAGCGATGGCCAAGTGACTTACCCCGCAAAAGAAATGACCTACAACACCCAACCCCATAAGTAGATTCTTGATGTACCACGGAGAGTATACTTATACGTACGAATAAACACAACCACCGTCCTGTGTTCCTCAAATATACTCTCAAACGAGACTTCCTTCCCTTCCTCGCTCCATAGCTCCACTTTCGCGGCTTTACTCAACATCTCAGGACTGGGGATTTCTTTCGAGTTTAAGTTGCCAGTCATGGTTGTCCGAGTGGTCCTTTCGGGCGTAAATCTGGAGATGAGTTGGCGGGGGTGAGAGGGACGACGGTGACGACGGTGACGATGACGACGGTGATGGATGGTGATTGCTCGATGGTGGTGGCGGTAAGAGGAAGTGAGTAGTTTAGCAGTGGAATGACCGTCCGTGGATCCTGCTGGGAATGTTCAACCCAACTGAGCCATGCTGCCGGGTTAGGGGTTTTCCCCACACTTGGATTAGGTGGCGTAGTGTGTGGCCTCTACCCATCGACACGGCCACTGAGACAACAAGAGAGGTATCACGGTTTTCAGTTCAGATACTCTACCCTCCAAGAGTAGTCTGGTTATAGAATTGGTGCCATAGAAACCTCCTCGTTGGGGAAAACACATAATAAACGTAAATGACTTGTGCGAACTTGAAGTAAGACGTGCACCCGATAAACCCTCATTGATGAGCTATCAAGCCCAATAAATAATGCCGGCTGCCCCCATCAGACTAGTAGCCTCAGTATTTGAGGTCGGACACAGGATATACGTCAGCATCGGACCTGGATGACTATTGAAAAGCGAACAGTGAAGGGCATAGCATGCACACCTTTATAACCCCTCATAAGATTAGACTCGCCACAGCCCACGACCACGATCTTCTTGTTAGCAGCTTGAAGAAACATGGGCTGGATAACTGCGAGTCGGGATATGTATTGCTGCTCAAGTATCGAGGGTGTGGGTAGGCTTCCAATATGGACGTGTTAGCGAAGTGGAGAGGAGGAGAGGACGAACGTGACAGAGCTATATGTGCATGTTCATAAGGATGAGAATGTACTCTAGAGTGAGCGGTTTCATCCACAATGCGCATTAACGACAACCACGGAGCACACTCACACCACAGAAGAAATGACCTGCAACACAAGGAAAGACATCAAACCTCGGTCGAGCCTCCAAAAGTACAGAAACAACGCACGAATGAATAAGAACAACGATAGTTTTGTCCTTCTCATATATACTCCCAAAAAGAACCTTCTTTTCGTCTTCGACCCAGGCTTCAACTTTCGCGCTCTTTTCCAGAATTTGAGGGCTGGGGAGCTTGGAGAGCGGGGGAAGGGCCATGATCGTTAATATAGATGATAGTGTTCTCAAGTCCGGGCCTAGTGGATCTTGGGTAGGTTGGGATGTGTTTTGTTGTGTTGCTGGAAACGTATTAGATGGAGATTAAGCAGCGAGACGACGAGGCGAGTGATTCGATGGTGGTGGTGGTGGTGGTGGTGGTGGTGGTGGTGATGGTGGGGACTTTCGTCGTGGTGTCAGTGAGAAGAACAAGGGTATGGAACGTAACGAAACCGACGCCAATCCTCTTATTTAAAATGCGATCTTCTCCATCGGTGATGGTACGGAGGCATGAAGCTAGCTAGGTGGTTAGAAGACTATGTTCTGGTCGTTTTTTGGCTGATAAGAAGAGGAAGATCGAAGGTTAGAAGCGGTCGCGGATGAGGACCATGGAACGAGGTTAGGAGTCATGGCTATTAGAGTGTGGTATTGAGGACCGTTAAGCGTGAACGGTTGTGATTTCTCGTAGAAAATCCGTAGATGTATTGCGAAAAATGAATTGTCTGCGTTGACGAAGGAGCAGGAGCCCGACGACGGAAGCAAAGGTGCGCCAAAGGGTCGGGTTAGGGGCTTTGCACGAGTTGGGTGGCGTGTGTGGCGTTGGTTATCCACCAGTTGAGATCTCAATTCACGTCTTCAAAGGCCCCCCGCTCGGGAGCTACACGTATCACATCGTGAAAAGAAGTACAAAATATTCCATGAAAAAATACAGCGCCTCAGATCATTGACCCTTCTTCGCTCTCTCCTCAGCGACCCAATGCTGCTTCTTCTCCAGATCTATCATGATATCCGTCAGCCGGTCCAGAAAACTACACTGATTTCCGGACGACAATAGTGACATACCATGAGCCCACATTGCCGCTCCGATTCTATTCGAAACGGAAAAGATCAGTCCGATGAAGGGGATGGCCTCCATCACCGCCGCTGCGAATCCGAAGGCTGTTTATCGAAAGTTGTCAGTCAAAACATGACAAACATCAAAAGGCAAATGGTACGAAGAAGATGGGCGGGGCTGAGTCGGATAGATATACGAAAGTCATAGATGAGCGCACCGTAATAATCATATTGATGTTCCGCCACGAAGACGGCGATTTGCTCTCGCGTCATGTTCTTCGCTGCGAAGTACTACGTCCGAAACCATGACATATTTGTGAGACTAGGGAGGAACCGTTAGAATGCAGAAAACAACGTACCGGCCTGTGAAGATACCGTGCGGTGTCGAGGGCTTTGAAGCCTGCGCGGATAAATATCCCCACGAGAGGGACAGCATGCAAAGGGAAAAGAATCACTAGATTCGACATGTAAGGACGAGTAAGGCATGTAGACAGCCACAAATTCGCTACAGTAGCACGACTACTCACCTTGCTTAACAGCATACCCTAAAACCCACCCCTTCGCGCCCTCCAACCCGGCCCACTTCCCTACATTCACCTTCGGCGGGACCTCCCATTCCTCGACGTAAGGTTTCCAGAACTCAGCGCCTTTGCCACGCGAGGCGACGGTCTGGTTCCAGGCGCGTTCGCGGGCGATGCGGAGGTTGCGGGAGAGGAAGAAGGTGAGGATGAAGGTGAGTTGCGTGGAGAGGAGGACGAGGGTCGAGTCTGTGTTTGCGAAGAGCGAAGAAAGTGGTCAGTGACAGGACAATGGTCACAATTGAAAGCAGAAGAAAGAGGGATAGACGGACATGTGGTGACGTCGAAGGGGAGTTTGTATCCGAAGAGGGTGTCGTCCGAGAGACCAGCGAACCTCGAAGAGCTAGCGAACATGAATTGAGTACATCAGCATCCCACGACCTGAAGTAATTATATTTTCCACTCACTTCGACATGAACAACTTTACAAACTTCCTCTGTATTTTGAACGTAAACAGCGCCTACAAAATTCAACCATTCACAGCACACGACCACGTCAGCCCCTGTCCCCTCCCGTCAGACAAGATACTCACCCAGCCCAACCCAACTGCGCCCCCTCTTACAACCCCATGCTTACACTTATTCCAAATCGGACCCCTCAAACTCCCATCGCTGATCAGCCTATACGCACCAACGACGACATACGAAGGCGGGAACTCGAGCCTCATCGTCGCGCGCTCGAGTTGAGGCGGGACATGGTCTATCGGGATAGTCGAGCTCTTCTCGATTCTGGAGACGAGTTTTGAGGTCTGAGATTTTTGTGAGGTGTGCAGATAATAAGGGTCTGCTTCTTTCTCTGATGATGAGTAGGGAGGCGGCGGAGAGGACATGGTCGTTGCTGGTCGTTGTGGCACAGCTTGAGCGCTTCTTGTTCGTGTTGCTGTCTAACGGGCGCTTAAGGGTGATGCAGTGAGACCCTAACCCCAAGGCGTGGTTTCAATTGAACTCGAACGAGCTTCCGCGCTTCCCATTCTATTCCCCACACAACCCGAGCTTCCCACACCAACCGCAATGGAGACACCAGAACGACCCACCATCGCTACCCAACCACTTCTCTCTTGTTCCTTCTCTCCCACTAGCATCACCTTCGTCGTTTTCATCGCAGACAGTCATGGCCACTGTCGCTTCGCATACCGAAATACCCAGCACCGAAAAGCTGACTGAGATTAGTAAGATCGAGGTATGGGACGAGAAAGGGAAGAAAGTGGAGTTTGGGTCCGTTTATGAGAATGAGAAGACGATCGTGATTTTTATTCGTGCGTTTTTTCTGGTCTGTCAGAGGTGCGACGATACTCATGTTGTTGCGATAGGTCATTTCTTATGCGGCGTAAGCACGTTCGTTATCTTGTGAAGGATGATGTGCTCAATTTACGATGCACTTTTATCCAGCTCTGTCAGGTCAGTTCATCGCCGTGTACTCCGTACCCGTTTCTCAGAGTTGACAGCATGGTCCTGTAGCAATACACTGCTCAAGTAGCCACTGTCAAGCCCGAGGCACTCCAAGCAGCAAACACGAAGATCGCCATCGTCGGCTGTGGCGACTGGAAGATGATCCAGGACTACAAATGTTCGTCTTCGTCCTTCCCCTTTCCTTAACGTCGCATTAATCTCACACCCCTCCCTTTCCGCAATCCAGCAACGACCGCATTCAAAGGTTCCATGTACGCCGACCCAGACCGTAAACTCTACCACTCCCTCTCAATGATGGACAGCCTCAAAGCGACTCCCGCCGGCGAGAAAAAGAAGAGCTACCTCGACATGAGTCTTTTCGGGCTCGTCACCAATGGGTTCAAGGTCCGTCCCCGTGCCCTTTTCAGTTCTCTACGGTTTTCATTTCACGGAGATGTCTTCTCACATGTTGTCGTGGTTCTGTGGGTTTACAGCGCGGTCTCCGTCACCCCTCCCATATTGGTAAACAAGGAAATATGTCTCAGCTCGGCGGGGAGTTTATTTTTGGACCGGGGAATACGTGCGCGTACGCGTCGAGGATGAGACATACTGAGGACCGTGCGTGTTCCCCTTTTTGCCCTGTGATTTACTTCTTATATCGTCTGTGACCCTGACGAACACCCTTCGTCCTGTCGCGTGAATGGATTGGTTGATGGAATATAGATGTGGAAGTGGAGGAGTTGATGAAACAGGCGGGGGTTGCGTTTCCTTGAGAAGGGTGGATAGGGGCTTTAGGTTGGTGGCGTGTGGCGTGTGGCGTGCGGCGTGCGACCGTGGTTTGAGTCCATTCTCCTGTTTGCTTCCAGAAATTCATACACACGTCCTCAGAATTTATCCTTTTATTTTCTTATTTGCTTTTGCGGGATATGCATTGTAAGATGCTCGAAATGTAGCCTACATTTTATGTGGGTGTGTTTACACCTCAACCGAACCTCAACGGTCCTCTGTGCCACACCGTCCCCCTAACCCTATTCCATGGTTCCCGCAACTGTCTTCCGAACTTCAAGCTTCAATCCGCAACCGCTTCTGACGTTTGAGCTTCCCGTCAACCCGAACACGGTCGTCGAATCTCACAGCCTCCAATGGACCGGCGTCAGGCTCTCACACCATCACCGATGGAGGCAATCACGATTTCACGGTCGTACCATAATACATGAATCGCTTCGTTCCATACCATACCCATTGCAACCGCCACCTCCAGCGTACTCTAGAATCGTTTCATATCCTCTGTAGCTGCCGACACAATATAACTCGACCTAACCACGACCAATCAGACCACCACCGTCCGAGTCGTCATATCAACAATTAATCATGGCTGTCACCTCACCTACGGAGCTCCCCACCCCTCAAACTCTACAAGAGATAGCGAAAGTCGAAGTCTGGGACGAGGACGGGAATAAGGTTCCTTTTGGGAGTATATATGGGGAGGAGAAGGCTGTCGTTGTGTTCATTCGTACGTCTTTAAGCTTTGGAGTCTCGAGCGAGGTCACTGATGGAGGTGGTGTGCTTTGGTTTTTTGGACAGGTCATTTCTTTTGTGGGGTGAGTAGTCTCTCTTTCGTCGTCTCTAGGCCTTAAGATGGACAAGGATGGCTGAATCGCACAATCTGTTCTTGGCTATGTCGTCGTCCTCAATCGACAAACATAAATATATAGCTCTGTCAGGTTTGTCCATCCTTCCTCTTCTTCATCTTCCCGCCATTTACACATTCATATCGTACCTCCACGATACCCTCGACATCCAAACAGCAATACACATCGCAACTCGCAGCCGTAAAGTCTGAGGCGCTCCAAGCCGCGAATACGAAGATCGTAGTCGTGGGTTGTGGCGAGTGGAAGCTCATGAAGGATTATAAGGGTGTGTACTTGTAGACATTCACACACAATCCTTTCCACTCTTCTTTCCGTCTTCCCTGTGTCTTTGTAAAGGTGTTCTTGACCGACCTATCCTCCCCCTTCTCTTCCGTTTTGCAGAAAATACAGGCTTCAAAGGCTCGATATACGCAGACCCCGACCGGGCTCTCTATCGCGCTCTCGACATGAAAGAGAATATGAAAGGGACGCCTGCGGGTGAGAAGAAGAGAGGATATCTCCAGGACAGTATCGTGCAGAATGTCGTCGGGGCATTCAAGGTAGGTCGTACGCCTGCACCTCGTCGGCTTTCTTTCAATTGAAGTGACATACGAACTGAACGTGTGATGTAGCGCGGATTCAAGCATCCCCTCAACATCGGTAAACAAGGCAACGTGTCGCAGAACGGCGGAGAGTTCGTGTTCGGACCGGGGGATACGTGCTCGTTCGCGTCGAGGATGCAACACACTGAGGATCGTGAGTCCGAGTTCCTTCCTCTCGCCATCCCATATATTTCGAATTTCTTCTGGTCATAATTCCCATCTCAATCCTGTGACCGGAGCATCTAAGCTACTGTTTTTGCTGACATCTTTGCTAACGCTCGTCTGCGTTGACCGTCTCTTTCAATGTGATCTATGTAGACGTCGAAATCGCGGACCTGATGAAGGAAGCTGGTGTCGTCTTCCCTTGAATCTTGATATGTAAGATTCCGTTCACACAGCAATAGGCGATGAGGTTGTCAGGAGAGCATAGTATGGCCTATCGATGGCGCATCGACCGAATGTTCTCACCATTGAAGTGGTTTGCCGAAATCTGTTCCTTTGCGGATGGGTCGTGCCATGAAGACTAGTTCTGCTGGTTTTGCTCGATTTTTCCCAATTCACGCAAATCTCAAACGTATGAAGTTTGTGGTAGGCTTGAGACATGCAGAAAGCAAAAGAAGTCGATGGTATGGGCCTCCTTTATGAATGGCGCGTATAAGGGTGAGACGCACAGAGAATCTGTCCCAAAGAGAAGCGTCACCGTAAAAGGAAATTTTGTAAACGGGCGAGTTGGGGGAAGACATGCTGCTCCGACCTCCGCCGCGTGTCCGCTCCTTTCTCCCCTCCACCACTACAACCTATCCACTGTCCTTGATTTTCTGCATTTCTCGCTCGACGATGTCCCACAGGAAAGGCATTACACAACTAATTCTCGCCGCTGATACTTTGGCGGCGCCGATAGCCCCATCAGGAGACGCTTTCAGCCAGCTTTGGTCACTCGCTATCCGTAAATTGGAGCAAGATCTGGCGGCCGGCTCATCGCAGCTTCCGATTCTCATTGAACGCATCCCTCGTTGTACTAATGTGGATGATATCTATGCTGTTCTCGACGATATCACGAAACGATTTGCTGGCTTTCGCACAGGAGGCTCGAGCGCAGGCTGGAAGAAATTGCGTAACAGACTGAAACCTGCAGTAGAGATATTCCTGTTGCTCAACGGGACCATAGCAGATGATGCTTCGGTGCGTTTGCGTTGCCTTCAGAGTAATACGGGATACTCACGAAGTTTACAGGCACTTGTACCCGGTGGGAAGGCGATCTTTGTGGCTCTTGGTGTGCTGCTCGAGGTGCGTCCGTGCCGATGGCCCCACGATGATGTCTTATAGAATACATTTAGGCCACGAAAGGAGTGACCGCTTACTTCGAAGCGCTTGTCGAGCTCTTCGAGGAGCTGTCTTTCTTTCTCGAAGGCCTTCGACCGCGACTACAGGAAACATCATTTGGCCCGGGAACTGCTTCCAGGACTATTGCCATCTCTATTCTCTCCCACCTGACGATCATCTGTTTTCGTGCTTTGAAGTTATTATCTAGGAATACGTGGCTTGCTCGTCTCGGTATGTTCTACCGCTATTTCAAGGTGATTCTAACTCAATCGACGGTCTGTAGACGTTTATCGCAAGGCACTCATAAAGGACAATGATATGCAAAAGGCACTCGAGAGGCTTCGCTCTCTCGCAAGACTGGAAGAAAGGGCAATCGCCATCGAAACACAGGTAATGCAATCGAAGACATTAGCTGTGACTGTTGAGACCAGAGCTATTGTGTCGGAAACGTCTGAGACCACGAACAATTTGGTCTCCAAATTTGACGGAATGACGAAAGGTATGTCTCTGTTCTGTTGACATGAAAGTATCGGCACTGATCAACGTACAGAGGGGCTCCCATTGTTGCACGATATTCGAGACGATCAAGGTGAGGTTTGCTCAGTGGCATCGGTGACTCTATCTGACCGTGAACAGGGGAAATGTTAGATATCCTGCGCTCTGAGGTGGGCGACTGCATCAAGTCTATGTCCTATCATCTTTCTTACACTTCGATACGAAATAGGAACAGCATAGGGCGAGGGTGGACATATCCGGTACATCCCATTATACTGTTGCGATGGTCGGTTACGGAGATCCGTCTAATGACATTATCGTATAGAAATCCTGGAGAAGCTCAGCCCGGTACGCAGTGCCGAAATCGACTCCCAGAGAGGTCCACGTTGCATGGAAGGCACCCGCGTCGGTGTCCTCAAGTTGTTGCGCGAATGGAGCGACGACGAGCAGGCACCACGAATATTTTGGCTCAATGGCATGGCTGGTATCGGAAAGTCAGCTATTGCGCGCTCGTTTTGCCATGACCTGAGCCAGCACAATCGTCTGGGCGGCTCCTTCTTCTGCTCCCGCAATGGTTCTGTGGCAGTGAGCGACGCTCAGCGTATCATCCCCACCCTTGCTGTGGCAATGGCATCTCGGGATGTTACCTACAACAGAGCGTTGCTAACCGTGCTGAATGAAAAGACTTTCTCTAAAGACTGGAATCTCGAAGTTCAAATTCAATACTTGCTCGCAACTCCATTCTCTGAGAGGCTACCACAGACTGCGAAGATATGCCTGCCTATCTTTGTCGTCGATGCTCTGGACGAGTGTTCAGACGAAGACTTGACCCGTCATCTTGTGGAGTCCCTGGTTAACATATCGGCCCATGTGCCTGCTAAATTCTTTCTCACATCTCGGCCAGAACCACATATCCGACAGAGGCTGGAACAGTTGGAATCAGATCCACATTCATATTTCTGGGGTCGCTCTTTGAGGCTCCACGACATTGAACAGGACATTGTTGAGGCCGACATATCACTCTATCTGATGCATGAACTGAAAAAGATGCGCGAAATGTCCTTTCCACCAGACTGGCCTCCCTCCAATCAAGTTGCCACATTGACCCGTCTCTCTGGTAAACTCTTCATCTACGCGTTCACAGCTCTTGCATACATCCGTAAAAAACCAGTTCTTCGTCTCGGACAGCTAACCGATGATTCCGCTATCAGCGCACAAATGACAAAGCCATTGGATCACATCTACGAGATGATCCTCACGGAGGCCATGAACCCAGAGGTTTTCACCGCGGACGAGGCTGCCTTGACGAAGAGGATCGTTTCGATAATATTGACCATTCGTGAACCCATGTCAGTAGCGGAGCTCGGTGAACTACTAGAAATGCCGGCTCATCTTGTTCGGGACTCGCTAAGCCATCTATACGCTGTGGTATATGTCCCCCGTGACAATGACAGCGGTGCTCTTGCCACATTCCATGCCTCCTTTGGTGACTTCCTCACTTCAATGAGTCGAGCGCCAGCGCCGATGTATGTTGATATTGCCGGCTCTCACAGTGACCTTGCGTCGATATGCATAGGCATGCTGCGGTCCGACAAGCTCTGCTTCAACTTGGCACACATAACTTCATCAGAGTATGTTCAACGTGCTAAGGGTGAAATGTCCTCACTTGTGCCTGAATCCTTGCGTTATGCATGTACCCATTGGGTATACCATATTACTGTATCGAATGATCAGGCGCCATTATGGAGTGCAGTCGAAGATTTTTTCATTGGACCGAAGTTCTTGTTCTGGCTAGAAGCGTTGAGTGTGGTCGGGATTACATCTCATTTGGAGAAGATGAATAGGCTAATTCACGAACATGTCCATAAAATGTCACCAAGACTGAGCATGTTCATTCGCGATGGAATGGATTTTGCCTTTCGCTTCCTGGATGTCATCAAGGCCAGTCGGCCCCATATCTATCTATCTGCTCTTCCCCTTACAGACAAGTCGTCAGCTGTCAGCCAGAGCTGCCTATATGCATTCACCGGCCTTGCGAAAGCCACATGGGATGTTATAAATGCGCCACTGCCTAATGATGTGTATGTTGAATATTATGAAGTCAGCGAAGAATACCGAACAGAGCTGCATCATCCTGCTTCAGCCGTGTGGTCGCCCGATGGTGCCAGGATCTTCGTTGCGTGGGGTCGGGAAATCACGGTATGGGATGCCCTTTCCGGCACACGGATAGCTTCTTCGACTATTAAAGGTCATACCAATATGATCAGTGCTATATCTATCTCTGCAGATGGTAAAATCATTGTGTCTGGCTCCCATGACCGGACTATCGGTGTTTGGAATACTCACACTCAAGAGCTTGTAGTATCCTCCCGACTGAAGGGTCATAAAAGTCGCATATTTTGCGTAGCTCTATCCTCTGACGGAACCAAGATAGCCTCCGGTGATTGGGAGGGCGTTATTTGCATCTGGAGCTCTGCTTCTGGCGAGATGCTTGGAAAGATGACGACGAGCGGTGAACCCTCGACCGTTCATTCCATCGCATTCATCGAACGGCCGAACCAAGAGCTACAACTTGTATCAGCTTCTTGTGATTACGTATTGCATATTTGGGACATACAAGAAGGCTCTCCTCCTACTGCACTCCTAGAAGGACACAAGGATGAAGTCACTTGCGTGGCTGTTTCCCCCGACGGCACGCACATAGCTTCCGGTTCAGTGGACACAACCGTTCGTCTTTGGGCAACAACGGGCGGTAGTGCCATCACGATCCTTGTAGGACATAAAACCTACGTTATTTCCGTCGCATGGTCTCCGGATGGCACTAAAATTGCTAGTGGAGGAGAAGGCTATGAAGCATTTGTCTGGGACACCGAGAGCGGCGCGCGACTGTCGATGTACATGCCCAGACCTGGAGCAGGCCTCATAAATAATATCCGTTTCTCTCCGAACTGCAGATATCTTCTTGCTACTTCAAGTAATTTTACCGATCATGGGGTAGTAAGAGTATGGGATATAGGGTCACAAAGTGATGATAGCAGCATTGTAACAGGTAGGCTTCATGGTCCAAGACATTCAGATCGTGTGGAATTGGGACTGAACCACTGTTATGTCATAAAGGAGGATCCAAGCTCAGAATTTCCAAAGAAGAAGACTCTTACCGTGCTGACTGGAATCCGCTTTTCTGGGTTTACGAGCCTGTGGAGAACAAGAAGCTGATGCTATTTAATAGGGAGGCCGTCGAGGCTTTTGAGAACGGGCTAGATCCGAATTATCTTTGGAGTGTCGGGGTTCAGGGTAGGCTTACAATCGATACGTCCGATATGGTATATGGTACGGAGTGGACCAAGTGCTATAATCCTCACGCTACTATCTCCAAATAACTTCTCCGTGCCACTTCGTATGTTCATTAGGCAACATTGTCTTTCTTTCTCTTCTGCCTCGTACTATTTCTCTTCAGTTACCAAGCACTGCGGCACCACCGGGCTCGATTGTCTATTGTACGTTGTGATATATTTACCAGTTGTATACGTACCGACTGATCGTAACGATCCTCATGACTTCGCTCCCGTTTCCTCAAAATTGAAAAGACTGGCCTGATAGCTCGCCCGCCACATTGAGGATCCTTCTAACGCCACACGTCATTCGCGAAGCCCCTAACCCGGAAATTCGGCGCCCACACAAGATTAGGGGTTTTATGATACGGGCGCTTCGGCAACCTGGAGACAGAGATTTATGAGCCCAGAGATCGAAGTGGCTCCCGGTTCCACTCTCCCACGAGAGACTTCCCGCCGCGAGCGTGTCTTGTCCGCTCTTTATTCATTGCCTTTTTTTCTTGTACAACTCTCGGGATGCTGTCTAATCGTGCTTCCAAAGCCCGACATAAAGTTGTTTGAAGAGAAGATGTGCTGTAGCGCCTTCAGCAGCCCCGAGAGCTCGAGGCGGAATACACCGACTGCTGCTGCCTTCGTCATATGCGGGGCCGGCGCGCGAGGTGGGGCATTCTCTGGCCAGACAGAAATGAGCTCTGGGGCCGTATCATAAAACCCCTATTCTCCTTCGCTGCTCGATCGATTTGGAGAAATTTGGGCAGACCGTGGCCGGCAGTGCCACGACAAGACTCAACTGCGAAAAGCTCTGAATAGCACCCGACTGGCGACGAAGTACGAAAAGATCATAGTGAGAGTAAGTATAAGGTATAAGTAGATTCGTAACTGGGATCCATCAGCACCGCCCTCGACAGAGCGCAACTTGAGGCTTGGACGGGTTAGGTTCGAGGGTCTTGTAAGTCAAAAAAGGTAAGTAGGTCAGTAAGATGGCAAAGATCGGAAACATCGACACGGACAACACGCGGGGATACGGACAAGCAGTTAACGACACAGAACGGGCAGAACGAACAGCGGAGGCAGAGCACCGGGACGAAACGAATGGAGATACGTATGTTTGTACAGTAAGTGAACAGGAATACTCGAGTAAGGAACTGGACCAGAGGACTGGATATCGCAGGAGACCGGAAAAGACGGATGAAAAGGAAGACCCAGAGGAAGAGAGAAAGAAATGGAAAGGAAAGGAGACAATCAAGCAGGACGGACGGAGCAGAAGTGAAAGATTGTGAGGAGCGAGCACTGGACCGGTCAATATATCGACGTGAGACCGGTCTCGTCTCGTCTTGAAACGATGGCTACTCAAGCAATAAGCTCCGAATGCTTCAGATTCGCCCTCAGGATAAAATCGCGCACTGTGCATCACAAACATACACGATCAATTCCTGGGACAGGCGGACGAAGATACGGAGAGAAAGGCTCACCACTCTGGATAATCGTCACCGTCCTTCGCGTGTCCGTGACCGCCGTAAAATGTATATAAAGCTCGCGGTCTTTATTCGGTGAGCTCTGCTGGTGAAGCACGCCGAATTTATTTCTCAGATCTGCACTACAATCAGCTCCGGACCTCTACTAAACAGGGACAGGGACAAACTCACACTTCGACACCGAATCATAATCGTTCGGCCGATCCCCATAGCTCAACAGATGTTGCGCGAGCAAAACCCCCGCATCGAGCTTCTTCTGCAACAGGTCGCATTTATTGAGGAAGAGGATGATGTTCACGTGCGAGAGGAGTTTGTTCGAGATGACGGAGCGCCAGAGCAGGAGGGAATCTTCGAGCCTGTTGATGCGCGTGTCTTCTGCTAGGACCTGGTCGAACGCGGAGATCGGCGCGAGGAAGATGATCGCGTTGACTATTGTTGACCATCAGCACGAAATTCGCAGTGCGAAGAACAAAGAGAGGAGAGAAGGCGGGGAGGAAGCAAAGTAAATCCAAAAACGCACCATCCTGGAAATAAGGCGCCCAAGCCTGCCTCTGATTCCTCGCCCCACCCACATCATATATCTTCCAATTCATCCCCTTACTCGCCCCCGAACTCAAGGTAAACGAATGCTCCACGACGCCCATCGTCTTCAACCTCGCCTTCAACACGTCCTCGTCCGTCGGGATATACTTCTTCGCCGTGATCCTATCAATCTCGTCCAAATAAAACCCAGAGCTTTCCTCCAGTCTGATTCGTTTAGAGCGCAGACGCGTGCGCACCCAGGGGTCGGACCAGATCTCGAGCATGGACGGGCGGAGGGAGGACAGGACGTGGACGGGGTCGGACGGGTCTTCCCACCATCCTAGGATCTCGTTCGTTCCGGGCGATGTGGCTTTCAATTTCGTGCGGGAGAGGGAGAGCGCTTTTTTCCAGTTTGAGGTCGTGCGGACTGAGAGTTCTTTGTTGGATGAAGGAGTGGTCATCGTCGCCGTTGTGCTGTTGCTGCTACGTGAGGAAGAAGGGGCGGAGGAGGCGACGGCGGAAGAAGAGGTGGTGGTGTCGATGGCAATATATGGGCGGTGATTATGGCTGGATGGTGGTGGTGACGACGAAAGTAATTGGCTCTTTCGTGTAGGCGACAACGTCCCGTTACCGTTGATCTTGCCGTTATACCCATCATGTGGCGTCGACCAACCAGGCGTACTCCCATCATCCAACCTCGTCGCCTCCTCCTCTCCCTCCTCCTCACTCAACATCCTCATCAGCCTCTCCTCAAGCTCGACCAACAATCCCAGCCTCTGCGCATAATACGCGTGTTTCTCCGGTGCTAACGGGTCTGGATCCGGGTCCGGAACGGTCGTGTGGACGGATGAGGAATCGTCGAGGAGATCGTGGGCGATGTTGGTTGTGGAGTTGGAGTCGGAGAGGGAGAAGGAGTCGGAGTCGGGAGAGATGGCGTCGAGGATGCGACGGATGGAGCGGACGAGGTTGAGGTAGATGACGGAGCGCCAGGCGATGCGTTCGGCGTGGAATGCGGCGGGGGTGTGGAGGAGTTGGAATTCTGTGGGAGGTACATGATCGAGGAATCAGATTGGAGGGTGGAGGAGTGGAATGCGGGAAAAAATGTGGAAGTGAGAAGACGTTGACAGTTTGAATGCTCCATTATCGTCGCCACAGTGGCACGAGGAACACATACGAATCAATGGCCCACCTCAGAAACATGGGATATCTTGGACGAATAACTACGTGCTTCTAGTCGCTGCCGTGGCAGCGAATGACAGCGTTCACCTTCGAACGTTCAAGATGAACATGTCTTCTCCGGAGCAACTACGACCGGACTGTCGCACGAGCCACGGAAGCATACTCTGAGGAGCCTCATACCGGTGGCCAGGAAGGACCGGGGAGATATCATTTGACTGTGACCAACTGCGTCGGCGAGGAAAGACCTCTGCAAGAGTCCGCAAATCCCGGAGCAGGAGACAGGAGGACCAGTGCGGCGAAAGACGCCCGACATACGACGAATTACAACGCGCCACTCCCCAAACCAACGTCGTGCGCCACACCTCAAACCCACGTCCACATCATACCCAACCTCCAGCTCTCATTCTACGAGATACACAGAACAAAGAAGCAAAAGTCGAAGGACTCACGTTTCAACGTCGTACTCTTCCCGCTCTCGCTCTGCCCGAGCAACAATACCTTCACGTCCGGCTTCTGTTTCTTCAACAACGCCTTCTCCTGCCTGAGCTGCTCGTCGATCGCGTCCGAGACCTTCTGCGCCTCTGCTTCCATCTGCAACCTCGCCTCTCGTGCGGCTGAAGTCTCGTTGGGTGGCGGCCGGAGGGCGGCTGCAAGAGGATCGGAGAGGGACCGACGTGGTTTATTGGGTGCGGATGGCATGGTCCTATTCTTCGTTTGTGAAGCTCGGTGACGAGTGTGGGGTATCGAAGGTAGGAAGTATGTCTCGGACGACGCGGACGACGATCAAGGTGGAGGTTGAAGAGCAGAAAATTGCGGGGGCCGGGCGCTAGAAAAGTTGGGAGAGAAAGAGGGGGTGTGAGAACGTGTCGACAAGTCGAAAAGAAGGCTTCGCTGGCCCGTCGCCGCCGTCGTTGTCAGTCCCTCTGCACTTGATCACACGCTCCCCGGCTTCCGAGCTCTCTTTCGTATGGGTTTATGTATGATATGTAATGAAGCCGTGACATACCTCAGGACCTCCTTAATTAACAAATGACTCCTATAAGTATTCCGGCCTTTAACGGTTGAGACGCCGACGATGATGGAGAGAATCTCAGGCTCTCGGACAACCGCGATGTGTGATGGTTTGGAACTCTCGCTGTTCTGGTGTCGGGTCAGTGATAGTGAGAGTGTGTGGACCGGTGCGTATTCGGAGGGTCGGATGCTCAGAAGGGAGGAAGGATGGGAGTTCGCACGGGATGAATGTTGTGTGAAGGCACATGGCTAAAGTTAGTCTTCAACGCTGCGGCGTGCGTATTTACCGGTCCATTCCAGGTCGTATCGTTCCTTGTCGGAGACCGCCACTGACACCGGTTATCCATCCTTCCAGTCCTTCATACTGGTCCCACCGACGCTCGGCTCTGTACCAGCAGTGGATCTTGGACTTGCTGGATGTCGGGACGTACTCGGGTGGCGGTTTGCGCTCGGCGAGAGGGTGTGGAGCGATTCAAAGCGTTCACCTCAAACTCGCCCGTTTTATATCTTTTTCGACCATGACAACGGTCACTCTTGATGAAAACCTTTGTGAGCAGCTGCAGTACTTGGCGACTGCCCCGCGGCGATTGAGCGCTGAGACTGGGCCTTGGACTTGCCGCGATATTTCTCTGGTGCTCCGCTCACTGTCTCTGACATCTTTTCTCGGCAGACATTCCTTCAAGATCGTAAATCTTGAAGAAAATCCGCACCCTATAAGTGCCTAATGCTGGCTTATCCTCGTCGAGTTAACCAACGCGCCAGCTTGCTCTAGTGACTCGTCGCTGTTCATCTATCGAACTTTTGCTCCCGTCTCAAGATGGAATGGGCCCATCCGGCGACCAGACCGAAAATGCGTTCGGGCATCTAGACGTTTATCACACAGGTACTTGTTGCTCGGTATACCAACTAGAGAAGCCAGATCAATACTGTACTTATATCTGCTCCTCCGAGGCTCGTCGGGTCCTCGTTCTGAGTCGAACGTTGGCTGCAACGCTAAATGTTATCATTTTACCCAGGTTATCCTCCTGTCATCGACTATAACTAACCAGAACACTGCATAAAATGATCCGCTGATCACACCCTCTAATCCTTTACATAGATAATTTTCGGTGAACTTCATGGTGGGCACCACCGGCAGTCTGTCAGATATACTCCAGACTTGGACAGCCGTCTCGACGATTTCCGGCCCTGTCCACTATTAGAGAGGACGTGCTCTTCGACTCCTCCGGCCATTGATAGGGATAGTCAGAAGAAATGAAATCTTTTTGTCCTCCCAGATCCCGTGCAACATGGTCTGCGTATTTCATCGTCTGGTCTTCGTATTTCATCGTCGCTGGCGAACCACGGCCGTGTGGCGCGCCACTGCAACTTACCAAACTTGACCTCCGAATCCAAACGGCGAACGTCTTACGCAGGTTGAAAAACCCGCGGTTTGTTTGACTTTTTTTTTGTGATGTCTCAAGGCCACACTAGTACTACCATCGCACTGATCCCTACTACTTGAAGTTCCGTCCAGCCCATAGTAACTTAGACACAACCAAGTTCCTACCGTTGTCTTGTTGTGCCTTGCGCGGAAGTATATTTCGTGACTCAGGCGGAACGGACCCGCTCGAATTTTCTGGAAAATCCTGGGAGGTAGCAGAACGTTCTGGTGATACTTTCACGTGTCGAAATGGCAAGCAGAATCAGGCCACGATAGAGTAAGTTATGTTTTCGAGAATTTGAATTTTCAAGCAGCGCTGAATGATATACATACAGGCTCATCCGAGACCTCTGCCCCCCTCCCAGCACCCAACATCCTCTTGATACCGTCCACCACCTCCGCCCCTCCCGCGCCACCCCTCCGAGCAATATGTCTGACCCCTGCTCAACCCCTCGCCCCCTCCAAGACCGCCAATTCTCCCCTGCCCCCGCTTCGACTCCCTCCCCCCCTCAAAACAAATCAAACATTGCCCAGACTGCCGCCTCTTCTTCGCCATTTGCTGCCACCTCTCCGACTCCGACTCCGACACGGTCATCAGCAGTGGGAAGCCATGCCATCATTATCGGGTCGTATTCACCGACGGCGCGTGTCCCGGTAATGGGACGGGTGCGGCAAGATCGGGGATGGGGATTGTGTTGGGTATGGACGAGGTGTTGCAGTGGGCTTTGCCTGTGGATGATGATGTCGATAAATTCGAGTTCGATACTTATAAGGCTGTGGTGAATACGAGGAGACACCTCAAGAGAAGCATGTCGGTCAGGATGAGTCAAAGAGCGGAATTGTTGGCTGCGTTGGAGGGAGTGAAGAAGATGAGCGCGCTCGAGGCGTTGTGTTATCAGCCTCCGGCGATGAGGGACGGTTGGCACGAAGAGCGATCGATGGACGAACGGGATAGAGCTCCGAAACAGTGGATCGTTGTGAGCGATTCGGAGTATGTGGTAAAGGATATGATAGAGTGGGTCCCGAGTTGGAAGGTTAGTAAACCCGAGTCAAGTCACTATCCTGACCCCCTATACAGTCTCGGTTATGTTCAAGTAAGTATGTAACTGCACGGCTTTCCTTCTTTCCCTTTGTGGTTTGTGGTAGGCCAATGGGTGGAAGAACGCTCGAGGAGACACCCCAAAGAATATCGATCTCTTCCGGCGACTTGACGATGCTATCAAGCAAGAACAAGCGAGACAGGCTGTCGAGATTCGGTTCTGGCACGTTCCGAGGGAGTTCAACGCCCTCGCTGATGGGTTGGCAAAACGAGCCGCTGAACAGGCCAGGCCAGTCGCCCTACCTGTCTCTTGACAGTGAGCACGGGCTCAATAAAGTGGTCCAATCCGAGAGAGTTCTAATTGGTCGGGTGCGTGCAAAATTAATTTTTGCCAAACTGTTTCTTTCAGTAGTGAGTCGGTAGCCTCATGCTTTTCTTGGTCGCAGGTCAGCGCATTCTCAGTTCAATCATCAATTCTCGCAAACCATGTATAAAGAGAGGATACGTATATTGCCTGGGAGGTTATACGTACCATTTTACGAGCGAGAGCGAAGTATGAGAATCCACCAAAGTTTTACAGTGCCTCAGGTTTAAACTTGTCTCCCGAGTACAACAATGTTCAAGTTGCAGCAATAGGGCTTATATGTTAGTGAAAACTTGGAACTTTTTACGAAAGCTCATTGGCGGATCGGACAGATCTTCCGCCAACGAGTTCCAAGTATACTTGAAACATATAAGGTCTAATGTGTCGACATCGGTGTTCATAACATTGCGCTTGGTGAGATGGATTTGATTCTATAGAGTTCCAAATATTCCTACTAGAGTAGTTGCCTCGGCAAGTGAGAAGAATGGCAAGACAGCCCAGGTATAGGTGGCCGTTCGAGCTCAAGGAGAGGGGCCACGCTGCGCCACACCGCATACAAGTTGGGCGGAAATAGCCGTAATGAATTTCGAATTGCCCCTGTCGATCTCGTGAATATTGAGGTCGCGTCTCGCCGCGTCGACTCCATCCTCATCCTTCACTGGGCCTTCTTGTGGTTCAGACGCGTTTATAGGCTTGATAGCAGCGACAACCTAACATAAGATCTTTTTGCGTGAAATTTGACCAGAAGGTGAGCTGTCTTTCGTTTTGAACCAAGGAAATACACTAGCTTGAAGGACTGAGGCACAAACTAATACATCGGACATAGCAATTCTCCAGTACCTTCGTTCAGGTTTTCTTCAAAAATCTGAAGGCTATTTCATATCGTACCCATACAATCCTCCTATACAACGAGGCCATAACGAATATCCTCCATGGCTACTTCCAATACTCACAACCCCCTCCCTGATATACCACCAAATCCTCCACGTTGGGAGCCAAGCACCGACCCGGCAAACATTCATATACCAGGTCTAGATACTACTGCGTCTGTAAATGACCAGATCGATCATATTGAGCAGTTGATCACGATTAAGCTGCAGGTGCGTTCTCTTCCTTTCCAGTTCAGTTGGGTAGATGTTGGACGAAAGGCTCAAGACAAGACCTGACGCGTATTCCTGTTTGGCCGTAATGGTGCGATGCAGAATGCCGATGCGAATATGTCACGGATACAGCATTTAATGCAGACGCGGTTGTTGCCCGCGTTCAAGAGGTTTGCGGTGGGAACTGAGCCGGTTAGGGAAGCTGCCAGGGTGCGTCCTTTTGTTTGTGTCATGAATCAAGTATACGACTGACGATGGGACTCCTCGAAATCTGCTAAGTTCTGGACATCGTTCTACGAGGAGGCAGCTCAGGTCCGGATTCCCACATCCGACTTCGATCTCGAGCAACCCTCCGAGTCCCAGCCTTCTACTTCCGCCACACAACCCACTCAAGACGAAACCACCGAGACCGAAGGAGAGGAAGAAGAAGAAGTATCAGCGGATGTGACCGCTAATACTACCATCCGCACCGAACGACCAGCCCAGAATGCGTCCTCACGTCACTTCGATCAAACCGAACCTCCATCGTTCACCGAACACTCCTTCGCACCAGGACAGGCCGCTATATCTTCCACACCAGCCACGGCACACCGACATCGTGTGCAGAATCCATCTGATACGTTCACCACCCAATCCTCCGAACCCTCATGGAGCGCATCCCTCGAATCGCCACTCGTCCGCCTGAACAGACTCCAGGATTTCGCCTCAGACCCCCAAATGATCTCCCCCTCCGCCGTATCCACTGCCGACAGTGAATCGAATCTATTCGACGACGGCGAAACGATCCACGCCGCTCGACCCACCACGCATTCCCGCTCCCGCTCCCCGTCACCTAATAAACGGCAGCGCAGACCCTCCGACCGAACCCTCCGCCAAGACGTCCTCCGCCGCCAAACGCTCTCCCCCCACCGCTCCCGCGGCACCAAACCCAAAACCCCCAAAGGCGCCCCTCCGAACCCATACCTCCCCAAAGACACCGACCCTTCGAAATGGAACGGCCTCGTCGATCTCCGATCCACGCCTCTCCGTACCGGCGCCACAGCGACCACTCCGCGCCGCCTCCCCCGTGCTGCTCCGCTGCCTTCGCCCGCGTTTGGTGGGGGCGATGATGGTGGGGATAGTGAGGGCGGAGAAGGGGGCAGTGATGATGAGGACGAGTTTGGGTTACCGCCGGGCATGAGTCCGCCGGTTACGATGGCGTTCGCGACGATGCCGAAGGTGGGCGGGGGACATGTCAGTGCGTTACCGAAGTTGGGGAGGACACCGAGTAAGCAGGCGGCACAGCGGATAGGAAGGGATTTGATTGGGGATTCGGCACGTCCTGTTGGGCGGGATGCGAGTGCGTATGGTGGTGGAGCAGGGGCGAGCTCGAGAATGGAGACGAGAGGACCAGGTGGAGGAATGGTGGTGAAGAGTTCGACGGATACGAGCTTGAGTTCGGCGACGACGCCGCCTAGTCTTATGAAATTCATGAGACAGAGTGGGATCGGGGCATATCCGGGTCGGGGACCGGGTATGAATTCGAGCGAGAGTATGGTCAGCGGGAGTGGAAGCAGTTTTGCGGCACATGATTCGACGTTGGACAGTATGATGCGGAGGATCGGGGTCGACGGTGGTGGTAGCGGTGGGTACGAGCTTGGAGCTTATGCTCGTCAACGCCAGAACCAAGCTCCTTCTATTGGGACCGTGACCGGCTTGACGTTTGGTTCAAAGGCGTCTACAGCTACATCATCGAGGGCTGCTGGCCACGCTCCAGTCTTTTCGGAGGAATCGTATCACTTCCCTCCTCCTTCGAACTCCAATCCTGATCTCTCACCAGCCAATCTAGTTCCTCCAATACCAGCGCCTGTTCTGGGCCACCTGCCGACAGCCGCTCTCACCTCGGGTCATCACCCGCACACACCCGATCAACAGAACTATGGGGCTCATTACGAGGACGACGGAGCGGACGATGGTGGCGCGTATATTGCTCCTACATCTAGACAGCAAATGTACAGGGACGAGCCAACAGAGACATACAACTACAACGTTCCAGCCCACGCTCATCAGCAAAACCAGCCCATGGACCCTCTCACGCAATATAATGCCCAAGCGGCCTCCATCGACACAGATGAATACGATCGGGACCGCGTAGGCCCTGGCGTGAATGTCGGTGACGACTCGATGGACTCCTTGGATGACGATGAAGATTCGATCATCAACGATACGGCCCATCCTTCCGCTGCGTTCCTGCTGGCCTCGCAGCAGAGGGGTGTGCATGATCAGGATGATAGTTTCGATAGTGAGAATTCGGCGGATTATTATGATGAGGTTGGCTCGGGAGAGGGCATAGAGGGAGGGAGGTTTTTCAACAACGACGACGATGATTCGTTTGATGATGATTCGTTCGATAGGGCGGAGGAGAGAGAGGCTGCAGAGTTGCGCGCTGCCGGTGGTGGTGGCGAGATGGTTGATGATGATGGATGGGATGATGATGATGACGATTTCGATGATGACGGGGGCGGCGGGGCGACGGAGACAGTCTTCGGGGAGAGGGCGGCGAGAAGGTCGGTTGGTGGGCAGAGGGCGGATTACAGGATTATGAGACCTCAGGGAGGGGAGGAGACGGAGACAATAGGGACCGATGGGGGGACGGGAATGATGATGATGGGGCATGGGAGGGGTGTGCCGGAGACACCGACGCCGTGGATGGGATAGTGAGAGGGAATACAATGTTGTCGGTGTGAACAATGTGAGTTATTCGGCTTATGCTATTGTTGTTGTAACGAGTACTTAATGGTCTTAGTAGAGTTGGATCGTTTCCACCAGCCTATGGGGATCGAATACCCATGTGCTAGAGATAAGTTTCATGTGCATACTGCCTTGCAAGTATATCGTCTTTCCTTCGGAAAAAACTTCATCACTTAGACGTCGTTAGACGGAACAGGCTAGGTAACTTGAAGGGCGCAGTGGGGTCGTGCATCTCACGTTCCTACTTGCCAAGTTAGAGTCCTTCTCTATTTTTCGGTATACGTACAGCCTCGAATCTGGGGACTAACGCGAACGCCTTGTCCAGATAGCCATCTGTTGGCAGTATTGGGTAACACAGCCGACAGCAACTTTAGGACACAGATAAGTTATGCGGACAGGCCTTCTGCTTCGAATTCTCGGTGAGCCACTTCTCACGCTGTCCGTAACCTTTTCATGTTGACAGGGCAGAACTCTAGAAACCTTTTTTTCCATTATGAGCTCCATCGATGGACCCGAACCTCTGTCAGAGTCCAGTCAGCCACATTCTCGGGCCAATCAGAAGCGAATGACGTTCAACCACATTTTGAAACTCCGATCATGGCCAGCGGCGGCGGACTCTTGCTCGAACTCTGCGTTCTGGCTGCATTCACTAGATGCTCTGTTGTATCTCCGAGAGCTTTCGCGATATTCTGAAGCACTTGCAGCCCAACGAGCAGCTGACAGTGGGAGCTGATGTCCACGATGGGTCTGGCGTTTGATCATCCGAGTTCAAAGCCAACGGTCTTTCTTTATCCAAGCTCGTGTCATCTAGATGAACTTCCAGTCTAGCACGCGTTCTCAACAACATCGAGTTTTGCTCCACATCTTCCGCATCCCAGAACTGAGTGATAGATGCCTTACCGGTGATGCTCAGCTATCGTTGCCCATCATTAATGATCAGGTAGACCACAGATTGCACACCTTTCGCGCATGGCTGTCATGGGGCTTTTTCACCCTGATCTTATGCTCTTGGACAAATATGTTGCTATCTCATGCTCCTCGCGTGAATGGGGCCACACGGAATCTGCACACCCGCGATTCCATGTATACCAGCAACTGACTCATACATCGTCATAGTGCAGTTATTTTCCGATGGGCAAAGGGCATCTAGAGTGGAACATTGTATCTTCATGGATCGATATCGAACTCTAAACACTCGTGAAAGCCGGTATATATAACGACCACGAAATGTGCTCTATCCTGAACAGACTCCGAATTCGTCGTTGACTTGATCTCGCAGCCGTTCCACCTTGCCATCATGTCTATGCCGTCTGGAACATACCTGCTCACCAATCTGACGAGGAACAGCTTAGTTACCTTGCCAAAGGACACGCACGGTACGGCCGTGACTTCCAGCTATCTCGAAGTGGCCAAAGAAACGAACTCCCAACTGGTCAGTCTCAACTGATGTCTTCGATATACGACCCTCGTTAATCCTTGGCTGCCAGTGGGAAGTACGGCGATGCACTGATAACCGCTACGAGATCCGAAGCTTTGCGACAAAACTGTTCGCTGGCAGCCGAAGCCGCCCAACCGCTGGTGACGAAGTATGCGGGGTGTCTCATGGCCAGCAATGGGTCATTCGTGACACCGCGATTAATGACGTTTATACGTGAGCTTCGTACCGTATCGCAATATTCATCTGCGTTATCTACTATTGTATCAGCATAACGACAGGTGGCTTGAATGAGCTGGGGTGGATGCTGGAGGACCCAAACATCGATAAACCGGTAAGTACACACAATGTCATTCAGGCGTGACGACCGCAATTGAAGTATTTCTATAGGTGACCCTTGACCCCCGCCTCAACGATCAACGTTTCTTCTGGCGTTTCGAGACTGCCAATGCTGGCCCGCCTTCCGCTGTATCCGAGGCCAATGTTTCTGGTGCAATCGTTCTTCGAGACGCATACGGCAGGTACTTGAGCGTCACATCAACCGATAGACTCAAGTTCGAGGCTACGCGGGGAGATCGCGCCTTGTTCTTCGTCGAGAAGACGTCTGAGGGTAGGATCGTACTGAAAGGTGAGCAGTACATCCCACTCTCCAATACGGTAGCTGAATCACAATTTTTAGGTAGCAATGGCAAATACGTGAACGTGTACAGCGATCTTCGAAAGGTCCGATGCGATGCCCCTTTGGGCTCCGGCCTAGCAGTTGGAGTCAGTCATCGTCGGGATGGCGCGATATGCCTAACGATTTCCGAGTACCCGGGCCAGACTGAGCAGACACTTTTCCTGTCAAGCCGCGCCGAGACACCTGCCCAAGACGGCTCCCTAGTTGTCTCCTTCGTCGAGGACAATACCTGTCGGTTCACGGTCGAGAATATGTAAGTCATAGCAGCTCTCCCTGAACAACGATACTGACTACCTCTTCGGAAGACCAACAAGTGGCCCTCAAAATGACCCAGCACCAGCGCCTTACAACGGTCTTCTCAGGTGTGACGTTACTGTCCAAGAAGCCCACTATGACTGCTTGCTGAAAGGTTTTTATTGCAACGAAGTGGTATCCCCGCCTTGGCAGTTTTGTGTGAATACGATACGGTAATCGTCGTCGACGACTCGGCGTCCATGATGTGGGAAAATAGATGGCAGGAGGTAGGTTTCTTCTCAATATCTGGTTCAGCGGTACTGGGAGGGTACCTAACTGTCGGCTTCCTTTCACAGACCAAGATTGCGCTCGGGACCCTTGCGGAGATAGTGTCTCAGCTCGACACGGACGGCATAACGATATGTTTCCTCAACAGCGACGTGATCAAAAATAATGTCACGGTGTGTATTCAGCTTCTGTAATCATTTGTGTGGGATGGTCTCAAGGTCTTATTACACTATGATATTAACATGCAGGACTCGCAACAAGTGATGGAAGCATTCGAAGAAGTGAGGCCGAGCGGCGCGACACCTTTGGGATCGAGGCTGGACCAACTATTGCGCGAATACACGAGGAAACTGAAGACTGCTCGCGCTGTTGGCGTACCCAAGAACGTGAAACCTATCAATTACCTCGTCATCACCGACGGGGAGCCCTGTGCGTCAACACCAGATCACCGAGTTTGTGACGCCACACTGACCGCATCGTGATTTATCCTCATGTGTAGCTGATGACCCCGTGGATGTGATCAAACGCTACGCAAAAGAACTCGACGATGGAAAATATCATCTCAAACAGGTATATATATTCACATAACAAAGAGTCGGTAAAGTCTAACACTCATATTATACAAGGTGGGGATTCAGTTCGTCCAGGTCGGCGGGGACGAAGATGCCGCGGAATACTTGAGGGAACTGGACGATGGTCTGGAACTCCAGTCCAGCCGAGTGAGCCGTTATTTGATTATCAATTTCTTCATAGTGTCCTTTAGCTGATAAAACCCCGTCAGGATATGGTGGACACGACGCCTTTCGTCGACGGCGAACATCTCAATGCTCCCATGTTGACGAAGATCCTCCTCGGAGGCATCAATCGTCGTGTTGATCGTCTGAGCAACGAAAAGGCTGCCTGATCCTTTGCTTCATCGCTGCACACATCTCGTCCTCCAGCATCGTTCACGACTTTTCTCTGTGATTCAACTATGCCCAGCTTTCCCTTGTACTACTAGCAGACGTCGCGTCACAATTGAAATGTATCGAATCGGACTCGGAATCCTGACCTACTTGCATTACTTTGGCCTGCGTGATTACGGTTTGCTTTGTGTATGCGGTGACCTTCCAACGCTCAGCTCTAAATAGGTACGAACCTTCCACAATCTGTTAGAGAACACAGGAAAAAATCGAATACATTCAGCACGAAATGGGTCGTGATTCATCTTCTACGACTTTGTAAGTCTTCAAAGTTGACATGCCAGGTAAGCACCCACACCGTTCGGATGCTTTTCACGGCCGACAAGTCAGAAATAGAGAGACTACTGCTTCTGTCACTATGAGCTCCATTCACAAGCATAATTGACACTAATTAAACCTCAACCTCCACTGCTCTAGAAGCTCGAAGGATCGAGCGACGAAACGCATGACTCTTCCGAGTGTGCCGACTTGAAGCTGTCGAAGGAGTAAGAGCAGGGAACATAGTGAGTTTCGAGAAGACAGATGAACAAAGAAGCATGTACACTATTTCGGGTGTAATCTTTGTCCAAGTCCTATAAAAGGCTAGTATCAATCGGCGCGATTTTACGGGTTCATGGCTAAGACAAGACGGTAAGCAATAGAAATCAAACTGTTTCATAACGCGGTTTTCCCTAGGCGAACCACTACTGCTATTGGTTTCTTCCCTTGAACGTTGCGCCAGCAGAGACACAATTGCCTGGATTTGTCCTGACGTTCTGGAAGACATGCCTCCCGATTCCGAGATAAGGGCTCCGTACGAGGTCTTACCTTAGCCTCGTTTACGAAGCCTCTATTGTTGGCAACGACGGGAGAATCATCATTGGTGGAGAGGTCTTGACGTTGGTGACGACATAGAGGCCAGTTCGGATAGTGGGTATGTTCTAGAACGAGCGAAGGAATGGGTTATGGGGGTAGAAGGGAGTTTGCTTTCGAACTGCAGAGTGAGCTATGGAGAGGTTATTATTATTATTAGTCGAGCAAGCAGAGAAAGTATTCTTACTACTACATGACTGCACGGTGTGTATCTCATGAACGCATCCTCCGAAAGCCTTCGTAGAGAGATGATCACAGAACTCCAGAACATAGCTGCTTCTCCCGCTATTACTCTCGGAATAAGTTCAGAGGTCAGCCTACCGGTCCCACCGCAATCCCAACAAGAAGAGTGCTGGCGACGATATTTGTAGCTACTCCACCTCAGTTCGAGCGCGCAATCCGTTTGATCAAGCTCAATCGATAGCCGTTCACTGGCAAGAACCACAATACGATGCAGTGTACAAGGAGTATACCCTGAACGCAAAGATGATGGAATCGCATTGCGTCCCTGCTCAAATAAAGATCGAAGCTTCAAGTTGCGCTGCCCCAAGCCGTTCACAGGGCGTCGGAGGCAACGATTCGCCATGAAGATATTGATACAGTTCATTTCCTGGCAGGTCCAACGGCGACAAAGGGACGGACAGACAGTGAATCCACAACGTACAAAGAAGATTGAAGGGATCGCGTGTCCGTGGAGAGTTACATAGCATCGATCACTTCCTTCAAGCTTGCCTCGTTTAAGATACTGAAGCCCTTGTCAGGCGTTACCTAGTGTAAGTCGGGACACGTTAGTCAGGCGTAGTTTAGAACATGACTGAGTGGATCACAAGACATAGCCAGGAATCAAGGATGGAGTAAGGAAGGTGGAATCGGAAGAGAAAGTACCTGTGCAAGCTGAACGTTGTGGTGATCGAGCTTCTCTTCCATTACTTGCTTGAGAACGCGAAGGGCGAGAATATGGGCTTCTTGCAGTGTCATTTGCTGTGGAGAGTGAAAGGATAAGACGTGAAAGTAAGAAAAGAGTGCTTCCATGAGCAACGTGCGCTACACAACTTCATGAGATGACGCGTACCTTGTGCCACTTGTCCTGCAACTCGCTTTGTGCTGCCTCCGATCCCGACCCAATAGCTTTAGCATCATACCGCACGAACGTCCCGGATGGATCCGTATGGAACCTGTATTTGTTACAGTATGAGGACTTGTCGTTCCAAGCTCCTCCAGCCACAAGGAGTCCACCAATACCCGTAAGTGAAAAGTTCACTCACAACTGTGGCCCCCTCTCGTCAACCCCGGCGATCAACAGCGCGACGCCAAACGGCCGACTCATCATCGCATCCTCATCGTGCACACTCTCTCCGAACCTCAACGCCAAATCACAGACCGCCTGCGTCGCACTTTCGACCCTGATTTTCTCATCGTACGTGAAGTTATGATTCTGTGCTGTTACGCGTGCATGGTCGATCATGGTTCGTGCGTCCGCGGTGAGACCCGACATGGCGCAGCCGAGGTGAGAGTCGATTTCCATGATCTTTTCAATGGATGAGGATTCGAGAAGCGGGGATTGGACGCGTTTCTCGACCCCGAGAACGACGCCTTCTGGGGTGGCGACACCGACGGTTGTTGATCCAAGCTGAGGTAGTGGTGTGCATGAGCCTCGTTTAGAACTGAGTTTGGGTAGAATAACCTACCTTGATAGCTTCAATAGCATACTCGACTGACAGCAACATAAATCAGCAACCCATACGAACTACACGACTGTTTCTACACACCTTGGAATAACCGCCCCTCTGGAGAGAAGGTGTTCACACCACGGTCTACGCTCAGAGTCAATACCTGCCCTTGTTTGGATTACTTTGGGACATAGTGCGCACCATATTCTGAGCGAGTTAAAAACATAGTGAGATGGGATTGAAGTAAATGATGTAGTGGTGCTAGCGAAGGGTATAGAACGCGTATGCGGTCAAGAAAGCATCCACGACGCGCGTCGCGTCCATATTGTGGCCCAGCCCACGTGGAACACGCCACTCGGCGAACTCCTTGTTCCAGTTCAGGCAGGTTCAGGCCTGTTCTTCCAGCTCTTCTTCTCGTCGCTTTCGTCAACGCCAACGAGCTCTGGCCTTCTTGATACCCTGGCCTTGTAAGGAGAACGATAGCATTTTTGCTATGCTCTGGCGCTGTGCTATTATTTTAGAAACGACACGCATGCTACGTATGATCTCGATTTTCCGGTGGATGTTTGACCGTGCCATGCATCCTCCCTCAGCTCGAGCCCCTGCACTGGTGTGTTCTGCTTTGAACTGACTCTACCAGATGACATATGCTTCTCCTACAAGTTTTAGTAGACCTGAAACGCGTATCGCTGGACGTGGGATGCGAATGGTGTCCGAGTTCACTCTGGAAGAGTGGTTCTACTGCAAGCGTTATCGATATCAGTGCTCGATGCGTAATCCGACTCCAACTATCGGGTGTCGAATGACCTTGACAGGAATAAACTGAAGTGTGTCAGTCATCTTGAGCTCGGGTTCGAAAGGTGGATCTTAGGCGAAGAGTTGTGTTTAGGGGTTGGTTGACTCCAAAACATCACGTAGTCGCGAGACGCAGATTTTGGTGGGCCGCACTGATCGGAGGCTAAGTGTATAAAAGTCTCTTTTCTTGATGATTATTCATCTCATCAGGATGCCTCTCATAGCCCGTCTACCGTGCGTTCATCTACGTACACTTCTGTCACAGCCGATCACCAAGCAGTGCATACCGTGCTTCACGGAGAACCCACCTTCAGAGAACCCACCTTCGTCAACGAGCACCCATAAAAGACATAAAGCACTAAGCATCTCGAACTGATCCGCCCGTTCTGTCTCTCATCTTCACTATCCCCATGTCGCCCTCTCTTCCAAAGGCCTACAAGGCTGGTGCGCATTATTCCTCTCCCTACTCGTGCCGAGAGCGCGTTCACTGACAGAGTGCTTCGTTTCGTTGCGACAGTCATCAGCCCTGCTCCTCACCAGCCGTTCGAGGTCGTCGAACGCAAACTCCGCGACCTTCAACCCGCAGAAGTTCTCATCCGAGTTCACGCATCCGGTATCTGCAACTCAGACCACTTCGTTCACGAAGGCTCTTGGCCGGGGCTCTCTTATCCTCTGGTCCCCGGCCATGAAGTCATCGGCCGCATCGCTGCTGTGGGCTCTGAGCTCAAGGACGACATGAGGCTCAAGGAGGGGTCATTGGTGGGAGTGGGATGGAATGGCGGATGGTGCGGTAGATGTGAATGGTGTAGAAAGGGCCAGTTTTCTTATTGCGTCAAGGGTGAGGTCACGGGGTTCACACGGGATGGAGGACATGCGGAATACATGTACGCACCTGAGACTTGTAAGCCTATTCTGAAGATGTTCGTGTCAGATCCAATACTGAGACCTCTCTCACAGCGGTGATCAGTGTACCTGAAGAGGCCCTCAAGGACGCAACATACGCGGAACTTGCGCCATTGTTCTGCGCTGGTACAACTGTGTTCGACGCCATCAGACACTGTACTTGGGCTCCTGGTGATATCTGTCTGGTTCAAGGTATTGGCGGCCTTGGCCATCTTGCCGTTCAGGTCCGTCGCGGTCGTATCTGATCTCTCGGTCGACGTCGCCCCACTGACAAGTCCTACGTACCTTCCTATCTGACAGATGGCTTCCCGGATGGGTCTCAAGGTAAGTAAAACTAATCTGTGTTGCAGTTGACGACCTTGATGTTCAACACTTGTCTCACAGGTCATCGCCTGCTCCTCCGGCTCCGCAAAACGCGACCTCGCGCTCTCCCTCGGCGCGACTGAATACCTCGACTCATCTGCGACGGACGTACCCGCTTACCTCCAATCCCTCGGCGGCGCCGTTCTCGTCCTCTGTACCGCCCCCTACGCAAAACACATCAACTCAATTCTGCCTGCCGTTGCGAAAGATGGCACCATCATGCTCGTCTCCGCGGCCACCGACGGAAAGATCGAGGTCGACAACCTGTTCCTCAACATGAACCGTGCGTCCCTCAGAGGATGGAGTTGTAGAGCGGCGCCAGACTCCGAACAGATGGTGAAGTTCTCGGCAGAGAAGGGAGTTAAGGCATTAGTTCAGGAGTTTAAGATTGAGGATTTTGAGGGGGCATATCAAGGCGTTGTGGCGAACCAGGCGAGGTTCAGGAACGTTGTGGTGTTTCCTTGAAAGATGTACATACAATGCGCCTTGAGAAGAGGTTAGAATGTTGATGGTTTGCACTGTTGTGGCATTCTATACGATATTTCTGCCTACAATAAGAGGGACGGCACAAAACTGAAGATGGTAGTGATTCTAGCGAAAGACTGAGTCCGGACTCCGATATGGCCCGAGTAGCGCGTAGGACTGCGCCCATGCCGTGGGAACAAATTACTACCCCGTTAGACGCGCAAGTTGCGCGCAAGTGTCCGCTCGTTCTTTCTTCCACCCATCATCTTCCTCACATAGCTTGTAATTATCTCCGTTGACTCATCTTTATTTAAACGTCAAAAAAGGCGCGCGCCGTGTTTGCTCTGATCATCTCGGACTACTAACTTGCTCGGAAGCTCTAGCCTCCTCTCCTTGCGCTGCTTGCTCACTCGTGTTCCGTCAACGTCGGCCTGCCCTGGTTCCACAGCGATCAAGTTACGATGAGATTATCCGGGGCAGTAAATTTCGTTCTTCAGGGTAAGGTTGATGCGCTCACCTCGGAAACCTGGGTCTTATGCCATCTTGAAGACTAGGATTGGACAAGGCATATCAGAGGCATTTCGTTCTTCTTCGAATCGAGGTCGCACTTTTTGTCGCTGATTTTCTATCCGTCTTGGAAATCATACGACTACGTGCGTATATAGCTTCCTCAGGCTCTCCTGTCATCGGAGGGGTCATTGGTGAGGAAATCACTCGAGTCGTTTACTTCACTTCCGACTTCCCGAAACGGTGGTCGACTACAATACACTGATCGTTTATGGCGTGGCTGTGTAGAGTCCCCATCGCGATGAAACTGAACCCAGGCTTTCTAGGCCGCGATCTCCCTGCTCGCCAGGCCCCATCTCTGTTCCGACAGTCCAAGTTTTGACCTTCGGCTTCGAAGTGGCACAGCACAGTTGTGTAACACAGGAGCCCATTCCGTTTTCCACGCTTCGCCACTGGAAGTGTGCTCTTCCTTTGCGTTTGGTCGATCTATGCCTTCTCTCGTTCATACCATTTGAGATACCCGTCCTCCAAGACCCATCACGCCCATAGTGCATTTGGCTCATTCGGCGTCTGGCATCGTTTGAAGCTACACAGTGTACCAGACACTGGTGTTGTAGTCGGCAATGAATTAACGAATGCATACGCCGATGGATACACCGATGTCTGCGCTACTTCACTCATCCAGTGCACGCTAACCGAAGTCGTCTTGGCTTTTGACTATGAGCCTGCATCCGGAACCGCACGGGCGCATCATTTTGTTTGGCACCGTGGAACGGCTCCATCTTTAGCGCACTGCGTAAACTCAGCCTTCAAGCGAGTGAGAAAGAACGTGTCCATAGTTCCGTTGTAATATCTCGTGTATTCGATGATGCAACCCGATCTTGCTCCGTTACAATGGGCTTGCGGTAACTGAGCACCACTACGTATAAGAACGAGCAGCATCCCCCTGAGCACCCCAGCCTCCTCCGTCTACCATTCACCGACCTGGTTCAATTGCATCTACGGGCGATTGCTTCGATGTCTCCTTCTCGGACTTCGCTCCTAGGTTCTCTTCTTCTCTTGAGTTCTGCGGCCATCGACGCGAAACTTCTCGCAGAGCCGTCCTCGATCCTCAACAAGACATATGATTTCATCGTCGTGGGCGGTACGTCACGTTCATCTACCGTCTCTTGAGGACCAGTCTCCCTGACGTTGGCGATATTATCCGGATAGGTGGGACTGCCGGGTCCGTCGTGGCTAGTAGACTGAGTGAGACGAGTGCAAGCGTTCTCCTCATCGAGGCTGGTCTTGAGTACGTCTTTATATATTCATCGGCCTCCACTCAATGCTCATGTCTTTCAATAGCAACGCCAACATCTTCGACGCCGAGGTTCCATGGTTCTGCTTGGACATGACCCCGAACCAGCCTTGGGACTGGAATTATACGGTCACAGCTCAATCCGCGCTTGATAACAGGACGTTCCCATATCCTCGTGGAAAGCTCTTGGGAGGAAGTAGCTCCGTCAGTGCGTGATATTTCCCTTTTTATATGCGAGTGCAGTAATTCTTATTGGGGGTTCAACCAGATTTCTTGGTCTACAACTACGGTGGTTCCGATGACTTCAATCGCTACGCGAACGTGACGGGCGATGATGGTTGGTCCTGGAACGGGCTCGAAGCTTACAGGGACAAGGTGAGTACTCCTCATGCACTTTTCAATTGCAGCGCTGATCTCAAGCTGTATAGACTGAACATTTCGTTCCTCCGCAAGATGGGCACAGTACGTAATGTCTAATCATCGATGCCTCTTAAACTGACAACTATTTTTTCAGATACTACTGGCCAGTATATCCCGTCCGCGCACAGTACCAACGGAACGCTCTACACTTCCTTGCCCGGTTACCCCACTGGTATCGACAATATGCTCGTCCAGGCCGCCAACCAGCTCCCAGAATTCCCTTACACCGAGGACATGAACCAAGGCAACGAGATCGGCTTGGGTACGTTTCAACTCATGCAGAGTCTTGTTGGTGTCTTTATTCACCTCGACGTCTTGATACAGGTTGGGTCTACGCTTCGGCTGGGTATGGCACGCGCAGTAGCGCCGCTACTGCGTACCTGACCTCAGATGTCTACTCCCGGAATAACCTCGACGTACTCGTTAAGCACCAGGTCCTCAAGCTGGTCAGCAACGATTCATCCGCCGGTTCACCTGCGTTTACGTCCGTTCAATTCGCCGCCTCTCCTGATAGTGAGTTAACCTTCATTCCATCCCCGTCGACTTCGATTGCTGATCCTGTCACTCGTAGGCACCATCTATACCATGAACGCCACTAAGGAGGTCATCCTGTCCGCCGGCTCCATCGGTACCCCGCAAATCATGATGCTTTCCGGCATTGGAGACTCTGCTCAACTTGAGCCTCTGAACATCACCACCATCGTCAACTCCACTCAAGTCGGCCGAAACCTGCAGGACCACCCAGTGCGTCATTTCTCCTCAGATCACTCTTACTCAGCATAGCCAAAGACTCAACATTTCTCGTTCAGCTCCTTCCTAACCAGTTCTCCGTCAACTCGACTGACACGTTCGACGAGGTGCTCCGCAACACCACCATGTTGAACGGCCAGATTGCGGAATGGAACAACACGAAGACTGGCCCTCTTGTGAACACCCTTACGAACAGCATTGGCTGGTTCCGCGTGCCTGATAACTCGAGTGTTTGGGAGACCTACGACGATCCTTCAGCGGGTCCCACTTCCGGCCACTACGAGTTCGTTTTCGCCGTACGTCACTCCTTCCGCCCTCCGATCCTTACAATCCACTAAAATGTGCCCTTGTACTTAGAATGGCTTCGTCGGCATCATCCAAGATACTCCCACCTCTGGAAACTACCTCACGGCTATCACCAATCTTGTCACTCCGACCTCTCGTGCGCCTCACGTCTTGATCTGTTCGTCGCGCTCCTTGTACTGATCTTTGAGAATGTGTGCACAGGCGGAACCATCACGCTCAACTCCAGTAGCCCGTGGGATTATCCCTTGATCGATCCTGCCTTCCTCAGCGAAGAAGTTGACCTTGTTCTCATGCGCGAGGCATACAAGGCTGTCCGCGTCTTTCTGTCGGCGCCCGTCTTCGACGGGTACATCATCGGGCCTTACGGGGCTGCCAACGCCACCTCAGACGACGACATCGATGCATACATTCGCAACCTTACCAGTGAGTTGCTAGCCACTGAGGCACTGTCGGTTTCCTGACGATACTGCATAGCATCCGTGTGGCACCCTGTCTCGACTGCCGCCATGGGTGCGAAGGACTCTGACAGTGTCACCACGCCCGATCTTTTGGTCAGGGGAACTACCGGCCTCCGCGTCGTCGATGCATCCGTTATGGTGAGCACGCTGATTCCTTCCATCAAGTTTTCATTACTGACCTCAGTCTATCATTAGCCGTATGTCCCAGCTGCCCATCCCGAGGCCGGAATTTACCTCATCGCAGAGCGCGCCTCCGACCTCATCAAGAGCGCTTGGAAGCTCTCATAAATATCCGATATGCGTCTCTTCAACTTAGACTAAGTTATCTATGTCCTTGGCGATGATCACCTCAGGCTTTACACTCATGCAATCCTTCTCCCTTCACTCTCGTTGAATATTATCCCGTTCTCTGCATACACTAATCACCACGGTGATTCTTTATCCTTTACATAATTCCTTCTATACACCTCTTATCTTTGGTGGTTCATAGCCGCCTCCTAATCATAGTTTGATTGTTGCTTTCCTCGAGGATACAAGATGCGTGCAGCGCGAATCAGCTTTTGTACCGCAATGGTATGGCCCACAAATCCCCATGGGTAAATACTGCAACGGGTAGTGTCCTGAGCACTCGACTGTCGTCATCACAAAGTGTTGCACTACGGTGCCTTGTTTTTTTGTCCATGAAGCTGGTGTATTGTGACCCAGCGCTTAACACGACGACATAGAAGGTGCCTTGGAGGACCATTCCCTCGTGCGTAGGATTACATTTCGAAGGATAGGACGATTATGATCGGTGTACATATAGTAGGTCATGTCAGGTCGTACTGGTTGGTTCGTCCTTCCTTCTGAACCTGAAAGGTAGCTCCAGCTCGGTGACAAGATCGTCCACCTCATCTTCATCGTCTGAACAATAGATGGGCACGAGCGCGAATCCGCACACCAATCTATGCTCGACCCAGTCTCTGTCATTGATTGACAACGGTCATGAGTCTTCATTTATAAGGAAAAGTAAATCAAAGTCGTACCTTTTCTGGCAAGCCGGGCCACAATACTCAGTCCTGTGGCATGCACTGCAACGCGCCGTCACTCTTCCCTTACATCCACGTCTCCCGCAGACTCTGTTCATGAGACAGTCCCTATATAGATGATTCAATTGGAGTAAATTCTGAAGATGTATATCTTCGTCCCAATTTAACTCATTTTCATCAATGAACTCCGGTGGCGATGGTCGGTCGGCGCCAGCGGATGCGGCGTCGAGCAATGCACGCATAGAGGCGGCTCGAGGGAGTTGTGCGCGAATGAGTAGTAGGAGTGATGGCTTGCGACGGCAGACCTCTACGAGATCGGTGAACACCCCGCTTACGTGCCATGAAGTGCGGTAGTTGTCTGGATTCTCTGATCAGCTCCGAGCTTTGCGAGTTGCAGAGAGAGCCTTCAAGCAAACGTACCCATAAGCTCTTGGCGGGTTGCATAACGAGGAGGAGCAGCGTCAAGAGCATCGAACAGTCCTGCGTGCACCAACGTCTTGATGAATACACTGACGTCTTCCACACGCATTTCCTGTAGCTCATGCAGCGTTCGACTCGCAAGCTCGAAGACTTCACTGAATATCTCGTCCCGAACATTTTTAGCTGTCCCTTGGTCGTATGTTCGTGCTTTTATAGGGCGCCATATCAGGAGAAAAAGGGCCTTCCACAACGATGTGGCCCGAAGAAATGTCATGATAAAGTCGTGGCGAGCGGTGCCGAGGATAACGTCGAAACGGATCTCACCTTCGTCGAGGGCAGCGTCGAGAAGGGCTGACAAGAACCTTGGGACATTCGATATTCGCCCTTCATCGTCATCGGGCCAGTCGGGAGAAAGAGACTCGGTAAATTTGGCGAAGAACCTCTTGGTCGAACCGTTACTTCCTCGTAAGATATTAGCGAATAGTGCCCCCTGGTGTGCCATTTTGAGTGACGAGGATGGAAGAAGACGAGTTGCATTAATTGCATCTTCCACCACTCCCCCGAACGTACTGAGTTCCCAGAATGAGCTTGCTTGTTGCCAATATCTCGCGGCGAGGGCGACAGTACGATCCGCGTGGTTATGATATACCTGTTAGGATCGATATCAGCGATTGGCCAGTATGCAGATAGGGATCTATCAAGGAACGAACTTGGAGAGCTGAAGGATCATACTTTGGGACAGACTGGAGGAGCGGCTGGACGGTGAGAACCCATTCGTCTCGAGCAGTATCTGAGTGTGCCGCATCCGTTTTGGGGTTTGTGTCCCATAACTGTAGTACAACAATTATTAGCAAATGTCAGACATCAAACTGGACTGTCTCTTACGCGGTTAATCATAGCCGTCCAGTGTGTTTTCATGGCGGTGACGAACAAAGCATTAATGGCTGGTGGATCCTTGTTATGACGTGACATAAAGGAGACGTTGAGTATGGACAGGGGTCCATAGTACGTAGCGTAGTCCTACAGTGCCCAAGTGTAAGAAGGCATCACAGCAGGAATACACGGAAAACTCGATCCGTACTTTGGCCCTTTCGTCGCTTCTAGCCTTCCCGCGTGCGACTTGGGCCTCTTGAAGCTTTGTAACATCATACATGATCCAAGATCTTAAGTTGACCAGTCACAGTTTTGCATAAGACCTCCACCACGCCAGCCTGGACGAGGCTATACCAAACAGGATTCCCCAAATCGCGGCGAGCAGCGCGATCGAGAACCTCCAGCACTGGGACGATGTCCTTCGGAAAACATGGATAGTGTCAGAAATTATATGGGCCGAGGATCGATTTATACCCATACCGAAACAGTGTCTCCCCATTTGTTTCGCACACCTTCGATAGGCTGCAGATCGAAAACATCCAGAACCCGTCGAGTATTCGAGGTGAGACGTCGGATCCATCTTTCTTCGATTTCTTTATCAGGCTCCAGAAGTGCATAGACTCTCGTGGTAGACGATGTTGACTTTGGTGGCATGTCAATCTGAGCAGGCAAGCAAGAGAACTCAACAGGACCAGAACTGACAGGAGAAGCGGAGTCACGGTCCAAGTTCAAACTCTGTTGCGTCTTGGTTGCGTCTGTTCGCCGCGCGCTCTATAGTGAGGAGGAACGATTGTCTTCCTCGAGCCGCGCGCATGCCGGCGCGCTGTTTCCGATTTCGCAAATTTGCCGCCACTGTGGCCCTCTTTAGTTGTAATAGCCTCCAGCTCACTCCAGCTGCAGCTGGCTATTCGTCAAGGACAATTGGGAGTACATAGTATTGGACAAAAATATGCCCCACGAGACGATTATGAGAACAAAAATCAAAATGATGCAAGGGAAGTGCATTAGTATACAGTGCATGCGTAGCTAAAACAGTCGGCGGGGTATGATGATGCCTTCACAAGTCCATTATCCGCCATACATTTACAGATCCATTATACACTTTACTTTGAGTTCGTCTCCAAATCACGTCGATGAATTGTATCAATATGTTGCGTTCCCTTCTTCACAAAGACGAGCTATGACACGATACATTAGTATCGGCGTTCACAAAAAGGATACCATGAGAGGCGACAAACGTACCAAATACGGGTTCGCTGTTGACCCCGTCGTATCCGCCAATACCTCATCCTTCGGCACCTTCGACACATCAGAATCATTGTATTTGAACCATTGATCTGGGTTATCAGGGAGGTTTCGAGAATAGAAGAAATAGTGGCCCCAAGACGGTGATGAGCCGCGATGTATGAACACGGAAGTAAGCTCGTATTCCGCTCGTTGGTCGTTCGCCCAGACATCTTCCAAGTCGCCTTTCAGCTTTGTGGCATGGGTACGTAAGGAATCGATCTCTGCTGCTAGGTATGGTTGCTCGGCATTGAACAAGGAGACAAGGTCCTCGTCGAATTCGGGAAGCTCGACGGAGTCCTGTTTCTTAAGGAAGTCGAGCGCGTTACCAAGTGCGGGAGCAAACGGTGCATGCTGATGACAGTGCACAAATTAGCAGAGGTTCGTAGACGCAGGCAATGAGCATTCTTACTTTCCCTGCCGTTAGCAAGTGCAGGCGCTCGCGACATGCATTCAGTTCGGCCTGGATGACCTTCGCTCGTTCCTTCTTCTCCGGGTTCGCACTATCCAAGAATCGGTCCATGTAGATCGTTTCCCCGAACTTCAGGTAGACCTGCGACTTGTACGGCTGTAGTGTCTCCCGATCGAATTGCCCCCTCTAAAAGCCAACGATAAGCGTCGACTCGCTTCAGAACGGAATCCAACAGACGATGCTCACCTGCAGCTGAATTTGCAGTATTGGCGGTACGTCAACGAGGGTGACCTCCATATGCGCCTTCTTGCTCTCAAACTCCACTTCATCGTCGAAGTAACCTGCCAGACCGTCGTACAGGTCGTAGCCTTCTCTGGTCACGTTGACAGGAAGAAGGGAATATAGGTCTTCGCGTTCATGAACTGACGATCGACTTTGCGTCTCCTGGGGTACAACGCTGACCCGTTGCTTGACAGTGCCAAAGAACAGTCTACACGAGGCAAATATAACGAAATAAGAATGGTAAGTTGACGGCTTAATGGTTAACGGAGCGCACCTTTTCACTACACTGGTCTTGTCCGGTTCTGAAGTATCGGTCCCGTCAAACTTCAGCAATGCCGCCTCGATCTGGAAGATACAGTTGTCCATACACTCCGAAACATCATGTTGCCGGCCTACAAACCGGAGTGTATGAGCATATTTCCGTCGTCCTGAGCGAATAGACAGTGGACCACATACCAAACATCATGACAGAGTCGGACGCCGGCTTTCTTGGGGGAAGTGGTGGCGGCTTCGGCGCCACTTGCTGCCCGCTCGCTTCCTGTGGCCCCTCCACCACCTCCACCTCCATGACCTCGTCCTCCCCATCCTTCCCGCCACCTCCTACCTCCGCAGCTTCCAAAGTCCGCCGTCGAACGGGGTCCTGCCCAACCGGGCTTTCCAACATCGCATCCGTAGGCGAATGCTCATACTTCGCAGCTCCCAAAGGCGGAACGATGACATAATTCTCCTTATCCAGATCCACGTCCATGTCCGCAAACGTCGTCCTCCTTTCTGGATGCGACACAGATTCCCTCGTCCGCTTTCCAAGCACAGAAGACGACGACGACGAGCCTTCGCCCGGAGATCCGGGTCCGGTGTAAATAGACCCAGGAGATGCGGCGCTAAGAGGTAATGGAACGTCCGCTGGATTGGGTTGAGACGTGAATTGGGCAGGTTCGGCGGTGAGCATGTGATGAGAGCCAGATGGTCCGTCGTCGACGAGTGTGGCATCGGTGTCGTTCGACGTATCCGTCCCGCCACGTTCGAAATCATCCTCCTCTTCGTCTTTGGAGGTGATGAGAGCGAGTTTGGCGAGTTCGACGGTGGGTGTGACGGCTGGATTATCGCAACTTTCGAGCTGTTCAAACAGTTCTGCAAGTTGACTCACAACTGGCGTACATTTCTCGTCAGACGGCATATTCTGTGAGTGGAAGTGAACGGAGTTACTTACACTTCTTCGAACGCAGGATTTCCCTCCGCGTGACATTCCGCCCGCCCACACGATGCCGCTTCAGATCATCATCCGTCAACTTGTCCTCGTCAATAGATTTGAGCTGGGCATTGATCAGAGGGGCGATCGCGTCCCGCAGTTCTTTGATGGTGTAGAAGTACTATAATTGCCAGATAACACATGAGTCTGTGCGACTCGAGGGAGAAAGAGAGTCGAAAATACCTGGAGGAGGGAATTGAGATAACATGTGTTCCCGAGTTGATTGAGACCGCGAGGCCAGTCTGAACGAGTGGGGACTATAACTTCACCAGCTGTGTAGTAGACGGCAATGAGAAAACGGGTTACAGAGAACCAAGATATTTCACAGAGAAACTTACGATCGACGCCAGTAGTGAGGAACTGCCTCAGCCGTTCACTATCTCTCGTCTCTGCGATCACGGCCAAAGCCTCACGCATCGTATCTCCCGAACTCGGCTGGTCCTCGATCTACACAACCATTCCCAAAAAATTAGTTCGTCCCGTCTGGACACAGACTGTAAGCGCGTAAGAACGAATGCTCACCCTCATGGAGAAAATAGTGATCAACATCGACTCGTCCACATCCTGCGGCACATCCAACGTCGTAAACGCCCTATCCGGCGTCATCTTCGTCCCCAAACTCTCCTCCTCCCACAGCTTCATCATTTCCCTCGAGCCCTTAACCTGCGCCACCCTCAAAAACGCCTCCATCACCTCCTCGTACTTCGCTTTCCCTCCCCCACCAGCACCGACAGCTCCCGCGGTCTGCCACACCCTCTTCTTCGCATCCTTCCAAGCATTGATCACGAACTCTTCCTCGACTTCGTCGTCTAGTTCTACGCCGAGGGCGCCGTGCTGTCCGAACCCGAGGAGGGCGATGGAAGAGGCGTAGTCTTCGGTTGTGAAGCGGTGCCGGGAACGTTCTTCGATGATGAGGTTTTGTAGTTCGTCTGGGAGGATCTCCCCGTTGGCGGAGAGGGCTTGGAATATCTTGATGTAAGCCGTGAAGTAGTCGATCATCCCCGCAGGGTCGCAGCGGCATTGAGCCAGGTAGGCAAACACGAGAAGTTCTGTATCATCACCGCCGCGAATAATAAAGATGAGCTATCCATGACCAACAAATGGTGAGAGAAAAAGTGAACGTACGAGGGGAATACGTAGACTGCGTCATCCCCAACACCTCCCACGCATGTATCAGCTCCGAATTATACCTCAAAGCCAACGGTATCTCCCCCCTCGGTATCTGGTCCGGATGGGCACCCAGCGCCTCCTGATAATGTTCCCTCTGGCTAGTAACGGTAACCCACGGTCTCGCAGCCCCATGATCCTTCAGCTGTGGCGTGAACCGAGTCTGATACTCGACCGCCCATGCGCTGAGCTCGATCCATCCACGGAGGAGTTTCGCGCGGCTTTGGCGGCCTTGAGGTGTGACGAGGTCGATAGTGGGTGGGTAGAGCCCGAAGGAGGCGTCCGTGCCTGCTCCGTCGTCCTTGAAGTAGAATCCGAGCGACTCGAAGATGGTATGCCTAGAATGCGAGAAGTATCAGTATGTTCGGTGTGGCGGTAAAAGAAAATGGGATCATACACGGTCTCGTCGTATCCAATTTTCTTCTGGAATGTTTGTTTATTGACGGGCACAGGGCGATTCTCTCTCTCCCATACCTTCTTCTCGATGACCCTGTAACATCGTCAGCCACTCCACCCAACGACACACAAAGCAGAAACCGATGGTCGAACGTACTTCAGAATAAGCTCTAGAGCGATCAACGCTGTCGTCGGACCATTCTTGCCCACGATCGGATTCTCCGTCTTCGTCTTGACGAGCTGGTCGATATGTTTCGCCTCCACAACTCCAGGAAGCACCTCCGATGAAGCGACACAATACAGTGAGCACTGACAACACACGTAAAGATCGAGCAGGTCGGTCTCTTCGTCTTCCTCCTCCTCTTCAGCCATCACACCCTCCATCGGCACCGCATCGTCGGGTCCCTGACTCTGCACAACGTCCATATCACTCTCAGACTTCTCTTTCTTCACCTCCGCTTGATCTCCTTCCGTCTCCGCCTCCTCGTCCTCCTCCCCCGGCTTTACCTTCCGTTCCCAGTCTCCCCTCCTGAACGGCGGCGTCAAATTCCTCCCCTCCACGGCCTTCTCATAAACATGAAAATGATGCGTCCTGTTCGCCTTCTTCCCACCCAACCCCTCCGCCTGCAAACAATTCCCCGTCTTCCGTCTCCTCGTCTGGTCCGGGAGCATGACCCCGTCCGGATGAGCTGCGAGGAACGATTTCGCGAGCGGCGGGAGTTGGGAGGATGATTTCCAGATGAGGAGCACCCAGCTGTTATGTTTCCGACAGTAATACGCGTTCGGATGTGGGATCGCCGTTCGTACTTCTTCAGCCGAGGGCGGAGGGACCGGTGGACCTGAAGTCACAGGAATCGGTTTCGGCGTACCCAGCGACAGAGACGACGCGCCCGCACTAGCATTAGAAGCGACCGAACCCGCGCGAGCATGGGCAGGACTGCTCGGTTGTGGTAATTTCGCGATATCAGGCGGCGTGACGCCCACGGAAAACAAGGTATGTTCCGCATCGTGCAAACATTCCACCATCAACGGCGGTAAGATCCCTCTCCCTGGCCTAGGCGGATCTTTCAATTTCTCTGGATCCCACCAGTTCGTTTCCTGTTCGAGATCGCGTCCGTCGATCTCGATGTTACGCAACGCGGAGTTCCACCCCGAAGCGGAGTAGTTCGTGCTGTCGAGGGACCAGTGGGCTGCGGCGTTGGACAAGGTGAGGTTATAGTTGTCGTTATTGTCGTTGTAGTTGTAGTTCGTCGTGCTGGAATCAGATGGGAAAAAGAGACCGGGAATGGGACTGGGCGTACGATTGTTGTTGGTATTGACCGCAGCCCCCCATTCGGCGTTCTGGCTCGGAGCTCCCCACGACGTCCCGGGAGCATAGTCATGGTGCTCCGTCGAGGCAGCAATGCCATCATCGATCCCCCACCCCGCAGAGCTCGAAGACGCCTGGCCGGCGAGATACAGAGGATTGTACGCGGCAGGAAGGGCTGAAGATTTGCCCCAGGTCGGAGTATCGGTATCGTCCTGTACGAGTTCGGGTTCGCGGAACGGGGAAGAACCCTCGTTGGGCAAGTTGACCGTCGTGTTTGAGGAGCCGAGGTTCTGGTTTTGGCTAGCGCTGGTAGAGGGACTGAGAGTGGGAAGGGGACGGGAGGGGAGGGGAGGAGGAACGAGGGAGGAACGAGAGGCGTTGGATGTGCTGTAGAATGAAGCGGGGTTGACGGAGGTATCCTTTGCGGTAGAAGAGAGGGTCGAGGAGACAGAGGTCCTCTTTTCAGAAGACTTTCCCTTGGAGTTGTCCGGGCTTGACATGACTGATCGTGTGCGGTGTGTTTGAGCTCTGTCCAGGCATGTTCGCGCGTCCGTATTGAAAGAAGATCGATAGCCTGGTAAGAATATACATCGATGGGTAGATACAGATAGTATCGCACCAAATTCTATCCCTTCGTGTTGCCTCCAAGGACGTGATGTCGTCGCAGATAGTCTAAAAGACGAAACATTGGTTCAGTACGAATAACGCATGCGTTACTCTGTCTACAAGTGGTCATCCGGGCAGAGGGTCGACATCACAGTTGTCCAAACACCTCCGACCATAAAAACGTCTCATTGATGTTGACATTCGAGCCACACCGATACACCCATTCCCCGCAAAATGCAACGCTTTGGCCACTCTTTCGCCAATTCAAAGTTCCTTCCAGTGTAGACAGAGAACGTAATCTATCACGACAATATCACGCACCGGTTTGAGACAGAGGTATCGCCTAAAGTCTTTCCTAGTGTTTAAATGCTTTCAGATCACGAAGAAAGGTATACAGTGGCGGTAAATGGCAAAAAAGGTTGAGTGTGTTGATCGTGGACGGATGAGCGTGAGTGGCCCAGGGCAGAGCCACGTGCTGCGGATGACGCGTACCGAAAGGTGTGGCCCATTTGTTTTGACCGTGCCACACCGAACGACAGCAGAACGACACACCAAATTTACCTGTTTCAATCCTTTTGTACATTTTGACCAATAAAATACCCTATGTATCAGGAGCCCGTTCAAGAAAAAGGTATATACATCGAAGAATAAGTTATTATCTCCACCGAGTCACTCTGCGAACCACCCAGTCATGGTCCCGGTTCAGGCGCCGCCGTTGAACCCGAAGGAACAGCCGTCACTGCCATTTCCCCTGGCTCGCGCACCACACCTCCTCCAGCCCCTCCTACGCCCCCACCACGCACTACTCCACCTCCACCTCCTCCCGTTCCGCCCCTCCCTCCCCCCGTAACAACCCACCTAACTCCCCTCCCGACCCCTCGCGCGACCCTCCCCACCGCCCCCCAACAACAATGCACCCCATAAACGATCCCCTGCAGACTCACCAACACCCCCGCAACGACCATCATAATCAGCGCGGCTTCGTTCCACGCCTGCCACGCCATTGATGCTAGGAAGACGATGAGGCCGAGGATAGAGATGAGGAGCCAGAACAGTGGGAGTCGGGAGGAGAGGGAGAAGAAGAAGTAGGAGGCGTAGAGGTCTGTTGCTAATGTCTGTGTGTATGTGTTTTTCAGGTTGGTCAGTCAGCGGGTTTGGGGGTGGATGTGAAGGCGGAGGGAGGGTAAGGGTAAGGGGGACGTACTTGGAAGCGAGCGACGTTGGTGCGGGAGTAGACGAGCATGAACCACGAGACCATGCCTAGCCCAATCGCAGCTGCGAGACTCGAGATCGTGATAGCGCGTTTGGCCATATTATCTGGTTGCCCGAAAATCGCATCCGGCGCAAATCCAAATGCCGCCGTATCCAATCTATTCACGACCAGCACGTCAAAAAAAAAATCATGAACATCAGTTTAGTGCTCTCAAGGAAATGAATAGAGAGGGAAGATGTGGAAAGAATGCGTACCCAGCAACGCCAAGCAACAACGTCCCGACATAATACCACTCACTCTGTAACGACCCCACCGTCCTCTCCAAATCCGCATCCGTCTCCGCCTCCCTCAACTCCCTCCAATACGTGACCGAATCCATAACCGACGTCGCCACCGACCTAGTCGAACCTGCTCTCGAGTTCGTGGATTGCGCCGTGATGTTGGAGATGGAGGATTGAGCCGTGATGTTGGAGAGGGAGGATTGGGCGCTGATGGTGCTGTCTTGGGACATGTAACGGGTGGGGAGAATCGAGGTGGCGATGTACGAGACGGAGCGGATGAGCAGGTTTGGTGGAGGTGGATGAGATGGGTACGAGTGCGGATCTGGGTGCGGATGTGAGTGGAGGGGTTTTGAGGAAGGATGTTTGGTACGGGGACGGGACCGTGACCGAGAGCGGGAGCGAGAGGAATACCGAGATGAAGGGTATGGTCGAATCTTAATATTGAACATCCGAATTCCTTCTTCGTCCATTGGTAGGATTTTCTCCGCCCCATCCTCATCCTCATCCCGGTCATAAATCGGAACCTCCTCTTCCTCCCCATAATCAGAACACTCCTCTTCCTCATCCTCATCGTCATACCCCATATGCACCCCATCCTCATCATCGACAAGATACCCCCTCAGCTGAGGCTTCATCTTCCGCCCCCTCCTCCTCCTTATCGTCGAACTAGGCGTCGACCCTGACCCCGAAGTCGGATCTATATCTACGAGAGTAGGTTCGGTGTTGGTCGGTGATTCAGAACCGTGGTCCGAAGACTCTGAATCGTCCGTTTCATGGTCATCATGGCCGTCAGAAAACGAGTGGTGATCGTCTTCGGCGTCTGAGAGAGTTGTGGCTGAAATGAGTGTTTGGGCGATGGAAGGTGGGGGGCGGACGCGGATGAGGAGCGTGGGGTAGGCGTGTTGGTTCTGTGCAGATTGTTTCCGGCCTTGGGAGGAAGCACGAAATAGTCGGACTTCGGCATCTACGAAAGAGAATTAGAGACCATCTGTCAGTTTATGCTCGATGTATTGCTCTTTAAATGTACAGGAAAGGAGGAGCCGGTAAACCGCCGGTTTATTCTCTTGATGAGCGTTACAGTGGGTGAAGTCGTGGCCTAGCTGCGCCACACGATCCATCATATGTTCACCATGATTAATGGCGGTCGAGTCGGTATATATATGAGTACTGTGCACCTACGTGTCCGTAGTATGCCAATAACCAACATTCCATTGAAGTTTAGAGGCCGTAGGCTATGAACAGCAACCACGGCCGACTTCCCATGAAACACGTATCCTTTCTTCATATAGACAAGGAGATCATTCCCAGACCACCCCAGAGCCCAACTGACACCCAGATTTGCGAAAGAGATGCGAAGGATGGTAGGTTTGAGGAGAAAACGAGACTCACGAGATCGACGATCCCCACCCTGACTCTTTACGATCTCTCCCAACCCCATCTTCCCACTAGCCACCAATTGTTTCTTCTTCCTACTCTTCTTGCTCGCCGAAGGCTTATGCCACACCTTAACGTCGACTTGGCTCGCGTGTCCCACGTCGTCGCTGTGAAATGCGGTAAGAGATCAGGATGATGACAATGAATGAAGGCCGCCGTGTTGTTTGGTGAAGAACGTACAGGATCAGAGACTGCTTCATGTTGGGATTTTGGCCGTCTACACCGAGTAGGATCTCGTGAGACTGATGTTCGTCGATGTCGAGGGTGACGATAGGTCTCCATGCTCGCTCAGGTCGAAGAAGACGAAGATTTCGTCCGCGAAGAACTGCATAGTTCACGAAAGGTCAAGATATGGCGCGTTTGACATCGTACAGAAGACTTCGAAATGGAGCATACCTAGAATATGCCACGAATGTCTGAGCAATAGCACAACATCAGTGTCAAAGCGTTCTTTGTTAGCAAAACGCGGAAGCACATTCAAGTTTCCGATCGTAGTCGGAGGCAAGCAGGTGCAACTCACGTCTCGGAAGTCGCCAACGGTACAGGTCCATTATGATGCTCATGCGCCGGCCCAGAACCAGTCTGAGCCTGCGCCTGGCGCGTTCGTGTTCGTGTCATGAGAATAGAGAAGGGTATCAAGAACCGCGAGAAAACGTCGGCGAGCCTACTTATACACAGCGATGAGGCTATGAGGGCTCCGAAGAAGACATCTCTTCACGATGCCGAATAAGCGCCCGCTGGATTTGGAACAAGGCTCTCCGCATGCGTGTGGCTTTTGGGCGCCAGTGGGTACGCTTAATTTGGTCAATACTTGCATCTTGACATCTCTACACTACGTAGGTCACACCTCGAGACGACTTACCATTTAGGCACGTAGGTTGATTGAATGGGTGGTGGTATTCCACAGTTGCCTCTGCAGGTTCCCGTTCAATTCCCGTTTGAGTGGCACTGATTCGAGGCAGGTTCGATGACATCATTGTGTCAAGGGCGCGTGGTATAGAAAGGGAACCGAGCGTTATGATTCTCATCATCCGTAGTCCTTACAAATATTCATCGCAAGCTCGAATGTCGAGTGAAACAGGGATAGGTACTGCGTTCGAAATCAAGGATCCACAAGGGTCTCCACGGAGGCCATACTCAAAAGCCGGTTTGAACAATCACCGGAACCCTCGCGCTGGCATCCAGAAATTGTGGTCGCATCAAAAGGCGACATAGATGCGGATACAAAGAATTGAAGATAGACTTAGCGGGATATGCACTTCTCGCAGGGCATCATCCCACTCATCATCCAAATCCACGTATGCTCCGATGGTTTCCGGATATGTGCCCTCCAAAGCCCAGACTATAATCTCTTCCAGACGTCGGAAACCTTGGATAAGATGTTTTCAGTCTTCTGTGCTGAGCCCAAATATCTTCCTGTTGAGAAAAACACGACTCAAGAGCCACCTTGGGCACTTCTGGATGCAACATCGGCGAGTTCTCCACGTCCCGTTTTGTCGACCCTCCTCTCTCCCGAAGCTCTTTCTGAGACTGCTTCGGACGGAAACACTGAAGTCGAAGACGTTCTCAGTGAGTTCGTCGGTGGTAGGGTGTGGAACGGAGAGGACATGGGCACGTATCGACGTTGAGCCTTGACCGAACGTTCGATGTTGCTTCGAGTGACTGCAGCAGTAGAATGACCCGAGAGGCTTTTAATTCCTCAAGAAATACCGATAGTCAACATATCGACAAAGGCTACGCTGCAATACACAAAGCGTTCTAAGATTGTTTCGATGGGTTCGATTCATGACTCGGAGGGTTTGGTATGAGATCATGGTGGCGAGGGTTATGCGGATGAAAGAGGTTCCAGAGATCCTTCTCGTCCATATAGGTTGGGTATATATATTGGCTAATTTTGTCGAGTTTTAAAAGAAGAGAAAGCGAGCATTGACTGTAGAGGAGCACGTTCCGAGTCGGTGGATCTGAGTTACGGCCAAAGAGAGCAATAGGAACGCTCAGCAAGTGCCATATTTCCAGTGAAGCTTCGCTCCGTGTCTACACTGACAGAGCAGTTAGGATTGCCAGAACCACCTAAGATCGTGAACTCGTTCGTCAACGGTGTATGGTGTACGGTGGGCTTCATCCCGAGTGTGGCCCAAGTTCAAGAGGGGAAAGTAAGCGCCGAAAGCCAATCAAAAGAGCAATATTGATCGCAAATGACTTCAGGCGGAAAGAAGGCGAGAACCGGAGTGCAACGAGCGCTAAAGACGAAATCGCTTTGCCGACGTGCGCGAGTGAAGGCGTCGACGGCTGACTGTGCTTACTCTCCGTTGCACTCTCGTCCAGACCACCATCTACCATGTCTTTCATTCGCCTTGCCACCCCATTGCGCTCAGCAGTGCCCGTGCGTTTCTCCTGAATTTTGTTGTGGATATAACGCTGATATCAAAGAAATTGTTTGGAAACATACACAGCGTACGGCTTACCGTCGTCTCTCCACACAAACGACCCCGGAGAAGAAATCCAACAACACGGCACTCTACTTCCTCGGCGCAGGTATCGCAGGTATCAGTGGTTACATCTACCTTACTGGCTCGGCAACCGCGAAAGTCAAAGCTACGAACACCGAATCTCCTCTCGACCCGAAGAGCTTCAAGGATTTCAAGCTGAAGGAGATTATCCCATATAACCATAACACCGCACGGTGCGTTTGTCCCACCTACTTTTGGCTGGCTCCATGCCCTCTTTTCATCGTGAATGTCTCTTGTCCTAACTCTCGATGAATCACACAGCTTCGTCTTCGAACTCCCCAACAACGAAGCCGCCCTCCTCCCCGTTGCCTCTTGCCTCGTCGTCCGCTCTCCCGAAGACCTCCCCGAAGATGATCCCCGCGCCCTCAAAGACTCCAAAGGCAAACCCGTCATCCGCCCCTACACTCCCGTTTCCCAACCCGACGAACCTGGCGTATTGACGTTGTTGGTCAAGAAATACGACAATGGTGTTGCGTCGAAGTACATCCATGAGTTGAAGGTCGGAGATAAGCTTGCGTTCAAGGGCCCGCTCCCGAAGTACCTGTATAAAGGTGCTTTTCATCTCGTTGTATCGTGAGGGTGCCTACGGACGTGGAGAGCTAAAATCAGCGTGACAGCCAACGAGTTCGAAGAGGTTGCGCTTATCGGTGGTGGTTCAGGAATGTACGTCCCTCTGTCTCGATCTCATACACATATCTCTAGAGATTCACTAACTTTTCCGTGAATAGCACCCCTCTCTACCAAATCCTCACCCACGCTCTCCCCGACCCCGCCAACAAAACCAAATTCACCCTCATCTTCGCCAACCTAACCGAAGAAGACATCCTCCTCCGCGAAGAATTCGACGACCTGAAGAAAAAGTACTCGGACAAGTTCGACGTCGTGTATGCCTTGGATAAGCCCAAGGAAGACTGGAAGGGCGAGACTGGACATTTGACGGGCGAAGTATTGAAGAAGTATCTCGCGAAGCCGGAGTTGGGCGAGAAGGTCAAGGTGTTCATTTGCGGTATGTACCCGAACGCTTTCTCTCTTCTGTTCGCCGTTGAGTGTGAGCGTGTGTGCTCATGTGTTACGTGGATCAGGACCTCCTGGGCAAGTCAATGCCATTGCGGGCAAGAAGGACGGGTACCAGCAGGGCCCTCTCGGCGGTATCCTGAAAGAGCTCGGATACAAGGAGGACCAGGTGTACAAGTTCTAGACGTCTGTATGATTACTCGGAGTCCTCTATGGGCGAATAGAGAATGTACGTGAATGACAATCTATCTCCTGAATATTCGGATGTGGGGGCCGGACGAGAGGCAGAGTTGCTACTGGGAAGCTGGATTGCCCCATAGCTCCTTCGTCTCGAGTACTTGAGGTCTCGGATAGGCCTCCCGAGCTCCGGCCACGACACTTACATTTGAAGACACTTTGCCATCTTCATGTCCATGCCCTGTGCGAGACGTCTTGACTGCTGCCATCCTCCTGCCGTGTATGTCGGGCGAGTGCTTCTCAGCGGTCACTCCGGCGATCACACTCCATTTCTTCCCTTCGGCTGCCTCCAGATAGCAGAGGCTGAGTTTATGTGCAGCTCTCGCATTATACCGTCAATGTTCCTCTATCTATGGTCACGAAGTCAACTCTGGGGAGTAGAAGTCGCGGTCGAAGATGGACTTACCGCTATTTGAGAGTGGACCTTCTCTTCACTTTCATTGTGGGCGACCGCATTCCCCGCATAATATGTCTAAACATTCCCAGATAGCGTGGATCTTTCTTGTCTCTTATTCGGGAGTCTTCTGCACGAGTGAACAACGTGCTCATTTTAGGTCGCCGTGGAAGGTTCAGCAGCGCCGCTGTTCGTTCTGTTTCAGTACCATGAGCCAGACGAGGGCTTCGGAAAGCTTGTTCAACTGACGATCCGTTCTTCGACTCCCAAATCGGGATACTCGGGGTGTCGAGGTGCATATTTATCCGACATACCCATCTCTTTTTCTCCAATATTTCTCCGTTGACCATCCCTTGTTATTGCCCCGTCCAGCAGGTTCAAACTTGGTCTAGTTCAGTATTGAATGGGATGTGGCGCGTTATTGCACGCCACAGATTGATGAGACCGACATTTTATGACGAGTGGCGCAACATAACGGCCGGGCTGGACACAGTGTCGAGCCTCTGATCTCTCATTATGGGAGCCATACTACATCCCTCGATACCGGCTCATCGACTTCTTATAGACGTAACCCCGATACAAGTCCCAGCATCGTGTCAATCAAGCTCGATGTCTTCCCTTCTTACCTCCCTGCCTTCCCGCGTTCCGCACACTGGCAACTGGAATACCATCCACCCGCTGCTCTGCAATCCCAAATCGCATCACCCTCTCTCCTTTTTCGTCGAACAATGAGCTCCTTCCGTCCGCGGGACCACCCCGTGCTACCCGGAGAGCAATCCATCATCCCTCGCCGTGCGCATCATCCCCTTCCAAACCGATGTCCGACGCCTAAATGAATCTCAACAAAGATGTAGTAAGTTGATGTACGACGCGCCCTCGCAATACTGGCCTCAAAAGCTCCGTTCTGAGACGAGCTCGCTGGATGATCAGAGCGATGCCCAACGTAACATTCTTTCCTATCCGGACAAGTGAGCCGATCCAGCTTTGTGCATTTGTAGCACCCCACCACGAGAAGTGAACATACCACTTTTGGCCCACCCGCGTCCTCATGGGGGCAACGATGACATAAACTACTCACAGCAGTGCCGTGGCCAGGATATGTCGGCCTGAGCAGTCGTTCTGTTTGTGGATATGTGGGACGACGAAGAGGCAGGATGTGACCGTCGCCGCGGTGATTGGTCGGTGTACGGGATGTCGGAGTGAGAGATGATCAGCAGAAGACCGTGGTACGTGCAAGTGGCAGGTGTTTGCTCCGTTTGGTGCAAACATTTGTGCGATGCAGGGGTTGTGCCACGGCGTGCGAGCCGTTTCGGGGTGGGCGTGCTGTGAGGCTTTGACTCTCAAGGGAGTGTCGGTGATTGTGAGCGCTGCTTATAACCCGTTGCAAAAGAGACCTCCCTCTCTCTACCCTGTGGTCTTTCGCGGGTTGTCATCTTCGATAGCTTAGTCGGCCTCTTACCCCCGTAATAGTCACTATTCATTGACATTGACATTGTCAGTATGCATTCGCGCACACGAGATCACTCTCTTCCATCAATCCACACCGTTCTTTCCCAAGCCACACATGCTTTGCGCCCCACCTCCGGTCTGTCGCACTCGTCTTCATTCTCTAGTCTCGCATCATCATCAGCGTCATCATCATCACATCGCGCGTCTTCAGAGGGATCATCGAGCAGTGGCCTTCCCGTACGCTCGAAGACTCGAGCTCGTCGAGTTCGTCGTAGCAAGTCTACACCTTTGACAAGGATACCGAGGCAACCTCCAGAATTCGAGGATGACTGGTCAATGGTTAGTATCCTATCATTAAGCATCTTGTAGGAGCCGCTAAGAGGTGAATAGCTGACCGTACGGTTTGGATAGAATACCATCGATCGCAGAACGTTGTCCGCGCCTTCGTCTTCCCCGCCTTGTCGATCGAGTTTCGCACTGGTGCGCCTTTTTACATGTCTACCTCCATCTATGAGTGGTAGTGATCGACTCGTACTGATAACGCTCTCGAATACCACAGCCGAACATATTCGAATCCGACCTCGAACTCGAAATCGTCGACTCGGACACCAAACATTGCCGCTCATGCAGCCCCGCTAACGACGACTGCGAAGAATGTTCATTATCATGGGCTCCCATGACCCTAGCACGGATCAGGAACAGTCGGCGACACAATAGCTCGAGTGCGAAGAGCGCTAGGTTTGTCACCATGGAACAGGGAGGAGGTAAAGCGAATAGGAGGGCGGTAGATGGAGAGACGAGAAGCCCGGGAGGTAGGAGTGTGGCACAGATGTTGGTGAGTGGATGTTACACTTTGGTACTGTTGGTCGATTTGTATCTGACATCTATATTGAATAGCGGTGGTTAGATTTGAGATGCTTCCAGCCACGGTGTCGTACTAGGTCGGCTCTGTAGACCCCGCACCCTTGATCTTGGTGGTGTTCTCAGCAAATTTGTGGCCATATCTTAGCTCTGTGCACCTACATCTGTGCACTATTGCTTCTGACTGAAGCTCTTTACTTCATTCCTCTCATCCTAATACTGTACCGAACTGCGATGTTGTTTGCTCGGACAACGCTCATCTTGCGCCACAACGGGTGGCGCCCGTGGGTCACACTGTCGTCGGAGTGCAAAACTGAGTATGTACCCAAGACTCTAGGGCTCATGCGCCCGGAACGAAATGCGCGATTCTCGTCAATCACTCATAGCAGCGTTAACGGGCTTGCGTATAATCAAGTCTCCCACAACCTTCTTGGCCTCAATTTCATCCCCCTCCCTATTACCAGCATAAGTGTGTTCGTGCTCTCACATCCTCCGCTAAGAGAAAATCCTTTATTTGCTCACGGAATCTACGGGCGTCTCCACAAGAAATACTTACTGCGAACGGGTGAAGATTATTGGCGGTACTGTAACATGTTCTATCGATAGTCGCACATCCTACAGCTCTAACCGTACGTCCTTCTCGCGGATCCACACACGATGAGCTGATGACTTTGTGTAACCTCTGAATAAACGACTTGGACCGCTGGTAACGTCGACTGCTCGGTCCCGTGATTCCTCCTTCATCAAGCTCGCGTACCGCCTCCGAATTTACCGTTGACACTCATTCAACAGATATTCCTTCATTCCTGGCACTGGGCATTGAACTACCCGTTGTTCCTGCGGCACTCGAGCTCTGACTTCCAGTCTTCACGTTTTTGGTAACCTGCACTGATCAGATGATAGCTACATGCCATAAAAAAAGTCTTCACCTATGCGACAACATAGACGAGGCAACTTCTATTTCGGATTCATCATTTTGAAGAACTTATTTTGAGACCATACCATGTGTCCGTACGTTCGAGCTCCTTGATGCCTTGACGCTCGAATAGTTGAAGATCAGATATCTGATTATATCTACCAATGGCATGAAACCACGGAGTTATACGCCACAGAAGAGCCCTTCGAGAGCATAAATAGTCGGTGAGGGCTCTATCGCTTGCGTATCGCTCATGCCTCGAATCATGCCCACCGCTCAGACAGACACAGAACCCAAAACTACAGTGCTGCCAAGATCAGTGATGTACGACTACTGGACCCTTACCCGCATGCACAAGTTTCCTCTAGGAAGTATCCTAGTCTTCTGGCCTTGTGGTGAGTCTCTCGCATACAGTTGTCTTTTTTCTTTCGAGCTGATTGTGGATTTCTCTCATACGGTTGTCCTTCGCTACAGCCTGGGGTACTTTGATGGCCGCAAGAGTTGTTCCCCTCACTGTAGCTGAAATTACCATGTATCTTGCGATGTTCGCACTGGGAAGCACGCTCCTCCACTGTTCCGTGTGTGTGATCAATGACATCTGTGACCGCGACTTTGATCGGCAAGTAGGCAAGTTGTCCTGAACGATGTGATTGGCGTGTTTACGCTGATGACTGAGGCTACATTCACAGAGAGGACAAGAAATCGGCCACTTGCTGTCGGTTCCATATCACTTGCTTCGGCATGGGTGTTACTCTTTTTGTTGACGACAGCAACCACGTCCATGCTTTTGTTCCTGAACAAGCAAGCGTGAGTTCTTTCAACCATGGAGAGTATCTCAATTGTGACCACTTGTTGACGCTGTTATACAGCGCTTTTTTTGCGACATTCGGTGTTTTTCCTTTGCACGCTCTATATCCGCTCATGAAGCGCTGGACTTGGTGGCCCCAGTTATGGCTTGGTTAGATCAATTCCTTGTGGCGGCTCCTTGTGCTTACTCACTGACGTGCTACTGCAATATTCAGGTTTCGCAATGAGCTGGGGCCTTCTGGTATCATGGCTAGCCGTCGTTGAAGATAAGGAGGACCCAACCGCCGTAATGGTCATGTTCGCTGGCCTCATCTGGTATGTGGTCTTCGCTGGTTGTTCAACTACGTGTGGCGATTGAATTGAAATTTTGTCCTTAGCTGGACCGTTTTCTACGACACGATCTACGCTTGTCAAGATCGTGAAGACGATATGAAAGCAGGTGTGAAGTCCACCGCATTGCTATTCGGAAAACATGTCCGAGCAGTCTTGACCGCTTTCGCCGCGGCTTTCGTCCTCTGCATGATCTACGCTGGAGTACTCAACGACCAGGGATGGGCTTACTTTGTTGTGTCGTGCGGTGGAGTGGGGGCCCATTTGTCCTGGCAGCTTCTGTCCTGGGACGTGGATGAGGCTCGGGATAGTGGTGCTAAATTTGTGGTATGTCCTCGCCTTTCTATTTGTGATGGTCATCCGCTTACGTTGTTTGTCTTGCATCAAGGCGAACGGAAACATGGGTTATATTATATTCATTAGAGCATATATGTGGCGGTTTGAAACGCTGGAGCCTCCGCCAGAGCTCGCTTCCTGATTGGCGGAGGGGTTGAATGTACACCTCTACATATATGCCCTATTGGCTTTCTCCTCGATCTCTACATCACTTCTTGATATCATGGTATAAACTTACGACGTTCAATATGTCCGCTTGATGTGAGTCTCATCCTGATATTAAATGTTTGCTGTACTGTTCTTCGTTGCGGTCTCATGGCAAGGATCTAATCCAATCAATTAGGCGCAGTGTTTCTACTAGGAGCCCAGCGATTGGGTCTCGGCCCCAATATTAGATGTAGCGCAACAGGGAAACACAAACGAGAAAGGCTGCTGACGCCATCACGAGGAAGCGTTGAAGATTCACCTTGGCAGTTCACGCCTGCTAAGTAGTCTTGGGTTTACGGATGTGACTGTAGAGTCACCAAGGAAATAGTATCCTTAAATCTACCGAGCACTGCTCGTCTCCACGTCGAAACATCATGTCCCATTTTCATTGTGAATGCTGAGAGCGAGGGTGGCAGGGACTCCATTCGGTTTTGATGCTTGTGAGCAGGCAGTTTAGACAGAAGGACGGTAATCCCAATCACATTGGCTGTAAAAGCAGATGATATTTCCCCCAAAACGGATAAGTACGTGTTGCGGGTGAAGCAAATTCACGCAGTAGCAACAAGAGAACCCGATGTGAATGCATACGGTAGAGGCGCACGTCCAGGACCCGGTGCACAGAGGACGAAGACAAATATAAGGAGATATAGTTGAACAAATAAGCTTCGTATCTTGTTGCTGATTGAGCTCAACTGCTGGAGACGCAACATGTTCGAGAGAAATGTGATGTATTCGCAGTTGTAGAAAATGGGGCGTGCAATTCAATTGGGACTAAATCAAACTCTCTACACTAGCTAGGGACGCACAAAAGTCCTACAGCAAAATGAAATTGACGTGAGGCCCACCCCTTCAGCCAGGTGTCAAAGCCTTCAAAATTCGTTGTGTGGCTAAGCGCTCTGGGAAGTGTCACGGATGGAAAGGAGAACATGGGGACCGCACAACCAAAGTGTTTTATGAACGTACGTCGACCGTGCTCTGACACTCGCGGCGAGGGTTAGACTTGGAGGCCGGTCGAGCATAATAATCTTCGAAACAATATGGTAGTCACAAGATCAATATAATCCTGGTTGAAGAAAATCGGAGAAACCGAGAATGATATACAAATGGTACGCAGCAAAACAGACAATCACCGGGATACAAGAGCAAGTGCAAAGCGAGGTCGAGTAAACTTAAGTGCAGAGCGAGACGGAGGTAGAGAAAAGTGGGCAAGGTCAGGGACGGCGAGGCCATGACCATGGGACTGTGAGCCTGTCGCAGGTTTGAGCTCGTGTCCATCATCAACGCAGAAAGCAGTCGTACGCACCTAATCAAGCATCGTTCTTCCTATCCATACGATCAAAGAACCACCTCGGATTCTGCGTCCTGAAAACCGGAATCTCCTCCTTCAGGATACGAATGACATCCTCTTCCTGATCTGTCTCCAACTCGAACTCGTCGATCGTATAGTTATCGTACATCGCGAGCACGATCTGATATTCGGGAGAGATTGGCAGACCAATCTTAAGGTCCTGAAACCTGCAAAGATCCCTCAAGTGGTCTAAACCGACGCATCTCGCACAAGCGTATCTCGCTCCGCCGCCATCTGAGTCGACAGAGGGATCAATGAGTGAATACTTGTCGGCGTAATCGACGACGTCCTGGAAGTTAAGGCCAAAACCATAAAACAGTCTTCCAGGTGCGCGGTAGGTTCTCGATTTCCTCGCGATTGCTCTATAGTCTGGTTTGTAATCAGGAGGTAGTTCCCTTTGTTTTGGGCAGCTGTCGTCTATCGTCTTATAATGCTAACAATTTGGTTAGCCAGTTGTAAGCCGCAAGAAAGATGATGACAAACTTTGGGGAAAGAATCAAGGGAGTCTGGACGGCGAACAGTGGGCTTCTGGGTAGACTGAGAAAGTTGGGCGGGCTGAGCGGTAGACATGGTTTGGGAAGGAAATTGATTGCTCTGCGAAGGCGTCCGAAGGCTCACCCCTTTTATAATTACGCTACGTTCGGGCCGCGCGTTCCCCCGCAACGGGCCAACGAACGGGACAGCATTGCTTCCGGTACTAGCTCCGCTTATCGTCCCATCGTTGGATCAGCATCCAATTGCAAATTGGAAGCAAAGAAGCGTCAGCGTCTGCGTCTTGCCCGCCGAATCTATCCATGTCTTTGAGGAGTGTCCTATATGAGTCGACTTATCACGTCAAAAATGCATCAGAAGCTTTTGCTGCGCATCGATTTACCTGATTTCGCATGTATATATCTCCGGTCTAAGGAACGGACACACCCTCCCCCATTATATAAAGGTAGTCGACTCCGCCCACTGGCTTCTACTTTGCACCTCTCGCCTCCTTGACCCTTCAAATTTACCATGCAGTCCCCATTTCCTTTCGACCAGATCAATAACGATCCTAGACTGCAGGCGCTATGGAACGATCCCGATGTGAGAATGCCCTCATGTGATGTGTTCTCCGCGAGTCGTAACTGACCAGTTTCTCGATTTTTCAAGGTTGTAATATATACCAAGGATCAGCACTTCGGCCTCGTGGAAAATGATAGGGTCCTCAGCAAGACATTCCCTGGAGCCGAGCGATTTCTCTACCCTTTCACTAGTCGAGTAATCTCCGATATCTGCCAATCGTCGTATCACAACGAAGATCCCGACTCAATTCGCCTCGAATGTCACAACCAGGCGTCTTTTGCACGTCACGATCAGGAGCGCGACAAGGAGACGGACACCGAACGCATCCCCGACGGCGCCGTGTTTGCCTTCAACCGCAAAACGGGTGAGCTTATTCTACTCTTCTGGGTTGAGGCGAAACGTCTAGTTTCGCCGGATTGGGACCATGCGCTCGCGATTTCGGAAGCCATCGAAACTGTGCAATCGTCCATTCCACAGCTACGGGACCAGGCTGCTCACGCCTTCCGCTATTACCCTAATATCTCCGGCACGTACAATGCTTTCCTTCATGCCGGGCCCTTCTGGACGCACTTCGAATTCTCGCAAGGGATGGAATTGATGGCTACTAGTATGATCAACCAGTATGTGTCCCAAGGAAGTACGACGATCGATACTCAGGAGGACTCGGATGACTCCCGTCCCCGAAAACGGGCTAGGAAGGAACCTCTAAAGCGTACGACTTTTGATCTTGTTTTCCCTAAGGTCACCTTCTGCAATGTGCGTATCGTGGACTCTGAGAGGAAAGAGTACAACCCACTCTTTCTCAAAGTCATCAACGATGTTTTGTCCGAGAATGGGTTCTCTTTTCAGCCTTGCTGGTTAACCCCTTCGAAACGTTCGCCTCGTGACGAGAAGAGGTTCCACGGCCCCGTCCTAGTGACCGCGGTAAGTTCTTTCAGTCTATTGAAACGATTTCTCATTCATTGACTGATATTTGTTCGCTACGCAGTCTAACGTCAAGGGTATACTCCGGGATGCTTATATGAAACAGGTGGAGTTAGGGATTGGGCGCGCGTTGAAGGTTGCAGAGGGTCGTGATACTAGCGGGACGTACCATGGCCGGTCGACCCGTGCGCCTAGTGGGTCGAGTGAACGATCCGACCACCCTCGTACTCGGAGTCGCTCACGGCACAGCGCGAGTTCGGATACCGAAGCGCAGGACGGCGAAGCTCCTGGAGCGGGTACCAGCGAATCCGAAGGACTCGGCGATTATCCTCCCGCGAGCGTGTTCGAAGGCTCGTCTGATGGAGCCAGCGGCTCCGGCACAGAAGACGACGAGAACGAAACGGACGACAATTAGTCTCACAGAGCCGCCGACGCTCCAAGTCATCCTTTCCCAACCCTCGTTCTGAGTGGGTACGTCGTCTCCGTTTGAATCTCAGAACCCGTCTCACAATTCTATGTCCTGTAGCCGGACTTCAAGTTCCCAGTATTCCAAATCGTCCTCCTTTCTCTCGAAATATTTTCTTTATCGGATCCTCGTGCATGTGATTTGACACAACATCCTGCGTTATAGTCGTTCTCGTCTGTTATTCATATGCTGTCCCGGCGCTTTTATCTCGATTCTCTTGATCTTATGTGTAACCGTACGGCGATTTGAGTCTGTATTCGCGTAGTTGTGGTATGAATGCAGCTCTATTCCATTTGGACCAAAAGGTCGTTCGAAATTTGAAGCGAGCACGATCTTCATTGAGCCTGCGAATCCCGTCACAATGATGGAGACCCCCTCCCTATTTCTTTTCGACCGCGTCTCAAATGTTGCAGGCGTTAAAATCAGGCGCCATTCGAGTGTAGTAGAAGGGTCAAGAAGGATGGTAGACAGATGATACGCAACAACAACGAAACAATGCAATCGATGAGATACAAGGGCGAATAAGGTTGAGTGCTGAGCGGGAAGATTCGAAAAGCTCTGAAAGCGGAGGCACAATACCATCAACGAGATCAGGGGGCCTGTCCGAGTCACAGGCATGAGATGAGTCACCGTGTCCATGATCAGTGCAGAAAACAACTGTACGCAGCTGTTCAAGCATCGTTCTTCCTATCCATGCGATCGAAGAACCACCTCGGATTCTGCGTCCTGAAAACCGGAATCTCCTCCTTCAAGATACGAATGACATCCTCTTCCTGCTCTGTCTCCAGCTCGAAGTCATCGACCGTATAACTATCGTACAACACGAGCACGATCTGATAATCGGGGGAGATTGGCAGAGCGATGTCGAGGTCCTCAAATCTGCAAAGGCCTCTTAAGTGTTCCAAGCCAATGTATTTAGCGTAGACGTATCTCTCCACGGGATTTTCTAGATCAGCCGAAGGATCGAAGAGTGGATGAGAGGGATCGAACAGTGAATGCTCGTCAGCGTAATCGATGAGGTCCTGGAAGTTGAGGCCGAAACCATAGAAGAGTCTTCCTGGTTTGCGATAGGTTCTGGATTTCCTCGCGATTGCTTGATAGTCTGGTTTGTAGTCGGGAGGGAGTTCCCTTTGTTTCGGGCAGCTCTCGTCTATCGTCTTATAATGCTACCAATTTGATCAGTTAGTTGGTAAGCAGAAAAAAAGGGGGCACGACGAACTTCGGGGAAAGGATAATTGGAGTCTGGACGGCGGTGAGTCTGCTTCCGAGTAGATTGAGAAGGTTGGGCGGGTTGAGCGGTAGGCATAGTTTGGTGAACCGGGATATTTATGAAGGTGGTTGGAAGCCAGTTGAAAGTGTGGCTCAGAAGAGGAAACCCGTGTCTATTGTTCGCTTTCGGGAGAACCCGCAATCGGGTCCTCGCCACCAACCAACATTGTGGCACGGCAATGTTCGATCGACGATGCACGCCACGAATTGCATTGCGTCTGCGAATCCCGTCACAACGATCGAAACTCTGCCACTGTGGTTCACCCCTTTTTCGGTCGTGTTCAAAAGGCTACAGCGTGGTTGCATGGATAAAAATCAGAGTAGAGTATTCAGAGATCAATATGACACTGAAAGCAGAGAAGAGAAAACAAGGATAATATACAAATAACACGGCACAAAAAGAAATCAATCTGCCACATATGAGAAGAAGTACAAGGCGGCGAGGTCGAATAAGGTTGAGTACTGAGCGGGAAGAAGCTATGAAAGCGGAGGCACAAGACTATAGGCAAGATCGGGGGGTGGCAAAGGCTTGAGACGCGTCCATAGGCATAGCAAGAGACAACCGTACGCACCGCTAATCTAACCAGGCACCGTTCTTGTCATCGTAGCGATCAAAGAACCACCTCGGATTCTGCGTCCTGAAAACCGGAATCTCCTCTTTCAAGATACGAACGACATTCTCTTCCTGTTCTCTCTCCAACTTGAACTCGTCGATCGTATAGTTATCGTACAACATGAGCCCGATCTGGTATTCGGGAGAGATTGGCGTAGCAATTTCAAGGCCCTGAAAGCCGCAATGGAACCTCAAGTGGTGCAAACCAAAGACGCTAGCGTAAGTGTATCTATCCACGGCATTTTCCAGGTCAATAGGCCGATGGAAGACTGGACGAGGGGGGTCGAAGAGTGAATGCTCTTCAGCGTAATCGGTGAGGTCCTGGAATTTGAGGCCGAAACCATAGAAGAGTTTCCCGGGCGCGCGGTAGGTTGCAGATTTCCTCGCGATTGCTTGATGGTCTGGTTTGTAGTCGGGAGGGAGTTCCCTTTGTTTCGGGCAGCTTTCATCTATCGTCTTATAATGCTACCGATTTGATTAGTTAGTTGAAAGCAGCAAAAAGGAGAGTACGACGAACTTTGGGGATAGGATAAAGGGGGTCTGGAAGGCGAGCAGCGGGCTTCCTAGTGGACTGAGTGAGCTGGGTGGGTTGTGCGGCTGGCATATTTCGGGGAACCAGATATGGTCTATGAAGGTCGAAAGTATGTTCCAGAAGAGCCAATTGACCCAACGCTACTGGAGCGTATACGAGGGAATGCCGAAGGGGGCGTCCGAACGGCGCGCGGGTAGCGAAAATAGAGCGAGGAGGACACGAGCTGAGACGAGACGAGAGAACGAGAGGCAAGACGAAGGAAAAAGTAACGAGACGGGTGACGGGGCGCGAGGTTTATATACCTATGCGAGAACAAGGATGGTGTTAGTGCCAAGTGAGGATGGCACGAGCCGATGACTGCGCGGAGTCAACAATCACAAGAGGAACAATACTGTACGAGATGCCGGAGCAACCAGAAAAGCGCGTTGGTCCGCTTTGTGAAGTGCCAACGTTTTGTGGCATCGTAGGCCAATGCGTTGCCACTCCACCGACACCTTCCACACTCACCCGAGTGACTGCGAGCCGGTGTGTCCCGTCCCTCCTGTTGCACGCAAGTGGCACGACATGTCTGTTCCATATAAAGTATCGTCCTCCTTTGTGAGTAGGTCGATTTCTGGGCATTGCGAGAAGTATGTAGCCCATGAAAAATGTTATGGCATCTGTAAGCTCAACCAAAGTAAACTCGTACGACAGAATAACTTCTACTACGGTTCGATCTTCTCGTTATAATTCTGGAAGGCCCATCTAGCACTGTGGCATGAATCTCATAGCCTGACCCATGAAAACATAATTGAACAATTAAAATACCTTCACACTGGTGACGAGGATGTGAGCAGGATAGAGATGACCAGAGTATCTTGTGGGATAGACAGAACGTTTGGGCACCTTCTTCATTCGTCGCACCAGCACATCAGTCCTTAAGAGAAGGATCTCCACGTCAAGAGAAAGTCCCCTATCTAACACAACGACCAGCAAAGGTGTCGCCGCCACTGATAATGATGTAGAAGTCGTCTGTTCGAGCGAGCGATCGTGGTGTCCAAGTGTGCCGGCGCACGGCGTGAGCGGGGGGCGAGATGACGCTGCCTGAAAGTGACATGGCACTAGCTCAACGTCTAGACAGTAGTAAAATCGTGCGTCAAACGCTATGGTATTCACCTTGTAGACCTTATTATAACATATCACGACTTAGACTCGTTTCCCTTCTCTCCACTCCCTTGCTGCTCTGCCCCTGAACGCCTCTCTCCACTCTGTGCCTCTGCTTGCCCACTTTCCGAAGGGAACGAACGCAACACTTCATCAAGATTCTCGAGTATCGAGTCGATTCGACCTTCGACACTATCGGCGACATCGTTGGCAGCATTAAGCTGATGGAGAAGAACTTCGAGATCAGCGTCTGCGTCCTCGTCTGATGCACCGGTCTTCTCGATGAGAGCTTGTAGTGATTTGATTAATGCAGCGTCAGCGTCAAGTTTCTTGTGTGTCCCATTTGGTGTTTTTCCGTTGGGATTCGGGTTAGACGACATTGTGATGACTAGAAGCCGTTCGATAAGATGATGAGTGATGGTCAAAGCTAAAGGCAAGTGTGGCGCGGCGCATGAGTTCTCTACGTTTGCTACAAGCGGTGTTTCAATTTCTGAAGCACGTCACGCGCGTCAAGTGTAGGGCCGATACGTTCCTCTGACCATCACTACGCCACGGCCTTCTATCCCATTCTCCCCTCCTCATGCCTTTCAAGAATCCAGACGAAGCCGTGCGGTCGATACTCAAGAACTTTCCTACTAGACCGCTCGATAAGGCTACCTTTGATGCTCTGGTCTCGAAAGCTGTAAGCGAGACAACTTCAAACCGATCAGCCGACATAAGAAAGAGTCAGTGGGAGTATGCAGTCAAGAATGAGCTTTTCGAACTCGCCGTACGCATTTCTTAAGCATTTCAGAGAGACCCTTTTCTGACTCATCAGGTCTAGATGAACGAGGGGAAGGCGTTAAATGATCCAGAGACCACGTACTTCGAAGAGCTGAAGAACAGGTTGGATCTGGCGTTGACGTTGACGGAGCAAGGTGCGTCTTGTGTCAACGCATGGCTTGATGAATGAACTTAACAGATAAACGCACCAGATGTTTGCGAGCAAACTTTCCCGTTTAACACTCTACAAGACCTCCTCGAAACCCAAACCATATCTTCCTGCTCACATGTCTTCTCTTGGATCGAGTCCAATGCCGACCGTCTCACCGAAGGCATGGTCCCCGCCAAGGGAAAGACACTCATCATCCTTCGCATGCTCAATGATCTTCTTCGTCGACTCTCCAAAATGGGCTCCAATTCGATCTTCTGTGGTCGAATATTGACGTTCCTCAGTGGCGTATTTCCTTTGGGCGAGAGGAGTGGTGTAAACTTGAGAGGAGAGTATGGGCCGATGTGGGAGGCTGTGGAGATCAAACCGAAGGTTGAGGAGAAGCCAGAGGAGACGAAGGTCGAGAATGTAAAGGACGTCAAGGAGGAAGATGGCAAGGAGAAAGAGAAGGACGCATCCATGAGCATGGAGGTGGAGGAGAAAAAGCCCGCGTCTAAAACCTCATCGGATTTGAAGCAAGAACAGAAAGACGGTACGCTACTCTTCGTTATTTGTCTCAAGTCGATCGACTGAGTGAAATATCGTCCGACATGAACTTGTGTGTCTAGATTTCTACAACACTTTCTGGTCCCTACAGCTTCCATTCTCAAGACCACCCCTTTTCGCATCTCCCGAGACCTTTACACAATTCCAGACGGCTGTCAATAAGGTCCTTCCAATCATCAACGAGGCCACCGCCAAGGAGCGTGCTCTCATGGGCAGCCGCACGGGCTCGACATCCGTATCGCATTCTCACAAACGCAAACGGGAAGCAGAACCAGGCGAGGAGACAACCACGACCGAATATTTCTTCGCTAAATTCCTCACGAGTCCTGAGCTTCTTGATCTAGAGGTCCGTCTACCTCACATTCTGCGACCTACTTAACGCTAAACAGTTACTTGCAGATCGCCGACACACATTTCCGTCGTCAATTCCTCTTCCAACTACTCATCCTTCTCAACCACCTCCTCTTGTTTACCAAGACCTCCCGAGCGATCTGGACAACAACCCGCAACCGTTCTCTCCAATTCGAATTCACTTTGGAACCGCCGGAAACCCAATGGGTAACAGAAACCATCAATAAAGCCCAGGAAGAACTGCGACAAACTGCCCCCGGGGGAAGAGCGTTCGCGGACAGCGTGAGCACTATTCTGGAGAGGGAGAAGAACCGGGTCAAGTGGAAGAATGACCTGTGTACACCATTCGATAGAGAACCTTATTCGGTCGAAGTGGATGGGAAGAGAGTGGGCCTATGGGAGGAGACGGGGGAGGCGAGGAAAAGGATGAGGATAGAGCCGAAACAGTGGGAGTACCGACAAGGGACGGCTGCTCTGACGGAAATCTGGGATATGGGCCTCCGGGATATTAGAGACTTGGAGAATCCATTCCAGTAAGCGCCCAATCCTGTTCCTTGTTCGTTCATGACGCTAACTGGAGTCCAATGTAGGCCAGGCGAAGTGAAAGACTTCGTAAAGAAGATCAAGATTGAGGATAGTAAGATAGAAATGCGCAAGCAGCATCTAGCTCGGACCGCCCAACGAATTGCTCAAGCTCGCGCGAAAGCTACAGCCGCAGCCGCCCTTTCTGCACCTACGCCTACACTTCCCTCTGCCGCGCCTGCACCCACCATCACTGCCACTCCCGCCGTCGAACCCTCTGCGCCTCTAGCGACCACGACTGCTCCTGCTTCCTCGCCGCCAGTTCGTCCATCCGCACCAGTAGCACCCGCTCCTACCAGCGCCGCAGCAAGCCCCGCATTACATCCCTCATTACCCGCGAAGCCTGGTTCGAAACCGGCGTCCAAAAGTGCCGATTCTGTTTCCGTTGCCCCATCGTCCTCACCAGCACCTGCTAACCCTACACCTGTCGCACCTGCTGTGCCTGTACCTGCTCCCTCCGCTCCTGCTACGCTTGCACCACCTACGGCTACGCCTGCCGCTCCTGCTCGTGGAACAACACCGGGCGCGACGGCTTCACAAACAGCGGTGACATCATCGCCAGCAGCACCTCCTGCGCCGGCGTTGCCCAAGGATGAGGTTATCGCGACGTGTGAAGAGGTGCGCTTTATTTTGATTATCCTTCCCAACAAACAGGACCCTTTTGCTAATAGTACATTTTGCAGAATAAACACCGTCTCGCATGGCTCGCTCTCCGCACAGCACGGGAGCAATACCTCGCCCACTTTGGAAAGATCGGAAACGGCGACATCATCCAGCTCGCCACCGAGATTGAGAACGAAGAGAAGGCACAGAAGGAGTTGCAAGAGCGGGCTGCCGCTGCCGCTACCTCCGGGAACGGTGCGGGTGTAAATGGGAAAGGTGGAGTTGGCGAGGGAGAGACGGAGCCGTCGGTGGCGTTGTTGGGGAGCGCGACTGGTGCGGGGGAAGAGGGTGGAATGAGGGATAGTCCAGCGATTGGGGGACACGCGTTGTTGGATGTGGGCTCAGGGGATGAGAAAATTTCTATCAAGGTGGAGCCAGCTACAAAAGATGTCGAAGGAGACGTGAAGATGGAGGGTTGAGAGTAGTGCTTGTTCTTGGTGCTGTTTAACTTATTCGGATCTCCTCTCGCACAGTACTTTCACGACGGTGTCAATGAACAACCTGAAGTCTCGTCCTCTATCTCCAGTCCCTTATCCGCCGGTTCGCAATCGCACTGGTATAATATCGCGACCATCATGCCAATCAGGGACTGCGGTTGAAGTTGCCAACGTTCTCTAGACTAGAAACTATCGAACCTCGGGACATACGGAGCTCAACAATGTTTCCGTGTGTTCAATTCGTTCCACTAGGTCTCTCCGCATCGATGATTGCGCATTACATCTACGACTACGTCCATGATCTCCTCCATGCTTATGTCTCTTATAACAACATAAAGCTAGATTCCATTATGCAGATTACTACGCCCATGGATTCGTTAGTGAAACCGTGATCGTCAAGGTGAGAGCAGGGTCCGACGACTACACAAAAGTATGAGAGACCGTTCCTCGAACGACGTCTTCCTCTAAGTACCAAACACTTCGCCCACGACGTCCCGTGCGCCTCGCCACGTATCTCCGGAGTCCACTTGAGCCGTTCTCTCATCTCCTGCGGAACCCATGCCGATAATTCCCTCTTCTGTCCCAACATCCGTCCCGAATCCTCTCCCTTTCCCCACAATGAATACTCCCCGAAAGGTGTCACAGTCGTCTGCAACCGCACGGTATTGTCCTTTGGACAAGGTCGTGAGTTGTGAAGGTGCCAAGGTAGCGACGGATGCTACAGGCGCTTGGAACGACGTGGACGATGTTCGGTAATGGTTCGGTCCATTTGAATCATCGCAGATGCTAGTGTGTCAAGATCGGGAGTGGAGGAGTGGGCGCATGCGTGAATGGTACGTACTCACCTAAGAGATCTGGATCCGACTACGCTCAGACCAGGCCCACTGCACACTTTGTCTCATTGAATCACCTAATATTCATCGACCAACCTTTCACCTCCTCGTGCAATGAAATGTGGCGCAGCTTGGAAGGCTCTCGGGGCCATTCAGAGCGGATTTCCCTTTAGCCAACTTCAGCGTTCACCATCCTGAATAAACCTTCCTTCCTTCCTTCCTTCCTTCCTTCCATCCGAGACTTCAAAATGAAGTGACATCTTGAAGACGAAGTGCGGGTATAATGAGGTCAGTCAGAGGCGAATATCAACCAGGCGAAATAGAAGGAGAGAGAAAGATATCGAGGAAAAATACTGACAATGAGCGTTCGAGGACGGATGTGTGCTGCCGAAGCTGAGAAAGGGAGCCGAGAGAATAGACGCCGAGAAGAGCTTCGGTGACGTAATGCTTCAACGGAGAAGTCTCCTAAAGGCAAGAGCAGTTTTTTGTTCAACCGTCGTGCGTCTAACACTCATTGCAGCTCTTCCTTATTCCACGCACCTCCTACGATAAAACATCACAAGATCGTTTCGTCCCTCGTTCTACTGCGAGCAGACTTTAAACCACCCGAACCGTCACTGAGTCCATCTGAATCATGCCTGATTCGTCTTCGCAATGCCCACCCATCGACCTCCAGACCCTATTCACGCTCGCCGCCTTGTCGCCGCCGGTATACCTAATCCTAATGCTCACAATATTCGGACGGCTACCAGTTTGGAAGCCAAAGATAAGAGACGTACGCCCCAACTCTTGGACGCCCTTGCGTCCCTCGCCGTCTGCAATGCGAAGGGCCAGGTCGTTGCTGTAGGTGTCACAATCACTCAAGAACTCGTGACGCTTCATGTCGCCGAAAATGTCCCCGTTCCAGAGAATGTCATCGACCACCTGAAGGACATCGTGCGTCGCATCAAGGAGATCCGTTTGCTTGTACCCCACATACCGCACTCTCTTCCATACCTTCAGGACCCCGTCCTTCTCGAAAAGCTCAATGATCTAGAGGAGCGGATGATCGAGTACTTATGCGTGGCCTAAGCTCAGGCAACGCTTCTGCAAGCGATATGACGAGTTCTACAAGCTTCTTCGAGACGTCGTCTATGAGGACGGCAACGTACACGCCGAGGCGGATCGCAGCAACCCGCCCGATGCTCATACCCTGGCCCGTCGTAAGCGTCTCCTCGAGGATTTGCGAACCTCAGATACGCGCAAAAAGCTCACCAAATTTGCGGAGGCGTTGAGATTGATGGATGTTCTCCTGGACTTCGTGACGCCGACACCAGAGGTCACGATGCCTGTGCGTGTAGCGATGCAACTTCTGAATGAATTGTATGCCGAATGTGTCGTCGACAAGTGGGGACAGGACATGTTGAACCTGTGCACGCTTTACCTTGACCGTAAGGATTTCACCGATATGATCACCCGATACCGCAATGCTCATTTGATTTTGGTAGGTAGCAGCTTCGACTTTGCGCGTTGGATCAATAAACTCGTCACTCCGCGCCGCAACTTCTCCTCTGTGTCTCGACTCGTAACGTTGACCTCTCTCGCCTCGTTTATTGACCCAAAGGTCAAGGTCATTGCCGTCGATCCCCAACCGCCCGTCTCCATCTCTGTCAATATCACAAGGGATACGATTCGACAAGCTGCACAGGAGTCCGGGTGGAAGAAAGATGAGGGGAAGGACAGCGGGGGGAAGTCGATCGGTGATGTCGTCTTGGAACAGGTTTTTCTCGACCTCCCGAAAAACCTTCGGTTGCCGGAAAAGGGTACGCAGACTTCACCATTTTCCGTGTAGTGAGTCCCGAGTCCTCACTATCGGATTAGATGTACCTCGTGAACAGATTCAGCTCAAGTACGAGTCTGTCTACTCTCACTGCGAGTGTACGCTCCTTGCGAGCCTCCATGGACAGGCCGGCCTCTACTCGTACTTCGGCGTCTCCAAACTGTCATGCGCTCTGTGCGCCGAGTGTTTTGCATCGTACAGGGCGGTGACGAAGTTGGAGAACAACACTCGCGGCTCCCATAGTCAACTCATCGCCCCATGGGTGTGCCCCAACTTGAAGTTCCCTGAGATAGACGTTGAGGTGCAAGAGAAGATGAGGGAGTCAATCCTTCAAAAGATCTCCAACGGCCTGGAGGCCCTGCAGTCCGCAGAGAAGGCTCGGCAGAAATCTCAAAGTTCGGTGGCCTCCGATGACAGCTATGTTGAGCGGAAGGTAGGGATTACGAATGTATGTTGTCTCGTATGCTTTCATTGCTGTGTCAATTCTTGATATGTTTCGTAGGGACCATGGCCAAAAAATCGAGGGAGAGTGCCAAGAAGGCAAAGGAGCAGTGCAGTGTCTGAAAATTAGAAAGATCCCTCTTCCCCTACAGCATGCTCTTCGCGATTGACAATTGGTGCAACACCTTTTCTTCTTCTCTTTTTTTATTTCCCTGATTGATGGTCACTTTCATTTGTGAGTAAGGCTGCAAAGAATGTTGTTGTGCATGAGCCTGAGAGTCCTGTAGTGCTTTGATCTCGTCATTTGGCACCAGCCAATCCATGTTCTCATTGTTGATTTTTATTTGGCAAGGCTCTGTGGACTTGTACGCTCCGGCTCCCATCAAAGACGGTGCTCCGCCTCGTTCAGACAGACGGTCCAGTCCACTTCCAGTTTAATTGGCTGTAGTACTCGTCAGAGCCGCACTTATCTATCTTGACGATGTTTCCCGGAACCAGCGCACTTGGTGACTTGTCGCTTCACTCCTCCCGGACCCGACTTCTCCGCTCGAGAGCCTGAGACCTGAGCCTTATTAGCTCGACTGCGTCATTAAGGCTCAGTTTTGGCCTTTCTTCAGACTTCCCTCTGACGAAAGGCCCACTTCCCTCTTCTGCAACTACCATCCCCACCCCCACTTATACCCACTCTCAATCACCTCCCCATCTATTGCGAATAACCTATCGTATTCGCTAATGCCCACTGCTAACGCTACTACCACTATCACCACGCACATTGCCGTCACATCCAACCCCGCTCTCGCTCCCTCCTCCCCTACTCTTTCTGCCACCGACGTCAACGACGCCAAATTATCCCATCAACAGGATTCCGCGAGCTCCATCATCCTCGCTGTTACAGAATATCCTGAGCTTTCCGTCCTCTCTGGTCCTACATTCAAAGACGCCCGAGCCGCAGAGCACGATAAACAGCTCTCGAAGAAGGCTAGCGATCGAGCTAAGGGACGTACGAGTTATGCTCGGCACAAATGGGAATGTGACCGTGAAAGCAGAGGAGAAGGAATGTGCGGCGTTGGGAGAATCGATCTGGATGAGGGAGGAGGCGGATTGGTTGACTTTGAAGGGTGCAGAGGGTGCAGAGGGAGATTCTGACGTGTTCGACGTGCCGTCAAGGTCCTTGACGTACTTGAGCGGGCCACACTGGCAGGGGACAGATGGGGCGGCGAAGACGAAGGTGAAGCCTCTTGATCTCGTGAGGCCGACGAAGAGGCGCGGTGGTGTTCGTGGTATGCCATAAAGCACAATGAATCTCGAGGTGCTAATTCTCTGTGCATAACACAAATATATATGACACCATGCTGATGATGAACGTCAACGTACGACTGTGAGCATAGTACCCAAAAGCCACCGTCCACTATAAAACTAACAATTATTCGAGAAACGGGACATAAGGGAAACAGCCTCGGCCTCGGGAATCGAAATACAGACAGAGAATTTTCCGTCCAAGGCTTCTTCTGAGTCGATGAGCGCTCACTAAGGTTGGCAGTGCTGAGCGCCAGGGAGACCCGAGAGCACTGACTTCATCGCATTGGCCTTTGAGGCCTAAGCGTCGGAAACACTCCTATTCCATGGGGCAGTCAGATCCAAAAATCCGTGCAGAGCTCCATGCCCTCAAAAGAGCATTTGATCGGGTGATATGGGGGTTGCTCTAGAGAACAATCGTTTCACTTACCGAGCCGCGCTCTATTAGGGCCATGCATGCACAGCGTGCAGTCTGAGTACGCGCCTTTTATCGATATGAATTCTTCAGCCGTACATGAAGAATTACTTGAGAATTGTATCAGTGGAAGACTGTAACCCCTTCGAAAGCGAGCCACACAGGTGCGCGCGTCGTGCGTCGATAATCAGGAAGATCGTGCTTGAAGAGTAAAATCGGTTGATGAGTGGTGTACAGATATGAGGGCTTCAGAGCACAGTGGGAGAGAACTGTTTAGAACGACTTCCATCGTCCTCGGCGAAGCCTGAGGGACGAACACCCAGTAGCGTTTATTTTAGAAGAAAGTCTGGGGTGAGTAATTTCAGTTGCATACTCCATCCAAAATAATTAGCATAGCTCCGGGTAGGTCGCTGCTTGAGATGCTACTAGTTGAAGTGTGCTGAGCTCGAGACATGAAAGGTAAGGTAAGGTAATTCAAACAGCGGCAGAAAAAGATCGGATTCCGCCGAGGTGTCCAAACTCCGCTGCACGAAAATCCTCAGCCTTTTTGACGCAGGTTTGACCGTTTCTGCTAACACCCCCAAACCTCCTTGTGTAGGAGCTCTCATTATTATCTGGGCCACGGACATCTATGCTACCGCTCCTATCATTCTTTGGAAAATAGGTTATGCCATACATATACTTATCAGGCATAGTTCAATCGCTGAACTCTTACGGTGACAACACGCTACTACACCGTGGACAATAGCCAAGCGTCTACAGCTGTGCGATTACATTCACATGTTCGTCAATCATGCTGTTGAAACCAGTGAAACGCGATGAAAAAGAACTCACTCCTGCTTATGTTCACTTGTTTGGATCGCGCCCAGTCGAGCCCTCGATTTTAGTGCACAGAGCGCATCATGATCGAATAATGAGACATGGCTACCTGGAGCCATTCAACCGACGAGCGGAGCATGGGATACCATAGCATGGATCGAGTCCAGTGGCGTTTCATGTACGCGACGAGCCTCACCTGTTCAGCTGGAATTATAGGGGAGGGTCGATGCTTAAGTGGTGTAGGGAAGTCGGACACCGAGCTCTTTGCCACTGTATAAGAGCGAGCATGTCCTGTATGGCACTGTCTCATCTCACCCAGAGCACTCGCATCACCCTTTCACCACCTTCAGCACCCCAGCAAACTTTTCTTGACCGACATGCAGCTCCTCGCTCTCACCGCCATTGTCGCCTTTGCCCTCGGTGGCGTCCAAGCCTACAACCCCATCGGAAAGCATTGTGATGTCCCCGGTATGTTCAACGTGTTTTCCCCATCAAATTATGCATTGATCAAACCTTTATCCTCTAGGTGGGTACGGCTGCTCGCAGGACGACTCCCTGAACGGGGGTAACGCTTTCATCTACACTTGCTCCGGAAACAACGCCTTTGTGTACTCCTCCGGCTGCGCATGCCCCACTTGCTGTGTGTCAACTACGGGCGGTGCCCATTGTACTTAGACAAACAAGGAATACCGGCAAGTATCGTAAGTCAGATTTCGCGATCCAAGTCATCTGTAAGCTGCAGTATCTGACATGCCGTCGGCTCTGAATCCTAGAGTGTTTTCGCATAGTGCCTTCGGCTTTTGATTTGTACCGTATAGGGTCGGACTCTATTTATACCGTGTAATGTCAATCCTCTCGATTTCTTGAGCTTCTGTGTATCATCTGGAGTGATTCTGGAGATTCAAATACTGTCACATTGCTCTCCCTCAACGCCGGCCTCGAAGGCATTGACGATCGTGGGCTCTGGCCATTGACGGTGTATGCGGACAGTATTCAGCTGGTATGTACGCCGACCAACACGGAACTTTTATGTGCTCTTCACTACCAAATGATGACCATGCTGATACTTATGTCCGTCTCATCAGATCGTGCGAATAGGACTGATTAAGGCTGTTGGGTCACTTACACCCGAACATTCTGGCATCGGTTTGGGGATAAACCTCGAATGGATATGGTATGTGGTTTGTCTTGCGCTGGCAACGTCACGATCGTGGTCCAAGAGCATCACGTTTGGGGTCTTCAATTTATGTGGTGCCGAATATGAAAAGCTTTCATGAAAACTAAATCCGTAAAACGAACAACTGCCTCAGTGGAGACGGTCGCTGGATAGTTCACAGCAGTCGTGTTGACTCTTCCGATCACACTCACTCTCTCCTATCATTCCTGTGACAGTCTCTCTCTCGGTGCTCAGATGGCATCATGATCGAGTGATGGAATAAATAGCGCAAGGGCTGTCCAGAGGCTGCACCATCGAGTGAAGCATGTGGTACCCCACAACAAGTGTCAGTCTCTGTAGTGTTCACTGGGCTTGTCGTGCTCTCAGAGGAGTGGAGTCAAATGATTGTGGCATTGGATGACCGAGCATCTCATTTCTTACGGCTATATAAGGTCGGAGAGTCCATACAGCACAATACCAACTCACCTCGTCAAAAAACTCAGATCGCACTCGTAACATCACCACTACACATCCACCCTCTTCTCAGCAAACATGCAACTTCTGGCTATTGCATCCCTTGTCGTATTCGCCTTCAGCGGCGTTCAGGCTTATAACCCTATCGGACAACCTTGCGATAGTCCTGGTGCGTACAGTCCTGTTTCATCGCTGTCTCGGTATAATACTCATATTCCTTGACTTCATCATCTATCGTGTAGGTGGTTACGGGTGCTCTCAGGACGCCTCCATCAACGGGGGTAACGCTTTCGTGTACACCTGCTCAGGCAGCGACGTCTTCGTCTATTCTGCGGGTTGTGCGTGTCCCACCTGCTGTGTGGCAACTACGGGAGGTGCATACTGCACTTAGACTAACAAAGACGGTCACCGAGATGTCGTGAGTGTGATTTCTCTCTCGAATTTCTTCATCCAGCACCTGATGTCTTGCCAGCTTTGAACAGTGCCAGTGAAGTTACATTATGTCCGCTAGTACTTACCTTCGGCTTCCGATTTGTACCGTATCATTCGCTCTGTCTGTATCGTGTAATACTATAAGCCCCCATCCTTTTGGATGGGAAGCTTAAGCTTAAGTGGGCAAGCTGTTTGCGTACCCTTCAAAAATCTGAGGCAAAAATCACTGTGTTGCTTTGGTCGGACGAAGCGCCACAGCGGATTGTGCCGGAACGCCACTAAAGTATTCGCCGCGCGAATGTTGAAATCGTGTCGTGAGCTTCCTTCCCTGACCATCGCCTTTATCTGCTGAGTCACTTACACCACGATCATCTCTACAAACTTTGTCCAGGGACAACAACGCGAAGTTATTGTTGTGCATCAGTCCGAATGTGTACTTGATCTCAAGTTCAAGTTCACTACTCAATTCTTTGATCCTGGCCACTTGCGCCGAGTAGTGCAAGCACGATAAATTCTCTCGCTAATGGCAGGTGAGTGATACCCGCTACTTAATTGGTGACTTAGAAACGTTCTTATATGTGACTTCCAGGTCGGGGACGTGGTACATATTATAAGAACCTTTATGGTGGCGGGCGAGGAAGAGGCGGTGGTGGCAACGGGAGCGGTTCCCAGACTCCTCAAGGCCAGCATCCTCACAAACGCTTTCGCGCGAATGATGGTAGGCCTTAATGTGCCATGAATTTCACATGTTTGATAGCTGGTGCATTCATCATTTATCTTGTAGATCTTGCGCGCACGTTTGATGTGTTACAGTCCGAGCTGCTCAGGTTGGATGGAAAGTCGTATCCGGCATATCGGGATATCGAAGGTAAGTAGGCCTCGAAGAGGTACGACCATCGTTGACGAACTAAATATAACTCATCGATTCGTATAGGCTCATGGGATTATTCCTATTTTTGCTTGCATGTCGACCATGTCCAGAGCGACCCTTACGCTCCCCCGAGCAAACTTCGCCTGCACGTTAAACATGACGCGGCTAAGTTCCCTAGGGACCTATACTTAAACTCAATACGGTGAGTCATGCTTTCCAATGGGGCTCTAACGACTCATTCTTCAACTATGCGCATAGGACTATAGCTCTATCTGACTTCCTCACACGACGCCTGGTCAATGCTGTCGTCACTAAATCGCTCGGTTCGAGATCATCGGGATGGGGAGGGGCCAAGGGTGGAGATATCAATGTTGACAAACCTGGCCAACAAATCCTCCAGAGAAGCTCGATCGTCATCGGTGACACGGGAATTGAGGCGCGCTTTACGCTTGGTCTTCCTGCACAAGGTGAACTATGCTCCACCGTTTCTCGCTATCTCTTCCTGACGTGCACATCACAGGTCGAACTATCATGGGCCAACTAGCAACAGAGATATTCCGGTCGGAATTGCCCTCCTTGGCGAAACAACTGGTATATGCGTCTCATGATGCAAAGGAGCTTGACTTGTATATTAAAAGCATAGAAGACCAGGAGACTTTGCGGGAGCTCGTTCGATCAGCCGGTTTGTCTCATGTTTGACGTTCTCCAAGCTCGTAGGGCTTGATATGTATGATACCACTCCAGGTCTATCCGCGTTTGTGGCCAATGGCGCACTCCTCCCGCGAGCAAGCGGGGCTTCAGATCTGCCTCTACGCCACTCAAGCCTTGTGAAATTCAGGTCGCCCGCGAATCTGGAGCGCAAGTTCACGTTACCGAGTGGCCGCGAGGTTTCTGGCATGGGCATACCAGAAGGCATCACCCTGATCACCGGAGGCGGTTTTCATGTAGGTAAATCGTCTGAGAAAAAACTTTTTGCGCTAATTCAGCGGCGGTAGGGAAAATCAACGCTTTTAGATGCCCTATCCATGGGATGCTACAATCATATTCCAGGAGGTGTGTCTCTTCAGCCAAACCTCTCCGTACATGTCGACTTACTGGATCTTCAGATGGACGAGAGTTTGTCGTAACTTCGTCATCATGCGTCTCCATTCAAGGCGAAGACGGGCGGTCAATCGAGAATGTTGATATTTCTCCCTTTATCAACAACCTCCCCGGCGGATTATCCACCACCTCGTTCTCCACGAAGGATGCGAGCGGAAGCACGTCAATGGCGGCCGGGGTGATTGAGGTGTGTTTCGCCTCTGTGTTGTCCTATTAAGGCTAATCATATTTGAACCAGGCGCTTGAGCTCGGCGCCGACACCATTCTCTTTGACGAGGATACTTGTGCTACGAATTTCCTCATCCGCGATAGACGAATGCAGAGGCTCATCAAAGCGGATCCCATCACGCCTCTAATCTTCAAAGCTAGTATCACAATATCTCACAGCGTCGTTTGAGTATACTTAATCCTGAACATTGACTCAATTTATCGATCAGATCCGTTCCATGTACAGAGAACACAGATGTTCGTCGGTGCTTGTTATTGGTGGTTGCGGTATGGATCCTTCCCGATATAATTGTACGAAAAAAAGGCGCTCACGACTTCGTTTTTGTAGGTGATTATTGCGACGTTGCCGATCTGGTTCTTGAAATGCGAAACTACGAGTGCCACGACATCACGGATGCAGCACGGTCCATATCACAAGAGATCCCGTCTGTGGTCTCCGAGCATGAGGGTAAGTAGACAGTCTCCAACTCCTCTTAGTGTCTGTCTAAGGCTCGGCATCGATTTTGGCGACACTTTAGACGTCGCATTTGGCAAAGTCGCGCATCGACACCTCAATATCAGAACACTTCCCCTCCCTGGAGCAAAGCTTGCCGTCCGTGGTCGTGCGACGATTCAATTTACTGAGGACAATAGCCTCAACTTGAACTCGCTCGTGCAGCTCTGCCACGACAGCCAGACGAGGTCTATCGCATCTGCTCTCAAGAAGATAGCAAAGGAGAAAGATACAACCATCACAGACGCACTACGCAGGATCAGTGAGAATCTGGACAGGCAGGGGCTAGATGTCTTGATGGAGGAAGGAAGGATTGATGGCTTCTTAGCGAGGCCGCGAGCGTTGGAGCTTGGGATGGCTCTGAACCGGTTGGTGAGTGGAAAGGTCTGGATTGTTGTCGAGGCTTAGTAGCTAATCGTATTCGCAGCGTTGAGCATAGGTCGAGCTGAATAATTTATAAACAGAGTGTATCGCCGCGTCGGCTCACAGCCTGTCCACCTCAAGACTTTGGAGCTGCAATCTCCAGTAGAAATATGTATTAATACATCTCTGAGGGGAGTAGCGTACGCCCTAATGTAATAAGATGCTATTCCGCTAATGTCGTCAAACGAACCCGAAAGGATATCATACGTTGGAGGATATCTGTCGCTGGAAAGTAGAAGCTGTCCAGCCATAGGTCCTTCGTAAACGAGCACCAATCCTAAATCGGTATCATTGTTAGTGCTCCGTATCCTTGTTGAGAAAAATACAATCCAGTCGCGCTCACCATTTCATTAGCCAAGGACTCATTGTGGGATCAGGATGGGGCTACGATAAGCAGTCGAATGTGTCAATCTTCATGGAGAGCGGAAGATAGAAGAAGGACGAACACGATGGAATGTGACCGGTCTGGCTCTCTTCGCAGGAGGATCAAACCGGACGGATGATCCGGCAGACTGGATCACTTCGAAACCGACGCTATTGAGGTATTTTAGTGAAAACGTCCCAATCGCCGCTATCTTGAAGCAAGTCATACGCACCGTTTCATTGCCTGTTGAGTCAAAGTCAAGATAGATACTGTGAGCATTAGAGAATATGCATACGCACACGTTCAAACTCTTGCCAACGTAGCTGCCCCCTCTTTTCTCTCGCTTCAGCGCTGTCTCCGGCATGTTCGTCATAATCAAGAAGTTGGTGGAACACCTGGTGGTGGATGAAGGTCAATTATACAGAGATTATGACCCCGTCGAGGACCCACTAACCTTCATAGTCTTCTTTCCTAGCCGGTATTGTTCTGGAAGGAACTCTACAAGCGGTTCGGACCAGTCTTCCAAAACCTCCGGTTCAGGTGTCCGAGGGCGCTCAATCCCGACGACCTGAACCGCAGATTTCCGAGCCTTCACTTTCTTCTTCGGCGGACACAACTCGTTGATGGCCGTACGAAAAGCATGCCCCGACATTGCAGGCTCTCCCGGTATCCCTATTGACAAAGCTCCTAGAAACAGTTCCAAGACAGTGTCGTCCGACGACTCGCCGTTGCCGACTGATATTGGGCTAGATGTATGGATAAAATTCCGTGCCGCAGAGGGTCGATCTGAATCGTCGGACCGAGGGTATCCAAGTCGCTTTGGTACAGCACCAGGGGACTCAGGCCTGTCCAATATCCCCGCAAAATGCTCTCCGTAGACGTAATCATCTACACCCGCCCAGAACTCGTCGAACGTGACATAGAAGACTTCCGGTCGTGGATCGTTCGCATAAGCGTCGATGAGGGGCACTATGGAGAAGTGCAACCAAGGTAGGGCTAAAGAGAAAGATTGTCCACGGACATATACTCCTACAGACCCCCACGATGAATATCCTTTCCAGTCTTCGGGATGAGACTGATCTGGGACTCCTCTGGGTTGTACGAAGAGGACTTCGTCTAGGAAGTGTGGAACATGCTCGAGGCCTTCCGCATGCGTGCCAAGCTCGAGGACGTGCCTCTTTAGTTCGATACCAAAGTCACTGTCGAGGATGCTGTAATGGAACTCATAGGCTGATGTTGCGAAGAACAACGAATAATCAGCGTGACTTCGATTATCGAGATGTAGGAGGAAATATGGACTCACCAGCGGATAGGTCCCCTAAATCGTCGTACAAAGCGTTGTCGAACTTGGTGATCTCGGTGGGATCATTCTCCTGATATATGCAATTTTTCAAGATTCAATTGCCCGAACGGTATGAATAGTAAACCTGTCGCCCTACTCACAAGAGCTTCACCTAAACCACGAAGAAACGGTAACACCTGCAACGACGTGCCACTGAAACCAACAAGTCGGTCTAGCCCATATAATGGACTTTGGTGTATCGAATCCCGGTACTCGTTTTTCAATTTTGCCACGGCTCTTGTCCCATCTTCGGGCTGAAAATGAACTAGGTTAATCAAGAAACATGATGATGGAGGATGGACGCGCGCACGATGCGTAGATTGAAAAATGGACGGAACGCTTCGCAGGAAACGAGACGGAGAGAAAAGTCCTCCGTCATCATTTCTGTGGGGCAGTAAATCAGTCCAAGAGTGCCCGGATCCCGCGCCGTGATTGTTCTCACCTATTATCTCTCCTACTTGAGCGAGGCAGCTCGCGAGTCGCCACAGGAACTTTGCATCTGTCTTGTACGCCCTCTCTAGTGCGGAGGGGGTCTTGATACCCATCCTTTCAAAATCATCGAATAGTTGGACCGCCCCCGACCAGGCTGCGTGGGCGATCTATATCCCACCACCGTGTCAGCCGTTGTTTCATAGAGTCAAGAAGCAGGAGAGAGCGAACCGTCATCGTATGCATGGACATCCTGAACCCATTGTCCATCTGCACTTCGGCTCGTGAACGATCCGAAGGTGCCTGAGGGCGGACCTCGATCCGAGTTAGGACTTCGCCTTGCCGCTTTATGTGTGGAAAGAACATGTCGGGATTGGTGCGCCACATCTCAAGTGTATCCTTCACTTTATCCTATATTGAGAACGATTATAGCTTCGTTCAGGGCTTAGACCGATACGGCGAGTATTGAAAAGGACGCACAAGTTCTGAAATCGCGACGGCACGTAGCAAGTTTATATCGATGTTGGGCGGTCGGTGACCTGCCAAGTCCGCAACTTTTGTGGTTTAAGCGTAGTGGGTCTACAATGAGCGGTAGTGTAAAGTACTCACTATGCCGACGCTGAACGTCAAGAGGTTTGTTAGTTGTGGCCCGATATGTAGTCAGGTTGATGCGACATACTCTGAGCCATTCAAGTGAGCTTTCGCCACGTCGTCGTCTACCAGAATATCATCGAAATGTGATATCATAGGACGGAGGAAATGAACTTACCTGATACTGGGGAGTGTTCTCGGAGGCCGACATATCGACCGTACTGAACAGAACATATGATACAGTGAAAGTACCTGAAAATGGGCGCCTGTGAATCATGCCTGATGAGACAAGTTAAACAAACGATTCGGAGAGTGTACCACATACCTAATGCGTTCTAGTACACCAATACGAGCAAGTATTACTTAGTGGTCGGAATGATCCATGACTGGGAACATACTCCAGCAAGGTGGAAAACCAACTCTAGACCCGTCAGCCAAGGTTGATACCTGAAAGGTCTTCTATTGTAAAACGGATGAGAAATTATGGCTCTTCCTTCGTCTTCACCGAGTAAAGCCAGAACCCTGCCGTCACAATCCCGACCACGGACCGAGGTTTGTCGTCAGAAGGTCGGCGTTAGAAGGACAATTCGCTCACCATTCTTCCCATTCTTTTCGACCAGACGGAGAAGTACAATGTTAGAAGACGTTACAGATCCATTCTGCGAGGTATGGGGTCGTTTTCCAACGCTTTGCGCGTTGCGTATAGTTGGAAGCCATTGTCAAGAGCTCGGATTGTCCCGTCACAGTTGTCTGGTGTCTTCTGTCTGTCTTGAAATGAAAGTGAGAGTGAAGTACTCGTAAAGGGATTGTGCGGGAAGGTTGGCTAAAAGTTGGTTTCCCTATATACGCATGTCTGAGGAGCTCCAGATCGACACGCACTCCTGTCTCAGAGAAGAAAATCTGGGATATTACCACCACATCCGATTCATCTCACGCAGCATTGCTAAGGTGTCTCCAAAGCGTATCAGCGGATGATGAGACAGCTTGGCTTTATTTGAGACTAAGTAGTGATTGCAGAAGAGAAAGGAAAGGGATGAGGGAAAGGGGCATCGGAGCGGGATGTTGGAACGGTGGAAGCTTAGTCAGCAATTTCATCTGTATTGTGGCGTATATGAGGTGTGGCCTAAGCAGTAGCGTACTTACTGGAAAGAACTCTCAAGGACGTCCTCTGTAAGACTGCATCTACCAAGGACAACATGCAACATAGAACATGATAGATAAGACAGATATCAACTGCGTGACATTTCTACTGATGCACAGTCACATGAATAAAGAGTTCCGAACACCGGTAAGACTAAGCTATCCATCGTCCACAAACTTAAAATCCCTCCTTCCCCAAATCCCACTCCCTCTTCTCCCCCTTCTTCTTATACTCGATCCCCATTACATTAACCTCATCCTCCGCCCAACCACTCATTCCACCATTCAGTGTCCCACTCCCCTTTCCCTTCCGATCCTTATCCTTCTTCTTCAAACTCTTCGTCGAGATGCCCATCTTCTCCAACCTCTTCTTCTCCTCTCTGTCCTCTCTCCTGATACGTATGAGCTCTAACATTGCGTCCCAACCTTCGTATGCTGCATCATCTATTAGACCAGTAGCAGGGACGGCAGGGATTGACGCCGTGAGAGGTGCAACGTCGAGACGTGGGTCGTATGACTCTGCGAAGTATTTGTCCATCTTGGAGACGGGTGATGGCGGTCGGGATGAAGAAGCTGGGGAATGTGACCGCTGGTGAGGAGGTGGCGAGGGTGAGCGTCGGCGTGACGGAGGTGTGGAAGACCTCCGTTGTCGGGGAGGCGAAGATGAATGGCGACGGGATGTTGTTGGGTTCGGTGCCCTAGTATCGGATGTGCGAGTGGATGTATTATGAGACACTGAGTTATCGGCTTTGCCTTTGCCTTTCAAGCGTCGGCGAAGGTCTGCCTCTTGATCTTCGGGGCCGACTGTGTGACGTGGACTTGGGCTTCGGCTGGTTCGAGATGTCTTCTCGGATGGACGAACATCGTCCACGCCATCAGAAAGAGTTCGAGACCGTGAAGGCGAGCGCGATGGTGATGTCGTCCGGCGAGAGCGTTTATTGGAATGGTGATCATCCTTGTCATCATCACGATGTCTTCCTTCATCGTCAGGGTCGCGGTGGCGTCGTCGATGTGAAGATATGTGGTGGCGACGTTCGCGGTCAGATGGTTCATTCCCTTCTTCCTTGGTCGAGGTATGTCGCCGAGAGTGTCGGGCAGCGTTTGGGGAACGTGATCGATGGTGCCGCCTGTCTTCGTCGTCGTGTCTGGCACTTTTCTCCCCTTCCCTCGACTCCCTCCGCGAACGATGTGTCCGACTCCGTTCATGGCGGTCTCCACCCTCGCCATCTCGACGTCGCCTACTACCCCGTCTATCTCTGTCCTCAGCCTCATAATCATCGCCACGTCTCTCCCAGCTCCTCTCCCTCCGCTTCCCAGTTCGACTCTTACTACCGCTGGCACTCCAGCTCCAGCTCCCATCGTCGTCTTCGTCGATATCCCTCCTGTCCCTCCACGATTTTGACCTCGAAGATGAGCTCGAGCCACCCATTAACCGTCGCATCCTCTCCGCCTCGACAGCCTCCTCAGCCCTCATCCGTCTCTCTTTTCTCTCCTGCTCTTCTCTCTCCTGTCGGATCTCCTGCGCAGTCTGTGCTTGAGCCCGCAAAATAGCTTTATTATGGTCATCTGTGGACTTTATGATAGATGACAAAAAACGCTTGTTCGGGCGTGGAGCGTTACTATCTTGCCTGTGATGGTCGAAGGAGAATCGGTCAGTATTATGCCGAGACGTTGCGCGAAGTAGACAAAATAGAGGACCGTACCACTCATTCTGTGGTAAATAAGCCTTATAGCCTTCCTTGCCATACTTCTCAGCCTTCTGCTTCGCCTCTTTCAGTATCAACTCAGCGACATGTCGATCAAGGTCCTCGTCTGTGACTTGGCTCGTGTTCTTAGCCATAGAGACGCCCATTTGTGCTCTGACGAGGTTAGAGACCACAGAAGATAGTGAAGAGCTCGAGGCAGCCATGGTGAGGGTATATGTGCGATGAAAGGAGAGACAGAGATATTGACAGTAGGACGGGAAGCCTCGAGGGAATAGCCCGTTGTGAACAAAGGACCAGCGCAAAGGAGTCGAGGTTCGGTGGCGTTGTGGGGAGTTGCCGAACTCAGGTGGCGTGTGGCCCCATTCATCATCTCCGACCAACCAATATCTCGACGTACGCAGTTCTAAGAGTTTCTCCAAACTCGTCAAGCTCTGGTTTGTGCTCACCACCATCGGGTCTGCCAACATTTATACGGCCCGAGTCGAAGGAAATGCTGTAAAAGCAGAGTTCAAGGACTTCATTTGGGATTGAAGGCCTACAGGTGTTGGAAGGTCGTGCTGATATGGCGTCCGAAGTCCAAGGCCCCATCGTTGGCAACGCGCAGTAGACAGCCCGCTATATTCTCAAAAAATATGAACTACATTTCTCGATGCATTATGAACGGTACACTTTCTCATTACATAGGAGGAGCAAGAAACACTCAGCATCACGCGCCCGAAAATAAAATATCAGAGACACGACCATCGACGTCCTATATATGCAATTTTTGGTGCCGCAGCACTACCCTCCGTCGGTCATGGTTCACTCTTCAACCTGCTTCATTCGGCGTTCAGAAAAAAATCCGTTGTCTGGTTCGTCTCATCATCTCGCAGCGCCCCAAACGAAAGCCTTGTACATCCCTGCAGACCCTCTATGTCCGGCCTTGTCATAAACACCTGGCACAAAGCTGGACACATATTCATCACCTTCTCGATGTATGCGTTAACGATATTTTGCATGAGCTTTTGGAGCCCCAATGGCTCTTCGTCGAGGGCGGGACGGATGGGATTAAGTCGGAATTCCGGGACTCGATGCGGATCGTCCCAGAGAGGGAATTCGACAATCGCCAGTTCGGAGAGCTTGCCGAGGTTTGTAGAACATGAGAAGATTATATTCCATAGGGAAGACTGGCGCGGACAGGATGTGGTGAGCGACACCGAGCGGAAAAGCTTGGAAAGTAAAGACATACCATAAGCACGAAGTTGCCCGCCTCCTGGATATTTGCATCGCATGTGAGACGCAAGCGATCGCACGGGGGTAACGTCTCCAGAACGAAGGAAAGCACCTCCGCGGGCCTCTTCGTGATACTAACTCCAACTATGAAGAGACGCATTGGCACTCCCTCATACGGCTCAATGCTCTCGTCCGACGGATTAGGCTTATCCGTGATATGGATTAAGTCCACCCAGAACGACCCTAACATATCACGGTCTCGTGCGCTGGAGTAGAACGAGGATAAGATCGGGAAGTGCTCAATCGCGCGGTGGTCGCGTAACCCAGGGCCGCTGAGATATATGTCTCTCAGACTGGTGTGACGATCGAAAAACGCGCTGCACGAGGAAGCGATGTCGGTTTCTATGCATTCGACGTGCAGTGTCTGCAAGCTGTTGAAAGTGACGCTCGTCCAGGGTCGATCGAAGGCCGTGTCGAGATGGAATTTATAGGTGTGAGGCCCATCAGAGCCGCGAGCAAAGACGACGTCGACAAAATGGGGAGGAACCATGGCGGTTTCCTCATCATCGTCAATTACCCATCTCCGGCAGTGAATACGCGAGAGGGGTATGGAGGAGAGGAATTTTCGTGAGAGAGGATACAATTGTTCGAAATCGATTATGATAAGACGCTTGAGGCAAGGATGTGAGTTCACCGCAAGGATGAGCTTCTGCGATGGGGAGGCTGTCATTTGAGAAACGTCTAGAGTGGTCAGGTCGGAGGCGCAGGAGAGAATGCGCTGCAGAATCGTGAATAGAGGCGCCTTTTTCCGCGTAGATATCTTCGCCGTCGGTGAGTCTAGGTGGAGACTGGTGTCTATCCCTTGCCCGGTGAGTGTCATGTCCTTATATACATCGTTGATTTGGACCGTTCTAAAACAATGGATCAAAAAAACCAGACCCCAGTTAGCATTCGACCTCCATGCAGACGTTGTACATACGTGTACACAGAAGGTGTTAGCATGCAACGCACCTAATGAACCGTGAGATACCAAAGGTCTCCACATCCTGCAAGAACTGGAACACACCAGCGGATTGCGCTTGAAGTTTATTGCGCTTCAAATTGAATGTGACCTTCTTGTATAGGTCGTGGACGAAGACTGTTCTAAGGCGCCTATTTATCGAACACAGCGTCTGCAGTGAACGATCTAGCTTCACCAGAGGTTTCGCCACGGTCATGTTGGCCGTGTATGGATCGGGAGCAGAACTCTCTACAAGAGAAATTAACTGCTTGGATATGTCGACAAGGAGCTCATTTGGTAGCGTCAACAGAGGCATATCCTGCGTGGTGGGTGCGAATCTGCGGTAACTTTACGTCGATAATCAAGTCCGAGTTGTCTAGCAGCGTAGGAGCCTTGAAATTCGAAAAGTGGCGATAAGTAAGCTTTCACCGACCACAGCATATCGAACAAGGCTCACCAAATTAAAAGGCTGAGCTCTCCGGGCCTTGCACTGGCAATGAAAGATGATGGTGCTTCTTCAAATCTCACCGTACAGCGTCCCCAAAGGTTCCGCACCGCCACAAGAACTCAAACTTAGTCGGAATCTGCCGGGTGGCGATATAGTCTGTGGCAAACATTTTGTTTCTTGCAGCGGGTAGACCGTTGCAGAGCAGTTCAACAATCATTTGCTATCCAGTATTGAACCTCAGAACACATGCAGGCTGTCTCTTGCGTTAGTCAAGTCCAGGGACGTTAGCATCAGAGGGGAGACGATATTATTGGAAAAAATAAGCAATATTGTCCCGAAATGAGCCCCAACACACGATATTTGCAGGACCAAACGCTGTGACGCCACTCAGACGATCAACTCCCCCTCAACCGCCGCCGCCTCAACGCCCACCCTCGCAAGAACGGCATCGTACCGATCCCTGTCCACCTTCTTCAGATAACGCAGGACTTTTGCGCGAGCGTGGACGAGTCGACGAAGGTTCCGGCGATTGTGTATATCTTGTGGGACGCGGGTGAGATGTGTCCACATATTGCGAATTTGAAGGGTCAGCAGCGCCGCTGTTCAACGAACGAAAAATGCGTCAGTGTAATGAAGGAGAACAGAGCACGAAGGATACAAAGTCTCACCCTGAACCTCTGGCCTGCCCGTATCCTCTCTAGTCTCCCCAAACGCCTCCACGATCCGCCTCCTGTTTTCATGCATGACCCCCTTCGCATTCGCGTTCCTCAGATCCACCAACCGCGCAAGCCTGTTCGCCCTCTCCCTCGCAAGCATCAACTCCTCCTCCGAAGTGCGCTGCACGATCTCCCAGTTCGATTTATGGCCTTGCGATTGTCCGAGTGTAGTAGATGCGGCGTTGGAGCCGAGGAGGTCGTCGTTGACGTGGAGGGCTCGCGCATCGGCACAGACGATGGGGAGGTGGCCGAAGAGGAGGTTTTTCTCGGCGGTGCGGAGGCCGTAATTTAGTGAGCGGGGGACCTTGACGCCTGGGGTATTGACATCTACAAGGAGAGACATTATCAGTATATGATATTCTGCCACAGTTGAAGAAGTATCGATGTCGAAGAGGTTCAATGACCATCGAGGGATGTAGACGAGAAACTCGGACATCATTATGAGATGGAAGGTGACGCACCATCGACAAGCTCCCCATCCTTCGGTGGACTCAACTCCTCCTCACTAACCAGTATCTTCTTCAAGTCACATCCCTCCCATTTCGCCTCGTCTCCCGGTTTCGTCCCGAGAACGATATGAGGCTTGTTCGCGACGGCTACGCGATCGAGTTCGACGCGTCGTCGTTCGTTCGTTTTGCGATTACTTCGGTTGCCAGTATTATTTGCGGAAGACCGGGAGCGGGCAAGCAAGGTAGGTGTGGTGTGGAGGGTGCGAGATAAAGTGAAGGTGGAGGATGTGGAAGGGGTGCGAGAGGCTGACGAGGTGCGAGCGAGTAGAATATTATGGGTTTTAGTGCTGAATAAAAGAAGAGTACAAAGAAGGCGTACCTTGCGACAAGCGCGACCTAAGCATGCTCGTGGACATCGTTCACGACGTTCAGCTCAATCGTCGCGCGCAAGACAACCCGCAACGAATTTCGAAAGTCAAATTCCGCCAGCGCTAAGCGCGGCTCCGCGCTTGCCACATCTCTTCCCTCCCACCTGACCGTGAGACTCCTTCCACGTGCCCCTCCCTATATAATGCTCTATTTTCGCGCCTCTGGCTTTTTTCTTTTCATCAAGAGAGCCATGCCACGCTGACCGTCGTCAGTTTTCCTCTACCGTCGTTGTCAGTGCCAGTAGGAAGTCTTCGTACGCGGAGGCCCTCTGTCGCTCTCGAGAGCGATTCCCAGGATAGGAAGTGTCGTTCCGACACCCGTTGCCGCTATGGGACGTGGAGGGAACGGCATGTCGAAAAACCTGGTACATACTTTTTTTTCTTTGTGCGTTTTCGTTTTCTTCCTTTTCGTTTTGCGGGTTTCTGTGGATGTTCGATGCTTGCAATGCGATGTTGGCTGGGTGGAGGGAGGTACATTGGACCATGGTGATCTGTGTGTACTGTATCGTAGAACTTGCTGTAAATCAATCCCTGTTCTACATCTTCCTTGCATGTTTTGCTGCTGCCGTGCTGCTACTACGCTGCCAATTCAGGACTTCTGAGGTGTGTCACCGGGCAAACACCTCCATGATCGTTCGGCGTACAAAATACGGTCCCGAACCTGGCGAAGATCTGACGGCGCAGGACGTGCCAGCAGACATCTTCAAGTTCAACACCTTGTCGATCCCAGCCTTTTCTCCGTGCGTTGCCTTGCTTTCGCTGAATAGAGTTATCAAATAAAACAGAACATCGAAGATACATTGCATTGCATGCGTCCAACTCGACACCGCACCTCAAAAACCAGCAAAACATGCGAAGAAACAACCACGTATCCGGCCAAAAATAAGACAAAAAAAAGTCCACGGATATCGTGTCGCATGATCCAACATCAAACGATCAAACACGGACAAGTACTGTAAGAACCAACACCGGAGAATATAGATGAGCAGGTATTTAAGATATGCCAAGAGCAAAAAACATGAGGTCAAGAATATCGAAGACGAAGTGGTGAAGCATAAAGCGAATGGTGGTCGACCGTCAGACTCGGCCGTGCGATAAATAATGGTGGGTCGCTTATAGGGATTCTTCCATCGATCCCTCCATCTATCCGTTCCGTCTTCGCGTAGGCGGTTGCAGAGGTGGTGGTGGCAGTTCTGTGAGGTATGCGTTTACAGCACGATGGAGGCGCCGAAGAACAGACCAATCGTGACGGCCGCGAGGGAGGTCAAGAGGCCGGCGGACGGGTGGAATGCAACACCTGCAGCGCTCGAGCTCCTATTTATCCAAAATCAAAGCAAAAAAACACCATCAATCAGCATCAAGATCTTCATCTTACAGCCCCAGGGAGGAGTAAAGCACGTACGAGGCCGCAGAAGCACCACTACTCGCAGCACTAGCCACACTGGACGCCCCACTGCTCGCCGCGCTGGCGAGACTCGCAGCTCCGCTCGTAGCGACGGAGAATGCGCTGGCGGCGTCGGAGGTGGCGACGGTGTAGACGGATCCTGCGAAGGAGGTTACGTCGCCTGCGCCGGAGGTTGCGAGGGTGAAGGCGGAACCGCCTGCGGAGGTCACGACGGTGAAGACGGAGCCACCGATGGCTGTAGAATGATGGGAAGGTAACAGGTCAGGGATCCGAATACTAGACGGGTGGGATGATGGATGTAGAGATGGAGATGGAGATGCGAAGGCGGTGGGGAGGCGGGAAAGCCGGCGAATTGTAGAAAATGCGTACAGGTGACATCAGTGAAAATGGATCCAGCTGGGAGAAAGGGAGGAAAGTCAGATCGTGATATACTTTTTTTACTGGGAGTAGAAGAGACAAACATACCACCCGCGGTGATGTCGGTGAGGACAGACCCAGCATCGGACGTCAATGAGTCGATGACACTACCAACTACACAAACCGGTCACAATCAGCCATCCCGTTCTTTCTTCACAGAGCGGCAGAAACGACGATGAATACGTACTTTGTCGCTTCTCCTCAACAGGCGCAGGAGTTGGCATGGGTTCCGGCAGAGCCGAGACGGCGAGCACGGCGAACGCGAGGACGAAGAGCGTAGAGTAGACTTTGGCGAACATTGCAGGTAGCTTTCAGGTCGCTGAACGGTGTAGGGGATGAAGGTCGCAGGAAGAAGAGAAGAAGCGATGAGAGAGTCCGTGAACTTGTCGTGTGCGGGGTTCTTTATACTAATGACTTGCAGCAATGCACGCTAAAACTCAATCGAGGTTCCGGCGGACAGAGTAGCTTTAGCGTGGCGTATCGAGGTGGTCGTCGCGAGGGAGTCGTCAAAGTCGGGGGTAAGAAGTTCAGAGAAGCTTGATGGGCAAACGGACGTGCGGAGCCTGGAGGCTATATAGCCTCTCAAACCCGGGCTCAATTGATGGATCTGCTGGAGCCCAATATTCAAAAGGTCACCTCGTGATTCGGTCTGCGTGCAAGGCGATGACGAGTTCTGTTCCGTCTGCCTGCGCACCGATGGGCACCTCCTGTTGCAGCGGTTTGCAGTGGATTTGTCTGGGAATTCGGCTGAGTGAGATGGCCTGGAGGCGGACTGGAGTACAGCCTCAGGCTACAACCGCCAACACAAGCACTGCCTATGGGCACCTACAGGTGCTTTGAAAACCCGCGGACGGCTTCAGGACGCCGTATCCTTCATCCTGAGCTCTGTTGTGTTCTTATAAATTGGCCATAAGTAGTGTTAGATAGAACATTGTCGACGCTGGAGAACCTAGCAGCCCTCAGCGCGACACGGAAATCAACGAGAAAGAAATTCACTGGAGGAAGACGATCGCTTCAAGTTTCCCCGCGGGCGCCAGCTTCCTGACGTCATCCCGGGAGGCGTCGGCCCCGAAAGGAGCTCCGCCAAGGTGATGTCGGGTCCATCGGAGCCGCGCGGAGAATGAACTGAGAAGTGTGGCGAGCAACTTGATGATTAGATAGGAATGTGGCGCCCAATGCATGACAGCGATTGATCCATAATTCAGACACTGTTATACATCAAGATGGGGAACTTCACAGAAATATCATATAATGCAGTCTACTTCACGACTGTCCTTTACACCTTCTGTGCAGTCTACCTACCTCACTTCGGTCCTCCATATTTCGATCCTCGCTTCCCACCGGTGACTGATGGGCTCCTCCCAGAACCCGCCAACAACGAGACAGATTTGATACCCACAGCAACGGTTGTCGCTCCCGCGATCCATCCAAGCTGAGTCCTCCACTCGCCAGATTGGCCGACATAGAGCGCAATGAGATCATATATGAGCGTGGCGCCGAAGATGGGGTCAGAAGTGAGGCCCTACAAAGAAACAATGCGACGGATTAGTGAAATCAACGAGAGAGAGCGAGGACGTCCGGAAGATATGGACATACGAGAGCAGTAAAACCAACACCCGTCAACGCCCTGACGAGCCCACTCGGGTTCGAGCTCCTCATCCATACGCCACCGTTATCCACGAAATCTAAAACTCCGACTCCCGCGAATGTCTTCGCAACGAAATGCAACAGCCACGATGTGCGGGTCACGTACGACTTGGTGTTGGCGTTGGAGGAAGAGGAAGTGAGCGGAAGGCCGCGGAAGTGAGGGATAGCGTAGATTGCGTAAATTTGGGAGAAGCTGTTGATGGTGACGAGGGCTTGGGAGGCACCAAAAGAGGATTTGAGCCAGAATGCTAGCCATCCCGCTGTAATACACATTTGAATACAAGGGAAGTCAATCACTCAAGCGGACTGGCAGGAATAAATGTGAATAGGGACAGAGTTCAACGTACCGATGCAAAGGTTCCCGAGCGCAAAAATGGGCGAGTACGCAAGTGACGCTTCCCTAACCTCTGCTAACTCTGCATCCTCGTCTACGGTCGGAGGAGGCATTTTCCATAGATCTCTCAACCATAAGGCTTGCCCCAATGACTGAAGTGAAAAGACGCCGGCTATGAAATAGGGGTTAGGCGAAAAGGCGAAGTGATTCTAAGCAGTCGTTCGCAGGCATCAGCGATCATGAGCTATAACATCATAAAAGGAGAAATAGTCATGGTGGAGCGGAAGAAAACGTACAGCATCAGCGACCTGCTTCATGTCCGGCTCAGTGACCATCCCATACACCTGCGTCGCAAAGTTGACGGCGAACGACGCGGTGTTTATCGCACGAGCCTGACCAAGAGAGAGATTATTTCCCATGTTGACTTCACGATTGGGGATTATATGTTATGATTGACTCGACAAAGTGACCGAACGATGGGGGAATCGTTTGCGATTGAAAGACCCAGTCCGAGTCGAGGAAAAGTTTATATAGCAGAGCGGCTTGAAGTTGATGACATCGTCAGTGACACCATTGACGCGTCGACGCGACGAGCGATCCACGGAATCAAGATGTGTCCGTGTCAGAAGAGGAGGATCGGGCTAGGATCGCGCACGGAGGTCCCATTCTGGAAGTAGCATTGACTCAAAGGGTCATCCTACTAGCGGCATCAAGATTCAAACCAGTATTTGACAGAGTTGTTGTAAACACGTGGTCAGTTATAATAAGTCAGAAGCAACTCGTCCGTTGCAGTACATACGTTGCAGTTGCGTTGCAGTGGACGACTTCCCGTAGCAAAATGATATGTTTATTCGACACGGTCACTGCTCGGCAAAGCTCACAAATGATGATCGCAGCTCAATGGTTGGCTGCCATCTTCGTTCCAGAGCGTTCCCGAGCACCAATTCCGGTGAATCAATGCCTGATAAACATATATATTTCCTACGGGAAGTCAGACAGTTATGGTTCCTAGTGTCAATAGGTGTCAAGGTCGTGCCTGGTCGACATGGCCGGAGAGGGCCGGAGGTGTTCGGACATGCCGACACCACATTTAACGCCACACAAACAGATACAAACATAACTTAACTGAGGTCTTCTTTCAACAATCGGAGATAACATATTGATGGCAGGTTTGTGAGACTCGTCTATGGTGGCGGACATGACTTCACGACAACTTTTGACACGTCTCGCGCATCCGCTACTAGGTGCTCATTTTAGCTCGGGCACTTCTCAAACTTCGCGAATGTACTCTACCTGATGTGTTGTATCGATTCTCTGGCTCAGTTTTTTCTCAATGTGTATATCGGTTTTTGCCAGACCAATTTGGCGCTTTTAATTACATAATACATCATAAATAATAGATGTGGCGCTCCCTTGCAACCGTTCTCCGTCGCAGTCTCCGTCGCAGTCTCCGTCACATCGTCCTGCACACAATGCCCCGTCCGAGAGCTTCGTCTAAACATTCTAAAAGTGATGTGAATGGAAAATTCTTATCCTCAGTCCTGACCTTGACAGAAAACTTGGACAACTCACTTGAATCAATAGACATCGAGGATAATCCAGTCTCCTCTGACGACAGCTCGGACAACACTGAGAGCGAGTGCGACTCTGATTCTGACTGGCCTGGCTCGGAGTCGGAGTGGGGAGCTATCCCTCCGCCCATCACATATATCGAGCGTGCTGAACGACGTCGCTCTGAACGCGCATCGGAGGCATTGCGCATTGCATCAATAAAGAGCGAGGAGAAGCGATTGGATGGGTGTATTGATAGGAAGGGTGGAGCAAAGGATAAAACGGGCAGGAAGCGAGGTCATTACACTGGAAACTCAGTGAGGTCAGTGCAGAGAAAGAGGGCAAAGATCATGGTCGAGGCAATGGTGCTTGGGAAGGACGAGACGGACCCTGTCATCGCTCGCCGGCTTGCAGCCATCGCTCTACCCAAGGATAACACTGAGCAATCCACACTCAGCTGTTTTTTCACCAAAGCCCCGACGCTCGCATCCACTCCCTTCACTAGCACCCTCAGCACACCTAATTTGGATGACAGAACGGCCCACGACATCGCTATTAGAAGCTCACCAGGTCGAGTCGAGTCAGGTTCGGCTGGTCCATGTCAAACACGGTTCGAGGAGGAGGAGGAAAGCGAAGATGATGAGGCGGTGATCATTGAAGGAAGGAGGAGTGCTCAAGAAGATCGAGGCACTCATCAAAGTGAGGAAGCGGGCTTATTGGGCAGGAGGGATGGGCAAGAACTTGGAGAAGCTGCCGGTGTCGGTGATGGGGATGATGACTGGAGTGATGAGGAGCCAGGAGAAGGCGATGCTGAGGTCGAGAGGGAAGCGATGTTGGCCGATGATGCTGCAGGGTGGGTGAACGATGTGCTCGACAATGTGGCACCGAAGGCGTGGTCGGAGTTGAGAGCATTGGCAGAGGAAAGCCTGAAAAAAGCACGGAAGGCGCACCTTTATCAGGATGAGGTCCTTTATGCGTCTCTTGTCGACTTCTATCGATGGGTCGAGCGGCAGGGGCGAATGAAGGCGGCCGATAGGGTGACGACGAAGATAGGGAGGGGACCAGCCTTTGCAAGAGTGCTCTGTGCGCAAGCTAAGTTCTTCGAGGTAAATGGTGCAGTAAGACCTAGTCAGCAGGGGAAGCGCAAGAAGATACCATCGCTCTTCAGTGACGAGGCCTTCCAGATGGGTATTCAGGTCTACCTTCGCACTCTCGAACCCGGGAAGGTGAGCTCATCAGCTCCATGTTCAACTGTTGTGTGTGCTCACCAATGAATATGAAGATAACACCCAAACTACTTCAGCAGCATATCACCGACCATATCCTTCCTACTCTCAACACAAAGAAGACCCGAATCAGCACAAAAACCGCTAAACGAATGCTTGTCAAGCTCGGTTATCGACGGAAGAGGCATTCAAAGGGTGTCTATTGGGATGGACATGAGAGGAAGGATGTTCGGAGGCGACGTGCGGAGTATCTTCAGGAGATGGCGGCGATCACAAGGTAAGCTGCGAATACATCGAGTGTCGGTTGGCACTGGCCCAGTGGATAGGTCACTGAGTGCTCTTTTTGCAGTCTTGTAGCCCGGTATGAAGGGGATGCGATGGAGGAGGTGCCCCCGACACTGGCAGAGGGAGAGAAAGAGCACGTTGTTGTTGTGCAAGATGAATCCAGTCTCGGCACAAACGATTACAAGAACGTTAGCTATTGGCTGAAGCCAGGCGAGCAGGTCTTGAAGAAGAAGGATCGCGGACGCACAATGATGGTGTCCGGGTTTCTCTGCGAGCGTTATGGCAACTTGGCGTTGACAGACGAGATGATCGAGTTGAATGCGAAGCTGGCGCCGGACGTCCGCATTGCTGTCACTGATTCTCGTGTGACGATCTGTCCGACATCGAAAGCTGGTGGTGACGACTATTGGAATCTAAAACAGATGACTTCTCAGGCATGTTCTTTCGTTCACAACTTTCCCTTTACAGCCTGACCTCATCACACGATATGTTCAGTTGCGGAATGCAATATTGATTGCGCACAGATTATTCCCGGGAGCGATCGTTCATTGGGTTTTCGACAACTCATCGTGTCATGACAGCATGGATGAAGATGCACTCAATGTCTCGAAGATGAACGTGAACCCGGGTGGCACCAACATTCCGAAGATGCACGCCACCACCATTCCACACGACAACCCATTTGGGCACGGCGGCAAAACACAGTTCATGGAATTTGAAGCCAACTTGCCGGACGATCATGAACACAAGTCGCACGAGGGCAAGCCAAAAGGCATGCGGGTTATCCTTCAAGAGCGAGGCTATATTCGCCAGGATGGGAAGTTCTGGGACGGAAGTCGTAAAGTCATCGGCAAGTGTGCAGCGTGCAAGGATCGGGTTTCTCGCAAGCCCAAGTTCACGCTTGCAAATGAGGGGAAGAGGAATGCCAACGTGGAGAGTGGTGGTGAAGATGACGATGACGAAGGATATGAGACGGAAGATGACAACGGAGATGGGTATCCCACTGACTGCTGCATGCAGCGTATTCTTTCGTTGCAGTCTGATTTCAAGAGCGAGAAGTGTTTGATTGAACAGGCAAGTCTCGGCCTTTCTTATGGTGCTTTAATTTGACTCACACTTCCTTTTCCCGACAGATCATCATCGCTGCTGGAGATGTCTGCCATTTCCTCCCAAAGTTTCATCCAGAGATGAACCCGATTGAGTACTTCTGGGGCTGGATGAAGCGGTATTTCCGAGAACGGTCTAACGGCAACTTTGCGCATGGTCGGAAGCTTCTCGACGAGTCCATGGAGGCTTGTCCTCTGGTGACAATTCGTCGATTCTTTCGTCGAGCTCAGCGATATATGAGCGTCTACACACTTGGCGCCACAGGAATTGCCGCTGAGCACGCAGTCAAAAAGTACAAATCTCACCGTGGAGTCTCGCAGAAGGATTTGGACGCCTCCGAGGAGGAGCGTAAGCGCAAGGATGCGAAAATATTTTCTGGGCGCACTTAGAGGGTGTCTGAAGTTCAGGATCTCAGTCGATTTGGCGGTTTTTATTAGGGTTAGGGTTAGAATTTTCTTCTCGTCCGAAATGGCAGATCTACTCTAAAGTAGGGTACAGTTTCTTAGTAGAATTTTAATCGCAAGCCTCAAAAAAAATATTTACGACTTGACATGAAGTCGTGTCCACCACCATACAGGTCAGTAATCCAGCCTTGATTGACCGTATTAAGTACTCAAAGGCTGATGAGATTGCAAGGTTTGACGTCGGGACTGGGCACCCGGCCTTCGCTGGACCAATCGACGTGACTGGGTAATAGATTCGCGGCTGGCGCCCTTTCCAGCCCGAGTCGTCGACATGTCTCTGTTATCGCTCCCGGATGAGCTTCTTGTTGAGATTTCCAAGGGACTTTCTGCCTTTCCTTTCCCCTTAGGACGGCCCATGGTGGAGCTGCATCCTACCCTGCGAGCTCTGTGCGCAACCAATCAGCGTCTACGTGCACTTTTCATGCATGAGTTTTACGCGACGGTCGTGTTCAATTTGGAACGAAAGGCTCTCCGAACGAATTTGCAGCGGGTGGACGGTTTCCTGCGAGTTATGAAGACCAGAGGAGCTTCACAGTCTATCAGGTATGTGGCTCCCAAGGATATTCGTGTGCAAGTCGGTGAGGTGAATCGCGTTTCGTTATCGATTTTTTAGAACCATCCGCCTCAGAGATTCTGAGGCGCTACCCATACGATGGCCGCAACGTCTTCCCTTTGGTACATCCATGATGATGGATATGTCTGACGAAGAGAATGCGCTGCTGCACCGAATTCTACAGGTTATCCTCTCCTCAGCCACCAACTTGATCACCCTAGATATGCCTCAGATCGACGCTCCTCTCACACGCGCAGTCATCAAAGCGATCAACTCCCACACTTACCTTCGAGAAATCATCTTTGATGACGTACAACAATTATTCTCGCTCCCCCTTACCTTCTTATCCTCGGCATCTCTTTCTCGCCTTCATTTTCGCAAGGGAAATCTCACGGACGAACTGGACACGCCGCACACACTCCCCGCACTCCAAGTGGTTCTTGCTCGCGACTCTGAGGGACCCCACATTTACAATCTCTACATTGAAGAGCTGTGCTCTTCGGCCTGGACGAGTCTCACAATCAAGGACTTGCGTACGTTACGCGTAGAGTGGTCGAACAGCGATCTCTCACCATCGTGCGGCGCGTTCTTTGATCGCCACACTCAGCTCAACGACATCCACCTCAGTGGCACTGGATTGCGCGACATTCGCGCGATCGAGAGAGCTCCTCTTTTATCCTCGCTCTACGAAGCGGGGGCTAGGCAGGGTTTATTGGATTCGTTCCGGGTAGACAGCGTGCATGTCGGCAACCGCGATGATGGCCTTTTGGAGCCACAGCTTTGTGTACGCGAAGCAAAGATACGAATAATGAAGGGGCGTGCAGATGTTGTGGCTTTCTTGTTGGAGAATCTGCCTTTCTCCAAAAACCTGCACCTCGTATGCGACAGGGATGCGAATTTTGTACCCATGGTACGTCAGCCTCGGAAATGATGCTTTCCGCTCCTTCACTTTCCTCTAACATTCGATTCACTCAAACTCCGATACATCACAGTCCGTTCTATGGGAGGCGTTTCTCTCTTCCTCTTCTAAACTCCAATACCTCCGCGATCTCTCGATCACGAAGTTCCCTCTCTGGGACGACCCGAATCAGGTCCCTCGACTCCACCTTCCCCCCGTCTCACCAAGATCAGGAAGGTCCTCCGACCAGGACGATTACAAGCACGCGCCGGAGCTCGATGAGCTTGGCAAAACCATTCAGGGTGAATATATCGAGGCGTTGGCGGATCGATGCCCGTCTTTGTCGATGGTATGCATCAGGGGTCCAGAGATGGAGGGTGTGCGTCAGGGGGTGGGATTTGAGTTTAGGGTCAATAGAGAGATAGTGAGCAGACGGATTGAAACGATTGGCATGACGGTCTATCCCATTGTATTCCTCCGTTAATGAAAGAAGGTGGTGGAGGGCTAAGGGATTTAATGGGAACCATCCAGTCATCGTGGATAACCGATGGACGGCTGACAATAGCCTTAATTGTAAATGGGTCTATCAGAATACTAATTCTGATTCTTGACACACTGTCTGATTTCTGAGTATGCATGGTCTACGATTAACATCGAGGATAACAATGCTCGCCAGACTCCAGAGATGTGTGTTCAAACTCCGACGTGACGCGCGGCGCGCGTCAGGAGGTCACCGGTCAGGCCTCAGGTCCGGAACTGATACGGGTGCGTCTGCAAGGTTGCTGCAAAGCCAACGACCACCTCTTCCTTCCCGGGCCCCCCTTCCTTCCCCATCATCTACAGTAGTCAACATGTCTTTGCTATCGTTACCAGATGAACTTCTTCTCGCAATCTCTAAGGAATTTGAGTTCTTTCCTCAACCCTTTGATCGTTTCAGTGAACATTGCGTAGTCGAACTAAATCTTACCCTGCGAGCTTTGTGCGCAACTAATACGCGTCTACGTTCAACTTTTATACATGAGCTTTACGCGACAGTCGTATTCAACCTGAAGCGCAAAGATATTCGAACGGATTTGGAGTGCGTACGGTCGTCTCTGCGAATCATGACTGCTCGAGGCACTTCAGGGTTTATTAGGTGAGTGACTTCTGGCGATATCCGTGTACAAGTCAGTAATGTGAATTGCTTTTCCGCTATCGTTTTTTTAGGACGATCCACCTCAATGACGCTGAGGCACTTCCTATACGGGTCCCAAGATACCTTGATTTCAGAGGCAGACCCGCCGTAGGGAAAGGGATGTCTGCGGAGGAGATTGCGCTGCTGTACCAGATCTTACAGCTTATCCTTTCTTCGGCCTCCGACTTGGTCACTCTGGACATGTCTGAAACAGGTGCTGCTCTCACACTCGAGATCGTCAGTGCGATCAACTCTCACAGTCACCTCCGAAAGGTCATCCTTGAGGACTTGCAGCAATTATACTCGCCTCCTCTTGCCTTCTTATACTCGACGTCTCTCTCTCGCTTTCATTTTCGCACAGGGGATCTCACAGATGAGCCGTACACGCCACACACCCACACTACCCTCCAAAATATTCTCAGCCGTGAATCCGATGGCCCTCATATCTACGAGCTCACCCTTTGGGAATCGTATTCTCCTGCTTGGACAAGCTTTACGATCAAGGGCTTGCGTACGCTACACGTTATATGGTCAGACAGCGACCTCGCCCCGTCATGCGGCGCTTTCTTTGATCGCCACCCTCTGCTGAGCGACATCCACCTCAGTGGTACTGGATTGCGCGACATCCACGCAATTGAGAGAGTTCCTCTCTTATCCTCGCTCTACGAAGCGGCACGCAGGCAGGGTTTGTTGGACACGTTCTGGATGAACCGAGTACATGTGCTCAACGGATATCTCGACCAATCGGAGCCAGAGCCCCATCTACGCAAAGTCAGTATACGGATATCAAAGAGACTTGCGGAGGTTGTGGGTTTCTTGCTGGAGACTCTGCCTGTCTTCGAAGAACTACACCTCGCATGCGATGCGGATATTCGGGAGCAGAGAAACTTTGTATCCGTGGTGCGTCAGCCACGTCCTTCACTTCACAATACTCTTCGACTGATTCACACTGTTTTCCTTTGATCACAGTCCGACCTGTTCGAGATGATCCTGCCCATCTCATCTAACCTTCGACACCTCCGTCGCTTGTCACTGAACAAGTTCCCCCTCCTGGACGACCCATTGAATCGAGCTGAGCGCTCGTCGGAGCTCCTTGAGCTTGGAGAATTTATTAAAAACAAGTATGTCGAGGTGTTGGCGGATCAGTGTCCGTCATTATCGAGGGTATGCGTGAAGCCACTGGAGATGGAGGGTGGTAGCATGGTATTTGACTTTGTGGTCAAGAGGGACATGATGGGCAGTCGTGTTGAGAAGGTTTATATGAGGATCCGTGGGATGCCGTTTTTCGGTGAACGAGGATAGTTGAGGGATAAGGGAACACAAAGGGGGCAATCCAGTCAGCGTTGGCATCCGACGAAGAACAGTGTAGTACCATAAATGCTTGTATCAAAATCATGTCTCTGGTGGCGAACGCACTTGCCATGGCGATTATTTCTGTCCTTTTCTGTCCGCCAAGATTGGATTTGTCACGTGCGCCGTTGAGCTCGTCGCGACGCGGCGAATTTGGCTTGGTTTGTCCTTGGTTTGTACGTACGGGGAAGGCCCGGCGCTGGCAACGAACATTTTTCAGCGATCTCCGGCGGGTTCATCACCTATAGCTATCACAGCGTTCACCTCCACTCAGCGAGACTGGGCAACTCACTGGTTTCTGTCCTTTTTAGTAGTCGCCATGTCTCTTGAGTCACTACCAGACGAGCTCCTTGTTGCGATCTCCAAAGAGCTCCCATCCTTTCCCGATCCCTCCAATTCTTTCGGCACATTTCCCATAGTCGAGCAGGATCCTGTCCTACGAGCTCTGTGCGCAACCAATAAACGTCTGCGTGCAATTTTTGTCCGTGAGCTTTACACGAACATTGTGTTCAATGTAAACCGTAAAGCTCTTGAAATGCACTTAGAGCGCGTGCGTTGTTTTCTGCAAGATACGGAAACTCAAGGCACCACACTGTTTATCAGGTGTGTAACTCCTAGTGTACAAATAAGTGGTAGAAATTATAATTGCATCACCCGTATCAAATTCTAGAACCATCCACCTCAGAGTTTCTGAGGCGCTGCCTTTACAACTCCCGCAATATCTTCATTTCAGAGGCAATACGAAAGAAATGTCTATGGAGATTGCGCTGATGTACCGAATCGTACAGCTCATCCTCTCTTCAGCCACGAACTTGGTCTCTCTAGACATGACTCGGACCACTACTCCTCTCACAACCGAGGTCCTCGAAGCAATCAACTCCCACAGCCGCCTCCAGAATATCATCCTTGAGGACGTGCATCAATTGTGCTTTCTTCCTCATGCCTTCCTGCTCTCGACGTCCCTCTCTCGCCTTCATTTCCGCAAAGCGGGACTCACGTACGAGATGGGCACGCCGCACGATGTCCTCCAGGCGATTCTCTCTCGCGAATCGGACGGGCCTCGCATCGACAATCTCGAGCTACAAAAACCATTCTCTCCGGCCTGGACGAGCCTCACGATCAAAGGCCTGCGTAGCTTACGCGTCGAATGGTCGGACATCGATTTCGCCCCGTCGTGTGGCGCGTTCTTCGACCGCCACACTCAACTGGATAACATCCACCTGAGTGGCGCTGGATTGCGCGACATCCGCGCGATTGAGAGGGTTCCTCTTCTATCCTCGCTCTATGAAGCAGCGGGTGTGCAGGGTTTATTGGACGCGTTCTGGGTGGACAAAGTCCACGTGCTCAACGAATATCTCGACCGTTCGGAACAAGAACTTCATCTGCGTAAAGTCAGGATCCGGATAACGAAGAGACCTGCGGAGGTTGTGGCCTTTCTATTGAATAATCTGCCTGTCTTCGAAGACCTGCATTTAGTATGTGATGCAGATTCTCGGGAGTCGGGGAACTTTGTGCCCATCGTACGTCAGCTCCGCTCGAAATGTCTTCTGCTCCTTCACCTCCTCCTATCGGTCGACTGATTCAAGCCGTCTCTTATTTGCCACAGTCCGATCTGTGGGACATGGTCCTCTCTTCCACTTGTAACCTTCAACACCTCCGCCATCTACGGTTCACCAAATTCCCATTTTGGAACGACCCAAACGATTTGCAAACGATGTTCCTTCACTCCGTCCCATCCCACGGAGCACCGATGACTGGGACGGGGAGGTCGAGTACCCACCGGAACTCAAGGAACATATAGAAACTATGAAGAGCAGATATGTCGACCCCTTAGTGGGTCGGTGTCCGTCGCTGACGTGGGTATCTGTGAGGAGACCGGAGATGGAGGGTGCAGTTGGCGCGGATGGGTTTGTGTTCAAGGTCTGGAGGGAGAGGCGTAGTAGACGGGTTGAAGCGGTCGAGATGAAAATACGTGAGGACATGCCTCTTCCTTGAGAGAATATGGTGGCTGGATAGGGGTATTGAGAGGAGCTGTGTGTATAGCGTTCGCAATCCAGCACGGGTGGTATTGTGAGTGCTTGTGTCCTTCGGAGGTGAACGCGCTTTCTGAGGCATTGGAGTGTGAAGCTGGCTACCTCCCAACCTCTCAGTAGTCCCTTCAATGCGACAGCCGATTAGACATCGCTATAAACTTACCTTACCCATCAGAACTCTTGGAAATCCCTGAGAGGCCCTGAGAAGCCCTGAGCGGCCCTGACGATCCGTTCCGCGAAAGTCCGTGAGGTCTCGAGAGCGCGTCAGGGCCTGTCAGGGCTCTCAGGGTGCGTCAGGACGATCAGGACGATTCTGGTCGTTGTGTGGCACCAGAAAAATGATCATAAATTCATATAAATAATCGTATTTACATGCGAAGCTACATAAAGAGGTCTACAGAGGCTCTGCTTTCGAGTCCACCAATTTTCCTTCATGTTCAAAACAGTCACTCGTGTTATACACACTGTTCTTGAGACTACACAAACGTTAAACTGCCCCAGACCCCACTCTCTCGACTTTTCCTTGCTCTGATAGACTACATGGCCTGCGAAAACGGGTAAACTTGTTTGACTCCATGAGATTATGCAGACCAAGTAAGGGTGGAGGTTGAATAGATAAGTAGATATGTTAAGGGGAAGGCGATAGAAGTAGAAGAGCCGATGAGCTACGAAGTGCTGGGGGTCAACAGAAGAACAAAGAAGCGCGTACTATCCGGTTGTATCTTCAGCAAACCAGTCGTCCATGACGCTTTGAAACACACGCAAGGAAGCATGCATGCTTCCATCGCGATCGAGCGTTGGCGTAGTGTTTTGGACCGTGTACGATGCACATCTGCACAGAAATGACATATCCAGAATCAAAAACACAATCGCAAGAGAGGGGTGGGAGGAATAAACTCACGCCAAAAACGACATCTTGCGGCGAGATGCGACGACTCTCAACCTCGCCGCTATCCCCTGCAAGCACCGAGCGACAATGAAGAAAAAGAATATAACAAGACGAAATGAAGTATAAGTTCGAGGACGTACAATGAAGTAACGTGTTCCTCTTGCTCATCATCGCTCTCCTCGGTGCTACACTCACAGCCGCTGCATCGAGCACAATGATTGTATGGTGAGGCCGAGATCACTAGAAGAAATAATGCCGTTGTCTTGACTTGTCGATAAGGCCGGCCACTTTGACGTTGCAGTGAATGAAATTGTTGATGTGATGTAACTGCGTGATTTGGATTGAGAAAAGGGATCAAGATAACATACGTACAGGTGGGATTGTAGCGCCTTTATTTCGCTGGCCCGGTCCATAACAGGGTCCTTACCGAGGGAATATAGAACGATGCACAGGGAATGCTTGACAGAGACAAACGAGGTACGAATACAGAACAGAGACGACGCCGGACGACGCCCGACGCAAGAGTTGAACAGAGGACAAACAAACGTCAACAAATTCGACGTGGCATTTTCAGAGTTTGTTGTCGAAGTGTCGAAGCCCTTACCCTCCTTCACCCTCTCCCCGACTCGGCATCATACACCGGCCCACACTAGGGCTACGCACATGTCGGTTGAATCCTCAGACTCTCGTAACCCGGAGCGCCGAGTCTGCACTTGAAGTTTGCGAATGTGAAAGTAAATGTTGGTAAAGAATCCTGCAAGTGTGAAGGTGAGCCTCGTCGTATGTCTTCAGCTTGTAGTGAGGCATGGCGGCTGGTCAGGCAGGCGAGCGATGAGCATGGCGCGGGTGCGAGCGGTTTTGAGCTGCTGATGGGCACGGCAACACTTATTTTTGAGCTGGAAGTCGAGGTCTTCTTGCTCGAGGTGGGTATGTGCGATCGCCTGGATGCGAAGCATGCTTGTCGATGCGCTCGCCTTGGTCGATCTCGACTACTAGGCGATCCCGGGCCTGGGGTACGCGGTCGAGGAGATCGCGAGGGAGAAGACAAGGATAAAGAGGAGGGGGAAGCCGTTCGTGCTCGGGGCGCAGCGGTATTATGCGTAGGTCAGCGCGATGAGGGAGGAGTGCCCTAAGGTCGGGGGCGCAACATCGTCGACGTGTGGCCTGTGCATCTGCGGGAGTGGTATGCTAGCGTGGATGGGTAGCAGGCATCTGATGTCGACTACTCGTTCTCCTTTCTAGCCTCAAGCTCTACTCAGGTACGACTGCGGGCCGTCGAGCTCATCCTGCCCTGCTTCCTACACCTCGACAAGGCACTCCTGCCGCTGTATGGAGACCATCAGCTCGACAGCCTCGCCATCGCGGCCACCGTCATCTCGACTCTGCTCACACGTTCATCTTGTGCTTGTGCCGAACGCGCTTTGTCCTGGTTGAGGCGTCCCACCGCAGAGATGTTGGCCGCCGCTGGGATCAATGCCGCAGACTGGCCTGGTCGACTGTCATTCCACCCGCTTTGCGTCTCGGCCTTGCATTATGTTCTTTCCTCATACGACGACGGTGGCAGGCGCATAACCGTCCTCGCAGAGGACGCACATGACCCCGCATCCTCAACCATCCTCGCATCCTACATCTCCCATCTCCTCTCCATTGCCACCACCCACTCCCACACCTCCTCAAACACACATCGAACGAACTATTTCACGTACATCCTCGCCCTCACTCTCTCCCACTCCCCACCCCAAACGCTCACCCACCTCGTCTCCCTCTATTTTCCTCCCCCTCCCCCTCATTCTCCCTCTTCTGCCTCGATATTCGCCCCTCCACAACTCCCACCCGTCTCGTCCACACTGTCTTCGAACGCACAGACGTCCGCGACCTCCCCGAGTTCGAACAGCGTCAAATCACTCTCGCCCTCCCCCGGTTCGTCTTCGTCCCCGTGCAATGGCTGAATCTTAATTTGGAGAAGTCGAGGTTACTGATGCATGCGTCGGTGGCACTACAGTCGCAGTCGCATGCGCAACTACAAGTGCAATTGCGGATGCACGGGCTGCAGAGATCACCACCGACGTCTCTGAGGCCGTTAATTAACCCGATGACGGCGATGATTCATTTCCGCCGTCTCGTAGCTTGTCCGGACTTTGTGTTCATGAAGATAGTATAGTGTATTGTATTGTGGTTGTAAGATCTACGGTGTTGTCTGTCGGAGTCCCCAACTATATACATTGTTCTGCGAATAGAAATACATTTTGGGCCACACAACGACCAGAATCGTCCTGACCGTCCTGACGCACCCTGAGAGCCCTGACAGGCCCTGACGCGCTCTCGAGACCTCACGGGCTTTTGCGGAACGGATCGTCAGGGCCGCTCAGGGCTTCTCAGGGCCTCTCAGGGATTTCCAAGAGTTCTGATGCCTTACCTATCGATCCAGTCAGACGAAGATTCCTGGTCGCGCTCAGTACGGACCTCCAAATACTCGACACACTAAGTTTGCGATAACTCGGCGCCAAGTTGAGTCCCTGGAAGTACAACTTCAAGGGCATGCAGAGCGACTGTGAGTAAGTGCAGTAACAGCGCCTCGCTGAGCTATATATACTACAGCACCCAGGCTCGTTCTAATCTAATCCGAGTCTTTCGTGTTCATGATACTGTACCCGATTTGGCACATATCAAGTTCTCCCGCATTGAGCACATGTATACGGAACCACATATGTTTCCGAAACCCTCTATTACCTACTACGCCCGAAAACATCGAACAACCTAAATACGCCACAGGGTCTAGCCTGTCTAAAGGGCCGTACATAAATTCAACCCGTCCCGTAAATAAACGCAGACGCGAACGCCACACCTCCAGAGCCCCACCAATCGCGATGGGATAATTGACCGTCATCATCCGAGTCCATCATACTTAATGCCACGAACATCTCGGAACCGTGGCGTCCTCGGCCTTCTACTTCAAGTTCTCATGCACCCCGTGTATGACGCCGACGCCACTCATGATCAGCCACTGCCAGTCCCTAAAATTAGAGTAAAGCTCGAGCTCAGAGCTCGGACACTGACAGCAGGATTGGGATTCGCAGGCACCGTAACGGTAACGCTATCCTTACGCACCTAAGCATGCACATCGCACAAGGGACCGTCAAACTCAGTCTGACGTCCTCCCTCTCTTCCTCCCCTCGCGCCACACACCTTACACTATGCACTCGTGCATGCATGTGTAACCGTAAATGTTAACGCCACCGAATCGGCGAGTTGACCTTGGCAGGCTTGGTAAATGCGTGACAGGAATCAGGCTTCCGAGATCGAACACACACGGACGGATATGCATGCAGGGAAATGCACGGTCAGACAAGGGACAGGAGAGGGACGGGCCCAACGACAACATCTAAGATATCAATTCGTGATGATGCATACTAATACGAACGAATAAAATCAGCCGGCCAGATTACAGCCTCTATTGAAGAACGAAAACGGAGGCTGGTCGGACGGATGATGGAAGATATGATGAGCATGGACGATGCGAAGAACGAAAACAAAGCCGAGAGCGAAGAGTGATTACTGCGAGTTCGAGTTCGAGTTCGAGAAAACGCTGAGTGGATTGTACGAGAATGAAGGGCGAAAACGAGACGTCGAGAGCAAGTGACGGGGGTTTTGCATAGCCCGATCGGAAGCGAACAGAGCGTTGATGAAAGAAAACGAGCGAGAAGACGAAGATGGAAGGAAAGAAAGAGGCAAGACAAGACGATGAGCGACGACCAGCGCGTGTCGCGTCATTTATGGATTGGAACGAATAAGGAAGAGAGGCATAGACAGACAGCGAAGGAACGAAAGCAAATGGATTGAAAAAGGATGATATGATTTGGGATTATGGAGCGAAGTCCGGTTGCTATTGTGCGCGAGTACGTATCGTATGCGGGTGAACATATGGATTGAGTGGATGAGTGAATGCGGTCATGGATGAGTCGTGAACGTTTATGAGTATGCTACAAGCTTGAGGGTCCGAACGAAACGAAACATGGAACGATAACGGGACTGATGAAAGACGAACGACGAAGAGAGAAGACGAAGGCATGCGAGTATGGAGGCATGCATTGTGGAACCGAACGAGCAACCGAGAATCAGAAAGCCGGATCCGAGCGCTAAACGATCAAAAAGACGCCACGCCACAATAATCAGCACACGTCTCGCCACACAGGTCAGAGCAGAGAAATGCTCACCACAACGGCCCTGAATACCTCCGCATTCCTGACAATTCTACAGCTCACTCCGAGCTCCGCACACCTCCTCTTCAACTCAGGAAGCAAAGGATGCTTCTCACCTCCCTTCCATAGCATCAACACCACGCTCCGCGGGCCATCCTCTCCCAGACTCGCCACCAACGGCCCCAATGAGGTATTCCCATCCACACCCAGAGCGATGTCCTTCAAAGCGACGTCCTTCCTAGGCCTGAAGGCCGCAGACCGTTCGATGCTCAAGCTCTCCAACGCGGGGCATTCCTTCGCCAGGACCGTGGCCTCCGAAGCCCTCAACGTCGGAAGCGAAAGGGACTGCAGCTTCGAACCGTGCGCGGTGAGGATGTGCTCGAGCGCAGCGGAATCGCTAAACGAGACGTGCAACGACCGGAGACTCTCAGCCTTCTCGGTATCGTGGAGCAGCCAGTCGAGGAACTCATAACTCGGAGCAGGCGGGAAGTTGAGACTGAGACTGGAGAGCTTTAGCGCACATGGCTCTTCGGCGACAAGCTGAGGTGGGTAGCCACGAAGCGAGAGGTTTTGGAGGCTGGGCCAGGCAGAGATGAGCTGAGGGAGAGCGGAGAAGTTGGTGGACCAGTTTGTAAAACGAAGAGAAGTGATGGTGCACGATGCGGAACGGAGGATGGAGAGCGTCTTCTCATCGAACGTCGGCGTTGGGTTCTTCTGGCGGGAGAAACTGAGAGGGGAGCCGTGTGTATTTTGGGAGGCGGCGTGGGGAGTGGGTGGGCCGTAGAGCGTGAGGTCGATCCCTTTGAGGTTGGGGCACATTGTTGTGGCCAGGGCGAAGGAACGAGGAAGGAGACGGAAGGGCTGGGAGGGATCGATGGTTGCTCGGAGACTCCGTACACACGAAGCGAGGGCACGACCACGTTCGGTACCTGGATCGACAGCAGCACGGAATGTGTTGGACGAGCGTTGCGAACGGAGATCGATGTTGCGGAAGAGGAGGGTCTGGGCTGGAGTAGACCATGATTTACAGACAAGGGAGCAAGCGAGGAGGAGAGACGTGTCGGGTTCATAGGTCGGGGTGATGGATGCGAGTTCGACTATACTGAGGATAAGTTCGGCTGGGAGGGTGGCCGGACGGGCATTAGGCTTAGGTTTACAGGGTGCTGGGGGAGCAGGGGGGTATGCGAGCGTAAGGTCAATCGTGATGTCTTTCGACGGGGTCTGTGTTCGGTTCATGTCAGTCACGAGAGATGGAAGGACCAAGTATAGTTCACGTACGGCAAGCGTGAAGGGCCAGAAAAATCCGGGAAACGAGAGCTGCAGGTAACCCATCGTATTCGTCAGAAACTATGTTCAGGATTCGTCGGTCGTCGGGTTCGGGTCGTCGTCGGATGCTCGAGCTAGGTGATGAACACGACGTGACTGAGAGCCGCCCGGGATGACGAGGAGAGCGCGGGGGGATGCAGGGAGGACGGCATGGGGGCGTCGAGCGTTGGGTATATATACTTTCCCTCCATCCGTTCAGTGAGTCAACCCAAAAATTGGCACGGCACTGGCACTTGGGCAGAAGCAAGAGATGTGATGCACCGCCGAGCAGCCGGAAGACAAAGGCCCCTGGCGATGGGGAATTGCCGTAACTGTCTGCCCGTTTCGAGCGCCCTTCGCTTCCCTCAATCCCTTTCTGGGCATCCAGCGATGCGCGCTGCCTCTTTTTTGCTCTTCCAATGGGGATCATCTCAGCAAAAAAAAAGTTTCAGTTGGCGGTGAGTCAAGCAGCGGCATGCTCGAGGTATAGTACCTCATCCCATCACACTGCCCCCCGAACGCCGCGCCGTTCCAGCGTTCTTGGCCCACCGAACACTCAGCGTCACTTCACTCGTTCAGGCGGGAGGCGGTGGGCAAAGTTGCTGTAGAACGATATCATGATCCATGTGTTTGCTGTGTGTTGATGCCATGATGCGAATGGTATGTCTTCACGACGCCCCTGCGAACTGATGGCGCCCGATTGTTCTTGGTCCCACCCACAGCAGCTGCTCGCTCTGGCAGAGGATCCGTCCGAGGAATTAATTCACCCACGCCCGCTAGGAGATCACTGCGGTAAGGTTGGATGGGCGCGTGAGCGTGTACAATATCCCGAATCACCGCTTGCTCCGATATGATCTTATTGTCTTTTTTTCACGCCTTTCGTCCCGGGTTGCCCTCGAACAAATAGACAAGGCAAGCAACAATAACACTCGCTTCGCACGATTATCGTCAGAAGATCATCTCAGCTCACTTGGACCCTGTGGTTCGCGATGCTACCCGTTTGGAGTCTTGCTACGCTGACCTGACGCTTTGTGGCGGGTTTGCTGTGGACTTTCGCCTGAACGGGGCAAAGGCATAGTTGTAGGCGCCTATTGGTCCGCGGTGCACGCCGCGCGTTAAAATGCTTTTTTTCTTTTTTTTAATCTTCGACGGCGTTGGGGCTGCTCCGACGCCAGTCCCACCGGGGAGGCGGGTATGCAGGATGTGTCATTCCATTATGTGCCGTCACCGACATCAACCCGTTCGTCAACGGATCGCGGCCATCTGCGTCGACACCGGTCAACGATGATGCGGCTTGGAAGGTGACCGGCCCCATCGTTTCAGTGTTCAAGCTTTCAGGCTTCAACCAGTGATCATACGTCGTTCGTTGACGGTCTCTGTCTCCGCATGTCACCCCTCGTGGGTCGGGTATGGCGCGGTTTCACCTCCTGGCCTCCTGGCGATCGTACGCGTCGTCCTGGCCTGATACAAATTCGCTTCAACCTCCATCCCTGCCTCGTGGTACGCGGACAAAAGGCCTTATTAAATTGCTGCGTGGGGCGAACGAAATGAACTGTTTTTACGAGTACTTGTCATCCTCGACGGGGAACTCATGCTAGTCATACATACGAGATGCTGAATTTTGAGTTGCTTCGATCGTTGGCGGACTCGGAGAACGCGCCAAGTTCTCCCGCTCTTGCGCCTTCTCATCTTCGAGGCTTCTCCTGCGCCTGAATTTCGCCATTTAAGGAAGCGCATGGAGAACGGCGAACGCGCGAACGCACGAATGGATGGAGGGATAGATGAATGGCATGGCGGAACGACGGCGGCGAGGCTGAGAAGGGTCGGTGTTGTTATTCGTGGCGCCCATTCCGGGCAGTGCACCCCACGCGTGCGAACAACGTAACTTTCGAATGTGCCCCAACTGGCTACTTGCACGATGTGATGCATATGGGGTGTGACGGATATTCCTCGCGGCTAGTGTACAGTGTCCTTGGGCGTTCAAGGACATCATGTTCTCTCGCGCTCGCGCTTTCTGCAGTCACAGAGCTATGTTAGTGCGACTTATCTCGAGGACTGCACACGGCTTACATGCCTCAAGGCGAGACCGTAAGTACTTGTACACCATACCTCATTCACGCATCTCTCATCCGTCGTACTCGACTCAATCGCCGCTACTAGTCTACATGCGGCGGTGCTCCACCGGGCATCGTGCATATTGCACCCGTCTTACCTCCTCCTACCTCCGCAAATATCCATTCGCGGCAAATTCGCCTTCCTATCTCGGACTTGCATTCACCACGAATGGCCGCTGGACTAAAAGGGACACCGCAAGCTCAGGTAAGTCATGAAAAACACGAGCTCGGCATGAACTAATTACTTTACATACAGAGGCAAATTTCCCCACATGAGCTTACTCGTGCTGATACCACCAAGCTATCATTGGCTGCTGGCCTTCAGGCCATTGCGTCAGCTCGACAAATCGGACGTATGGCCTAGTAAGGGTCCGTTTAACGCGACATACCGACGAGGATTGCCGTTTCCAGCCTCGTCAGTCAGCGTCGACCGATAAGTATCCAGTCATCTGCGGCGGTTCAGCCATGAATTTAAGCCTTCGTGGCGGGGACTTTTCCTCCTTGGAGAACAACGCGGTATTCTCTAAATGTCACTCCTGCGTCCCGCTATTCTACTTACTCTAAACGATCGTTTCACGTCCGGTTCATTGTCGCCCGAAAGCGGTGGACCGTAACCATAACTGAATCACCACGAGGTCGATGACCAACGTCATCAAATCGCAAGTTTGTCGGGGTGGGTGCTGCACAGGTCCCGTCTATTCCTTTCAATTAAAGCTTCATTTCACGCACCCGCAGGCCGCAGCGCCAGCGTCGTCGACCTTTCCAGAACCCAACGTTCAAATCTCCCCCTTCAATTCTTCGTGTCCCCCCCATCTGAATCCTCCCGAGCACCCCGACGTTCATCTACACATGGACGTCACGCACGGCGTTCGCTCGGACGCGTCAAAAAACCTTACTTCGAAGGATTAGATGGCGAACGTGCACCTATATCAAGATACCTGGCGTCTAAAAACCCTGCATCCAAATGGCGAAGGAGTGCCCCACTTTGGATTATTTCAACAGTTCAGTCTTCCGCGGATCACAAACTCGGACAATTACCTTCCCAAAGGAGATTTTTGTCCAGACTCGGTGCTCACTTCATTGTCGACGCGCATATGGAAGGACCAAGGTTCTATTTATGGGCGGTTCGTGCCCGGATCTGTGCGAGGTGTGTTCTCAGGCCTTCAGGGCGTGTCGATTCATTGCGGAGGTTTTCGTGAGGAGGGCATATGCATATGAGGGTGCCAGTACGCTGATACTTGCATTTACAGGAATACCTCGACTACTCTGATTTGATTTGAATGAATGGCGGGAGCGTTCTGTCAGACGTCGGGAGATTTGAGCAGCGGCTTTTGCATGACAGAAAGGTGCGTTTTGTGCTGTCTGTAACGAAATGTGTCTGGGACGTTCTCTCGAACTTCAATATACGATGTCAATTTCGCTATCGACGTTTCGTGTCGAAAAATTATGGATTTTCGGGACATGTTCGCGGAGCTCATGCCAGTGTACTGCGCTTTGTGGTTGCAGATGAGTACCCACTGAGCGTGAGCAGCTCAATGACGTGCTGAGGACTAGACTGGTGATCGCGCCTCTACAGTCCGGGGTGAAAAGGTGACGGTTTCGTGAGTACCTGAACTATGGACGCGATGACCAGCTGTCGCAATGAACCTGTGGAATAAATCGCCCCCAAGCTCGTTCTCTCACTGTCGTCGCTTTTTCTTCCTCTTCTGCATCTTTAACCAGGCATGCGTCGTCCCTCTGTTCTCCGCATCATCGACGCGCGTTCATGCTGTCCGGTACCGCTGCTAGCCAGCATTCTCTAGCATTGCGGAATAGACATGATCAGAATTCTCGAGATTTTCTCCTGTTACCGACACCTCTTACCTATGATCTCGTACGTTCTGGCCCTATCCTTCACGTCGCAAACTACATTTCCGCCGTCACCTAGTGCTCTCGACACTCGGCCTGCTGCATGGCATAGCACATAGCCTATCAGGATTCTCAGGGCCTCTGTCATCCATCCTTGTGGCGGCGCCACAACGCCGCCTCCGAGTCTTTCTTGCCTCAGATTCAGATTGCCTATAAGTTAACGTTTCCGATTTCCGAACGTCGGTCAATCCTCCAGTCAGTCAGTCAGTCAAGGACTAGAGCTTAAATTCTAACTCCTGAGCTACGGCGACTCCCCCTCAATATCATTGTTGATATACCGACCGGTGGGTCTGATCGCCAGATCAGCGCTTCATGTACGGAGTGTCGTCATTGCAGGCTACATATCGCTGCCTAAATACTGATGAGCGACGGCCGCACCTGGTTGAAAGTCGAATGTATACTCAGATCGCCCGACAGAAACGATGTCTAATCGGGGACTCGCTAGGACCACGAGCAGAATGGATAACCTGCACTCAGGTTTATCCGAGCACCTGCGACCGAAGAGGATGGCATCAATGTAAAGTCGCCGCTGGTGTTGAGACATCGAGTATAGTGACAGGAACACTGTGGCACTCGGACACTCGACTCGACCAAGCGAGGAGCACGCATTCGATCCTTGGACCGAATCTCGCTTTTTCGTCTGTACTCGTGCTGCTCTTCCACACTACAAAACTTGAGGGACGATCCTTCTCACTACGTATGGGCCACTGACAATGTTGACTGACCGAAAGAAATGTGAAAATATCGCGAAATGTTTGACGTAGAGGACAAGAGACGTCGACGAAGGACAGGACCCACAGCGCCATTTTTGCGAGACTGACCGCACTCTTCACTACGGTGTCGAAATACAAATGAACACACAACGATGCAATGTACCAGTCACAACGTTCACAAATCTACCAGCCTCTAAATTGCTCCGATCGCCACACAACGTCACCCATACTCGTACGAATTTACTGCCCTGCTCCGGCTTCCTGTTCCTCGTTCTCGCCTTTGCCCTCGTCATCGTCTTCTTTCTCTTCATACAGTGTCAACCGATACCTCCTTTTCCCTGACCTCGACCTCAACACATTGACTAAAGAGCTTAACTTGCACATGGTTACTCTCTTTGCGCTCCACCCCCTTCCTTACAAGCCCCCCTTTCTGCGCATCACTGCCCACCTTTATGATCTCCCTCCGGACCGTGTACATGAACGTACCACGGATGAACCAAGTCTCACTCGTGCTCGTCCCTTTAATCGACACAACCTCTAAACGTGGACAGTGTCTTGCGAGTTCCTCGACTTTGAGTGCTAACAAATCGGTGAAGCCGCTGAGCATCTCCGGGACAGCAGAGTTTGTGCAATGCTCTGGATCGCGCATGACTTCGCCATAATAAGTAAGGGTGGTTTCCACGCGCTTCGCCCTTGTTGTATCGTTGGGGAAGCGTTGCGAACGTGACTTCGAAAGTGGTGGGTTGGGGAGACGAAGGTCTTGTAGCCTAAGTGAGGTGACATATTCTAAGTTGGGTGGGTTGTCGATTATGGCGTCCCAGACAGCAGACTGAACATTTTGAAAATTCGGGAACTGGATAGATGAGGATGATGGAAAAAGTGGAGATGTTGGAGATGAAGACTCGCCGTGGTGAAACTATCGCCTTTCTCATGACTCTCCGTTTCTTCAATGAATAGCATGCGGCAAGGCGGCAAGTTCTCAAACAAGAACAGGAGAGTGCCTTCTGCATTGTCTTTTATGACAATCCAAGCGTGTTCTAGATCCCACGGCGTGGGAAAGCTGGCGTCGGGTTGAGTAAGACGCCTCAATTTTAGCTCCTTGAAATGCCAGAACCTTGTCGGGTCATCGGTGTAGAGCGAATCGAGTCCGGGGATATTGACGACGGTTTGAGGGCCTTGCAATCCACGACCAGACAGAGATACTGACACTAATTCTGGATGACGAAGGAAGAATGTTGGAGCATCTCCGCACCAATCGAAGTCGTCCTGTGAGAGAGAGCAGATATACAGTTTCTGTAGACCTGGGATTGTCAGGCGTGTCCATGGAATTGGCGGTGAAGAAGGTGGGAAGACGACGTGGAGATATCGGAGATGTGGACCGACGAGACCGCAGGGATCAAGTGCGCGGGCACTCGTGAGGATCTCTGGCAGCGGGTCATTCCAAATGAATAAGGCGCCGCAAAAGATACGAGACATAGAGACTGAGTGGTAGAATGCAGGCGAAAGGGAAGCTAGTTGCTTAATATCCTCAATGTAGAATGCTTTCAGAGATGGGTGCGAATTGGCGGCACTGAGGGTGCGTTCGTCGAGATGAGTGTCCTTGTCCACCAACCGAATCGTCGTCAGTTTAGGCAAGCTGAGTAAGTTGTATGATAGTTTTTGCAGGGAACGGTGTTTTCCTGTGTCCAATATGTGCCAATCTACGAGAATGTGTCTGCGCATGTATGCTTTCAGAAAGAAAATTTGGGAAACAATATCAAGGGGTAGTTACGGACCGTATTTGGATTGAAATTCTACCGTCAAGCGTCAAGCCCTGGATGACACGCGTGAGACGGTTAGGATCGAGCGTTCGTTCTATGTGAATGACAACTTCGTTGTAGAGGCGACAGGCGGAGATATTTCGGAGACGTCTGTTGGTAGCATAAATACTTTTCAACACAGGGTTCAGCTGGATCAAACCACCGCCAGGTGCTGTGGTATCTAGCGATGCCCACTCGTCCAAGGGGGGAAGACAGTCGAGGATGCCATGGATTGTTTCGTTCGCAAGCGATAATAGGGACGTCGGATGGGCCATGTTTTGCTAGGCAGAGTCAGATATCAACCAGTAAATTGAGAGTAACCTACTCACATACCGTGTCTCAAGGTTGAATGTCAAAGGGAGAAGGGAGAGTTGAGGGAGAGCGCATTGGTCATGTCAGCCGTCGGACATTGAAACGCACTGCCGCAGCGGGCGGCGAATTGCGCTGATTCGTCACATTTGGTGCCACTCACGATTCATACCGCGACCGTCACCCATAAATCTCGAGGTTGCTGGGTTCATCAATCTCTCAAGAATGACTGCATCGCAAGGACACAAACCGTACATCGTATTCGGATATGGGTCATTGATCTTCAAGGTCGGTCTGGTCTACTTTTCCGAGTTTCGGCAAGTTGATGATCTCCTGAATCATCTATTAGCCTCCGCCACATACCATCGCAGAGAGTGCGTGCTTATGAACTTTCCACTTTGTACGACCGTGGTATAGTCTCTTTAAGCTAGATACTAACTGCACACATTATCGGTGGCATAGCGCCGGGCTACCTCAAGGGATATGTACGACGATTCGCGCAGAAATCGCACGATCATCGAGGAACGCCTGAGGTGCGTCGGATCACCCTCCTCTCCTCATGGAGAAAATGAGACCACAGTATGAAAATGGTTGTCGTGCGTTACTAATCAACTTTGCTTAGAGCCCTGGAAGAGTGGTAACACTTGTGCACATGGAGGATTGGCAAGAATTCTCGTCCTCCGTGAGTTATCGATTAAATTATCACGAATTGTGGTACTCTGCCTCATCATGACTCTGAAATTCAGGACCCTTTCCCTCGCGAAGACGTGGTATGGGGTGAGCTCTCAACGTGCTGGATCTGCACTAATCTATGGCGCTCATGTTGTAGTAGGTATTGCATACACCATCGACCCAGTTTATGCATCTGAAGTTCGGGATTACTTGGGTATTTACCCCCTGAGCTTTGTCTTTCCATTCATGTTAACATCACGCGAATCTTGTTTCGTCGAAGATTACAGAGAGAAGGTATGGCATCACGTCGTCTTATTCTTGCATAATAGAATGCCATTGAACGTCGTGTAGGACGGCTATACCCTAGAATATGTCGACATCTATGGCATCAAGGACGGCAAAGAGATAGTCCTTATCCACCAAGCCGTCGTACGGCCTTCTTAAACATCTACATATCGTGTACAACTCATGTCCTATCCGTTTTCAGTGTTACGTAGGCCGGAAGGATAACCCTTCGTTTAGTATGTTTGTTGCTCATTCGTACCTCTGTTGTTCCACAAACTAATGTGTGTGGTGCAGACGGATCTGAACCTCTCGATGAACTCGCCAATACGATATGGCACTCGGTCGGCCCCTCTGGGCGCAACAAGGTCAGTCGATGTTTGCTCAGGAATGCAAGCCCTTTTGGGGTGCTGGTGACGACTCATGCTCCTCAGGATTACTTATACGAGCTAGCAAAAGCTGTACACAAGCTGTCGCCGGATTCGTTCGACTCTCACCTGTTTGCGCTTGAGGTGGGTCTTCCATCCTCCCCCAGTGAACTATGCACAACCGCGAATTATTGATCCTTCACATTCTCTACGATCATCAACGATGGGCTGCATGTAGGGTAGGTTGAGGGAGTTGGACAAGACTCACGGACAAGACGAGACTGTGTAGAGACCAAGTTTTGTACAGAGAATGATTCGAAAATGAATGCCCAGAGTGATAGAGTCTAGTTGAATGCTCCATATAAACAGAAGGGTCTCAAAGCATCATATCACGTATCGGAATGAAGGACAAAAGGTTGCCGCCCCTGTAAAGATGCATATGCGTTGGGCAAAGAAGAATAGTGCCACACCTCAGACACTCGTGTGGCACGGACATCGGGGACGGCCGGGCACCACGTCAGCTGAGCTTCAACCTGCTTCAACCTTCTTGCTTCCAGCGCATCTTGCACGCGTTCCTCCCTGGTGCAAAATCGTCTGGTATATGATCCCTAGCACATATCTTTGAAGTTATTCAACTTTGCGATCGCTGATAATAATTGCTCGATTATATAGGCTTGTCGGCGATGACTTTGCGAAGACAGGCAGTGCTTTCCTGTTCGCGCTTGCACGCGAAACAGCTTACTAGCCTATCACTCCCAGGCCCCCCTCGAGCAACATCAAAAATGGCGTCGTTACTTGTGCTATTGCCTGAGTATTCTTTGTGTCCGTCCAGGCCTAATCTATATGTATGTGGTACTTGCTCTTTCTTCTAGCTCCTGTTTCCAGCCTCGATCTGTCTTGATGATGCATCTTTGAAACTTGCAATTTTATCTGAACTGGAATCGAACCGTATTAACTCTTGTATCTCTCTTTAAAGGTGAGATACGCTTCAACATCCCGCAAAATAAAGAATACATCGCAAGTCTCACCGACGGCAACGCCACCTCGACCTGCAACGCGTACTAGACGACTGATTGAAACTCTGGATCCAGCCCACCTTCGTCCCTCAGACTTCCATGACATTTCAGGTGAAATAAGCCCAATATACCGCCATCCTACGATTACAGATCACACAGCGTGGGCTCCGAGATATTACTCCCCACGCATTAGCCCCGCCGTACCTTTTCCACCAAACACACACGGCTTCCTCTATTACACCTCTCTGGCTTCGGCCCGCCCTCCAGTTCCGGATAACCTGACATCTGAACTCGGGAAAATACGCTTTCGGATTACGCCCTCGAGCGACCCATCATCTTTTGCGCACGGGAAAGACCTCTTGATGCCGAACGGTCTTACATGGCACACGGTTCCTCGTGCCCCATACAATTATCGGAATGGTCGTCCTTCATTTCTGTGGAAGCTGCTTCTACGTGACGGTCTCGTGTCAGACTCTATCACGTACAAGCACAAGCAGCGACATTCGAGTGACGACTTGACACGATTTGGCCAGCCTTTCCCTGTCAAGTTCGCGGGCCTAAGGTTCACTCATACTGTACGTTTGGGCGATATGGGTCAGGAGTCTACCGCAAAGGAGACGGCACAATTAAATATCAGGAATCCGTTGCGTCCTTTACTTGCCACTGGCGTCGAAGGCCCCAGCCTTTACAGTGGTAAGCCGCCTTTAAATACGCTAGTTTCGTCTTATTATTGGATGGATGTATGTTTCTGACGCTTTTATATTTTATTCAGGGTCTGCGCTCTGCTGTTTCGAAAAGTTCGTCGACCTCCACCATCCCTCAAAACGGAGCGTGGTGATCAGAGTCCTGAAGATACTTGAACCGGCCAAGGCACTAGGGCAATTGTCCTCGAAGCGAAAGACCATGCCAGATGCGCCAATCGAGGGCGAGCTCTTGCCTGCTACCAGTTCACGTCACAAGTGGATATATTCTTTGGACGACGCAGCGGATAGGAAGTCGAAGGGTGGGACTGCCCGCGGAATTGAGATTTTGTTCGAAAATGAGATGCTGGAGCAAAAGAGGATTCTCGAATGAGGAAGATCTGCGCTGGAGACGACGGCATGGATAGATTTTCTCGCGCCATGGGGAGGTCCATTTTGGTGCTAACATTGCTCCGGAGAGGCAAACCAGTCCTGTTCATTTATGTGTAAAGAACGGAAATAATAAACCCCATCTATATGAGCTTCTACGAGGGACGAATTCTTGCTTGCCTGTGTATTCTGTCTTCTGAAGGCGCCACAGTGGCCCTGCTCGGCACTGACCCGGTCAATTCCGAACGATGCTCAACCAGCCTGCTAAACTTCTGAACTGATACATCTTGAACGTCCAGAATACACTCGTATCCTTGGTCGTCTTTTTGTCATCCCCTTTTCTTTCCTTTCCTTTGGGCGATTAGAACTAAGTTCAACAACACGGAGCGGTCCCTCGGGCGTTTGTATTTGATCATATTACTACTGACTCGTGCCTGGTAGTGCGATAAGTATGCCGCCCGAGTTTTCGTTCTCTTCGCGTCCTCCATTCGTCTTACCGACTTGAAAGAGGTCCTATATATCCAAGGAGCCCTTGTTCGCAAGGGTGTCGTACTTGGTATGTTTTTATTTTTGTCTCTGAGAACCCAACAGGCTCACTCTGATGATAGCTGCAACACGGTCCATAGTGCTCGCGCAACACCTTCCAGAACCTGAAGCTTTCTAGGATGGTCTACCACGCGTCTTTTGCTCTCACAACAATCGTACTCGCTTTTCTTAGTACGGTGATTGCTGTTACCCACGACGACTCCGGTGCCCAGCGACCTCTCCACTATTCAACCTTATCTCGCCCTCAGTTTCAACGGCACGATACGGTCTCGCATCTAGCTTCGTTGTCGAAGGTCAAAGACGTGGTGATAACCCCCGACTTGTCAGACTGGATCAGAGAATGGATGAAGAATGGGACAGTCCCTGGGTTGGCTTTGGGCGTCGTACATCTGGACGGGGAGACAGAATTTGGAGGGTTTGGGAACAGGACGGAGGACGGCGATCCTGTGACTGAATCTGTATGTCCACTTTCACCTTCCTTTCCTGTATTCACCCTACTAAAGGTGTCGTGCTATGAATAGACCCTCTTCGACCTCGCATCTTGCTCGAAAGCCTTCCTTACAACATCTCTCGGCATCCTCATCAACGATTACGCCACTGCAACAAACTCTACTCCTCTGCCTTCCTATGTGGAGACTGCGACAGGTGGAGTGTTTGATTGGGATAGCAAGGTGAAGGATCTGTTACCTGAAGGAGAATGGGGCTTGGAAGACCAGTGGGCGAGTGAGAAGGCAAACTTGAGGGATCTGTTGGGGCATATGACTGGGATGCCTAGGTGAGCAGAGTCCTCTTTGTGTCCCTTCGTTGTGGTTAGAGATCTGACCAATTTTGACGATTTTATCATCGAATTTGTAGACATGACTTTGCCTACGCGCCAGGTGATTCGGGCAAGGATATCGTGGCGAAACTCAAGCAGCAAAGACCAGCATACGAGTTACGGCAGAAATATCACTACAATAACCAGGTCTACCAAGGTCCCTCTCTCCTGCCCTTCACCGTACTCACCCTGTCTTCTACGTTCTCTTTTCGCCCCGCAGATGTACATGGTCGGCGCTCATATCTTAGCCACACTCACCGGCAACCCGTATACCTCCTTCGTCCAATCCCGCATCTTCGACCCGCTCAACATGTCCTCCTCTACTTATTCTCCCGCCGCCGCTAGTGCTAGTATCGACCAGGCCGGGAAATCGGAGCTGTCGGAGACATGGACAACGTTCGGCAGGAGGATCCCGTTTTGGTTCAGGGAGGAAGATGTGCAGTTGAACGCCGGGTATGCGGGTGTGATTTCGAGTGTGCAGGATTTGGTACGTCTCGCCTTCGGTGGTCGCACCGTCCCCGTCCGGTTGGCTGATAGCTTGATGCGCTTTACTCGTTGCAGGAGAAATATGTTCGAACATTGTTGAATTTCGGCGTCTCGCCGGTCGACAACCGGACCATTATTCCTCGCTCTGTCTTCGACGAGATCACCACGGCGCACGCTATTACGAATGGCAGTCCAAAATCGAGTGATATGTCTATCGGAGGATATGGTTTAGGTTGGGAGAGAGCAAGTTATCTGGGCAAAGATGTACGTTTCCACTATCCTATGCAGCTGGTGCCTTCTTCGACCTGACTCGCTCATTGACCTGTAAACAGTACCTGGCCCACTCCGGAGCCATCCCTGGCTTTTCCCTCCGTATCCTATTCCTACCCAACGACGGTCTAGGCTTCATCATTCTCGTCAACGCAGGGGACAAGTTCGCGGAGAATACGGTGCTAGAGAGGAAGCTTATGCGTGCTGCATTCGATCTTTCTGACCCTGCTGGTCCAACCGATCCCGAGAAGCCTAAGAAGAACGAGACCGAGACGACTCCCCTGCCATTACCTCTTTCGGCGTATGCAGGAACGTACAATAATTCAGGCTACGGTGGCTCACTCACCCTCTGTGATCTTTCACCCTCTGCGCTCAACGCACACGCGCCTGAATATTGCGCGAGAGTCATAGCGGACTATGCCTCCGTCGACGCCTTCTTACCGCGAGCTTCCTCCGACGTGTCGACAGACCGAGCACCCCAACTCCTAGCGTCCTGGCCTCGCATCTGGAGTTCCCACCTCCGTCTCACCCACGAAACAGGCAACAAATTCTGGCTTGCTCCCTCCTCGCTCTTCGTAGAAGGTTATGGACGGAATGCGACACCTTTTGACACTTGGGACTGGGAAGGCGATGGTCCGGGGGAGGCTGTGATGGAGTTCGACGTTACTTTGGGAGATGGTGTCCGTGGTACGGAAGAGGAGACAGGAAACGTTTTGGGCATGGGACTAAGATCCACCTTGGATAATGAAGGAGTGAGTAATCGGGAGAAGAAGTGGGCTGGTAAAGAAGAATTCACTGTGTGGGATGTCGCGGATGCGTGGTGGGATCGGGTGACTTGATTGTAGGTGCCATAGAACGGTATATGACCCTTCGAACCAGCGATAATATACCATGGTTCTGAAATGTCTGGAGGTCGTGTCAGAGCCTGCGGGGAGACTATCATGGGTGAATATTATACGTCGTATAATCCTGAATGTGGGAAGAGTTGGAAGGAACGGTCGAATCGCCAGAATAAAGAGTGTGGCTCGAGCCTGCGTGGGCAACTGGTTCGGAAGGCCCCGAACTGACATCGACGCTCTTGCGGGTGACAGCAAGTGCCTTTCATCTTCTTCCCATCACATCTCTTGTGCTGAAGGTCTCCTCTTTCCTTTTATCAATATTTCTCTCTGACATGCGCGGTCTGCTGATCGTATCAAATGTCCTTTCTTTCATAGGCCCTGAATGGAGAAACTCCCCGTCGAACTGCGTACACAAGTCTGTCGAGATGTCTCGCGCAACGATCTTGTCTCCCTCTGTCTGACCAGTCAAAGTTATGCCGCCTGGGCCACGCCGCTACTCTACGAGAATATCGGAGACCTCGCAACATTCGGAGGAGGGGAGAGGCGCCGTTTCGCACGCTTGGAAGCCACCATCATGTCGCGACCGGCATATTTCGGTCCCATGATCAAATCCATAATATTCTCCGACTTTGACAGGTCCTCGAGTATTTACCCATCATACAACAGGCCACCACAGAAGAGAGACCTAACTCCAGCTCTCTGCCAATTGACCGATCTCCGTCAACTGACTATACGGACATACTCAGGACTTTTTGACACCGAATATTTTTCGAAGATCTCTTCCGATACGGCGTCGACTTTGACCCACTTTACGAGCACGAATATCCCTTCATGCCCTGCGACTATCACCGCATTCTTGGAGTCCCATCCGAAGCTCACGGTCTGGCGTCTCGGAAGGTGTTGCGACAGTGGCGACCAGGACCGCGCCGTGCCTTCCTATCCATTCCACTTTGCGCAAGGCCTGCCACACCTTAAGATATGTGAACTCGACATCGCCCGTGTCGGCGCTTTGTTGTCCGCGTCGCTTTTGAAAGTGATGACCCACCTTACCCAGTTAAGGATCGACTACACCTTATGTGACGACTCACACACTACGGAGCGATTCCGTCGAACCAGCGAGCAAGCGCACTTGGAAGCCTTCAAGCTTTGTGGCCCCAGACTCACACATCTCTCCGTCTGCGAGACGCCACACAATGGCGGACGTTGGCAGTTCTCCTGGGTTCTTTCCAACCTCCTTACCCATACAACCAACCTTCGCCACCTCCAACTCCGCCAACGTACTTACACCGTGTCTGCAACACCTCGCCTTCGCCCCCCGCAAGTCCTCGACGTCTCGAACTTGGAAAAAGTCAAAGACGCTTTTCCGACGTCATTACAGACCGTGAAGTGGGTCGCCGAGGATGCCCTTCTTAGTGGCGGCGGTCTTTCCGCCGAAGGGACCGCCAACGCCCATGCGCTCTTCTCACTCTTTCCGTCCTTGAAGGTCGTGGAGTATTATCAGATGCGTTATCTGTACGTATTTCGGCGAAAGGTGGATGGAGATGGGCTGAGTTCGGTCAGACGGAAGAGTTATAGGATGGTTCGGGGTTCTATGTTCTCCGGGCTTGAGGTCTCGTCTAGGTATACCGATGAGCAGGGTATTGTACCCGACTTGGAGTATTTGGTGAGTTGCTGACACTGTCAAAGTCGCTATGTATCGTCAGATAGATCGACTCCTAGCACCCCTTACCATCCAGTTTTTCTTGCTGCTAACGAGACGATTTTGTTGCCACGACAGAGTTTATGATTTACTCAGTGTTCGACGCGTTGAACACTCATCTGAGCATTATATGACCTAGCGAACCCTGTGATCGACCGATGCAAGATAAAACCATGAAATACACTTTCTATTTGACTTTACACAGCGTAGATTCGTTGATCCAACAGACTCTATCCTCTAGCCTCTTTGACTTGGCGACTCTCGCTCTACCAGCGTTCGATGGCCTCATCAACCCTACTTCCTTGACTCGTGCGGTCTTGCCGGTCCTTCTTAGAGGCGATTATTTGTTGATATCAATGTCAACATCATCGACGGTCTCGTAAAACTCCTTCACGATCCGCTTTTGCGCATCGAGAGCGCTTTCTCCCTATCAGAACATTTCAGTAAACGCCTAGTATCCTACCGCGCCGCCCTCGCCTCATACTCCTCGCCACCCAAAGCGCAAGATCGGGGAAAGACATATGCTTTTGGTACACACCTTTCCACCGGCTAGGCCTCTCACAACCAGGTATTTCCTCCCTCTGAGGATATCTTCTGTGACCTCACCGTCGTGTGGCGACCACCGCGAACCAGTGACGAATCCTCCTGCTTCTTGCGCTATGACGATGCCCGCCTGTGGTGCAGAAGGTGATGAGGTTCCTTGTGGACTAACGCGTGAGACGATGAATTCGACTCACGCAGACGTCCCACTCCCTGATCACAGCGACATTGGGCCAACAATCAGTCTTCCTCGGGCGAGCACGTCACGATTATACGCACCAGCATCCAATCTCCCTACACAATCATGCCAAGTCAAGACTTCGCGACATCTGGGGATGAAACCAACGTACCAGTAAAGATCAAGCCCTCCCTGAGCCACCATAGCAAAGTTCAACGCCGCACTTCCTATACTCCTCAATGAATGTGCCATCTTCCCGCCTTCAACTCCGCCGTTTGCTACCGTGTCTGCGGCAAGGCGCGTGAAAGAGTCGGCTTTGGGCTTGAGAACGGAGGCTTTGCGGTCAGATCCCCATTCGATGGCTAGTGTACCCAATTGAGAATTGTATAAGCGTGGACAAGATACGGGAGTGCGAGGTTTACGGGTGAAGGAGTAGAGGAGACGCACCGAGCAATGCCTGTGATAGCGAGGCCAGGGGACGAGCTGGATGGAGAGGCAGTTTGGCGGGTGGAACACCTGGGCGCGTAAGGTATGAGCCTTGTCCCTTGATGCCTGTATAGAGGTGGTCGAGGAAGGGATTGTACTGGAGAGACATGGGCCACAGGGGGTGGCGCAATGTGATGTGGAAAAAGTGAACTGTCAGTATACGCTCGGGGAGTATGGGTTATGACGAGGGTAGTAATCGATATTGGAACGGAAAAAGGATATTGATTTGCTGGTGGTGGGTTGATGATGTATGAAAACATTCAACAAGTGATATAACTCACGATGACGCCGAGGACGGGGCGTTTCTCGTCGATGAGACCAAGAGAGATGCAGGCAAAAGGGAAAGCGTGCACGAAATTCGTAGTTCCATCTAGAATACAACACCCAGTCACCATTAACATTCTGGTGTATGTACTAGCATGAGGTAAGTAGAGACCATACCAATGGGGTCAACACAGAACGTCGGCTCGTCCGTCAGAGGTGGACGGTTTCCAGCTGCCGCAGTTTCTTCTCCAACACTGTATTCCAACCCCACAGGAGCGATATCACACGATTGACCACAATAAGTGTCCAGATAAACGTCACAGAAACTGAAATCAAAACAGAAACGTACAACTTGAAGCTCGGATACTTTTCCCTGATCTCCTTCTTCACCAACTCCTCCACCTTCACGTCGTACTCCGTCACCAGATCTACCGAATTCTTCTTCTCGTTGATACCCGTATCTTCTGAAGCCGCCGCTATCTGGATCGCTTGCGAACCTTCGAGCATGATCTTGCCGGCGTTGCGGGCGAGAATGATCGTCCATTCGAGGATATCCTTCAGTTCGGACGCGGAGAGAGGTGCCATGTATGTTTTGCGCTATGAGACGGTGTGATGTTGGAATTTGTTGTTGGTGGATGGTGAGAGTTGATATGAACGAAGAAAACGACGATATCGATGACGGTGGAGTGTCGGCGACATCCTCAAACGTCTTAACCATCACGTTCGTCGCCACCCATCGAATCCGTGCCACACTTTTGCTATACGCCGAGCACTGGGGACGGCATCCACCGCGCCTGTTTCAAACTCCACCGCCCGCCCCTGTGGCAGCGGACCCTGATTTTCCACTGCTTATGGGCGACAATGTACATACGAACCTAGTTCGAACCTCCCCGCTACAGCGCCACCCCTCCTCTCCCTCCACATTATGCAGAATGCCTCGTCTTCTACCTCCCTAGCTTATCCTCTATCCCAGGAAGAGTTTGAGCGCCGAAGATGGTTGGCAACCCACACTCAACCTCTTCCGCCGAACTGGAACCCCAACGACGACCCCGTTTTCGCAAGATGGGCCCACCGCCAGACCTTGATTCCTGGAACAGACAGTGCCGTCATGCCTTCCGCATTCGACAACTTATTTTTCGACCCCATCACCAAGAAAATGAAAGACAAGAAGAATAAGCGAAATCATAATCGAAAGCGTTCGCCAGGCCATGAAAAGAAGAAGAAGAACATATTCTTCACCTGGCATATGTTCGTGGAAGATGTCGAGAGGTTTGCTGCTGCAAATGACCCCGAGTATATTCCACAGAACTTTCAGCGACAAGATTTCGTCAGAATGGCAGGGAAGATGTGGAGGGAATTGCCGTTGGATGACAAGGTGAAGCTAAACCTCATAGGCATAGCAGAAGCCAAGCTCTTGAAAGCAATAGCTTTAAAGCGTTTGAGACTTCCCCAGTATCTCGAGCGCGGTAACCCTACGGCGAGGAAGAAGTGGAAGGAAATCGCTGAAGCAGCTGAGAGAGGTCGAGGTAGTAATACAGCGGCACGCCCAGGAAAACGGAAGGACAGAGATGATGGTGACGCCCAGGTGGATACATTAAACGGTGAAGGAGACAGGAGCTCATCGTCGAAGAAGAGGCGAATTTGGAACGTAGACGAAGAACATTACGAGGACCCAGTTCCCGCACCACCGTCCTCACGGAGCGCGCCCTCTGGTAAAGGTTTCGACTCTCTACCTCGTCGGCTCGCGAAGTTCTTCGAGACAGTTCGTACGGCGCTGCTGAAGCTGGATCCCAGCGGGCTGCATGGATTTCTCATGCTTGTCCCTACCAATACACAAATCTACCGCTCGATGCTCTCCGCTGTTAAATCATCGACCGCTTCTTCCTCCTTCGGTCCACAACCACCCGAGGTATACGAAACTATGGCAAAGAGAGGCCTCCTTGAGTCTTTCCTCAAGGGAACATTTCCGCGACCACGGGTGTTTGACCCTCGATTGTTCCCGGATTCGTCGACGAAAACTACGAGCGAGATCCACCGCGAGTTCATTTTCGTTAACAAGCATCTCGTGAGCGTCTTCAAGAAGACCGACTCGGAGAAAGCGAAATCCTCCCCCAAGGACCTCGAACAGGACACGTTCAAGACCTTCATCACCCTGGTTGTTATCCTTCACAACCTCGGGCATGCTCTCTCGTCGCACTACAGTGGTCCTGGGATCACAGCCCATGTCGCATCTTTCCCGTATCACATTAAGACCAGATCTGACGATGACCGGAAGTCGTCCATGGTATTTTTTCCTGAGCCAGGGTTCTTAGTCGAGCAGGCCTTCTTTGGTGGCATCATCGGGGTCGCCTGGGAGCATGACTTTGACCGAAGTGCAAGAAAACCTCAGCTCTGGACGAACCAGATCAAGTCCCTTTCTATGCACTGTAGAGGCGGGAGTACGTATGCGCTAGGTTCGCTCTTACTTCACGATGTTTTCTCCAACTCGCTAGTGCTAAATTCATCACAATTTTTACTATAGATGCATCGCTTCTCCAGGCCAAGCTCGACCGCCAGGACTTCGATGTTCCCTTCGATGTATCCAACCTCCCTCGACTATCGCTGTCGAACATCAGTCTACGCACATGCGCGAATTTGAACTCTGATCATCTTCATCTCTCGATCATGGGGGACGATACAGGCCATCTATTTCGAGGCAAACACTCCCTACCGTCCTCCGCGTACGAACGTTACGAGATTTTCGACGATACGAGTGCACAAGGCTCGATGCCACCGCCACCCGCGCCACTCTGGAATTCAAAAGACGTGGCGCCCGCGGCGTGGGCCCAAACCCAGCCAGGGACTGCTTCCACTTCGCAATCACACCAACTCTCGCGCCATCAAGCCTCGTCTTCGCGCTCTGGACTGCACACCCACACCCATCCATATTCCAGTTCACAAACACAGCCGCACCAGACGCAGCATCCGCCCGGGTCACATCCCCCATCGCAGCCAGACTGGTCATCCACCAGTGCAGCGTCGACATCTTCGGACCCATACTCTACTCAAACCGTCCATGATTCATACATACCTGGTGCCCATCCTCAATCCTACGCCCAACCTTCCCAATCCGTCTCCACAACGTACCCTCCCACTACCTCTCTCCCTCAGAATCAATCACATTCCATCGCCGAGATCGCCCAAACACCAGCTTCTCAGCTTTATCCTCCACAATCTTACCCGTCTCGCCCGCCTCCACCGCCCAGTCCCGTCAACCTTCCGGTCGACCAAGCGACCCTTGACCTCTTCGCAGCCCAAGCCCTCGGCATCGGAGGTGGCGCTGACGTCGATGATCTTGACTGGATGGCTGATCTGGAGGATGGCGATGGTGAAGGTTCTTGGGATCAATACGCGGATCAAATCCAGTACTATGCCGTCGACGAGGAGGGAGATTCGGACGGCGAGCAGGACGAGGAATCAGGCCGGGACACGACCGCGCAAGCTCCGCTCGAGGGCAGCGTTCTAGTGGATGCGCAAGGTCAGGCTGTTATGCCTGCCTACAACCAGTCCCATGTTCACAACGTCATGGATGCATCGTACGGAGCAGTAGTCGCCGCGGACGCTGGTTGTCCTCAAACTAAACCCTCTGACCCCGGAGCATACCAGGCTCCCGTTCCCGCCGTCGGTTTACACGGTGTGCCGCAGAACGAGTACGTGACTTGGCCGTCACAAGCGTCGCAGGCGGAGTACAGTGCTCAGATGCACTCGGGCGTTGAACCTGATGGCGCGGTATACGCCTTTGTACCTGATCCGAGTCTGCTCTCTACCGTCGACGGTCCCAGCTCAGGCTTTCCCTACGCCTACCCTCTTCCCGAATCTACCAGCACGCATACGGGTGGAGGATATTATGGAGATTTTCAGCAGTATCAGTCACAACCCTTCGACCCTAGCGCCGCCGCTCCTCAGGTGCCCATCGGTGGCGGGTCGTACGCTGTGCCACAAAAGCATTACCCCTACGCGGAGCCGGTTATCAACACAACTCAGGCCCAGCCGTACCCGTCTACCGCCTCTACTGCTCAGATGCCTGCCGACGCTACAGGCTCGGCGTATCCTGCACCATACCCACAGCAACAGCATTATCTCTACCCTAGCCAGGGTCAGACCCCAGGTTACGATCCCATCCCTGCAACATCTGCCTATGGACCGGCCACTTCGTACGAACCTCAGCAGCAATACCCTCAGACCCAAACTTACGTCTATCCTGGTCAAGACTACCAACCCGTCTCTGGGTCTGTTCACAACTATCAAACCGCGCAAAGCGGCGAATTCGCTCAGGCTGGGGCTCAGTATTTTTCGACGCAATATGCGCCCTATCCGACAAGTGCAGGTGTCCCAGTCTCAGTCGATGCGACTTCAAACCCAATGACACATGCTCAGACTCCGGTCACTGCTGCGTCGTTCCACGGCGGTGCTGAGCAAGGGCCGGGTACTCAGTATGGGTATACGATCGCACCACCTCAGGCTGGCGGATCGGGGTATCTCCCACCTTCGAATGCAAGCGCGAATGCGAACGGAGAATGGCGGGGTGGATATAGTTCGTAGAGGGGGATCGTCCTTTCGTGGGTGGCTCGCGCTGGAGGTTAGTATGTGGCGTGGCGTGGCGTGCGTTGGTGGATGTGGACGGATGCGTTCAACTCAAGTCACGGTTGCTTTCTGTGTCTTTCTTCTTCTTCTTCTTCTTCTTCTTCTCTCTTTATCTCTCTCTTATTTAGCTTCGTTCTACTTTCTCTTATGCTAACCACGTGTACGTACGTTTTCCCTTCGCTCCGTTCGTCCTTCACTGGAGCTCTAGGATGCATTGTTATTAGCTAACGTTCTGGACTCTGTTTTTGTCCCGGCTCGGAAGCACAGATTTTCATGCTACTTAGTTGCTGGATCTTTCTTACTTATATCATTCGTCGTTCTCCATCTTCGTCTTTCTACTTTTTCTTTTCAGGCCTCCGGGTCTTTGGATATCTTCGTTCTCAGAGTCTATATCGCAGACTCGAATCTTTTTTGCGACTTTCTTCATGCGCGATTGGATGGATGGATCTGCTGTACTGTACTGCTAATAAAACGCACACCGAGTGTCTTCGCGCCTTCTCTCCTCGCCTTTTTTTCCTTTTTTTCCTCCCCTCTGTCTTCTTCACAATTTTATTTTTCTATTTTTCTCTCTGGATCTATATCTCTAACACTATATCCACTCCTCTCTGGATCTCACCGCTGCGTCACATCTCTACATGGAAGCAAACCATTACAGAATCTGTTGTACTCACTGACCTTTGAAATTATTCTTCGACACCCCCTCCTTCACAAGTGCCGCAAACTGTGGCTCACCTAGATCTTCTCGGGGAAAGTCGGGTTACGCCACTGCCTGTTCTAATGATGAGTGGCCCAAGAGTTGCCCAGAGTCGCCAGAGGAAGATATTGGGCGCTCGCCCACGGAAAAAGGGGCTCGATAGTTCGCCACATTCGGAGGAAGGTGGGACAGAACGCCTAGAGTAGTCCGGGTACATTTGTCGTAAGTGAACGGAGACCGAGTCGTAAGTCGTCAGAAGGAGAGAGCTAGGATTTTGGAGACGAGAACGAGCGAGAGCTGGAGGGATGAGGCCGCTGGAATTGGGGTATGTATGCAGGGACTGGAATTTGGGCATGCGTAGTAAGAGACAAGAATGAGGGGTGGTGTAAAGTACGAACGGGAATTCGGGTATGGATAGGGGAGGACATGCGGAGGGTATGTATGTAAGAACTGGAATGCAGGGAGCTGTTGGATGTGTAAGAAACTGGAATTCAGGGAAATGTGGGAGATGCGTAAGAACTGGAATTCGGGTATGGTGAAAACGGGAATTCGGGTAGAGTGAAAACGGGAATTCGGGTATAGGTGGGGAGTGGAGCTCGGGACGACGACGGTCGTGGAAGGCGCCTTGATCCGTCTGAGCCGTAGGGTTCCGATGGGCCCACAGTCATGCGTAGTTTATGTTCGTGGACGAAAGCGTTGCGTTTGCGTGGTTTCAAGAGGATGCTTGTTCCAAAGCGGAGTGCGACGATGGAGGGCAGAGGGTGCACAAGCCAGTCGCTTCCGAGCGAGATATCTGCGACAAAGAACAGCGTCCGACGCACGAGGACCGTCAAACTCTAGTATCGATTGGTCGTTCGACTCTGGTTCGCAGCTTCCGAAGACAAGCCGAACGACGCGGGCACGAAGAGGCCGTGCGCACTAGAGAACAAAGGAGATGAAGGCGAAGGTCAATGACGCAAGGAGTTCCGAAATCCGTCGGCACTCGAGTTCGTGTGATGCAGTACGAAGCAGACGTCGTAAGTTACCTGCGGAACGTTACTTATCGTGGCCATCGAGCACCGAAAAGCGAGTGGAGGCACATGTACCCAGGAGGACGAACGGGAATTCGGCAGTTTTTTAAGTTCGACGCTGACGATGGTGAGACCGAGTCGGATGAGGAGTGTACCTCGGCGCTCAAAGCACCCGTAGAAGAAACGGCTCGGATCCTTCGTCGTGCTGCTTTAGAAGTGCGACAGCAGTACAGTCAAGGTCAAAATATTTCGAGAAATGCGTCAGAAATGCAGAAAGAGAGGATATTAGATGGACTCTGGCCAGCCGGAGAGTGCTCCCCGGTACTAGAGCGCATGGATACGATATGAGGGCCCATCGACAGCTGATGGGGCGCCATGAGTGAACCTGAGAGAAACGGGAATTCAGAAACGGGAATTCGAGTAGCGGACCGTATGGGACGGAGGGGTGGCCCGAATGGGCGTTGTCGAGGCACACGGCCTGTATTTCGATACAGGCTTGAAAATGTAGTTAAAAGTATGCATAAATTGAGCGAAATGCGGGCGACAATTGCGAGAAGCGAGTGGGAGAGAGGAAAGAGAGAAACAGGGAGGAGGAAGACGAGGGGATATGCCGGGGAAGTCCGAGCCAGATCGGGGGTGCATGGTCGTTGATGTTTCTCCGCTCTCGTCCCCGCACGACGCATCTCGCCCTCGTTCGAGCACCCCCGGTCAGCCGAAGACCCCCCATCGCATCCCTTATAAACCCCAGCCCAGCCGTCTTCGCTCGCCTTTTTCTCTAGCAACCACAACCCACACCCACAACTTCACTCATAATGTCTCCTGAACCTCTCAAGGTACGCCATCTATTGCTCTCACCGCCACTCTGCTCGCAATTCTCATCTTTTTCCGCTCGTTTTTACAGCGCGTTTTGGTCACTGGAGGCGCAGGCTATATCGGTGCGTCTAAACTGTCCTCTTATTTTCCATATAGGAATGTTTATGCTCATTGATATCCCAACATTCGGTCTCGTGCGTCACATATACGGGTCCATCATACCTTCATCCGCCCAACAGGCTCTCACGTCGTCTACGTCCTTCAAGCGACAAGACAATACAAAGTCATCTCCATCGACAACTATCACAACTCATACCCGAGGGCCGTCGACAAGCTGCAGCAGATCGCACGCGAATCGCTCCCTGAAAACCCGACAGAGCAGGACAAAGATTCCGCGGAGATCGACGCGCATACTGTCGATTTGACAGATAAGGCGGCAGTGCGAGGTGTCTTTGAGAAATACGGCAAGGGCGGGATTTATGGCGTCATTCATATCGCTGTGAGTAACTTTTTTTCTATGTTTTTGGGGAGATGTGGCGACCGGGCCTGTTCTATGCTGTTCGGAGTCATACTCTGCGTATGTCGTGAAAACAGAAGTGCATAATGCAACTCTGCTCTGATTCTAGACACTCGATGAATAATGAGTTCATCCTCTCCGGCTGTTGACCACACTTACTACCTCCTATCTCACATTTTTTGCCTCCTATCTCGCATTCGCTAATATTTTGTCTCTTTCCATAGGCCTACAAAGCTGTTGGCGAATCGACAGAAATCCCCCTCACCTACTACGAAAACAATGTCTCTGCTACTATCTTCCTCCTCCAACTCATGTCCGAGTTTGACTGCACGAAGTTCGTCTACTCTTCCTCCGCCACCGTCTACGGTACCCCGCCGGTGATCCCGATCCCGGAGTCGACGAGGCTGAAGGCGGATAGTCCATACGGGAAGAGTAAGGTTATGTGCGAGACGATCGTAGAGGACTTGGTGAACTGTACGTCCGTTGGTTTTCTAGGAATGTGGCGACCGGTATTAATGAGGTTTTTTCTTGGTGATATAGCTGATCCTCAAAGGTGGCGCGCAATCTCGCTTCGGTACTTCAAGTGAGTTTCAATTCAATTTCACCCGATCGTCTCTGTTCAACGTTCATTCCTCACTCCCACCCTCGCCTCGCCTCCCTATCTCCCCATTCGTCCATTGATCCGCTACCTTTTCGCAACTCCTCACCATCTCGTCGCATTCGCTTGTGCTTAACTCTCCTACTAACACTCATGGTTCAATCTTCTCTAGTCCTGCAGGCGCCCACCCATCAGGCTTGATCGGCGAAGATCCTCGTGGCCGACCAGGTAACCTGCTCCCATTGCTGGCACACATGGCCGTCGGGCGCATCAAGGAGGATGTCCTGAAGGTTTTCGGAAATGATTACCCTACTCCGTACGTCTCCCTTTATCCATTCTCACCTCTCTTTCCTCTTTTCGAGGCCTTCAATACTCTTTGAAAATAGCTAATTCCGATGTGTCGCACACGAACAGTGACGGCACCTGTGTTCGTGACTACCTTCATGTCCTCGATCTCGCCTCTGGCCATCTCCTCGCTCTCGACGCTCTCTCTGACCACTCGAAAGTCTTCGAGAACACGCCTGGGGAGGCGAGGTATAAGGCTTATAACCTTGGACGGGGTAGGGGCTTCAGCGTGTTGCAGATCCTGGAGGCGATGAAGAAAGCGACTGGATTCCAATATGGGCATGAGTTCGTCGGGAGGCGGTGAGTTTGCTTAACCTCTTCTCTTTCTTCGACCTCCTAGGCACGCGTTGTCCTGATTTTTTCTTCTTTTGCGACGGCGATCTAGACGCGGCGATGTCCCAGACCTGACCGCGGACCCCACTCTGGCCGAGAAAGAGCTGGGCTTCAAGGCGCCTCAAGATCTCGAGACGATGTGCAAGGATCTCTGGAACTGGCAGTCGAAGAACCCGGAGGGCTATGGTGAGGACTAAGCTTCTCGCCTTGGCTCTCGCGCCGTTGTACGTTTTTGGATGATGAACGCTGACCGAAGTTGAAGTTTGGAAAGACGGGAAGCTGGTGAAGATTGAGGAGGCTTGAAAGAAAAGTCGATGAAGAATGGAATTGGAATGATGGACGGCCGTCGGACTAATCAGCAATTATTGTTGGATTCATATTTTTCTTTTCTTTTTGCTTACCTCTACTCTCCTCTGCCCTCTACCTCCCACCCCTCCCTCCTCCCCTCACTTCTCACTCGTAAACCCGTATTTTTACTATCTACCCGACGTGCCGGTGCATTCGTGATTTGTGTTTAGTGATACAGACGAAGAATACTGTACAGATCGTACATACGGTACATACATACAAACTAGAGAAGAAGACCTAAAGATGCCTATGTATTTGAACTTTTTTCCCCCTTATCCCCCCTCCACAACCTCGTAGCTTCAACGCTTCATCGCTTGTCATTCGTCGTTCGTCGTTCGTAATTCTGGCTAGCCGGACCATGACCGTTTCGATACTTCCTTACCTTTCTTTTATTGAAGTTCGTTCCCTTCGAACGCCGTTCAAAAATTATAATGATATCCGTTCCATGAATAATGCAAATGATGAATGATCTCGAGCGCTGCTATTCCCCCATGTTCGGTCCAATTGCTTGTTTGATGTGGCGAGTGGCGATCGTGGGAAAGTATCTTCTTTGACTCCGTTCCGGAATTTCCCGATCCCTGTCATGGCGCCAACTGGTTTCTCCGCACTGCCTGGTCCTCTCGTTTATGCGCTTGCAGACACTACGTATTTCAGCTTGAAAGAACTGTGATCCGTCTCGTCTTGACAAATCCTGCAAATACAAAGTTGTTGGCTCTTGTTCGACTTCGATTTATACCGTGCGGCACTTGGACCCTCTTGGACCGTGACTTTCCAGCTTCGAAGCAGGTCGCATTATTATCGCACCATTGCTACTGGCTCTGTGTCTCGCTTACTGACATCATGAACACCCAATTTATCGTATAAAATGTTCCATTCACCCTCCTTCTCTGACGACTGATTCTTATTGACGGTTTGCCAGTTGTTCTCTCACTACTAGTAGCCTCACTTCGCGAAGTCCACGGGCTCAGCTAGAGCGCTCTTTCGTGGACAAAACCCTCCTGAACGAGCGAACGTGTATGTCCTATGACTCGTATGCGTATCCTTAGTTTGCGTCAAGGGTTTCGGCTGTGTGGTCAGATGGCTGGACCAGGTGCTGTGACACCTTCCCACGATATCGATGCCAGGACGATGGGATTTCAAGGTCGGAGGTGAGCTATTTTTTCTCTATTTTCCTGGCGATTTGTTCTTCCTAGCTGATTATTCTCGTACTCCTTCAATTTCCCAGTATGTTGCCAAGACATCCTATATCAGCAGAGTCCTGCCAATTATAAACTCGTACCGCAGCCTACGTGGTATGAGCGTACGAACTTGAGCTCGAGCCGCTTGTATGCGCAGACGAAATTTGAACTCCATCAACCACCCGAGAAGACCAATCAGATGTTCTTGCTTCCCCCTGCCAGTCAGGACGCGTGCGCTCGCGTAACTTAACAGAGCCAGAGCACCTCCTAAATATTGAGTTCACGGGTCCGATTCAGACCTTGAGAGCTTGGGAGTATGTGCGGCGCTTTGGTTTAGGATGATGCTGTCATTTGGCACTGGTATAAAACTGTATGCTTCTTCTCTTACCATACGGGCGGTGGATACTTCCTACGCGAAGGACTCTGCGAGTGAAGGCGATATATAGGTCAAGGTTTGACGGGAAGGTGGGGTTCCTTTCCTTCTCTTCCCCTCTTCCCCCACCTGATTCAGATACGGGCGAGTTATAGAGATGGTCTTCGGTATACTTGGTATAACTCCTTTATTTCGTCTCTTCGTCAGACGCAGAACGCATGGCCTGATAGCCTGCTCGTAGAAGACAAAGACTCCGCCCAAGTTCCTGGTACCACTCTTCTCTCTGAGCTGAGCGTTCGTCATGGACACGGCGCGGTCATCAATACTGTGGCTCATAAACTAAAGAGAGGGACGGGAAGAGATTCGCATGTAGTGTTGAATCCTCAGCCTTCCGATGATCCTAGGGATCCGTGCGTTCATTCACCCTGCTCCTTCATATTACTATCAAACTGAGGACCGCGTGTGACTTCCACTAGGCTGAACTGGCCGAGGTGGAAGAAGGAGGCGTGTTTCTGGACTTTGTAGATCCTCCGCCCTCTCTGCGACAAAGAATAAAGCTAACTATCGACAACGGATGATTCCCACAGAGCCTTCGCCGCTTCGCTCGATGGCGCGCTTTCACCCATGACGGGCCCGAGCTATGTTCTTCTCTCCAGCCAATTTGGCGTTTCGGTCGATGAGGTGGCGTCGACCTTTGGAGCAATTTTGCTAGGATTGGGATGCTTCATGTGCGTTTTTGGTGCGACGTTGCAGCGGTGTTTGACGTTGACGGTCAAGCATTTGGTTGGTGTAGGTTCATCCAGGGGTCCTTCGCGGTGAAGTTTGGGCATAGGATCGTCTATCTGTGCTCTGTGTTTCTGGTGCGTACGGATTCACTTATTCGTCTGTGGCGGTCATTCATGAATACCCGCCCATGGAACGAACTTCAGATGTTCATAGCCTGTATTTGGTGTGCACTCAGCCCGAACTTGGCCTCGATCAGAGCTTCACGAGTGTTTCAAGGGTTCGGAATGTCGGCTCTGCAAAGGTGCGCAGGCTTCATGTCTGTCTTTCCGATGCAGGCCTGACATTCGACATCAGTCTCGTAGCATCGAGTATCGAGCAGATTTTCTTGTAAGTTTACCATTGTAGATAGCGGCCAAAGTAAAGACTGACGCGCCTGGTGGACAGTATTCACGAGCGCGGCGCGCGGACGGTCATCTGGAGTTTCTCGATTATGGCCGGGATTACGCTGTATGCTTCCGACTTCTGCAATCTGCATCAATTATATGTACTGATGAAGACCACTCGCTGTCAGGGGTCCTCTGATATACGGCTACGTCGTGCAAAACCTGACATGGCAGCTGGGATTCTGGTTCGTGAGCATTCCGCTGGGCCTCTGCACGCTGATGGTGTTTTTCTTTGTGCCGGAGGTGCGTAGATCCGTTTCATTTCTTGTCCTTCTCGCTGATGAGAACGTTTCTACTTGGCCACCAGACGACTTTCGACCGCCCTGCTGCAATTGGCCGCACCACCGCCCAAGCCACTCGATTTGATGATCTAGAGAAGGAAGCCAATATCGAGACAAAGAAGTCTCCCTCTGTCGACGAGAACGAAATTGAATCGGAAGAGAGCGCCCCTTCGTCGCCAAATGAAGCAACACAGCACTCAAGAGCCACACCTCAGCCGAAGCCGAGTTACCTGTCTCAGTTGAAGGTCTGGAATGGTACGTTCAGCGACGAGCCGCTGTGGAAATTGGTGATGAGACCGTTGCCGTTCATGTGCTCGCCTGTGGTGCGTATATTCGTATGCTCTGCAGGATGTCATGTTGCTGATAATAATTGCCCTCTGGACAGACTGTGTTCTTGTTCTTGACACATGGAATGCAAACTGCTTGGCTGAGTGCGTCCTCATCCCGTGAAGTGGATATCGACGATGTGAACAGCAATAATTGTTGTCTCCTTTTCAGGTTTGCTCCCCATCTGCTCTTCCACGATATTCACCATTGAATACGGCTTCAATGCCTCCCAAATTGTATGTAATACAACATCCCGACCGTCCCTCACCTTCTCATGCATATCCTTCCCGCCAATAAACTATAAATTCTTTCCAGGGTCTCACAAACCTCGGTGGCATCGTCGGCATCATCCTCGCCATGGCCATAACGGGCCCATTGACAGATTGGGGCGCCGTTTGGCTCTCGAAGAGGAACGGAGGCGTGTATGAGCCTGAATTCAGACTGATATTCATGTCGACCATGTTATTTGGGGTGTTTGGATACGCGGGTTGGGCTGGTGCGTTTTTCATATCCTTTGTTGATCGTCTAGTGCGGAGACTGAAATAGATGGCGACAGTCGGCACGGTGAATAATATGCCTTGGATCGGTGCGGTTGCGTGTCTTGCGTGAGTCCTCCACTTCGTTTACTTTTTCCCTCTATCCTCCTTCCCTCCATCTTCTCTGATACACGTCTCCGGGGATATAGCATGGCCAACTTCTCAATGGTCGTCTCCGGTGCAGCCGCCGTGACCTACCTCCTCGACACCCATGGACCCAACGCCCTCCACTGTCTCGCCATCTCCAACTTCCTCAAGAACATGGTCCTCTACGGTTTCTCGTTCTTCGCAAACGGCATGGTTGAGACGAGAGGCGTAAAGGTATCGTTGTTGATCCTGGCTGCGTGTCAGGCCGGATGCGGTCTTTCGAGCATTGCAATGTATGTTTGCGGAAAGAGGGTCAGGGCGTGGGTGAGTGGATTTCTCCTTTTCTTTCGTCATTCTGAGGATAAGGGCGGTGGTGTATCAACACGGATGCTAACGAATGGTGTGCACGATTCGACAGATATCGAGACATCCGGAGATATTCACCGTATCGGGGTGAGGACTTGAGGAGATCATACGGTGGGACTTGACATCACGAAAGGAGCTATACAGGTCCTGATTATCATGAAGTATCGTGTCTACTAACGTCTATTTTGTATGAGTACCGTATTAGGATGTGCATGCGTAGGAATGTACGATTATAGCTACAGGGCTACTGGACACGATGTAACACATCAAGGCTACAGGATCGGATACACAATATAAGACTCGATTCCGAGGTCTGCAGTCGAAACATCGGAATATAGCAGAACCACAACCAACATCCGACGACCAGATGTATGACGATGCCACATCCACGCCACCCGCCTAGCCAGACAATTCCCTCGCCCAAAGTCTGTCACCACTACTTCGACTGCGATGACCTAACTCAATAATAACCCATCCTTCGCCTTCTCAAAGACGAGTCTTGTCTCTCCACCCCCTTCCCATAATCATACGCCCCTTCACTCACAGCCGGCATCATCATCACCGGCGCTGGAGGCATGGACTCACGTGTCCCATATCCATATCCATGTCCACGTCCATGTCCACGCCCATACTCGCCGTTAACATTGCTCGGAGGCGTGAAGAAACTCTTCGCCTTTGGCGAGAAATGCCCCTCAATATTCCTTCCAGCTGGGACTTCTTGAGGTTTCGCTCCGATCCACCACAGTTTTGGCCTGAAAGAAGGTGCGAACGGGTTGAGAGAGTCTCCTTCGACAGTCGCGCCTGCGGAACCTTCTTTGACACGGATTTGTGAGAGTGAGGCGGCGAGGTTGCGGCTGCGAGTGGACGAGAATGAGCGAGAAGGGGTGAAGAGCACGGTGTGGTTTGAGATGAAAGGTGTTTGGGCCTGTGTTTGGCTCTGGGACTTGGATTGGAACTGGGCATGTCCGTTGGATTGGAGCTCTAAGTTTGTGGGTGTGGTGAGGTCGATGATACCGCCAGAAATCGAGGACGAAGAGGACATGGAAGAGGAAAGGGTGGATGAGGAGAAGCTTTGGGTGAGGAGTGGAACCTGAGCGTAGTCGTCGTCGTCGGTGCTGTCGCCATCGTTATCATCCTCGAGGTACATGTCTAGCGTTTGTGATGTACCGGGAATGTCGATGGACATCCTATGCAGCATCGAATTGGACCTCGAGAGACCTTGTATGTCGGAAATATCAATCGCATCGGACGATCCGCCGTGGTTCGGGAGAAGAGAGAGGAGGAAGGAATTGACGCTGCCTTCATCCATGGAATAGTCGAGGTTCGTGCTGTCGTGAGAGGTCTCCGACTCTGAGCCAAAGGTTTCGGGGAGAGGAGTCATCATTGCCTTCAGGAGCTCGAGATCGATGCCAGAGGTAGCCATAGCGAGGCAGAGCAGCAGAGGGTGGAAAAGAGGTTCCGAGGAAGAGAAGGTACGCGAGGGGCTGCTGCTTAGAATGAGGTGCCGGTACATCGAGTTGATGGCGTCCCGGCGGTCACTGATCGACTTGTACTCGGGTGTGAACCAAGAGGAGCGAAGTATAAGGTCAGAAGGTTGTAGCTTGTACACAGTCGCCTAGAGTACTGAGTGAGAAGAAGCAGCAGGGATGAAGACAAGCGTAATACGACGTACAGCATAGCGTCCAGCGCAGAAGCGAAACATGGCCAGTAGAGCTATGAGGAATCCTGCGCACAGTATCGGGATATCACGTGTGCTCAAGAACATGCACGAAGAAGGATTCCTAGAAGAGCCCATGGGCAATAGCATGCACATTGGCAACTCAAGAACAGGAAGAGACAAGAGAGGCTGAAGACGAGATACATGGCGAGCGACTCTCTCGATGGCAGCAGCTATCCATGCTGCAGAGCGAGCGACAGGAAACGCCGTTGTTGCTCTGGCAGTAGCTACGGCATAGAGAGAGGTCGTGGTAGGAATGGTGTCCTGTGGATTAACGGCGAGGTTGCGCAGAGGTTCGTCAACCCATCGGCTGACGTCCTGTGAAAGAGAGTGAAGTAGATTAAACGGCGGCATAGACGATCCAATTACTTGTAGAGCGCGAGAATGTTAGGGCGATGACAAGTGGCAGGCGACTGGCGCGCTACGAAGAGCGGGGGGCTTGGATGTAGTGGAAGGCGTCCTGGAGGCGAACGTTGGATTTGTGCGTCAGACAGCTCACATCTTGTCAGCGGCATACGCCAAGCCTTCCCGGAGTGACTCGGCCTTTGGAGGAAAACGATCTTCTCATGCAGCTTCATCTGCAATAGAGTCTGCCTCGGAACGGTGATCGCGATCGTCGCAGGAAAGAGCAAAATAACATGTCGGTCTGAGAGGACTTACTCCGATCATAATGCTAATATTGATTGACATAGAGAAAACGAGAGTTTGAGAGTAACATGTAACAAGATGAAAGGTGGAGTCTGGACAGTCACTGGTCGCAGTGTAGCCCTGGCGTTCCAGTAAGGTCGACGATAAGGTTGAATCATGAGCCCGGGATTGCTATGCCAGTCGAGCTCAATGCATAGGACGTATACCAGCTGTCAAGCGCAGGAATTCAGCTGAGTTTGGCGGCCTCAGTATTTCAGTCTATCGGGAGGTGCATTGAACATTGAACTTGCGTTGAACTTCAAGCTACGTGTCACGATCTACTGCGTTTGTAATAGGGGTAGCTGGATAAAGAAGTTTACTCCCACGGTTGATGTCTGCTAGTGATGTCAACATTTACGTCCTTCTTCCTGTCCAGTACCACCACCATCACCTTCATCTCTCGAAATATATAAACAAATCAACAATCTCTGACGATATGGTGAGCTCAACCTGGTGAATTGTCTGATATGATCGCTCAAGAAACTTCGATCAGTCTGGATGGGAAGTTCGAATGTCTGGCTCGCGTGGCGTGCCGTATTTCTTCAATCAGCAAACCAAACAATCCAGCTGGGAAATCCCTGCAGGTCTTACCCAGGAGCAAGTTCAAGCTCTTCCTGGAGCGGCTGATTATCTGGGAGGTGGAGCTGGAGGGCGCCCTGCGCAGGTTCGCGCCAGCCACCTGCTCGTGAAGCACAGTGGTAGCAGGAGGCCATCGAGCTGGAAGGAGGTACGAGTGCTCCATAATATTCCTCTCAATTTCGACTTACCAACAAATCTGGTCTTTTACCAGCCAAAAATCACGCGCTCCAAGGAAGATGCCATCGCCATACTCAAGGAGTACAACGACGAGATCAACGGTTCGGCTTCCAAGTTCGCTGAACTCGCCCAAATTCATTCCGATTGTTCTTCACACGACCACGGCGGAGACCTGGGCTGGTTTAAGCCAGGACAGATGCAGAAACCCTTCGAAGACACCGCTTATTCCCTTCAGGTGGGGCAGATCAGCGATGTGGTTAGCTCGGACAGCGGTGTCCATCTGATCATGAGGACGGGTTGAGATTTTGGATAATGGAAAATCAAGTGGAATAAGGGAAGCTTTTCTTTGTAATAATATTCAGAGCCTATAGCTGCATTCGGGCACTATTCAATGGAATCGTCGATTCGGTTCGAACCATCTGTCCTTTTTGTGTACCAGCGCGAAGTTCTTCCGCGGTCACCGCGTCAAATGTTCGGTCAGCCTCGACGTCTCTCCACTGAAAGATCTTGCCAGCGCTCCAGCTCCTCATCATCTGCTACCCGTCGCCTGTGATTTGAGTAACCTGAACGCACAACACTAGGGAGGTTGAAATCGGAACTCGGCACAAAACCGAAACTCGTGTTTCTGAGTGCTGCTTACAACAGATGTTGCATTTTTTTTGTACACTTCAGATGTGTAGCTATCAAGCTATATTCCTATATTTTCTAACATTTGTTTGAGGACATGTTGAAGAGAAAACCCGAGTTTCGGTTTTGAAACGAGTTCCGGGAATTGCCGATTTCAACCTCCCTACTAACGGTGACCTACCACATAGTCCCGATGGATTTAATAAGTCACCGAATGTATGGCTCGGGATACTCATCGCGATTGCAGCTCTCCACATCCTTGAAACCGTGGCCTCGATGGTAAGCCTCGTTCTGATCTTCTATATTAGCTCGCAGCCAATGGCAGCAAGAGGTTCCACGCAACTGCATTCGAGTTCACCGCCCCCTAAATTAATGTGGCTCGTCGCCTATATCTAACACCTCCTGCTCCTCCATTCGATCTTCGTCTTCGACACTACACCCACAACCACATTCTAACACTCGATGGCGGCCTCTTCTCGTTCTAGCCAGTATCTGAATGACTATCTCAATGAACGAGCGGAACGGGTCAACAACCTCCAAGCGGAGGTGAACCAGCTTCAAGCTGAAAACCAAGTCCTTCACGTCAAGCTCGCAGAGGAGAAGACGAAGAATGCGCAAAACGAGGCGTCGATGAAGGCAATGAAAGTATGCTTAAACAGCTTGATAGACACTGCGGCTACGTCTACGCGGACTAGTGATGGGTTCGATACAGAAGTTACGACAGTGAGTGTATTGGTAGCAATACCCTACTCTACCGTCCGTGGTCGCTCGTTCTGACGATTTGTCCCTTCTTTCAGGATCAGCGCAAGCGAAGACGGGTCGATGACTCTGATGCTATCAGCATCAGCGATGAAGCAGAGGTCCGTCCATCGTTGATCGCGTACTCTTTTCCAACTCTGAGTGAAATATTTACAACTCGCTTCACAGGAAGAGCCTGCAGACTCCTCCAATTCTAGTACTGTTGTACCAACGACGCGTCCGTCTCAGGGTACATCGAGGCAGAAGACGCCTACCTCGAGCGCGGCGCAATCTTCTCGTCAACGCAGGAGCTTCCAGGCTCCAACAACCCCGCTCGAAGAGGTCTGTCCATCGTTGAATTCCTACTCTCTCAACTCAAAACATTGACTGAAATATTTTCAACTCGCTTCACAGGAAGAGCCCACACACCCCTTCAATTCTAGTACTGTTGTCCCTACGACGCCGAGGCGGGATGCGTCTACCTCGAGTGTGGCGCAATCATCTCGTCAACTTAGAGGCATTGGGGCTCCAACAACCCCGCTCGAACTAAGCCAGCATAAAGAGTCAAACTCCAGCGCATCCACTCGTAATGATACAGGCTCGAACTTAGCCAACGTCCCAAGAATCATAGTTCACCAGCGGGATATCGAGGAGCATCATTCAGTGCGGGCTCCGTGAGTACTCGCGCCTCTGCTCCTTAATTAGATGCCTCTCTTGAAACTTACTTACGAGGCTACAGGCATGCGCGCAGCAAATCCGCGAGAGTCAGTCCACGACCCCTTTCCCACATCAACTCTTTGTACTTATTATTTCCCCTCTGCCATCTGGGATCCGCAGGGCGCATGGGACCACCATTGGCAGCTCTCATCTCTCTGCGACAGCATAATAGACTATCGACTCTCTCAGCCACTTCGTGCTGTCAACTCGAACCACAACTTCACCGACTTTGCCATTCCGGCCGCTGAGGATGGGCTTTCCCCGCCCGTCGGCGACTTTAGTGTATTCTCGACCCTCTCAGTCATGAAAACGAGCGACTTTGAGTGTTTAAAGATTAATGATCTGTATCATCCACATGCACCTACGAAGCCGGGAGGTTTCGGCGTTCTGTTCGGTGGGCCTGAGTATGAGACGGGCGGTGTCGAGTTGGTGGTCAGAGAGGAGGCTGCAATGTGGAAGTATTATGGATATTACGAAATAATAAAGCTCGAGAGGGTCGGGTGGGCAGAGTGGAATGCGGTCAATTACGATGTGAGTTGATTGTTCCTCTTCCCCTGCGCGTTTGAGCGAAACTGACATTCCCGTGTACTGTGGTTTGGCCCCAGGTTCGGTGGAATTGGGCCCGCTATTTCGCATCTCACTTGACGGGCTCTGACTTGTCCTCCTGGGCGGCGGCTGCCCGTGGTCTCAGCCGTGAACCTAACGAAATCGATATCGAAGACCTGAGGAAGTTCGGGAGAGCGAGTGCTGACGAGATCATGACGGAGTGGAACAAAGGACGCGCGGTATGCCCCCTTTCGCTTCAGTTTTCCCTGATATTTTTGACTCATTGTTTGACTCGGACACATGCCGCGATACTTAGTTGCCATTCGCGTGGGGGCTGCAATGTGTCGGCTACAATGAGGCATACCACAACGAGGCGCACAGGGCCGTTAAGCAGTGGGAGGAGAAGAAATCGAGGGGCAAGTGAGAATGCTGTTTCGTCGAGGGATGGAGGTCGAAGGGGATGCGTGGCCACTGAGTACGATATTGATCTGTCGGCGAGGTTTTGAAGATGCCGTTTTCTTTCTTGCTTGTGGCTTTGGTTCGCTGGATCCTCGATTGTCGCATTCGATGGCTGGCTCTGAATCGTTGACGAGCTCCATGTATTACCGTACCGAATATCTTGATATTTGACCTAACAAAAGACGTCCGCTGTTGCGAAGGCTGAGTCCCACCGTACACGACCTGTGCAAGGCGTGAACGCTTGGTGCCACTCGCGTTAAGCCAGCTGTCGGCCTTGGGACATAGTGGCACTTATTTATATACAGTTCCCTCGAGTCTCGCAGTTGTTCTCTCTGGGGCGATACAACTTGGCAGGAAGACTCACCGGCCTCTAACAACCTGTGGTGCTCTCCTAAAGCTCAACCCGTAGCCTGTTCGTTCCCCGCCCACTGTTCATTACCAGAAATTTCGCAGAACCCAGATTCTGTACAACGCACCACTCTAGACAGCGCTGCGGTATGTGCTGGTTATTTGGGCCACTGATCCTTCCGGGGAAACCTCTTTTACTGAGTCTACAGAGTGTTTTCGAAAATTGTTAGAAATTTCCAGGCGACGAGAATGTCGCGGACCAAACACGCGAGCGCAGACCTAGATTCTACGCCCCGCAAACTCTATTCACCGAAAGCAAGGTAATACCGAGTCCTCTCTGTTACATTACGCTTCTTCTGAGTCTGCATTCCATTCCGTTCTCCATGACTGAATCAAGAGCCATTCATCGCGCGTTATCCTACCGTCTCTCCCTTCAATAGCTTCCCGAGCCGTTCACCTAGATAGAGAAACGAGAAATACCAGTCAGAAACTATCAATAATCACTCAATCCGCCCCCGATACAAAACGAAACGCAGACCCTCGAAGCCTCGCATCATGTCTGTCTCCACAAAAAATGGTGACAAGCACGGGCATCGGCTTCAATCAACGCTCAACGCTCGGAGCTGTCCACTAACGAACGCGACAAGCACGCTCATCGGCTTCAATGCTGAGCACTCGACGCTCGACGCGCCTGAAACCCCCCAAACCCCCGCAAAAATAAAAGAAAGCTAACAGCATGAATCACCAACCCCCACTCACCTTATCCCTCAACTGCCCCACCCACTGCCCATAACTCGGCAAAGCGCTCTCATTCCTATCATACACCATCGCACTCAACGCCCTCATCTTCAACGCCTGGTCGTCCCCGTCCTCCTTGACGACGTACAGGTGCGGGTGATACACGCCGTGCCGGAGGGTGGTACGGATGTGGGTGATGAGGGCGGAGATGCGTTGGGAGAAGGGGTTGTCGAGGGGAGGGAGGGAGGTCTGTAGGGAGGGGGGCGTGAGATGAGTGGGGATTAGTGATGGGTTGAATGTGCAGTTTTTGTAGCGCAGAGGTTTGTAGCGCAGAGTTTTGTGGCGCAGAGTTTTGTGGCGTAGATAATTATGGCGCAAGAAGTACGTACCTTCCCGCTCCTCAAAACCCCATAATCCGGAAACCCAAACACGTCGATCATAAGCTGCGGAACCGCGTCCCTTCCGACCCAGAGATACATGCTCTGTCCGTCCTCGATGAGATATAACCCGTGTCTTTCGAATTTCTCGGAGGAGAGGGGGAGACGGGGAGGGAGGAGGGGGTGGCCGGTGGGGCCGGGGGTTCCGGCCTGAGCGAGGGGTGTGTGTGATGATGAGTGTCAGTGCGAAGTTGGGGAACGCGACGGGTAGGGGATGTGGATGAGTGAAAGGGGAGTGGAGGGGGAGGAGGGGATGTGGGAGGGCGGAAGGACTTACCTCCGGTGGCATATCATGCAGAGAGTAGAAATTCGGGTGGATATAGGGGATGAGCAGTTCCGTCGGTAACGACGTGAACAGAACCTGCGCATAAGCCCTCACATCCGGCGGTATCTGCGCGCTCTGTCTCAACGCGGGCTACAATCCAATCCAATCGCATCGTCAACACCAGATACCAGACACGAGCTCCCAAACAGAGTCATGAAAAGCCAGAGGCAACAACTCACGTTCTTCAACATCCCCAACACCAACGCCGGCAACATCTTCAAATTCTCCGGCACGCCCAACCCTCCCCCCGCTCCCCCACCCCCACCCCCACCCACCATACTCTTCGCATAAGCCTGCACCATCTCCACCACCTTCCCCCTCACCACCTCCCTCGCACTCTCCAAACTATGCGTCCCCGTCCTCTCCACCCCCTTATTCGCCAACCAAGTCGCAATCGCACCCTCATCCGCGCCTCTCCACACCTCCGCCAAACTACTCGTCGTGGGCAACGCGAGCGTGATAACCCGTATCGCACGGTCCCCAGCGTGTGTGGTGTGCAGGATCCCGGTTTGTATGACGATATAAGGTTTAGTGAGTTCTTCTTCGATTTCGAGCTCGATGGTGTAGGATGTATCGTGTGGGACTGTCGGCATGGCGAGGAGATCGGTGGATCGGACGAAGAAGTTGCCGTGGAAGGAGGAGAGCCTTATACCCCTCGTTGCGCGTACGCGGGTTATGGCTTCGACCATGAAGGGCGTCTTTAATACCGCGGTGAATTCGGAGTTGAATTTTTGGATGTCTGAGGCTGAGGAGGAGGAGGCGGGGGAGGAGGCGGAGAAGGTGGGGCCGTAGTAGTAGGTCTGTCCGGAGGTGTAGTGGGGCAGGCAGGAGAGGGTCGTTAGGTCGAGGTAGGTCGAGGAAGAGGTCGAGGAGGATGAGTTGGGGAGGGTGGGCCGGGAGGAGGGAGAGGGGACGGGGAAGAGGAACATGTCGACGGAGATGTAGGCGCGGGAGCATTCGATGGCGAAGGTTTTGTACCATGGGCCGTTGACTTGCATGAGGGATGATTCCTGTGCGGCGGAAAAGGGCGGGTTAGGATTAGGATGAAGTGTGGGCTGTGCGACTCGCCTTGGACGTCCCTAGGATCTTGGGATCTTCCCTATTCTTGAGCGCACCCGGGCCGATGGACGGGAGTGTACAAGTAAGGACGACGATCTTGCCGCCGACGGGATATTTCAACTCGGTCGGGGACTTCACATCGCACGAAAAGAACAAGGTGAATGAACGTCAGTGAGGATCGTGGGCAGTGAATGGGGGAAAAAGAGGAAAAACGCACCATAAGCATATACCCCGCCCTCAACGCACTCCCCAACGCACTCCCCAGCACCATACTCCCCTTAAACATCTCATAAAACCCACCCAACAAGACCTCAAGCGACGCCCGGGCTTCCGTCAGGCCCACGACGAGATCCGTAGGTTTAGGCAGGAAGGGGTCGTCGATATCGGAGACGACGAGCATTTCGGGGTCGGTTGTGCCGGGCTGGATGTGGGGGGTGAGGGGGAGGGGGAGGGGGGAGGGGGAGGGACGCGGAATGGTTTTGTTTGTTAGTTAGTTAAGGTGTTGGAGGATTTTTTGGGGAAGGGAAGGGAAGGAAGGATTGCGTACGGGCATGGAGAAGAAATAGAGCGAGGTGTCGAACCCGATGAGGGCGATCTTCGTATGCGAATCTTCATTCGGGATTCGATCCAAATTCTCAAGCAGAGCTTGTGCAGCCGTAGCCGTCATACCTACCCAAACCCACTTCATGAGTATCGTCTCCATACATCCCCTCCCCCCCTCATAATAGTGAAAGCCAAGCTAACCGGATTGAATAGCCCCGTAACTAACGTCGATCAAAAACACGTATATGACCGGCTGGGGGGGTCGAGTCCAATACTCCTGCGGCGCCATGAAATCGATGACGGAGTGCGACAGTTCCGGGCGGGCCCAGCGATCGGCGGGTTTGTTCGTTGTGGAGTCCCAGTCGAAGAGTTGGGGGGTTTCATTTTGCATGTTGCACATGCAGCAGCGCCAGCTATAGATGGGGTGCCACCGCCACATTTGATGTAGAGTAGTTCGTTGTTGTTAGTGCTTATCGTTATGTGGAACTGAGAGGAAGAGAGGGAGAACCCACCGATGTCCGCCGTCAAGAAAGGTAACATAAGGATTGATATACATCCTACACCGCTTACACCTCCCAATAACCATATCCTTGATTATCGGAACCGGCTCCTCATCCTCCTTCACGCTCCTATACGGCGTCATCACCAGTGCCAACGGCAGCTTCGACTTGTTCAACAGCGAGTTACTCGTGGGGATGGCGTTCAGCGTGCATCTCTGATAGGAGAAGTGCGTGTTCGTGTGCGGGGAGGGAGGGAGGAGGGAGGAGGAGGGGGGGAGGTTGATGGGTGGTGGTGGGAGGAGGAGCGAGGAGGGATCGGGGGGCGTCGATTGGAGGTTTAAGGTCGTCGCAACTCGGGAGATGGGATTCGGACCTGTTCCAGCAGGTGCACCGATGGACATTTGGGAGAACTGGTTGGCGAGCGGGTTGACGGCCTGGCCGTAGCCCGGCGCATTGATGTATTCTGGCTGGGACTGTTGGCCATGACCGTAATACGGCGCTGACTGTTGTCCTTGTTGTTGTTGTTGTTGTTGTTGTTGTTGGGCAGCGAATTGGTTGTCGACGGCGCCGATGGATGGAGTGAAGAGCTGGGGACCGGGCGCTTGGGCGTCGGGGTATGGGAGGTTGGTGCCAGGAGGAGCGGAAGAGAGGGGGTCGGAGGCGTCGTAGGCGTGTGTTTGGCCGAGAGCGTATTGGCGACGTTTGGTGTGGTGGCCGTGGAGAGGCGGAGGAGAGGTCGGAGAGCCGATGCCTGGAGATTGTGGAGGGGACGACACTCGGGCTGCGAGTGGATGTTCCCATTGTGCGCGGCCTGTCGCGGTTTCTGTACGGGTTTATGGTGAGTATTGTTGTTGTTTATTATGATGAGACTTTGCGAGTCCGTGTATCGTGATGTGCGTACCAAGGAACATATGCCGCTGGTTATCCACGTCCCTGTAAATGATTTCAATGACCAGTCCCTTTCTCCATATAACCTGCCACGTACCATTCTGCAGTCCATCCTGGGGGAAGCTGTTGCGCCGGGCTGGCCATCGGTCTCAGCAAGGGTAAGTAGATGTGGGAGTATGGCAATAGCCTGTTAACTTAGGACGCTAACTTGAAGTGCTTATGACGGATTAATTGAGACCGTCGTGGCCTTTCACAGGAAATTGATGCCACCGTGTTCTCTCTCGTCGTGCACAGGCGCTTTCGTGCACCCCTAGTGAACCGTTATGTACACCGTTCAGATGGACTGATCAGAAGAAAAAATGTCGAGGAACATAGATATATAATACTTCGAAGTCAACGGAGAGGTGGCGAGCAAGCCGGAAGCAGAAGCGCGCGGACGAAAGTGCCACACGCTCGGAAATGCTTTTCTTGATTCGGTCTCGAACGAGTGCAGATCACGACTAAAATAAAGTCAGATCCTTTTCCGTCCGCCACTTAACTTCTCCTCTCCAGCTCCTCTCATACCTCCCTCCTCTCCCTCTCCCTTTCGCCATCTCAAGCATGGCGCCCACCAACAAAAAATCCAGCGGGGGCCCCTCCTCCAGCGGCTCCAAAACCCGCTCTTCCACCTCTACCTCCACCGCAGGTGCAGGCCCGACGCTCAAAAGAGTCAAGGGCGAGAACTTCTACCGGGATGCTAAAAAGGTCAAGAGGCTGAAGATGTTGACGGGCGGGAAGGCGATACGGGATAAAGATGGGAAGATCATCCAGGCTGCGGCATTTCAGAAGGGGGAGGACGAGACGACGCCGGGTAGGGTGCAGCCTGATCGGAGGTGGTTTGGTGCGTTTTTTTTTTCGAGCTTCTTTTATTCTTATTTTTATTGTCCCTTCACTCATTGTCGTTGTCTTTCGAAATGGAAATATAGGTAATACGAGAGTCATCTCGCAGACTGCGTTGGACCATTTCCGCACGTCTCTACAGTCAAAACAACACGATCCATACTCTGTCCTCCTCCGTCGCAACAAACTACCGATGCAACTCCTCGACGACGCAGCGAACCCCAACACCCGAAAAGTACGTCTCCTATCCTCCTCTCCCCTCTCTCCCCTCTCTTCTCTTCTCGCACCCCCCAGTCACTGACGACTATGGCACGGATAATGAACAGCGCTCCCACATCGTCGAGACCGAACCCTTCGGGGATACTTTCGGCCCCAAAGCTCAACGCAAACGTCCCCGCATCGAAGCCGGCACGTTCGCCGAACTATCAAAGCTAGGCTCAGATGCGTACGACGCTGCGGCCTCTGCGACGTTGGCCGCCGAGATGTCTTCCCTCGATCCTTTTGCGCCTACCTCCTCCTCCACCACCAGCACCACCCTTGATCCCTCCAACCCCTCCGACTCGACTGCGACTGCTACAGGGCACACGACGCACGCGGATTACATCGAGCCTATATTCGCAAAGGGAACGTCGAGAAGGATCTATGGCGAGTTGTATAAAGTGATTGATTCGAGCGATGTGGTGCTTCATGTGTTGGATGCGAGGGATCCGATGGGGACGATGTGTGAGAGTGTGTTGGAGTATATGAGGAAGGAGAAGGCGCATAAGCAGGTTGTGCTTGTTATTAATAAATGTGATTTGGTGCCCGGGTGGGTTACGGTGCGTTTCGTTTTTCTACCCTAACTCTCAACTCTCACCCCTCAGCCTCACTCTGTCTCACTCTCGGCCCCTCTGACAAAAACTTGGTTATTCATTCATGTGTGCACTGCGAAATACAGGCCCGCTACATCCAACACCTAACCCCCCGCTACCCGACCATCGCCTTCCACGCCTCCCCAAACCATTCCTTCGGCAAAGGCTCCCTCATCCAACTCCTCCGCCAATTCTCGCAGCTCCATTCCGACAAGAAACAGATCAGCGTTGGGTTCGTGGGGTATCCCAACGTGGGGAAGTCAAGCGTGATTAATACGTTGAAGAGCGGGAAGGTGTGTAAGGTCGCGCCTGTTCCTGGGGAGACGAAGGTACGTTCCACTTCACCCTCTTTTTCCTGCGTTCTGGACGAGAGTTGGCGTTTATTTTAATATTCACTGTGTGCTGGCGTCACTATAGGTCTGGCAATACATAACCCTCACCCGCCGGATCTACCTAATCGACTGTCCCGGCATCGTCCCCACCTCCGCTAAATCCGATTCACAAACATCGACGGTCTTAAAAGGCGTGGTGAGGATCTCGAACCTGCCCACGCCGAGCGAACATATCCCGGCGTTGTTGAGGAGGGTGAAGCCGGTTTATATTTCGAGGACTTATGGGATTCCACTTCCTGGGTCTTCTCCCGCCATCTCTTCCAATGGTGCCACTTCTTCAGACCCCGCTGTGAATGAGGATGGAGGCGCGCCGGTGAGTCGGGGATGGGACGCGGAAGAGTTATTGGAGAAGTTGGCGCGGATGAAGGGGAGGCTGCTCAAAGGAGGCGAACCGGACAGGGAAGGCGTCGCGAAGATATTGTTAGAGGATTGGGTGCGCGGGCGGATTCCGTTCTTTGTGGGACCGCCGGAGAGGAGCGAAGACATTAACAGGAAAGAAGAGAAGGAGAGGAGGGTTAAGGATAGCGCGGTTAAGGCAGGGGAGAGGACGAAGGTGGAGAGGGCAGGGAGGGAGAAGGGTGAGAAGGAGGGTGAGAAGAGGGAGAAGAGGGAGAGTAAGAAGGAGAGGGAGGAGAGGGAGAGGAGGGAGAAGAAGGTGCCGGGGGTGAGGCAGAACCTTGGTTCGATTATGCAGAAGATTACGTTTGAGGCGGAGGATGTGAGGCCTTTGGAGGTCGACGAAGATGTGGAGGAGGAGGTCGAGGACGATGGGAGCGATGCGGAGGGAGAGGATGTGGTGCTGGGTGCGGAAGACGGGGACGAAGGGGACGATGGTGTGCTGGCGTGGAACGATGTCTTCCCTGAGGCTGGCGATGCCGAGTCGTCAGCATCAATATCAGCACGCGTACTCGAAACCGTCGACGGCGCGGGTGATGATGAAATGGAGTCTGGTTCGGGCTCTGGTTCTGGTTCGGACGATGCATCTGGAGGTCCGTCATCTTTCTTTGCGTTCCCTCCGTTCTGTGTTCGATTCGATCTTGCCCGTCCCGGGATCTTCCGCTGACCTTTATTTTTGTCTTCCGTTTATCATTCGTATTTGTATTTGTGGGCGTTCTAGACGATGAAGCCGCGTCCGAGGTCGAGGAGGATGCGTCGAAGAAGGACAAGGAGGGGAGGATGACGACGAATAAGGTACGTCTTTTTTCCCTCGTTCGAGATTTGTGGCCGGGTTCGAGCGATCCGTCGTTTGAGGATGGAAATGATCTGGCGTTTCCGTGGATTTGGATCTTGCGATCTGGGTCTTATGATTCTGCACAATCTGGGTCTTTGGATTTTTTCTTCCGTTCCGTTCCCTCACGCCCTGTCCTCCGACGCCACGCCACACCCACCTTCCTCCTCCGTCTCACTCCATGTCTATCCGTATGCCCGACTGACTTGCTCATTTCCAACAAACAACAGAAAAAAGCGACAAACTTCTACTCGTCCGCGAACGTGAAGAACAAGAACAGGGAGAAGGCGAGGGTCATGAAGGCGTTGCAGGGGAGGAAGGAGGCCAAGACGGGGCCGAAGCCGAAGCCGAAGACGAAGACGAAGACGAAGGGGGCTGGTGGGAGGAAGAGGAATTAGGACGGAGGAGGTTTGGGTTGTGGGCTTTTTTGTTTCGGTTTCTGTTGCTGTTTCGGTCAGAGTATGGATATGTAGAAGGCGTTGCGTTGCGGCGTTGTGCACGAAGCTTGAGGTGCAACCTTCAAACTTTGAAGCTTTAGGGGTTCAATCGATGCGTGCGTGTGTGCAGGGTGGACCGAGACGAGTCATCGGGTTAAGGGAGATTGTATCTACACATGTACATGTCGCCGTCGGAAGCCGCAGGGTATGCAGATCCTAGATTTGACGACGACGGGGATGCCTGACGGATCTCGTTCGAGGTACATGCGCTGCGCCGTGATGGGGTTTTTTTTTCAGAGCGTCGTTGCGGCTGTGGCTGGAGTGAGCTGGGTGTCGTCGAGGTGACTCGGAGGTTTGTATAGGCATTTTCTTTTCGCCCTTCGGGTTGTCCTGTAACTTATTTATCGCCGTTTACGAGGATTATATGGACGGCGACGCTTTACGCTTTGAAACTTCGCGAGATGTGCTGATAAGCACGAGACTTGATTTTTTGGCGAATTGTGGACATGGTACGGAGCCGATAGAAGGATTCTGGGAAGAGCGAGGTCGCTCGGAACAGCACACAACGTTAGACAGAATAAAAGCATCACCCAAGCCTCGATCCTTGCGTCGAGGCACCTAGATCGTTTTGCGCATGGTGGCGTCCGCTGCTGCCTGTTCTTCCCTGTTCGGGTTGCAGATAATCGCCGTGGGAAATCGTTGTCGGAATATATACGCTCCTCTTTTCTGCTTTTCTCTTTCCGCCCACCATCCCGTCCGTCCACCACCACCACCACCACACCTTCACCACCAATCTTAGACCTTTGACGATGTCCATCACAAAGATCCACGCACGCCAGGTACGCTGCTCGTCGTGGATGTAGGTGAACGCAGAGCGAAAACAGGGGCTCATCGTGACTCCATCGCATTTTTTTAGATCTTCGACTCGCGCGGTAACCCCACCGTCGAGGTCGACCTCTACACTGAAAAGGGTATGATATCTTCTGTTTGTATGCGCATATATCGTGCTCATACGTCGACCTAGGACGCTTCCGTGCCTCTGTCCCCTCTGGTGCCTCCACCGGTATCCATGAGGCCGTCGAACTCCGTGACGGCGACAAGTCAGCCTACGTCGGAAAGGGTACGCATACATCTGCCCCTATCCCACTCTCCCACCCTCATCTCAACGGCGCATATATCCTGCTTTTATCCAGGTGTCCTCAAGGCCGTCGCCAACGTGAACGACATCATCGCCCCCGAGGTCCTCAAGTCCGGCCTCAAAGTCACCCAACAGAAAGAAATCGACGACTTCCTCATCAAGCTCGACGGAACCCCCAACAAGGGCAAACTCGGTGCCAACGCCATCCTCGGTGTCTCCATCGCCGTCGCTGACGCCGCCGCCTCCGAGAAGGGCGTCCCGCTCTACCAGCACCTCGCTGATCTCGCTGGCGTCAAGCCCCCGTTCGTGATGCCCTGCCCGGCGTTCAACGTTATCAACGGCGGTTCGCATGCCGGTAACAAGCTTGCGTTCCAGGAGTTCATGCTGCTTCCCACCGGAGCGACAAGCTTCGCGGATGCGATGAAGATTGGTACGGAGACTTACCACACGCTCAAGAAGGTCATCAGCGCCAAGTACGGTATCGATGGTAAGCATCTTCTCGTCCCACCTTTTCTCTCTTGGTACTTCGCCCATCTCCTTGGAGTTATCCTTGGCTGACGCGCGTATTGCTTGGGTGTACAGCCGTCAACGTCGGTGACGAGGGTGGATTCGCGCCCAACGTCTCTGGCGCCGAGGAATCCCTCGAGCTCCTCTCCGAGGCCATCAAGAAGGCCGGCTACGAAGGCAAGATCAAGATCGCTCTCGACGTCGCCTCTTCCGAGTTCTACAAGGAGGGCAAGTACGACCTCGACTTCAAGAACCCGAACTCTGACCCGTCCAAGTGGATCTCGGGCGTCGAGCTCGCGGACCTCTACCTCTCGTACGTCGAGAAGTACCCGATCGTGTCGATCGAGGATCCCTTTGACCAGGACGACTGGGAGGCCTGGACTCACTTCACGGCGAAGAGTGGGATTCAGATCGTCGGTGATGATTTGACGGTGACGAACCCGTTGAGGATCAAGACGGCTATTGAGAAGAAGGCTTGCAACGGTCTCTTGCTCAAGGTGCGTTCGTTCGCTCTCCACCTCCTTCCCAGTATCCCTTTCGGCGTTCGATACTAACGTCTTATCTTACCCGCCAGGTCAACCAAATCGGTACGATCTCCGAGTCCATCCAGGCCGCTCAGCTCTCTCAGTCCGACGGCTGGGGTGTCATGATCTCCCACCGTTCCGGCGAGACTGAGAACACCGTCATCGCCGACCTCGTCGTCGCCCTCCGTACCGGCCAGATCAAGACCGGTGCCCCTGCCCGTTCGGAGCGTGTCGCGAAGTACAACGCTCTTCTCCGTATCGAGTGCGTTACTCTTTCCTTCTCTTTTCCTTCTTGCCTCTCCTCCACCTTGTTGCTGATCGCTTTTACTTGTGTCGTGTTATAGGGAGGAGCTCGGTGGCTCTGCGACCTACGCCGGTGCCAAGGGTCTCTCCGCCGGCCTCACCGCCCCCGCTCTCCACAAACAGTAAACGTCCCCTCTCCCCCTCCCCCCCTCCCCTCTATCCTCTCCCCCACCCTCCTCCTCCTCCTCTGCCCTGTCCCCGGCATCCGACCCTTCCTCTCCTCGGCGAAGTCAAAAAAATGATTCAAGATTGTACCATTTTCGCTATTGTATTCTTTTCTTTCTGTGCTTGTCGTTGTTGTGATTTTTACCATAGACGTTTCGGGGGTGAGGAATGCGAAAAGGATAAGAAAGCAGGAAGAAGGAAGCAAAGAAGAAATATCATGTACCTACTGACGATAATGACGATGCATGAAATGCTGATGATGACACATAGACTTTTATAACTTTGGTGTTGCGATTGATGATTGATACTTTTCCTGGATCTTTTGTGAGACCGGCTACTCTCACTGGTCCTTATTTCCTCATGCAGTTCAAGGTCTCTCGCCATAAAACTTGGCACACAGGGTGCCCTATACTCTCCTCTACTCGAGCTATGCACATGCCCATGTAATTTCGTGATAGATCTCTAGAAGGTCTTTGTCTGAGGGATGGATGGGACCTTCGTTCAGACAGTCGCGCCCGTCTTGAAATGTGACTTGTCGTACTGACTCCCTCCCCGACGTCCCGCTGCCACAACTGCAGCCAAACGACTGCGGATATGGTCCGTAAACGATTTAAATAACATGATTTATGGGCCTTTGAGTGGGGTGAAACGGTACGGTACACGGGGGGGGCAGCGTACTTTTGAAAGAAACTAAACGGAATCCAGAACCGGATTCGGAGACAAAAAGCTTCGGGCCAGATTCAGCGTGCGCACTTTGTTTTCTTTAGAGGCGTTATATGTGATCCTGTCCAATAATGTGCCGTGAGCACGAAAGAAAAACTTTGACGACGATGGGCGATGGAAGTGGCGGTGGCGATTTGGACCTGAGCGCCCCTATTCCTCGGCTAACCCCATCAAGCGAAGTTTTCCACGGATGCTCACGTCTTTGTCGTCATCATCCATCATGAAGGCAAGTCTGGTGACCTGTGCGGTATAAGTATTGTAACTGTGGACTCCCCCATAGCCTACAGTATAACGAGGTAGCTCTGTTTGACATACAACTGCTCTGGGACTTGGCCGCGAACTCGAACGCCCGAGGAAGTGTAGCATTAATAATGCTGTAATTAATGACAGCAGCGCTAGTTCCCAGGCGAAACTCGAAACGGTCCCCTCTTGTCATCCTTGTCATCAATCGTTCTTGCGATCGTTTCAGTTACAGGCACTCGAACTGGCTCTGGCTCTGGAGTCTGACGCAACCGCAACCGTGGCGGGGGACCACCGCCGTCACAGGTCACCACTGACTGTCATAGATTATGCATTATGCTAGACTGACAGTGGCTCGGGGTATAAGTTAGATAGGAGACCCAGCCCGACTTGGCTCCCTCCCGTCGACGTCTCTCCACTTATCGTCCAACTGTACTGGTACCTTCAATCGTGTTCCCAGGCAGAGCGGCACTTATCTATCTCCCCGACGTTTCTTGCCTGCCGTATCGCTTGCCACCATTATTAGTCGGTCGCCCCACTTCTCCCGCTTCCCGACTCCTCCGCTCCTCCGCTCGAGAACCTGAGACTGAGACATCGAGCCTTATAAGCGAGACTGTGTCATCCCGAGTCGGTTTTTGGCCTTTCTTCGGACTTCGCTCTGACGAACGGACCCCTCTTCTTCTGCGACCACCACCACCACCACCACCACCACTACCTTTGACACGTATACCCTCACAAGTTGCTCTCCAGTGTCGAATACCTCCCCAACCCCTACGCGTAACCCATCTTCTTCACTCATGTCCACTGCTACTGTCACTACGCACACTTCTTCTACTCCTCTTGACGTCGAGCTTGAAACTTCCCTGAAGCTCGGAGGTTCACCAGACTCTGACGCAGACACAGACTCCATCCTAGCCGCCACCACCGAATACCCAGACCTTTCGATTCTCTCGGGTCCTGCGTTCAAGGACGCCAGAGCCGCAGCGCACGATAAACAGCGGTCGAAGAAAGCTGGTGATCGGGCGAAGGGACGGGGCTCGAAGCACGGCATGGTGAAACCCTCTGGTTTGCACGCTCACGGTCATGGTCACAACATGAACGGAGATCTGAAGGCGGAGGAGAGGAAGTATGCTGCGTTGGGTGAGAGGGAGAAGGAGGTGGAGGCGGATTGGTTGACGTTGAGGAAGGGCGCGGACGGGGATTTGGATGCGGTCGATGTGCCGGTGCCGTCGTCGAGGTGTACGTGTGGGAGGGGACATCGGGGGGAGGGGAAGGGTGAGGGTGGTAAGACGGAGGTGAGGTTGTTGGATCTTGTGAGGCCTGCGAAGAGGCGCGGTGGGGTTCGTGGTAAGTGTTTTGCGTTTCAATTCGATTCACTTTCTTCTCGTTATCTGTGTTATTTACGCTCATAATGTTATGGTCTGCACAGATGATTTCGAAGTCGTCCCGCCTGTCAAATCCGTCATCGTCCTCGACGACCGACAGTGGCTCGAGGATCGGGAGCCTCGTTTAGGCTTTGGCTTGGGATTAGGGCTGGGAACGGACGAAGCTTGGGAGTATGTCTCGAGTGAGGAGAGCGAACCCGAGGGCAATGGTTCGGATGGAGAGAGGAAGTCGTATGCACAGGTTGTGGCGAAGATCGACGGGAGGGCTTGATTTTGGACGTTCGCGCGACGGGTCGGGTTGGAATGAGAAGAGGATGGGGAGAAGTTGAGCTGAGGGTTGAGGATCGGAATGGTTGGGAGGGGGACGTGGGTTAAGTTATGATTTATACAGTAAGTATCGTGGAAGGATTCAGATGGACGTGGGTCATAGACGGTAGTAGTATGCATACCATATACTGGTGCTAATTGGTACTTACCCCCTCATATTATGACGCTCTGTATTGTACAATACGAATGGACTTGGACTTGGATTTGTGGAGTCGAGCGAGTTGGTCCGCAGTATGTCTATTATGCCCGTTCCTGACCTGAGGATCCTTCAGGGTACGGAAGGAATACGAGTACTGTGTCTTGTTGTGAATTTGTGCTTATGTAGTCATGTTGCAGCTGGTAATTCGTCGTCTCTTCATACTGTTATAATCTTCATAATCTCTTATGCAGTTCGACATAAAAAGGATCATGTATTTCATCCACGTCAACCTTCCCTTTCAAGGAATGCATCAAACCATCTGAAAATTTCGAAATGCCATCTCAGACTGAGAAAAGACGTTCCGGTCAATTATTACGGACGAATACTGATAGTAACTTCGATGGCTAACCTATTCCCAGGCTTCAAAACCGAATGGTTTTCGTCAGGAAAGACGACCAAACGGGCAGGTATGCCACGCCTGTAGAGAATGAGAGCGATTCATATGTGCATGCCATGTTAGCGTGTGCTCATCTAGTGGAGAAGGCAGACAAAATACAAACTGCTTGAGTGCGTGAAACGCCCCTATACCGTCGGTGAGAGGCAGACGGAAATCGTGCACACCGTGTATATTCAATTGCGGAATGTGCCACTTCTGGACGAAGTTCCTCGGGTTGAATTTTTCCGCGATCTCGTTAGCCCCTTCCTCCCAAGGATGGCCGCCATATTCATGCTTATACTATGCGAATCCAATGTCGTTCATCAGCCAGAATGGGGAACATCCAGATGAAGGAAAGAGAATGTGGTTTACGAAGAAGTCTTCATCGGTGGTGTATGCATCGTAATGAGTATCGAACACGCCGTCGTGGCATGCGACCGCTTTGAAGTTGAAGCCGTATTCCGGGTGACCTTGTATCCAACTTGGGATTGAAGAAATCAACAGAGAAACGGAAAGCTCCATCAGCAATCTTGGAGGATTTAAGTGTTTGAAAAGGGTAGCAACAGATCACATACTTGATAGCGTAACCTCCCCAGCTGCCGCCCATCGCGACGGTCCTGTCTGTGTCTATCTCAGAGTATCTTCCTAGGATGTGGTCCCATCCTTTTTTGAGGTCGACAAAGGGCTTCCCGCCCCAGTCTTTGTTTATTGCGTCGGTAAAGTCTACACATACAATAAACAATATACAGTCAGCGAGATGTAACTGCCTTAAGGTATCTACTGTAGAGCGTATCGTACCTTGACCGAAAGATGTAGAACCAGCTATGAGAGTGGTCCGTAACGTTATTGTATCTGGGACACTCGTCGAACAGCGGTTGCGAGAGGTGCGTACTGAAGTTGATGATGACGACAAAGTATCCCTGATGCGCAAGCACCACGGGACACCATCTCGTTGACCATACATCGCCGAAAACGTCTTGAGGTCCTGTCATACATAACGATATATTTCTTTGGTTAGATAGGTTTTTCTAAGCGCCTTGTCAAACATATACAGCCCACTTACCACCGTGGATCATCATGATCGCGGGCCACTTCTTATTCTCCCCTTCCACCCAGCCGGAAGGTTTGAGCAGCCACCCCTGAACCGTTTTACCCTCTGCTCCCTCGAAGGTAAAGTACTCGGGAGAAATTATTGCCTTGGACGACAAGGATTGTTCGTTGAAACGAGTGACTTTCGCGACCGTCACTATTGACAATGCCTCAGCCACAGTATCGTCATCGAAAGAGTTCGTTAGTTCAGTCTCGAAGGCTCCAAGGCCGCTCAGCATGTGCACATCGTTCGGGGACGTGAGCGACATCAAAGTAAACAATAGACGGCCTCCGAGAAGGACTTGAAGACCGCTGGCTGTGCCATTGTGGGTGAGTGCCACTGGAACGTTGTATCGCTCAGGGAAATTTGGGTGGGTAGTAGACATGGCCGGCGTCGGGGGAAGAGGAAGAGCGAAGATTTTAGTGCGGGCTTCATCGGGCACGAGGAGGTATAACACGGTATCGTCTTCGGAGAACTACCATCCGATCAGAATGAGCGAAGAAGACCGCGAGGAAAGTGTATGTCGTCTACTCACCACGACGGCACTGGGCGAACGATCCCAAGGTCTGGTGAGGGTAAAACGCACGTCATTGGCAAAGTCGTATATCACGATGTTCGCACTGATTTTGAGGCAGACAAATTAGTCAGTATAACTCACAGTGCACACGTCCTCACCTCTGAAGCTTACCTATCCGCGTAGTATCCGTCTTTATCCATCTCCAACCACGCAACTTTGCCTCCCGTGTGGCTAAACACAGGGCAGAACGTTGTGCCCTGGACGCCGGAGGTAAGCTTCAGTGTTACGCCTGTGAGGACATTGACCGTATAGATCTGGGTAGCCGACTATGAGCCATCGTGTCATGTATCAGACTAAACTCAGACTCACGTTCTGCCTAGTATGTGAGGGCTCTGGTACCTCGGAATCCTTGGTCGTGTAGACGACCTGATGGTCAGACACATCGAAGTCCTCAATTCCACCGAAGGGCTCGACTGGGCAATGCTGTGATGGAGCATCAGCGCCAGTGAGCAGCGTGGAAGAGAACGAGACGCGTACATTGCCGGTACCAGCTAATAAATTCCTGAACTCTCCGTCGAGGCGCCATTCACGGCCGACGGCGTCAGCGTCGAACTTGACAGCAAAAAGAGATGACCGTTTGGGCCCAGTCCAATTATCCCACTGCCTCTCAAACCCGTCGTCGTATACAAGTGCCGAATTACCCCTCTTATCCCATGCCTCATCGTTCTCGTGCACTTTTGTGAGATCTCCATCGGCATGGACATAGTCCGAGAAGATCAATATCTTAGCCTTTTTCGAGTACCGAAAATTGGCAGTGGAGTCGGTAGGAAATGAGCCAACGAAAACAGGACGCTGAAGTGAGAGCTCAGAGTCTGCTTTTACTTCGATCGCTACAGCATAGAGACAAGATCGGCTGCGTCCGTCATTTTCCTCGACTTTGACATGCCCGACAGTCCTGCTATCGAGCCAAAAAGCCGTGCCGCCCTCCAGAGATTGAGGGGATGCTGCCGATGTCGTATTCAGAGACTTTATGTAGATCCGACGGTCGGTCCTATTTGGAGGACGATGCCATTAGTAACTGGTTTGGCTATGGTGATCTACGAGAGTATGACTTACTTTTCTTCTTCAAAGGAGTGTTTAGAGACGGGAACAAGAACAAGGTCACCCTTGTCATTCGCAGTACCAGTCCCAACACGAGCTAGCTCCAGCATGTCTTTTGGCGAGAGTGACTCGTGGCCCTCCTTGAGCCTGAAGTCGGGGTTCTGAGGAGCAACACTTTGAGCAGAAGTAGAAGACATGTCGAAAACGAGATGAAAGCGGAGAATAAAGAAAAAAAAGCATTAGCAGTTGATCAGATCTTAAGTATGCCACTGAGGAAGGAAAAGATGATTCATCCGGAGCCGTGCAAGTTTAACAAGTTGACTCCCCGGCCGGATCCGCTACGACCCAGAGATCGTTCACGCGGTCACATTCTGACACCACCAGCCACACACGTATCCGACGGCTCAAAAATGGCCCATTGGACCTGTGAATTCTTCTGAGTCCCCACCCGTTCTATCTTGGATCCATCGTATACAGACAGCAAACGACCAAGGCAGGAAAAATGAACCAGTCCGCCCACCGAGCACGTCTTGACACAAATACAAGTTTTCATGAAAGCGATCACTGCTGTCTTCCCTCCTGAATGACCCTCTGGACGACGACCATCTCCTCCTTGTTCAGCTGACTGACAAAGTTCTCGAACTGGCCTGGGTTGCGCGTTGCACATTCATGAATAAAGGACACGAGATGCGTCTATGCGAAAGCATTTTATGAGCACCAAGGGAGAGAGAGATACAAGACGAGATAGACGAACCTTCAGGTCAATCTGTGCAATAGGGTCGCTCCTCAAATCCTCGTCCTCATCAGGCCCAATAGCCTCATCGTTATCGAACGATACGCCGCCTGCACCGGTGTTGATCACCTCAGACAGGTACTGGAACTCCTCAGGCGTGAAACCTTGGATCTTGCCGCCCTTGGTGGATCCGTCTTCTTCCCAGTCATCGTCCTGACCACCAGAAATTAGTAAATACAAGGTCGTCTCGAACAGAATAAGCTTACGCCATCGTCAGAGTCAACAGATGCACCATCTGGTGCCGCCATACTTGCGGCCTCGCCATTGGTCTGGAGATCGTGTAGGAGTAACTTGAGAGCTTTGACCGGGAAGGGTATCGACGTAAACTCGTGTGGCGCTAAATGATAGGATCCAGAGTGCATGGTTAGCGGAAGTTTCGACTTTGCAGCAGGCAAGAAGGAATTGAGGAAACAAACCAATCTTCGTCTTTGATCGCGTCATGATCACTTGAAGCACACGGATGTCGTTTATCAGAGAGGGATCTCAGAATGGTATGGAAACAGAGAAAAACAGTCCGAGAAATTGACTCACCGTTCCGTGTCTCCTCCTTCACGATGATATCACCCTTCACGTTCATCAGTAGGTTTTGCCTCCGCTCTCCCTCCGTCAACGCTGCCGTGAACAACTGACACAGTCCCAAGTTTGAGATCCTTGTGGGCCAGAAACCCTGGAACGTCTCCGCATTCTCGCACCACGTATTCAACAGCACAGCGATGCCGGACTGATTCGAGTCCAGCGTGATAGACTCGACGAGGTCAAGAACGACATCCCTTTGGTTGTAGATGAGAAATGCGAATGGAATGATCAGGCTCTGCAGGAACGAGGCCGTCTTCGCTGTCCTCATCCTCGCAAGCATCGCCTGCAGCAACTCTGGCAATACTGGCAACACTGCTTCTCCTGCCCTCCTCAGCAACTGAATGATGAGGTTGCCGAGGACCAAGCCTCCCGATTCGTCATCATTCTGCAATAACTTCGCAACGACGGATAGCGTATTTGCGAGGCCGGTTTGACCACGTGAATCGGTCCACTGCACGAGCTGGTTGACGTCTTTGCGAACGACGAGCGTCAGGAGCGAAACACCGTTCTGGGTGTCATATGATCATCAGTTAAAACGTGCAAGGCGCTCTGGTGGTCACTAACCTGCAAAACATCTCTGTCCTCCGCCGTATTCAGACAGTTGAATAGACCTTCGGCCACAGTCCCGAAGAAACCATCCCCCAATCCTTCTTGCGCACCCTCGACCAAGCTACCGACCAACTCAATAGCAGAGGATGCGACCCACGACTCTTCCTTAGTAGATGATCGGATTGCAGAACTGAGCTTGGGCAGCGATTGTGAGACCACCGTGGAGTAGACACCAGATGTGGGAGACGACGCCAGGGTGGCGAAGATGTCGGTGAGCATAGAGAGGAATATTGGGTCTGCGACATCGATGTCCGTTAGTACTCGAACTCGCGAATCCGCAATGGCAATATATACATACCTTTGATGTTCTTCATCCAGACTTCGAGGAGAGCAAGGACGAGGTCGTTGGCAAGTTCGGGCGTCACCCACTTGCTTTGGTCGACTTCTACGACGACCGAAAGGGTCTCCAGGACTAAGGATAGAGTGTCTTCCGTAGCCTGCAGAAGGAAAGGTCCGATGTCCCGCGCGATGCGTGGTACGACAGGCAAGACAGCGGCGTCATCGATGCCCTGACAGAAGCTGTCATTCGTCAAAAGTCAGCATTCAACCGGACCACCCAAGATCGATGCAGACGTACTTATGGATAGCCTTGATGGCGGAGATTTTGAAGGGAATACCTGTGTCTGCAGATTCAACAACTTGGACAGCAGCGTCGAGGTACTGGCCCGCGATGTGGGCAGGCAGCAATTTAGCAAAACGGCTGGCGAAGACCAAGCATCTTCCTTGGAGGAACGGACATTCTACATACGTCAAGCAATCCATGTTATATACTTCGGTTTTGAACGAGGCTCATCAAACGACTCACCAGACAGCGTCAACAGAGATGGAATGACCTCTGCCAGTAAGTACTCAAGATCAAGAGGTTTGGGACGCTCGCTGGCTTCCTCATCGTCGATGCAATCCTGGACAGGCTCGGCTTGAGAACCGATGACAGCCAGGCCGGCCTCTAATGGCCTCCACCTGAAGATCGCACAGAACCATTAGTTTCGCGAGTGACCGATACCAGGACGAAGACATACCAGTCTGGGTTACCAGCTTCGCGTGCTTGCCGCGACTCGGCAACGATATCGCGTATGGTCGACTGAAGCGCCTGGACAGTCGGTACTGGAGCACGGTCAAGAAGTGACTACAAATAATCGTCAGTGCGCGTGCGCGAGATGCGTAGGGGTCCACATACCAGGAATAGATCGAATACGGCGACGCGTACACTGTACGCTTGCGTCTCGTCTTCCTCCTGCGCCACAAATAAGTTTGCGTCCTCTGCCCACTCCTCCTCGTTATCCCTCGTCATTTGTGCCCATCGTACCAACATCGTCACCAACGGCGCCAGGTTATTGCCTCCGGCTTGATTCTGATCTGTCTCGAACCACGACTTGGCTTTACCGCCGCGAGCTACGCTGGATACGAAGTCGATGAGCGCTGCCATTAGGCGGGTGAGCTCCTGAGGCTCGTCTTCAAGTGTCTGTGGCCTGAAACCAGAGGAGTGAAGGTAGTTCGCGGTAAATGTGGGGAGCAGAGTCTGTAGGTGGCTCAAAGAGGCTGAAAGATAGGCAGGCAAGTAGGGGGTGAGAGGTCGAAGGAAAGAAGTATGGATCATGCTCAAGGTCTACGGGATCCTATCAATAAAACTTATAAAGCATATTGCTAGGAGGGTCCAACTCACTCGGTAGACTTCCACGCGAATCGCGAGAGCATCCCAGTTCTCCGTGGCTACATCTTGAGCCGGGTCTAGTTCAAGAAGGACCTTGAAGGCGTCTAACCACGCGGGAAGGACAGAGGCAGAGGCTTCTTTTACGGCCTGTGGATGCTGGTCTTTAACCATGTATAGAGCCTCGACGCATTGGCTGAAGACCGCGATGGTACGTGAGCGAGTCAGTGGCGTGTGTTGCTAAGAATAATAGTGTATTCAGATCTGGCTCGTTTGTACGTGAGCGGCTCAAGATACACTGACGCACCTCATGATCTCCTAGGATCGAAAGCAATACCGGCAGAAGGTCTCGGAGAACTGGCAAAATTTGGTCCTCCGTCAAGTCTTGCTTGATGAATTCCGTGAAAACTTGCATCGCGCCGTGTACGGCGTAGGTAGAGCCAGAAGAGAGAAGGCCGATGAGGCCAGATAGAAGATCAGGGTATTCGTCTGGCCAGTCACAGTTGGCAATTCGGGATAATGTGTGCGCCTAAAGTGTGTCAAAATTGTCAAAAGACAGATGGAATAATGAAATGCTTTGAACATACGCAAAGGGTCCTGATCTTGCGATCAGGGTCTGAAAGTCCCTGGAATACAACTTGACGGATTTGAGCTTTGATCTACCCTCGCCGCATATAAGCATCAGTCACGCTTCAGGAAAGAAAGACTCCTGTACATACCTCATTTGGTGGAGCATCTCCTCTGAACTGCTGGAAAAACGGCGACCAGTGCTCTTGCACGTATTTCCTCAGAACCACGTTTGCGGAGTGCTGGTCCAAAGAAATACGATCAAGACACGCCTTCCATGCTATAAACCCATGATCGAGCTTATCTGACGCGTAGACATAGGGACATCTTGCGCTAATATAAGATGTGCGAGCGAGAGAGCAGATCCTATGTGATGACGACGCGTCGCAAACCCAGTCAGACGCGCCTTTGACCGTGATGAAAATTGATTTCTACCCACCGGGATTTTTGAGAGTTTCGGCTAGTTTAAGCTCGGCTGATATACGGGCATTGGGTTCTGGATTGAGGGTTGAAGACAGAGCTTCAGCAATCTCGGAGGCGGAGGCCATGTTCGTCAAAGATCAAAAAGGAAAACGGAGGGTATGGCTGCAAGACTGGAAAGACGCGCTTCGGCGCGTCCGTGACACCATGACGGGTCTTGTCATATTGACTTGATCTGTGACTACCTAGCACCAACTGTCACGATCGCGACTTGACCGCGAAACGCGAACTTCACGGTACTAGGGAACGATAAATATCCCTTCACTTTCTTCTGGTTTAGTTCGCATCGAGCCAGACAGGCCGTATTATGGCATCCATCCATGCTCAACGAGCTAAGAGATGGCATACGAGTCCTTTCATGGCCGAATGGCTCTCCAATGCCGTTGATTACATCCGCACCCCTGCCGGATTGCGAGAGTACGAAATATGGTACGTTCTCGCTAGGTATCTTCATGTCTACCGGTTACCGAAAATAGTCAGGTTGGTGTAGGAGTTCGGTCCTGTGTTGGCAGCGAAAATGGCAGCGTACCCCCGGCAGCCTGCCAGCAGGAGGAAACCCTGGCTCAAGGACAGAGAACTCATATTCAACGAGGCTGCCGTGAGTTTGTAAGATAGAGATATCCTTCCGTTCCACTGATTTTCATTCCCCCTTCGCTATAGGTGGAACTGGGTGAGTGCTATGGCCAACTTTTTCATCCATTTCAGCTGAACTCGGCTTTTTGAGGCGTGGACATGGACGCCTTGAAGAGCTACCACCGATTCACAGGGGTGAAGATGATCGGCACTCCCCCTCGAACACTTCCCAGCATCAAGTCATCACTTAGCTTTCGATACGTCGGTACTTTGAACTGACTTCACTCGTTGATACAGGCGACGTCGTGGCGAAAGCTCCATTGATTGGCTCACTGTAAGGTATTCTCATCTCGAGTTTGGTTGCATGTGCTCATCTGTTCACCCCTATGTCAATCAAATTATAGCGTCGACACGGCTAGTCCTTTTGAACTCTGATTGTCAACCTAATTCTGACTCTTTCCCGACATTCTGCAGAGGCGGATACCTCTGGTCACAAATCCCCTCCTCTCAACCTTGCATGGCTTCGATCAATTGCCATATCTGAATACGTGAGCTCGAAGCTCAAGCACACTGGCCCACATTTTGATCCCTGTTCGAGATAGGATAAGACCAAGGATACACTTGAAGCATGGCGAAGTGAACCCAAAATGCTATTCGCCCGCATCGAGCGCCGAGCGCAAAGCACAATTTCGCACGACTGGGTTTACAAGCTCGATCCACAGAAGTTTCAAGCTGTTCAGATGGATTATGCCTTCAAGTCAAGTATGATGAAAATGTCGGCGAGTAGACATTCCCTCTTGCCCGTACTACCCTACAAGGAGATGTTCATCATCGTATAGATTGCATACATGGCGTGGTCAGAAACGACTCGTTTATTCGAAGACATCGCTCGGATGGGTATCACGACTGCGTCGTCCCTCGAGAGGGCGTACAAAAAGGATTTCAAACTCATGTGGCGCCTTGTAGGCTGTACCTCCCGGGTGTACGAGTTACTTTGTACGTGCCCATTACCCTGATTTTTGGTGTTCAGACTTGACTCGAAATATATTAATGATGCAATCCTCTTTCCTCCAGCTCAGATGAGGGTTGTATTTATAGACAGCTTGACCTGGTGCGAAGCATTTCGGCCGTTGTTCAATCGCTACCGTGTAAGATTACATCTATTCTGAGACATTCCATCGAAATCGGCTACTAATAACTTACGCAGAAACCGGAACCAGACAGCCAGAGCGTCATTCAGGTGAAGGAACGGTATAGGTATGCGTCAGCGTCAGCACAACTGAGTGACATTGAGAGAGTGGTCGTCGCACATCATGAAAAACCCGACATACTGTGCTTTTGCCGAGACATCGGGAAAGTAATGGTGAGTGCAGCATAATATCATCGTCCTACATTCTTTGGTCTGACACGACAACTACCTAGTCCGAAGACCCAACAGAACTCAATAAGTTCTCGGCGGAATTCTTTGACGAGTTGGGCGATATATCGATAGGTACATCGTCTCATGCCTTGGTGCTCTTCTTCGATGGCTAATGCCTACTCTTTGTATTATATCAGTCGAAGAGTTTCTCTATGACTTCATGCATAGCGACTTCGGCGAAGGACTCAAAAGCCATTACCTATCCCTTGCTTCAGAGCCTCAAGGTCTCGCGTCCCTCCCCGACTTCCTCCCAACCATTCTCCGCATGAACCCAAATCTGATCAAACCCGTCAACTACTGGCAACGCATGTCAAGCCCTGTCGGCGCTTTTATTCGTGCCGAAACCGATCTTCTACGAGCTGTCATCTACCCAGGCAATATCTACTCACTCACTCAAGCCTACGTGTCCGGACCATCTATCTCACCCACTGCCTTCATGGAAATTTTCGAAAAGACCTGGCTTGAGATCGATGCAGCGTTTTATGATGGTGCTTGTCGACTCGACGCGCCTGGAGCTTCAGGGTCTGTGGCCAAATCCTTTGGCTTTTACTCGCCGAAGGATCCAGAGAGGCCGTCGCTCACCAAGTCCCTCTTCCGCATGTTCGATACTATGTTGAGCGCTAGAAACTTGAAGTTGGAAGCGGCGACGACTCCAGCTCCGCCGAGACAAACGTTTAAGGAGACCATTCCCGTAACAAATCCTGGAGAGTCTACCGCTACCTCGGGACATGCGTATCGCACAGAAGCGGCTAAAGAGGCGGCGCCTAAGAAGAAGAAAAAGAAGACTCGAAAAGCAACTGACAGTGTTTCCGAGATCAAGGAACCCCAGGTCGTTGTAGAGGAAGTTGTCGAGTCGGATGAGGCAGACCGTTTCGACGCTTTGCCTGATGTGCTCCCCGCTGAATTCAAACTCGGAAAGAAAACACTAAATGTAGGTTTCGACGGTCGTCTCTCTTTTTTTTCTTTGCGTGGGGCTAAGTTTTGTCTTGGTACGAAGATTTTCCACAAAGTCCTCGACCTCGACGAGCACACCAAGGATACGGCCGATGTGGCTGAGAAAAAGGGTCAGGTACGATGGGGCGACTTTGAACGTGTACGTCCTTCCACTGTTATTCAAACAGTAGTCGCGCTGAGGCCTGCATCCACCGCTCGGTATAACAGGCCATGAAAAGGTGAGTGAGTCGGAGGATCCTTGTGACCACGCATGCTAATCATAGACTATGAAGGGTTGGCTTCGAGGTCTATGAGACCGCGGGGTCGTCAGTGCGGTTTGATCCTCCTGCACGCACGGCCAGGCCCATAACTTTCCATCGTGTAGGTCGCAATTCACTCTCCCGCCTTTCGACTATGAGCTTATCTCTATTTCTTTCAGCCTCACCCAGACTCGACATTGACACCACCGCTGCTGAAATGGTGCGTCGATCAAATGTCGATTCTCCTCGTACGGCTGTAGCTAGCGACTGACATGGCCTTTGCTTTCAGGATCGGTGCTCGCCTTCGAAGGTGTTATGGCTGGACCACAGCGACTTTCCAACGCGAGACGCAACCTGGACCAGATGCGTAAGGGCGCGTTCGGCTGCCATCAACGTTGCAGCGTTGCACCGCCAAAACACGGAGAAGCGCTGCTGCCCCTGAGCTCCCCGACGGCTCACGCGTGCAGCCCACTTTATATGAACGTCGAATTTCTTGGATAACTTTCTTGGGCATCTATTGCTTTGTATCTACGCTTCTCTTTTCTTGATTTGTCCGAGCGAGTGGACCCGGTGACTATGCGCTCTCGTATGTGTGAAGCCTTCGTACACTTGAGTATTGTATATAATGTAATACCATCATTTGCACTGACGATACATATCGAGATGGGTTCGACATAGCACAACATGCTTTGAGATTCAGTAAACCTAATGTCCGCGATGGTTCGCTCTCTGTGTGAATGTGAATCGAGACGAGCCTGAGGTATGGAGAGAACTCGGTTGAAGAACGAAGGAGTATAACGATAGGTGATATGGGCATGAATGTGAGACAAAACAACTGTGGCACGATGATGCGAACAGGACAGAAGTATCGAGATTATTATGTCTTCGGGTTAGAGAGTAGGTCGTATAATCGGAGCGTGGCAAGTCGTTCAATGTAGGTGTGCTGTCAAGGTGGTCTTGGGTCGGGGTTCACCATAGGCCCTTGTGCGATGCTGGCTCTACAACGTTCAAAAAGGTCAGACTCAAACCGACCAAGCGAACAGTCATCGAAACCAGAATATGCCCCTAAATAGGCCCACTCGAAGAGATGCGATTGAAGTGAACGAACTCACTTCGTTTCCCGAGAACATACAGCACCCAAGCACCCGCGAAACACCCTACAGTCGCCAACACCAGCAACACCACCCAAACCGCCATCCTCCGTTCGTATCTTAAGGAATGCCGTGAACTCTCGCTCAAGGATGTGGAATGACTGGATTTAATGGAACCCGACCCAGTGCTCGCGCTCTGTCCATGACGGAAAGTGAGAGGGGGAGGGCGGCTGCGTAGGCTGCGCGAGCCCTTCTCGATGGCTATGGATGGTGACTCCGTATTGGCGGGACTCTTGGAGCGATTTTTCAGGTTGTATGGTGTCGTAGGAAAGGAAGGACGCATGGAGCTAAGAACAGCTGTTCCGAATCAGAAGTCACTAGACAGCGAGGATCGAGTGATGCCGCCGTAAAACACAAGAAGGAAATACTGCAATCAACCACTCTGACACGTCCCTTGAACGCTGCCAAGGGGGTGAAATGGCCTAGGAAGCAAAGTAAAGATTGATTAAATGTCCGCCGACTCGACTGTTCTGTGTTGGCCACACAAGTCACAAAAACAAAGCCAACCACCACTCAGCGGCAAGGAAGAGAAAGGAAGAGCGCTGGTCTACCCGGAGAACGAGGTTCGGAGAAATTAGAAAAGGACGTCTTCAATAAAACTAATTTGACTGGGTGTGGTGAAGAACAGAGTGTTCAAGTTGATTTTGTAAACGCGCCGCCACTGCCACGTGCGGAAGTGTATTGTGGCGCAGGATTAACTAAGGTTATCGTCGCGTTCACTCTCGTTCCTGACCACCATGTCTCAAAAGTGAAGTTATGTTGGAGTATTCTACGTCACTTAGATCCGAATACAGGTGAGCGGCTATCCGTAGGAATGATCCCCTGAACCTAACCTATAGGCACAGATCCAGGGCTTCCTTTGCCGGCGTGAAAACCTCTGCCACCACGCGTGAAGCTGCCGAAGCTCGTCCAGTGTGCGGTTTGGACCCATTCTCAGCATCCAACGGGTAGCTGGTCAGTGGATGACCTCCCGTAGGAAGTCTGCGAGGGGTTTAGAGGTCTACGTGCACAGACAGGAGGCTAAGTTTAATTCTTGATTGGACTCAGAGTCTGGCCCCGTTAGACTGCGTTCGTGTTTCTGCGCTTCAGGAAAAACTCCTACTACTGGTAAAGCGCTACCGAAAACCACCCAGTGACAACTTTTCACTTGCATCTTATGTGCCGGAAGACTTGCGTTTCCGAATCGCTTTCTCGAGTGGATACTTCGGTATGGCCGCCTCTGACTCTGGGTTCTCAAAGCGACGGTGCTCGTCTTCGCGTCGGTTATGGTTCTATGGAATCGCCACCTTGTTCATACCGGCGCTTGTGTCTCCTCTTTCTCAGCGTTTCTCTCGACCAGCAGGCTTCTACTACGGAGAGCTAGTGGGTACAATGTGTGGGTCTGAACCCCCTCCCAAACATGCAGTCCTAGTTTGCGTTCAGGTGAAGTCTTCGCTGAGTGGGTTTGGTTCACAGCTGATCTTTCAGACCCACAACCGCGAGTCCTGATCCACAGCCAAGAAACAAGAGGACCCACATTATCCGGATATCCCGTTTACAGTATAAAAGGGGAACGGCCACCAAACCTTCGCACCTCAGCTATATTTTACACACCCAAACTCGACTCACATTCCCACTTGAATCATGGCCACAGCTATCCCTAAAGGTTCCACAGTCCTCGTCACAGGCGTAAACGGCTACATCGCCTCCCACCTCGCAGATCAGCTCCTCTCCGCTGGCTACAACGTCCGCGGGACTGTCCGCAACGCTTCTCGCACCCAATGGATCAGAGATCTGTTCGACGAGAAGTATGGGCCGGGGAGGTTTGAGACGGTCGTCGTGCCGAAGGTGGACGCGGAGGGAGCATGGGATGAAGCAGTAAAAGGTCGGTTTACCCTGCTTACTAGTCTCTCCCTGCTTGTGCTCATAACTGTGGACGTCATTCCAATTCTAAACGCACGACTTTCATTCACCCGGCATCACAGGTGTCTCTGGGATCGCGCACGTCGCTACCAACGTCTCCCTCTCCTCCAATCCCCACGAGGTAATCCCTGAGACCGTCTCCGGAACCCTCTCCCTCCTCCGCGCCGCCTCTCTCACTAAAGGTGACACACCTCTCCGCTTCGTCTACACCTCCTCCTCCAGCACTACTGGCTTCATCGTCCATAACAAGCCCCGTGTCATCACTACCTCCACATGGAACGACGAGGCGCCCGAGTTAGCATGGGCTCCGCCGCCGTATACTGATCAGAAGAAGTGGGCGGTTTACGCGACTAGTAAGATGGAGTCGGAGAAAGCCTGTTTCAAGTTCGCGAAGGACTTGGATGCGGAGATAAAGGCGGGAACGGCGGGACAGAAGAGGAGACTTGTAGTGAATAGCGTGTTGCCGTGCGTGAACTTCGGACCGTCGCTGCATGACACTCAGAGCTCGGAGACGTTGGTCTGGATGCGGAGGTTGGTTAAGGGCGATACAGGATTTATAAAGGACGCAGTTCCTCCTCGTAAGTTTATTTCCTTCCTTCTGTCCTATATACCCTCTTCCACGCAACTTATTGAGTAATACTAACTCTTGAACAACCAACATTGCTCTGAACAGAATGGTTCGTCGATGCACGCGACTCCGCCCGCCTGCACGTCGCCGCTCTGACAGACCCCAACGTCGTCTCCGAACGTATCTTCGCCTATTCAGAGACGTTCAGCTGGTCCCGCGTCCTCGCTATCCTGCGTCGCCTTTACCCCGACCGAGAATGGCCGGAGGGTCCCAAGGACGAACCAGAAGATCTGAGTACAGTGGACGCTCGGAACAGGAGTGTGGAACTGTTGAGGGGGATGGGGAGGGAGGGTTTCATTGGGTTGGAGGAAAGCGTGAAGGCTAGCGCTGATCTGATTTTGCATGGGTAGTGATAGATGTCTGGTGCGAGGCAAGAAGTGAACGGCGATTTACGATGTGATCGGTAGTAGAGAGATGGGGAAACCAGGGGCGGTGAATACGCAAGAGGCGGACGTTAGGTGCAGACTTCAAGTACTGATGCAATGCAATAAAATATCGTATCCCTTCGTATGCAAGGACAGAATTAATGCAGCTACAGGATTATAGGACAAGTCATAGATCACAGTGGCGTAAACAAAACGAAACGAGACGAAACGAGACTAGAAACGTGAATGACACAGAAAGTAAACAACAAAAGATCGCGTGTATGGTAGCGTTTCAAGAAAGAGAAGGAAGGAAGGAAGGTGCCAAGATAAAACTAGAGTCTGCGGGTGAGTGGGGTCGGGTACTGAGACGAAAGCTAAAGACGAGATGACGTAGGTCGCAATACATAAGGCTCACAAATTCCCCGGAAGAAAGGTGAAAGAAACGAAACGGGACAAGGAATCTCGATCAGTGCGGCCTGCGGTTAGGAGAGGAAGGTCAAAGGATATATGTACGGGGTTATACTGCGATTGAACTGGCACGGACACGGACACGGACAAAGACTCTGGGTGGGGTAAGTAAGTACACGCGATTCTTCACAAGCACCAGCTATACACAAAAAACACGGTGACCATTTCTTCTTCTGTTTCTTCTTCTCCCCAAGGACAACGACGTCTGATACACTAACAACCCCCGAGGACTCTGGATCGACCAACAGCTAGGGCAAGAAAGAACTCCGTGAACGTAGGACATGGAAAGGAAAGTGAATGCGTGAATGCTATGCGTGAATGGAGGCAGGAATACACAGGGACGAGACTGGACGGAACATGAACACGAACATTGACATCGGATGACACTTCACACGGTCTACCACGACAAAATAAAGAAGAAGAAAAACACAAACGCACGAACGCACAGTCACAACCACACAAACAAGAAAGAGCTCGACGAGGAAGCCACCGACGAGGGAGAAACGGGAAGGGGGGAATAAAAGGAATATACGCTCGCAGAATAGAGAAAATACAAGTCCGTCGACAACACCAAATCGTCCATGGGGTCTTGAAGAATGGATCGTAATCTCTCTCTCCTCTCGCTCTCCGGACAAACCGCATCTCATGCGCGCTGAATTTACTTCCCGATATGCTCAACGTTCCCATTCCCCAACCTCGACTGTCCCTCTGGTCCAGCCAACGCGCCCGACGGTGCCTCACCATCCGCAGCACCCGGGTCCGAAACCTGATGGAAGTCGAGGATCTCGCTGTACATCATGACCTTCCAAGTATCGATCGGCAGCTCCGCGTCGTTGAACGACCAATCGAATTTCTCGTTCGCGACGGGCTCGTCCGTGGGATCATGATACGGTGCGACATACTCGTGCGCGAGCGACTCGGTGGCATCGATACGTTTACGTGGGTCGAAGACGAGCATCTTCTCGAGCAGGTCGAGCGCTATAAGCCATCGTCACAAGTATGTTAGCCGCGCAAAAAAGGAGTGGTTAAGGACGAAGGAAAGTTGATACGTACCCGACTCGTCATTACACCTCAGCTTCTCACTGAAGGGGACACGCTCCCTCTTCGGGAGAGATTGTACGAACCTGAGCGTCTATTCGCCCATAACGCCGCAGTCCAGTCCAACGTGACAGAGCGAACATATCCAACATGGGTAGAAGAAACGAATATAGAAGAAAGTCAGTAAAGATAGTACAAAGTACAGTTACAAGGATGAATCCGCGAGAACGGTCCGAGATCCAATAGAAGAAGTTTTGGAGAATGGATAGAAATGACGAAAGGATTTGGAAGTTGTGGTAGAGATGGATGGATGGATGGATAGGCATAGATAGATAGAGGTGTGGACGTACGTTTTCGCTGGCGATTGTCTCAATGACGTCATCGGGAGGCGTACCGAGCAACTCGGTAATGATGCTGAACTGGTTCACGTCTGGGAGGAAGAACATCGACGACAGAAGTTGTGAGTCAGTACCAAAGAAGTGTTAGGGTGCAGAGCCGGCAGTGATGCGGAAAAAACGAAGTCAAGCAGAATGATAAGTATAGCCGCCTTATCTCCACCAGAAAGCAAAACGCCACGCCTCTGAGAGAACAAGACGACAGCCAAAGAAAAAAGGATGCAAAGACGTACGGTCTTTGCCCGGGAACAATGGCTTCCCCTCCAACATCTCCGCAAAGATACATCCCGTGCTCCAGATATCGACCGCGACGTCATACTTTTGCCAGGTGAGCATGATCTCCGGCGCGCGGTAGTACCGTGTCGAGACGTAGCCCGTCATCTGCGGGTCTTGTATTCGGGCAAGGCCAAAGTCACAAATTTTCAGATCACAATTCTCGTTCACGAGGATGTTGCTGGGTTTCTACGCAGGAGGCGTGAAAATTCAGGCAACACAAAAAGAGTGAGCAAGAGGTATCGTTTGGGAAGAAAAATATTACTTACGAGATCACGATGGACGACACCGGCAGAGTGCACGTATTTCAGGCCACGCTATACATCAAAAGGTCAGCATCACATCCTACCAGACAATTTAAACCGTAGAAAAAGTATTTTTGCATCGCCAGCCCTTCGATAGGCCAATACGATGGTTGACGCAGTCGACGCCACACATTCCTCCGAATTCGTGGGAAGTGGAAGTTAATAGAGACGCCAGGCACATTTATGGTCAACGCCGTCGACGATACTCGGGCGTGATCCTGAGAGCGATGCAGCGGGAGATGTGCCTAGAACCCCGTCATCGGAGGCATGAGGCGGACCACGCCCTCTTGTCCCACAGGAGACGCGCCTATGATGTGACGCACAATGTCCCCGATAATCCAACCCCCTATTACAGCACAAAACATCCCCGAGCACAGCCGCAAGAAACAAGAACATCAGAGCAAGTAAGAGACGGAAACGCACAAGGATCTGGTACAAGAAATACTGAATGAACTGCTTCTCCAACGGCCTGCTCGTCAACAGCCGGTGCAAATCCGTACCGAGGAGCTCAGTGACGAAATAGATGTCCTCGAGGGGGGAGATAAAGACGTCAGAGAGGGAGATGATGTTCTCGTGCTGGATGTGCTTGAGAAGTTTGAGCTCGCGGTAGGTGCGCTTGGCGAGGACAGGGGTTGAGAAGGGCTTCATGATCTTCTTGACCGCAACGGACGCGCCTGTGAGCTGGTCCTTGGCAGAACTGGGGAGGGATCGTCGGATAGTGGAGAAAATAGGGTTATGGAGCGAGGAGTATGAAAATTGAAGTAGGGTCGATAAATGAAAATATGGACGGTGGCACAACGTCCAGTGAGCGACGATAGACCGGAATGCGGGCAACAACCAAGTGCAAACGCACCATACGAGACCAAAGGCACCTGCAAGTCGAGAAAGTCAGCGTACAGTCCTCCAGTTCACCGAGCAAAGATCGGGGCGGCGATCTCGACTTTGCTAACAAAAACACGTACCCATTCCGACAGGTTGAAGGTCGACATATCGAGTCGTGACCTTCCCATCCAATCCCACACAACCAACACGCAATGAGCCCGCGACCAACCACCTTCAAACAAGAGAAAGATCGCACCTCGAACGAGGTACCGAAGATGCTGAGTTTGACGAACGACATTCGTTGTTTCGCTGATTCGGATGCGGAGTCGTTTGGGCAGTAAAATTTACTGGATATAGGGAGAATAGACCGTGAAAACAAGGAAGAAAGCTGGGTAAAACAGAAGGTCTGTTGACGGCAAGGAGACCTCTGAGGACAATGAGGACGGATGGGTGGACGGAAGAGGGAAAGGGAGTTGTCGAGGGTTGCCTCGCAGGCGTCCAGAATCCAGATCGTCGGCAGCCGCCGGTACGATCCAGATTCGGCTCTTTCTCCACCTTATTGCCGTGCCTCGATGACGCTACATAGCTGCGTTACAGTTATATAACAGTAGTAAGGTATATATGCAAGTCGAAAGGCGAGCAAAATAAGAGATCCAGTAAGGGTAAGTCATGAAGTGATGCAGCAGAAACAGAAGCAATGAACACGCAAAAAAGAAGAGGTAATAAACAAGCAGTGAAAAGAGGCATCCCTACAAACCGCCCGCCCGCCCCCCCCCTCCCCTACGCCCAGCATCCCCACAGCGGTTGCACAAAGACGGAGTAGATTTATTAGTAATCATCCCAGTCTCCATACCCACACCCCCCACCACCGATCTCTCCCACTTCAAACTTAAGCGTGCACTTCATCCCATTCTTCGAATAATTCACGTCCAAGCTCTGAATCTCAACATCGCACTGTCCCAGCTTCGCGGACTTGGAGAACGTGGACCCAAAGCCACCAAAGCCACCACCAAAGGTACGGGTAGGGACGCCGCCTCTAGACCAGCGGTTGCCTTTCAGTGGGAGTTGCTTGGTGAGATCGGGTCCTAGGAGAGCGTTGACCTGGGCGGTGTTTCGCTGAAGGAGGTCAAGGGGAAGTTAAAATCAGCGGGTGGGTCGTGTAACAACTGCGATTGATGTGGAACGAGAGTAGGAGTATGAACGTACGAATTCGATAATCGTCACGGTCGACTTCGGTTTGTTCTGTGGCGTCGGCTGGATGAGCACGCCCTTCCCTCCAAAGATCGCCTCAAACTCTGAAGGCTCGAGCACCTCGTCGATCTTGATCGTCTTCGACCCGCCTTGGAACTTACAGTTGTCGGATTTGCACTCTTTCTTCACTCTATGCAATTCCAGCACCAAGTCAGTATGCGAGCGAACGGTAGAGGCAGATGCGAGCGAGGCGACGAACCTGTCGAATATCTTCTTCAACTGCACCTTGGTCTTCTTCTCTTCCGCTTTCGAGAGACCGCTGCTAGTAGTAGCGACAGCAGCTGCGGCAGAAGTGGAGGGCCCGGCTTTGCTATCGTTGTCGTCGTCAGGAGAGGCGGCGGCCTTGCGAGCGCGTTTCACCGGCGGAGGTTGGGTACCCAATTGATCCTCGAGCTGAAAGTCATAGCGGATGTAAGCAAAGGCACAGGGGCTGGGGGTCCACATTGTAAAGGAAATCTGTTGATAAGTGTGCGGGCGGATGTTAGGCTACCCTTCGAGCACCCACACATTGCTTAGGGGAACACTTGGTCAATGCCAACTAGAAGGGCGTCTCAAGTATACTCTTTGTTTCAGTATAGACCCTCACATCTCGATAATCATGAAGAGTCGTATTCTGTCGGCGACATATCAGATATGACCCAGGGCCGAGTCTATATCACCGGTACCTCACTCTGAGACTAGGGCCTGCTTATGAGTGAGACCGTTCATTAAGAAACCTTTGAGTAGAGAAGGCGCGTTGGGGAGCAGCGAGGCGAGTGCGGGGCAACAGCGCGTCGTTATGGCCCCTGTCCGGCGAGGTATCACAAACCCAAACTCACCTCAATAATCCGGGCCTTCAACGCCTCCAGGACCTGCACGACACGCGCAAAAAGATCGATACAGAGTCAGTTTCATGCGAACCAGAGCACAAAGAAAGCAACAAATGGGGATCATAAACCTTACTTCAGGCCTCGCAACCACGCTCGTCACATTGATACCCGTTACATCCACTTCCTCTACAACACCACCAAACAGACATCTCAGCATCTCGCCCATACAGCCATCAGTTATCAGACCAAAGATTTCTCACCGCCATCAGCCAAGGTGATCCTTCTATTGCCTTGAGCACTCGTCTGCTTCTTCGCCGGCGCACGCTTCCTCTTCTCGCCCGTCGTGGTTGCCGCCTGAGTGGTAGGGGGAGAAGCTATAAGCAAGGCCCTGATATCTAGTGTCGTAGCCATTCGTAAATATTTTGTTTGTGATTATGTGGTATCGTGAAGTACGCTGAACAACAAAGGAAGCTGCGAGGACGAAGCGACGGTGGTCAGCGCGTCTGCCGCAAGTCGCGCCTACACGCGACGGCGTTCATGCTTTAGGGCAGGTCAAGACGCGTAAGCTGGGTACTTAGCCGAATGTCAAGCCTCCGTCGACGCCACGCACTTGATTTATCTTCATATCTCATTCAAACACGCGCCTGTGTAGAAAGGATTCCCATTACGATCGTTGCTGGTACTAAATCCTTGGCTTTATGAATGTGTTTCGGGTTCGTACCGACCAGTTGAGGACATGCTAAGTTCTTGAGACTCGGAGGTTTGAATCCCGGGCAATCACAGTCTTTACGGCCAAAGAGTTTGCTTACCTTGAGCGCATGATATCCTCCATGCATATGGCATCGGTGGCAGCTGCAATGGTGCGAAAATGAATTCAGGGGCTTGCGAGCTCTGTTCGTACCAGCTGACCCTCCTGCCCCCTTACACCACATGAACGCTCCGAGTCGCTATGGCTTCTCACCTTCTTGCTCCAGCTTGCTCCTCGGTCTCTTTTTTCTTCTGCGATCAGATCAATGAACGTTAACGGTGGCGTTAACCTCAAACGGCAGTCTACGCAGGATTCTTGAACATACCGATCGGGGCCGACTCGTCGCAGGATAAGGATAAGTATCTGCCTCTCGAGCCCCCCAGACCACTCCACTCCCATACGGCGTCTTCCATAAATAGTATGTTTCTTCTCCTTGTGTCTTATTGCATGAGACTGATGTGTAAATCTTTTGTTTTGGTTCCAAGTTCAGGTTTTGCATGACGCAAGGTCAAACGCGAGATGGTCGACGCATGACCGAGAAAAAATTTCTCCCACATTCCTCATGTCACAGACTCTATCTACCGGCAGAACGGATCTTTTCTTGTTCTCGTGGGATGCACGCGCGCAGCGAGCGCTTTTCTGCGACGTCACCAGTCATGGAAGTAGTGCCGCCTGCGCCTCTTCCCAGGGATAGGCTGGTAAGTTCGAGAGGTATCTTCAAGCTCGTTTTTAAAAACTCCTCGTATTATTACCATCTTACCATAACACAATTGGTGGTGGTATGCTGATATTAACCTTACATTCATGAACCCCCACAGTGAAAGTTATCGGGCTCTCCAGCTCCGTAAACTCTGCTCCGTTCGCGGACCGGCCAATCTTTACACGCCGGACCGCCAGACGCCCGCCTACCATGATCGTACCCATCATCTGACACTGAACGTAAACCACAGGCAGGAGTCGGAACCTTTCGCTCTCGCCTAGTCAAGGTCATCTCTCCCCGGGATCGTGGTCAAATTCTGATTTTGGGAGGGTCGTGGGGCTCCACAGTCCCCAGAGAGAAAAGAAGCCAGCCGTAACGCGTATGGGATGGAAGCGGGGTACGAGGGTGGGGAAGCATATATAAGAAGAGTCAAAGCTTCTGCTTGATGGAGCGTGACCTCCTCTCTTCGTCCTTTCGTGTTCTCACTTTGGGTTTCTGCTGTGGACGCGACTTTGCTTTGCACTTGTTGGACGCAAAGAGATATCAGGATGGTTGCTGTACCATCGAATAGGAGAGCTATTGTCCTCGCGATCTTCATTGCGTTTGGTGCGCCGCTACGGCCTTTGTTCTTCTCATCATGACGGTTGGACTGACATCACTGTACTGGGTATATGGACGTACAGGAGGTAAAAGGGCTAGATTATCACTGCTTGTATCAAAATACTAGTACGTTCAATCTGCTAGTACCCTTCTGTCTCACCTTAGCTGACATTCGCGCAACAGATTTGTCTCTGCCTACAGGATTTCTTTTCGGATACGACATCGGTGTCATCTCAGTAAGCTTCCACACCATCCATACTGTCATCATCAACTAGCCCACTGATATTACTGCTCGTAGGGATGTCTGATTATGCCTGATTTCATCGACCGCTTCGGGGTTGACGGAGTTCTCGACAGCAGTCGACAATCCATCATCACATCACTACTTTCCGCCGGGTACGTCTTCTTCCTTTCGCCCTGCTTTTCTTCACCCCATCTGACCTCCTTACTCGTGTAGAACCTTCGTGTAAGATACCTACTGATATGCGCCTCGCACGAGAAACTGGCTAAGTGGCTGACACGTTTTCTCTTTCTCAAGTGGTTCGCTGGCCCAAGCCTTCACCTCCGACAGCCTCGGACGACGACCTTCCATTCTCATCTGGTCCGGCGTTTTCACCATCGGCGTGCTCATCCAAACGGCCACCGATAGGTCCATCGTTCAAATCACCATAGGACGTTTTATCGCAGGTCTTGGTGTCGGTGCCCTTTCTGGTGCGCTCGTTTTTTTTTGCTCGTATCTCATGTAGAAGAAGCCTGACAAACGGCATCTCACCTCCCTATAGCTATCGTACCGCTCTACACCGGTGAGACAGTGCCGAAAGCGATCCGTGGCAGTATGTTGGTTCTGTACCAAATGCAAATCATCACGGGGTATGTCGAAGTTCCCCGCCTGGCCTTCGCATCTGGGATGTTGGTAGCGAGGCATTGTGTTCTGATTTGCTTTTGTCATTTCAGTATCTTCTTGTCCTACATCATTGATCTTGGGACACACACCATCAGCAACTCTGCGTCGTGGCGTATCCCAGTTGGTCTCCAAATGCTTTGGGGTCTCATCCTCCTCAGCGGTATCTTCTTCCTTCCGGAATCACCGTGCGTTTCCTCTCCCCCTCGTCCCTTCTCATCAAAGCTTTCGGAGCATTGCGCTTATATGGTGACCATGTCCACACAGTCGTCACCTCCTCTACCACGGCCGCGAAGCCGAAGCCCGTCTCGTCGTCGCCGAGCTTAATTCTGTCCCGCCTGAAGACGCCCTCGTCACCGAAACCCTCGAAGAACTCCAATTCGCCATCGATGCGGAGAACGAGGGTGGCAAAGCGTCGTGGCTCGAGTGTTTCAGCATGAGGAACCAGCTCTGGAAGCGGACGTTGAACGGAATGATGTTGCAGTTCATCCAGCAGCTGAACGGACAGAACTTCTACTGTGAGTTTTTTCTTCTTCGATTTTGCGGTGTGATGAAAGAAGCTGAGGAGGATTGACTGGTTACCTTGAACAGACTACTATGGTGATACGTTCTTCAAGAGCGCGGGTACGACGCTTTCGCCCTATGTCATTCAGACCATCCTCGGTGCCGTCTCCGTCGTTGGAACCGCGCCCGCCCTCTACCTCATCGAAACCGTCGGTCGTCGTGACGTACGTCTGCCTCTCTTTCTCTGCACCATCGACTATGCATCTGACCTCTGTGTGCGAACGAAACAGATGCTTCTCATCGGCTCCGTACTCGAAGCTATCTGTGCCCTCATCGCCGCCCTCGTTGGACATTTCACCCTCGCCCCGACCGGTACACCGACCGACCAACTCACCGTGCGGAACAAGCGTGGGGGAGACACGCTCATTGCGTTTGCGGTCCTTCACGTCTTCTCGTTCTCGATGTTCTGGGGGGTGAGTTAGCGTTCGCGGCGATTAAAAGCGAAAAGAAATCTGACCCCCTCTTCCTCCCCCTGCCTGCTTACGTAGCCAGTAAGTCCTCTACTCAAATGCTGCTTCCCACATCCAATTAACACTGACGATTATTCGAAGACCCCCTGGGTTTTTTTGGGCGAGAGTTTTCCGCTCAGAGTCAGGCCGAAAAGTATTGCCCTGGGCAGCGCAACCAGTATGTCGATTTCTTTTATTCTTTTATTGTCTAGGATAAGTCTAATGGTCCGGACAGATTGGATCTGGAATTTCCTGCTTGGATTCTTTGCACCTAAGATTGCGGTAGATATCGGTCCATTGATTCTGCTCATCTTCTTTGGTGCATTGGTATTCGGATGGTTCTACGTCTACCTACTAATCCCGGAGACCAAAGGCCTCTCACTCGAAGAGGTGCGGTTTCTTTTTCCTTCCTTTTCCCATTGCTTCTTTTTCCCGATCTCCACCTTTCTCTCCTCTTCATTTGTTGAAGACCGTGTCTGATTCGGCTGATACTGACGGGGCGTCAACGTTTGATCATGACCAGGTTGATGAAATGTACGCCTCTGGTGTCAAGCCATGGCGCTCGGCAGCCTGGCGACCACATCTCCTCGACCAAATGCACGAACACCAGCATCACCAAGACGTCAAGGAAGACAACATCGCGGAGAAGACGGGTGCGGACGTGTCGGAGGCATAGGGCTTCTTCACTCCCTTCGATCGCGTCTTTGATTTTGCGTCCGTTCTTTCTCCGCCTCTTGCATACGGCTTTCTTTCCCCCTCGCTACCATTCGTGGACGTGGACACATTCTTGGAAAGGGGAGGGGGGGAGGTCAAAAGGGCGATGATGGAATGATCGAGATGGTTTTATTTTTCTCTTCATGGCTTTGATGATTTGTTATGTTCGTGTATGCGACGGGAACGTCGTTGTAATTTTAAAGACCGTGGTATCCTTTCCCACTGTATGACCGCAAACCTGAACAAACTGCGATCGCGAGCAACTTGAAAAGGTCAATGTTCAAGTTCAGATGAAGCGGCATTGGGACGGATTTGCTTGGGACTGATATTGTTGCGCCCTTCTGGTTTCATGTTAGGCAAAACATTGGATCCATAACCGGTCTGATCATTGTCTCATCAGTGTCAACTTCTCCTTGCTTGCGCATGCAAGGTTCTCTCGATATTCACAGATCGTGGGAAGAACAAGACACCATCCGGCTTTTGCCGACCATTGTGCTTGTGATTCTGAATTGTCAATGTGAACGTCCGAGTCACTAGCCCCTCGTTCGGACAACCCGGACTGCAAAATATCTAGCTCACGCAATAGACCGTATCTGCAAAGAATTTTTTGACCTCGCTAAAGCCCCACGGGACTCGACGATTGGTCCGATCACCGTTGGATCACCGTTTTAAAGTCGTTTTAAACGGTTGCAGATACGGTCTAATACAAGTTCTCTTGTCACGAAATTCGGCACGCATGGTGCCTTCCACTATAGCTACATGTGCATGTAATTTTGTCGTAGATTGCTCGGGAGGAAGGTCGTTGTCCGAGGGCGGAACCGTCGTTTCGGACAGCCGCGCTCGCCAAAGTACCCGAAAAGCCCTCCGCCCCATTCAGCCTTCCGCTGCTATTATTGTACTCAAAATTTAAATTGAACTGAGAAGTACGATGGGGAACTGGGCGTGTTTTTTGGCACTGTCCGAACGACGGTTTGTCCGAGCGAGGGGCCACTGATAGTACATCCTGATCCTCGTCCTCGGCGTTTTCGCTCCAAAGGTAGCATCAAGGATGTTCGTATTTTGATAACCTACATGGAGTACTTGAACGACCCGATACCACCATTGATTGGTCCATCCAGCATGCCCGCCAGAGTAAACTTTGCCCCACATCGAAGAGAAACCCCGTCTCCTCCGGATTCCCTGTTCACTCTTCTCCTCCACCGTTCCCCAACATCCACCAGCATCCACCCCAACGTGTCCCTAGCCCGTATCAAACCAGTCTCCGTGCCTACTTTTCTTTTTCTCGTCGTCATTATTCTCGTCATCCCGGTTGTCGCCCTCTCCGAGCCCCGCCCAATCTCACTGTTTATCGATACTCACACAGACCTTAGTTTGAACAAGTTCACTGTTCCGCTTGACTGAGGAATTGTACCCGCAATAAAGCGCACATTTCAAGCAAAATAGACACATGGATTCCCATACATTCACCCATGCAAAAGCGACCCACCCTGCTTCGACCTCCTCAGCCCTTTACAAACTCGATCAGGAAAAAAGAATGCAGAAATCACACTTCCAATCATTTGCTGATCCCAAGTGTCCGTCAAGAGACGAAACAGCGACAGGAGCAGCAAAAGAAAGAAAATAGAGATTCCCCCGACGACACAAGCCAGTAGTGCAGCGGCAAGGTCATCGCGTCCCCGGGTTGCAAGCAGAGCCCAAGGAACAAGGGCGGCAAAAATTAGATAACCAAAAATGGAGGCGGTGCCTCCATAATAGTGGTTAAACTATTAAGAACAGATACTACACTTGATCTAAGCCAAAAGGCCAGAGTGGTGAGGAATCAGGAAAGTCAGGCAGGCACGTTATATACCGTCCGAAGGCGCGCACGGACCATGCACGATCCCGCGCTTGCCACACTTGTTACCGCGATGGGCGGAGTGCAGCTCCGTTCTTCGCGCCACAGCTTCTTTGCTTCAGGCGCTTCGCTTCCACGCAAGCTCCTGATCTCTCTTCGGCCATCTTCTTTGTACTTCTCGTTCTCGAACAACGGGTGTAGAACGCCCGACTGCAGCGTGATACGGACCTTATTGCCTATTCTGACCTCTGCCACTTTGTCTACGACCCGAGCATGACCACCTCGAGTAACTTGCACGCTTCCTTGTTTGGCGCTCAAACGTCGATTGCAAAGCGCCGGTGAGCCTCGCTGGCAGGGTGCAGCTTCCCGCAAATATTGGACAAAAGCGGGTTGTGTTCTCTGGGACGCATGACGGCTTTCAATCGCTCTGGGTGGAAACATCGGCTGGTCGAGCGCCCCATACGGCCTTGCAGGTTCGCAGCACGTCCGGTGTTCATTCGTCTTGTTGATCCGGGTTCTCATTGTGGTATCCTCTCCGTAGCCTGCGGTCCGATCTAGACAGAGGCCTTGGAGCGAGCTGCCAGGCTGAGACTACGATTGAGGTCCGTGCATTCTGCCTCCGCTGAGCGAGACTGCCCGCGACGGCCTCGAAACGACCTCCGGTACGTTCGTGTTGCGGGCCTCGCCCTTGGCACCCGACGCTTCGCATCTGCGGGTTTCCGAAAAAGGAGCGGCGGCACGGTTGGGTCGGCCTGATTTGTGCAGAGAATGTCCCGCGCGTTGACATTGCGCGACTCGTGGCAAACACGCCCGATCCGAAAGAGTTGGGATGGCTGATCCATGTCCACGGCCTCTGGGTATATATCTGCGGAGGTGCGGTGCTCGTCACGACCACATAAATATCAGACACATCCGTATCCCTGTCCAGCCTGCTCTAATTCCCATTACCGCCCGCCGTCCTCTTTGCTAGTACTAGTTTTGCCCGCCACCTTTGTCTCGCCACTATGATCTCCAACGAAAATACCCAGATCTTTCTCGAGACTATTGACACGATGTTGAAGTACCGGACGATGCTTCCTAATCTCATCGACGCTATCTACGAAGCCCCAATGCGTCAAGCTCGTCTCACTGGCTCTGACCCTGATATACCTGAAGGAGAGATCGAGGTCCTCTATGAAGCCATCGACTAGTACGTCTCGTCTCACCAAGACCTTCCCACCTTCATTTTGATGTTCAGAATCGAAACTTACCCACGAACACTTCCAGCATCGACACCGAGCTTCAATACCTCGCTAAAGAGTCCGCTCTCAGTCTCACCACCCGCGTGCGTCTACACCACCTCCAAGAAATGCTCAAAGCTCTCGACCTGGATGTCGCTTGCGTGCGTCTCTCGCTTTCTCCTTCTCCTCATCATTCGCACGACTCTTGCCACGGCCAGCCACTTACCCACACACTCATTTCCACTCCCGCCACATCTCCTACTCCCGCATCTCTATCTCCATATCTACATCTACATCTATATCTCCATCATATCATACGTCATTCCTCGAATCCACATCTGACGTGTAATGGCTTCATCAAACAGATGATAATCACCCGTTTCTGGGACGACCAAAACCGTCAAGACATCCTCGACAGAATCGAACACCGTATAGACGCCGACCGGGAGAAATGGGGCCCCGAGCACAGAGCGCGACTGTCTGCCGTGTCTATGTCGCGCTCGTCGACGTTGACTATAATGAAGCATCCGAGTTCGTCGAAGAACAGCAGTTGCGACTCGTCGGACGCCGGATCACCCATTGATGTTGATGATGGCGCGGAGGAGGAGGAGACTACTGTTATGGCTTGATCATCTCGGCTGGTTGGACAGTATTGTCCACGTCGTTCGCCCTTTTTTCCGTCCGTTGTCTTTTCGTTCCTCATGGACACCGCTTTGGCATCGCATATAACTCTCCCTGTCCTGGTCCTTTCCCCCGGGCTTTCGTCGACGTTTCACACCGCATTCGCAGCTCGCAGCCCGCACCGGCATATAATTATTCGTTCTATTTTGTAGCTGTAATTACATACATACAGAGAGACGGACTTTCGTTCTCAACCTTTTACGATTGTGATAGCTGTAAATATTTGGCGCAGTCGTTTCTTCACATGTAATATGCTTCGCCTTTGTACAGACAGATCAATTCGATATGGTTTCTGGCTCAATTTCCATGCAGCAAGGTCGATTGCGCGGGGAGGAATGGGACCAGCGCGATGGGACTCAACCACGCCACACGGCATCGTTACGCCTCCGCCACCCTGACGTTTCTTCATTTCTTGGTGCTGTCAGTGTCCCGACGGAGGTACCGAGAATCGTAGGAGTTTATTTATCAGCACAGTCGTAGGTGCTCATCATACACGGGTATGGATGGATGCATAAGTCAAGAGCTCGAGGTGCGCTTGAAATGTGTGTGCGCGCCACCCATCCCCCGTCGTATGCAGGTCATCGTCCAGGAAGGAAGGAAGGAAGGAAGGTGTATTCAGGGTATAGGCAGCTACGCGTCCATTCTCCTCCACACCTATCCACTATCCACCCCTCATAGTCAACCGTTACAGCCTCGAGGACAGCAGAAAGGATAGAAAGTCCGAACCGAACCAAACCGACCAATCAAATAAAATATAACACCGCGTCTGCATCATCTACGTACCTCCGTACGATCCTCCTGTGTCCTTGGTCGACACATATACCGAACAGCACAGGATATAAACCTGCGTAAGTCACAAGGACCTCCTGGCTGTGGACGACTTCCGACCCCAGAATGTAGACCTCAATATTCAACACCGTACCGTATTTTGCTCAGCACTCAGCACCCATTGACAGTGCCGAAGGTGGTACTCGAGCTCGTTTGATCCCTTTGTCTACCGCCGATGGATATCGATACTTGCTTGTGAGCTTTACATGCATACGGTGTTGTACGGTGTAAGTATCCGACTTCAGAGTGTCAAAGCGTCAAAGCGTCATACATATGGTTGCTTGCAGGGTCGGGACTACTGTAAAAGGATGTGCAATAATGAATTTAGCTCCGGCCCTTGCAATATCGGAGTGACGTCGTCTTCGACACGAGTTGTTCTACTTGGGGCTGCATATAAGTACAGTTCGGTACTTACAAATACTGCACCTACTTGCCCCACTGTACAACAGGACCGGCACGAAACTCCTGGAACGTTTTACCCGGCGACTGGACAATGAATGAAGCCTTCAAGGCTCGATGCATTAGGAATGGTAAGTGGGTTCGGGATGGGCATAGATAGGAAAGTTCCGACGTCGACGACTCGATGGGGTTCGTGTCGGCATGTCGGATTGTCGAGTATTACTTGTCCCCACAGCACTAGTCATCGGCCTCCATCAGTCAGCACACGGATTGTAGCTCATCGTTATCGTGAGTCCCTAGTAAGTTCAAAGGAAGGAGGGAGATAGATGTGGATGGCGAAAGAATATGGATGGATTGTGCCTTCAAATGGACTGTGGCGAACGTAAGATGGATGACCCCTCGGGATGCTCGACCCTTTTGATCTCACGCATCCATATCCATGGTAAGGAGAGGACTATTCGACGGCATGACGCACACTTTGGGACTTCGGAAAGGTTAAATTGGGTGTACATATCCCATTCGCATGCGGTCTTTCTATGAGCAAACTCGGCGCAGGCTCAACGAAACGGCTCGACTTATCTGATCTTGTCAATGATACGCAATCCTAAGGATCTACAAATCGACCCAACCTCGAAGTTAACGTTGTCAATGCACATGCACAGTCCCACACCACAGTGATATTAGTCAGAGTCAGAGGCAGAGTCCCACGAAAGCAAAGTCTCAAGATGCCGATGGTGGCTGATCACAGCGATGTGAAAAGCAGATACGGGTGTGAGATGATAGATCTGGACAGGTGCGCACCCTCGATTCAAAGCGTACACGATGTGTCCTCGCCTGTCCTCGCTCACAGCGTGAGTCGCACCACAGATTATCTCCGCCGACACGAGCGGACAGTGGGCGTGGGTGCCACACCCACTACTTTGCAGTCTGAGCTAGAGCGCCACCCGTCGGTGCGTTAACCTGCCGAGGAACATACGTGTTTTGCGTGCCTTCGCTAGTGCGTTCAGTCAGGTTCAGTCATCTGTATCATCGGCTGCTGCCAGTAGGTACACCCTAAGGGACCTGACCTGACCTGACCTGACCTGACCTGATCTCATTGTGCCCAATGGCAATAAGTCCTATATGACTCAAGGGGCACTGAGCGCGATGACGAACACTAGCGTTAAGTGGTCTATCCTCCGATAGTACAGGGCGGGCTGATCCTTCGCAGCAAAGCTCCGGAAATGGGAAGTCATTTGTAACAGACTCATGTGGGAACACGTACTTGTCTCGTATACGGAAGGTCTGTCCCAGAGGAGAAGAAACGTTCGATGGAGGAGGTTCAAAGAGAAGTGAGGATCGTTGGAGTCCACTCGGATGCCCGCATCCGAAGATTGTGAATTATAGGATGGGCGATTTATACTCACCAGTACGCAAGTAATACCCACGTTACGGCTTCCGAAGTGGGCAGTAGCAACCTTGGCCGAACGAGAAGATGAGAAGCGTAGGATATATCTGTTCTGTTCGTGGAATATGTGTGTGTGGTGGGACTCGGGACGATAAAAACAAACTAGAAACACGCGTTCTGTCGGTATCAACGCAAAGTTGCTTCTTTTCTCCCGGAGATTCAGAGGAAGGAAGAAGGCGAGTTAACGGCGGATCAGCAGACTGGTCGCATCCTGTTCGAGCTCTGCGGACGCGTATGTACTCATGTTTCGAGGATTTGCTGGTGAGGAAAGAAGAGAAGGAGTGGAGGAGGTCTGCTGCCCATGCCATCGGGTCCAAGTTGGTGAGAAGCAAGGCTGCCGAGAAGCCAGGCACACTGGCACAGGCACTCCCGCCACTCGGCCCCGCGTTGATCTTACTCAATAGTGCCCAGTAACCTCGTTCAACCCAAGCCGGCGTCATTTTTGTGACGCAAAAATCATAGAAATATTTAGCAAGCAGGTAGAACGAGTGTAAGAACAGCTGGGAAGGGTGACGACATTCAGAGTGGAGACAAGAGAACAAAAGAGGGAATACGATGAGCGAAAAGGGACGAGGTAAGGATCGGAAGGAGCACCGAGCGGCTGGGGCTGCGCCGCGTAGGCGGCGCGCGGGGGAAAAGGTTTGGATAATTGGCGGTTATTGCATCTTGTTCCTCAACGTCGACCACGTCGGCTACGTACCCTGCCCATCGTCTCACACGACAGACTCGACGGCCCTGAGCTGGAGAGCGAACCATGGCGATATCCAAGGCCGCTCGCTGGATATCCTTCGCTGTCCCAGCCCAGCAACAGCCATCTCCGACCGTTGCGTCCCCGAAAGCAACTCAACAATTCCCTGTCTCCTCCCTCGCAGACGGCAAGCAGTTCGGACTGGAGAACGTGCGTTGTCCTTCATATATACTATGCCTTTACTGATGATTTACATCTGTGGAATAGTTTGGGAATACATGGTGCGTTCTGCTACGCGCGTTCCGGTTGCTGCAGCTCACTAATCAATATCTTCAGCTATGCCAACTCCGTCCTGCAAGCCCTCTATTTCTGCGCTCCCTTTCGGGACCTCATCATCCAATCTACGGACTCTTCATCACCCACAAACCTCTCCTCGTCGTCCCAGCCAGCGCTCTCACCTTCGCCCGTCGCTTCCGAACGTCTCAACGGAAATGGTTCTGCCACAGGAGCCGCACCCAGACCCACCTCCCTCGGCTTCTCCATCCCCCCATCACCACCTACTTTATTCTCCGCACTCCGGTCATTATTCGTTTTCATCTCCAAGAACCCGATGGACAGGGGCACCGTCTCTCCCCGCGCATTCATCGACAAGCTCAAGGAGGTCAATGAGCTGTTCCGGAGTACTATGCATCAGGACGCGCACGAGTTCCTCAACTATCTGCTGAATAAGATCGTAGAGGAGGTCGGAGTTGATGAGCATCACAAGGACAAGGATGGTGAGGGTGAAGACCGTGAGTCCATGTCATCTTAGCCATCTAGTTGCAAAAGCCGATCATCTTCTCCAGTTTCCGCATCCATAGCCACACTCTCCTCCGGTCCTGCTATGACAGTTCGCACAGGCTCATCTCAAGACGATACTACCCTCGTTCATCGGCTATTCGAAGGAGTGCTGACGTCGGAGACTCGTTGCCTTACTTGTGAAACGGTGAGTCCTCGACTTCTTGCACTGTGTGGCCCGTTGTTGTGATATGCGTCCGACCTCGGGCAAGTTCCGTTTTATCGTGACCCTTTCATCGTGCCAGTCAATATGACGGGGCGGGTCATGCATGTCCCTGGCTTGCAGGGATTTGTTAGGGTCTTCGTCTGCGGAACCCCAGCTTGATTGATGATTATGTGGCCGCCTGCACCCTCGGCGCCATTAGCGGCCGCCTCCCGTCCTCTACGTCCGCAGTCTGTGTTTCGCTCAGAATCCGTCCGCCTCAGATCTCCTTCACTTTTCGTCAATGGGCCGATGGCATCCGTCGTTGCCTAAGACACTTTGCCTTTGCGGTGTGGCTACCCCGGCCCGTCCATCAGCGCTGAAGGCCTTCACGGGTCCATTCTCCTATGCGCCACACACTTCTCATTCTACGTTCATGACCACGATCATATCCCCCGTGTCGTGCGATGCGCGACCCGAAACGCAAACAGAGTGACTCAGACAGAATGTTGTGCGGGGTTGAACACACAAGGTAGGAGGCTGTTCGACGAGCGGTTGTCCCGGGATGATGTCCGCTTGTCTCTTCGTTTGTCTTCTTGTCTGTGTCATGTGGCCCGACGCGTCCCCGGTTGATGAGACGAAGCTTAATGCACTGCGGTGGATCTGTTCTGCACCATTGGGTTGAACCGGGGGATGAACGTGTGTTCGGACGTGGAGGGTTCATCCATCCACGTACGCACGCTGAGGACGGACTTCACACTCTCGTGATGAATCTCATCCACTGTCTGTGGGCGGATTATGTACGGGGACGACATAGAGAAAGCCTAAGGCCCTCATCTCGTCCAATCGTAAAGGTCTATGTTCTAAACAGGGCGATATGGTTGTGTGAGCGTGGAGTGACTCTGATGTGGTGGTGGTGCCGTTGTGGGACCCTGGGATGCATCACACGCAACTGGAATCCGCATTCGGGCCCTGTCCCATTCTCTGATGTCGTTTACGCCTCACGGTCTCAATCAGAATCTCAATCTTCAGAGCGTTATACTGACCCCGAACCCGTTTTATGTTTTCTTGGAAATTCCTTGGCACTGCTATCTATGTTCCTTTTTGGTCGGCTTTTTCGGTGTTGGAATTGGCTGGTGGTGCTGATAATGGGGATAATGGGCGATGGTGTAGGTTTCCTCGCGCGACGAATCCTTCCTCGACCTCTCGATCGATATCGAACAGAACTCGAGCGTGACGGCATGCTTGAGGCAGTTTAGCGCGAGCGAGATGTTGTGTCAGAAGAACAAGTTCTTTTGCGATAGTTGTTGTGGGCTTCAGGAGGCGGAGAAACGGTACGTTTGTGTTCATGGTCTCAATAATTTCACTTTCGCCGTTTTTATTATCATTCACACCTCGCCCTACCCTCGTCTTCATCTATCTCTCTCGTCCCCCAACGTCTGTTTCATCAATCTTCGATGCGTGTCTCAACTGACTGACAATTGATTGGTGCATTTTGGATGGCGGTGGGTGGCGGTGGCGACGAATACCATTTTCTGGGTATTTGTAGGATGAAGATCAAGAAACTCCCGAACGTCCTTGCATTGCACCTCAAGCGGTTTAAATACCAAGACGACGTACAGAAGTACATCAAGCTCGCGTATCGTGTGGCTTTCCCCCTTGAACTTCGACTGTTCAACACCGTTGACGACGCTCAAGACCCAGATCGGCTGTACGAGCTGTTCGCTATCGTTGTGCATATCGGAAAGTCAGTCTTTCCCTCCCTTTTTCTACCTTCCCATATTTCCATTGCACCGCCCTTTCGTCCCCCAATTTCCGGTTCGTTAGGACGATATTGATGGAATTTATTCATATAGCGGTCCGCATCACGGCCACTACATCACCATAGTCAAAGGTCCTACCTCTTGGCTCGTCTTCGACGACGACAAAATAGGGCCCATCAAAGAATCCGACATCCCCAAATACTTCGGTGACTCTCCTTCCGGCTCAGCCTACGTCCTCTACTACCAAGCCGTCGACCTCGACCCCGCCTCACTAGGCATCAAACCCGACTCTCCGCTCCCCACGTCCAGCACCATCCCCGTCTCCGTCACCGACAATGCAAATGTATTCCCTGTGACTGTTCCGTCGGCTTTGACGTCGGATTCGCTAGCACAGGCACAGGCGTTGGATGAGACTGGGCCGGCTGTTCCGCCTGGGTTGGGAGATGAGAGTAGGAGTGTGGCGGAGAGTGAGACGACGTGGAGTAGTGCGACTGCGCCGTCTACGCCTGCGTTCCCAGCCGCTGTATCTCCCAAGATCTCCGTTCCTGCGCTCAGTGTCAACACCTCTTCGGGCTCTCATACGGCCGAATCACACCAACACCAGCATTCGCATTCACATCCACACCCTCAACAACTTCCACATCCGCTGAACTCGCCTGCTTTGTCGTCGAACGGGAAGTCGCATTCGGGTCTGTTGCATGGATTGAGAGCGACGTCGAGTACGGTGGGGAGGAGTTCGGTGGATAAGAGTCCGACTCAGGGAAGAAAGTCGTTGGGTAGTAGAACCGAGGGCGCTTCCTCGTCGTCGAAGAGACCGTCGACGGCGCCGAGCGCTCCGGACACGACTACCATGAACAAGGGTGATCTGCCCCCGGTTCCGAAGCTGGAGGTCAATGGGAAGGTCAAGGAGAAGGGGAAGGAGCCGGATAAGAAGCCTAGTTTGTGGTTCAAGCGGAGGAGCATCAAGGCGGAGACGAAGGAGAAGGATCGGCCACATCATCAGCAGAGGGATCTCGAGTCGCATAGTACGGCGTCACCGACTTCGTCGCAGGGGACGTCGAGGTCCGATCCCTTCGGCTCGTTGTTGGATAAGGATAAGGGGAGGAGCAAGGATAGACTGAAGTCGGGCACGGTGGGACGGAGACCTTCGACGGCGAATGCGGCACCTGTACGACGAGTCGCATCGACCTCGGTGTCTTCACCTCCTCCACATCCGCCCATATCAATACCTGCTCACGCTACGGTCTCCAGAGCCATGGGTTCGGTCGGGATCTCGAATTCGCCGCCATTGGAGGCTACCATCAGCGCCATGTCGAGTTCGTTGGGGTCAACTGGTAGTTCAAAGTCTCAGCCACATCTACCTTCTACTTCCACCACTGCCGCGTCTAACCATCGACCAGTACCGCCCCTCCCTGCCGGTCTTCTCCCAATACCCATTCCCACCTCATCATCATTACCTTCGCCAACAACAACACATCTCCGTCCAGAGCATAAGAAGAAGTCTGCACCCTCACTGAGCACTGCCATTCGCCGTAGAGAACATAACGACCAGGATGGGTCACCGTTACCTTCACCAGCATCTTCCTCTGCCCCGCGAACCCCGCGTACGCCTACCACGCCGACACGACCTTCTACAGCCGGCGCACCCGTCCGATCGTCAGGATCTGCAAGACCATCCGTTCCGTTGCCTATCTCACCTATCATGTCTGAGCCAGGAAACCTTACTGCTCTTCGGAGCGCACAGAAGGGCGAGGATGCCGAACGTGGACGAACGGCAGCGAAATCGGATGCTCAGGATGGGAATGGGAAAGAGAGGGACGAGAGTCGGAGTCATAGCCGATGGCGAAGACCGAGGAGCGCGCAGGGGATGAACGTGACGGTGCATGGACATACCTTGGGTCTACCGTTCATGAGACGGTCGAACGCCTCGTTGGAGAAGCAGAACTTGGAGCAGCAGCAGGGGAGTGGGAGTCGATCGAGACCGGCTTCGCCTGCGCCTGCGCCGGGCCTGGCGTCCGTACCGGCTTCACCACCGATGAGACCTTCAACGACGCCGCCGAACATGAGTCAATCACACTCAGAGTCGACGAATGACCCGAATTCGACGAGTGTGCCGAGTCATCATGGGCATGGGCATGGGTCTGGATATGGATATGAGACGGAGAGTAGTAGGCCTGGGACGGGCGCCTCCACCAAGGAGAGTAGTGCAGTCCATTTTGGATCGGGGCTCGCGAGTCCTCGTGCGGATAGGCCAGGCGGGGAGGGTGCGCACCACGCTCATAGCGGTTCGCAGACGTTCAAACGAGCGGCGAGAAAGCTGAGCTTCTCGACGTCGTTTATGGGGTTGGGAAAGAAGGATAAGGAGAGGGGGGAGAAGGGGGAGAAGGAGAAGAAGGATAGGAGTAGGCCGCCAAGTTCGTATGCTTCACCGCCAGTGTCGGCTACGTCTCGGTAGAGAAGGTGTTGAGTCTAAGTTGGTGGCTGTTGACGATCAGAGGCGGTGGATCGCTGCACTTGGATGATCGAGGGGATGCTGGTAGTCGGCTGGGGGAGAAGGTATCGTGTTCTTGGGGTGACCGCCATATACACAGTGTATGGTACCGTCAGGATACCCCTATACCCCTCTATCTTCGCCTCTGTTGGTGCTCCTAATGCATATCGGCCCTGACACCGCCTCGATACGGTCGTGCTTGTGGGCATCCGAAACGTTCAAGTGTAGCTGATGTCTTTCACCCATCCCTCTTCGACTTCCCATTTTGCGCGGTCCTGAACTCGACGAAGCCGGGTTGGGGCTCGGTGCGCTCACTTATGGCGAGCAACAGACGATTTGTGCTCGATGTCGATGCTTTTGGTGAGGGTGGCGGATGAGGGGAGAAGACAGAGCGGTGATATCTTTCTATTTTATCTATGTTATACGCAATACTTGTAGTCACTTACGACTAACAGCTCGTGTTTTGTGGTAGACGAACATCCATTTTCTTATTACATTAGCCTTGTAGCCCACCCATCCATCATTTACCCCTTTGTTTGCTTTGTATTTGTTGCAATTCTGAATTCATAGTCACTCGTTTGTTGTTTTGCTTGCATTCTTCGATAGACAATTCTCTTGACACGGTATATCGCATACAAACCTTGCAATGCCTAGATGGCTCAGATGTAAGTCGAGCTCATGAGATGAGTCTACGGTGGGCCACACTGAGGATTTCAAATAAAACTACAACGCGATCGAGCGCGTCGCATATTGGACTACGCCACGTCGCCTCGCCACCTTCAAGCTTGGCTTCTGCCAGCAACAGCCCTTGAGGATACCACACCCCCAGACTATTCTGACTCTATTGTGAACGGTCGGAAACTCAAGCTTGTTTCCTTGACTTATTACTGGCATAAATCATGTCAGGACAGGAAGCCCCAGAGCTTCGGCAGCGAAAGGCAACAGGGGGCACCAACCCAGCGCCTGCCTCGAGTGGACATATCGTGCAACCTGGAGACGTGCGTTTCTCCTCTACTCGTTTAGGAATTGATCTATTTGAAGAGTTCTTTCAATGCGACTGATATTATATGTGTCGAATTTAGATCCACAAAAGTACCTCCGCGACCGTGACGCGACTAGTATACATTGGTGTTGTTGGATTGGTGACGTTCTTGATATTCCAGGTACGGCCAAAGGCTTCAATAATCTTTGAGGTTGTGGAGATTCTAATAATGGTATCCGTACGGAAATGAAGTACCGTTCCTTCTTTGGACTGGATACCCCGGCGCTGCGAGAGCTGCCTGGCGCGAGCAAGGGCACTTATGTTGGTTTCGAGGCGGATGTGGAGAAGCGGGATGCAGTAGTGGAAGCATTCCGAGTACGTCCTATCACGCTCCTTTGACCTTGTTCCTCTGCTGACAATGTCACGACCACTTGAACAGCATGCATGGCTAGCCTATGGTGAGCCATTTCGATACTCTCATCGAAATTGCTGTGTTTGAGGCTAATATGTCCAGAGAGGGACGCAATGGGTGACGATGAATATCATCCCATAAGCCACATGGGGTCCAACCTCACAGCCGCTGGAGGGATCGGATACACGGTCGTCGACTCGATTGATACTATGCTGCTAATGGGCCTCACGGAGGAGTATGAGCGAGCAAGGGACTGGGTGGCTACGAATATGACGTTCGACCGGGATGCGAACTTCAATACCTTTGAGGTTCGTCCCATTCTTCTAGGAACACTACGGGAACATCTCCGGATCTATGAGATATGTAGTACTGATCGCTCGGCTCCTGACAGACGACTATCCGTGTCCTTGGCGGCCTCCTCGCGGCACATCATCTCTCCAACGAGGAACCCATCTTCCTCGAAAAAGCAAAAGAGCTTGCAGACCGCATCCTTCCGGTCTTTGAAACCGAGTCCGGGCTCCCACTCTCCATGGTCAATCTCGGTAAACGAGAGGGCGTGCCAGACAGGGATAATAACGGACTGGTTAGCACGGCGGAGGCCGCGACCCTGCAGTTGGAGTTTAGGTATTTGAGCTTCTTGACGGACGAGGACGTGTATTGGAAGAAGGCTGAGAGGGTTCGTTTGTTCTCGTCTCGGGGATGATGACGATGCTGAACTGGTGAATTGTGTGATAGGTCATGGCCGTAATCAAAGCGGCGAGGATGGCGCCTGGGCTAGCGAGCATCTTCATGAAGTGAGTTCATCTCCTGGAACACATATTTCTGCAACTTGAAATTAATCGGTCGCGTGCTGCAGCCCAAAAGATGGAAAGTTTGTCACTTCCGCGATTAGACTGGGGTCTCGTGGCGACTCATTCTACGAATACTTGCTGTAAGAACCCCTTTACTTCACTAGAATTCGTCGAACTAACCGACATCCATACAGCAAGCAATACGTCCAGACTGTACTTATTTTATATTCTATAAGCCGCCTTCGGTCGCTCACAGTCTCTCTCACCTCTAGGACTTGACTGAGGACGTTTACAAGGATGTACGTTATCCAATCATTCAGCAACACCGGCTTTTCATACTCACTGATAGATATTAATGACACCAGATGTATGATTACACGATGGATGCCATTCATTCCCACCTTGTCCAAAAGAGCATGGAGTCTGGCCTGACCTACACCTCCGAACTCGTCCCCGAGCGCGACCAAAACAACCAAATGTAGGTCCTCGTTACACTACATTCACGGTCCACGATTCGTTACCCCTCGTTTGGAGCATCTCGGTCTGGTCGCACTTACAAACCTTCGGCACGGTTCACGTAGGTCATGGCGCCTTATGCCCAAACAAGACTTCCTCGTCTGTTTCTTCGGCGGCTCGCTCATGCTCGGCGCCACACGTACAGGCTCCCTCGTTCATCCGGTATCTAGACCACCTTTACCTGAAGAGCTGAGCGAAACGGGACAGAGAGACTGGAGGACGGGCGCGGAGTTGATCAAGACATGTATGGCCACTCATGATACCAAGACGTACGTTTGCTCTCCTTTCTGTTACGCTCATTACCTTAGATGGATACGTGTTGTGAGCTCTTGAACTGACGTGACGACTTGCGTTGGTGGTCTCGATAACTATAGGGGCCTAGCACCTGAGATTGCACATTTCAGAATTCCGACCGACGGTTTGGAAAGGACCATGCCTTATGCGCCGAAGGACTGGTATATTAAGGGTGCACGGTACGTTCTTACCTCTTGTTGACTCGACCTGCATGGAAATAAACTCATATCGATGATTCATTCAGACCAGGTGCTCCTGCACCATATGACGCTCGATACATCCTCCGGTACGTTTCCTTCCTTTTCTTACTCTCGCATCCAGATTCTGGACTTGAGGCAACGGGGAACTGATATGGGATCGCCACAGCCCCGAAACCGTAGAATCTCTCTTCATCGCCTTCCGTCTCACGGGCGACCAACGCTACCGTGACTACGGCTGGAACATCTTCAGCGCTATACAAACACATTGTAGGATTGAGAGTGGAGGGTTCGCAAGTATCATCAATGTCGATGACGTGCCGGCTGAGCATGAGGATAAGATGGAGACGTTCTTGATGGTGCGTTTGGTTTCCCGTTTGCTTCCACTTACACTACTTTGAACTGGCCGGGCTGACGATGGGTGTTGTCCATAGAGCGAGACGTTGAAGTACTTGTTCTTGTTGTTCTCGGATGGGGATGTCGTTCCATTGGACAGTGAGTCGGGTTCCTGCTCCTCCCCTCTCACACGTTTGCGCCATTATTTTTACTGACGCTGCTTCACCTTCCCTCAGAATACGTGTTCAACACCGAGGTATGTGGTCTTCTTGCTCTTCCACTGTCAGGCCAGCGCTTGACTGTGGACGTTGTGCATTTATCTGTAGGCTCATCCGCTACCGATCTTCACGCCTACGATCCGGACGGGGTTCTCATGATCGGTTTATCGAGTTCTTGTATAAGTCTGTTTATGCCCGATAGGGCTGTAGGTGATCGTAAGACCACGAGAATGCGGGTGCTACATATTTATGCAGGACGGTCTTGTCCACCAGTCAAGCACTGTCTTGATATATCCCAACAGCTCCGATGGCGTGCGGAATCATTCCTGCTATATATCCAGAACAATCTGAGAGAGCAGATACGCTTTACTTCAGTACCAGATTTGTTCCATTTTGTGAGAAACTGGATATTACGATCTCAAACATAGGTAAGTATAGTATCTGTCCGACTTCAAGAACTCGCAGCGGCTTTGATGAGCGCCGCCGCCCTCTCGGCGATAATGTAGACCGAAGCTTGGGTGTGTGCTGCCGGCACGAACGGCTGCATCCATATAGAGAACGACAGAGCAAATGCAAGAAAGTCAGCATTGTTCACCAAATCACGTCCAGACACTATAAGCAATGAAGCACAAGACCTACAAGAATACCTGCATCGATGATTCTCAGGCCCTTCACACCCTTGACCGTCAAATCGGGGTTGACGACGCCACTGGAGGTATCATTCCATGCGGACATCGCAGTGGTGCCGGTGGGGTGGAAGACCGTTCCGGCGTTGTCGCGCGCGAATTGGGCGAGTTCGTCGTCTGTCGTAGCATTTGCAGGGATGACCGTGTCTTTTACCGGTGGATGGTACGAGTGAGTATTGGGGCGAAAAATGGGAGCGTAGAGACTGACCGACGATGTAGTTGCTGAAAGCTGGAGAGCCGACGAAACGCCGGGCAGCCTTGATAGCTTCGACTATAGTGTGGATGTCGAAGTCGGAATTCAGGAGCCCCTGGTATCGATAAACCGAAGTAAGGCATGCAAATTATTTAGTGTCCGTAGTCAACGGCACTCACAGGGTCAATAAGCGGAAAGTCGAAGGGATTTGTAGAGTTTATAGTCACGGTGCCACCTGTGTGTGCAAGGGTCATTGATCAAAAATGTTTAGCCAAGAGGGAAACAGAAAGGTGTGACGCACGAGACGTCGGAGAGACCACATTGGTCGCGATACTCAGGAAGTTTCCCGTTGCTGGAGGAGTGCCCAGAAAGCCATCCTATCGAGAAATATCCTGCTCAGCAACTTATTCTCCACAGTACGAAAACAACGTACTATGAAAATGAACTCATAATGTGCACTCAACTTCCCCGCACTCGGATCCTGCACGGTCTCAAAGATAGGATCATCCTCGGGCAATCTCAACCACCCAATTTCTGCCGAGCTCGCCGCAGCGAACAAACCTGTCCTGTTGTTTCGCCACTGGGCTAAATCTTCGTTGAAGAGGGTTTGGTTGCGGTTGACGTCGTCGTATGTGAGATTCGAGTTGACTTGCCAGGTGTTGGGGAGGAAGACGTGGTCCTGTAGGTTGGAACCGACGAAGGGAAGGTCAACGACGGCGGAGATGTTGAGTGAGGAGAGGTTGGCTGTGGGGCCCAGGCCTGAGAGGAGGAGAATTTGTGGCGTGTTGATGGCGCCGGCTGGATAGAAGTAGTGAACATGAGGCAACCTCCGACTCAAAATCGGAGCAAAACATGACGAACCAGACAGGATGACTTCCTTTGTTGCATTGACAGCGTAGACACTGCCTAGAAAGTATCCAATCATATCAACGGTATGTTTACATCTCGAGGCATACAACTGACTCACTAGTCGAGTTCAGCGCGAACTGAACACCGCGGATGACAGGAACTCCGCTTTCCTCACCGATCTTAAAAACCTTCGTAACCTGTGTATTGATGAGCACGTCAAGATTGTCCCAGTTCGAGGCCGGTTCGAGGTAAGTGTTGGCTGCATCCTGTCTCGAGCCGTTCCGAATGGCGTATTGACCCCAACCTGCCATGCATAACAGATGTTGATTAGTTCGCTGGCCCATATACGGGGAAGAAATAGAAGCGCTCACTAATTCCAATGGTGTCTCCGGAGTTCATGTCCTCGTTGAAGGGAAACTCGCTAAGCTCAGAGGTAGTGTTGAAAATTCTGCCATCGAGATTCGGCAGCAACCCTTGGACGCTGATGCCAACTAGACCATTCGTTCCGTGAATAGAAGGTATGACCTCTCCAGCGGTATTATGTCCATCAGCGGGAGGGACAAGCTGCTCGATCTACAATGACAAGAAAATAAGCTATAGATCTGCTCATCGGGCATGGAAGCCTGCATTTCACAGACACAAGAAGCTCACTCCGTGAATGAAAGGTTGAAGAGCGTCCCACGACCAACCATCATCGCCAGTGACCCGCGCGTAACGGTCAAAGTCGTCCTTCGATCCTCTAGTCCAGGCCTGATCGTTGACACAGGAAGAACCCCCAAGGAGTTTCCCACGAGGATAGTCGATGCTACGACCGTTCAGCCCTACCGACATTGGCAGACATATACGTCAATGTCATGACCATGGACATGTATCGAGTGACAGACCTGGTTGCGGAGTGGTCACGTAATTCCTTGACAGAGGGGGACGCAAGGTTGAGGGACGTATATAAACTAGGAAAGAGAATGACATACCAATCCCAAGGCTGATTTGGAGTCAGAGTTTCGCTCAAGAAAGGAATGGCGACGTCTTCAATGTCATCCGGGCTACCATCACAAAGAATACAGCATCTATATCAACCAAATGTTCACAAAAAATCAAGCACAAAATACGAAACCTACAGCCCTCCAGCTTCTATGATTAATACGTTTGTGGTAGAGCTCTCCGCGAGTCGGCGAGCCACGACGCTCCCACCAGGACCAGCTTGATCGGGCAAACAAATCAGAATTGGAACGAAATTCAAGGGGGACCTGAGATGCGCAAAACGTACCACCAACGATGACATAGTCGTACTCTCGACTGGGTAACTGAGATGGATCAGTGTAAATCGCAGCGTAGGCACCACGTAGTGCAAACACTGCACTCAAGAGAGAAAGGGAAGCATACATCGTGCCAAGACGCCGAAAACAGTCGTCCCTCTACCCGAGTCGACTGCTTTTATATCTAGTCATACAATTGACCCTTGAGGAGCGGCCGACCAGGATTGTCTGCAACATGAGATGGATAGCGAATGTCCTGTACTCACCGGAAGGGTGAAAATCCAGGGACTCTGGACCTGACGACGACGAAAGAGTGCACTAAAGCCGAAGTCAATATAGTCCAGTACAATGAAGTAAGGAAGTGATAGTCAAACCGCACCTCAAAAACTCCTAATGGCGTATCGAGGATCCTCGTAAACGCGCTGCGGGTGGTCTCAAACGTGCAAGAACACGAGATGCGGTGAGCGGGTTGGCCAGAAGAAGTATAGCATCGGTACTCGCGGGTGACGCTTACTCGGTGCGACACCGAGTTACATAGCGCGTGCATGAAGTGGAGGAGTGCTCAGACCTTCAGTACGAACTGTACGAGACGAGTGACCTCCTATACATCATCTTGGGTCTAAGTAGATCATTCGTCAAAGCAGAGTGCTGCACCAGCTCTACTACGTTCCACATATCCCTCAAGTCAACGACCGGGGTTGTGTCAGAGAGAAACTCGGGGATAACTTTTGGCTGTGTAAGCTTGACCGGCCTGCATCGGCAAGCGTATGAAGAATGGAAGGATGGGGAGAGACGAAACACTGGATGTCTATCCATAGGACATGTAGGTTAAAACAGTCCCGAACACACAGCTGAACTTCGACAGCTCTGCGGCAGAGGAAAATGAGCCCTGCAGCTGGGTCTGTGCATGTAGTGAATGACTACCCGTAGAGGGTTTGTGCAGATCCTGGAGGCCTAGATACACAGAAAGGAAGCCCAATTCGATTCTTTATTGGATAGGGTACCCTGCGTTTGTGTTTATGTGCATCAAGAAACGCTCCTAGGCTGCTACGGATAGCCATCCAGTCCCGTAGGGCGCCGCGTAGCGCTTGCCCTGGCAGAGATGATTGAGCAGCTCCGTGGGGAGTGCAAAATGGCAAACCTGTGAGGATCATCCAAGCGTCAAAGATTGCAGTGATGAGAAGCATCCCTAGTTTACGGCGTGCTGCTATATACAAGCATGAGAGGGTGGATGGAGGGACGAAAGACGAAGACAAAACGAAACACCGGTGACAGGGATATCGGCAGCCTGATATTTCGTGGGAACATTCTGTCTCGAAACGCCACACATATTCCTGTGGCCCGCCACACATTCGAGCCCCAGACCTCATCGTCTGGGGAAGGTTTACTACGAGCCTTCGTAGCTATGGCCTCACCTATACCATAGACTCTTACAGCGCTTGCATTCGCGAGAATAGTGTTATACTACTCACTTGAAGTCGATGAACCGCAAGCGAAACCTCCACGATTGCGAGCCGAAACTGGAGATAGGGCCAACCGGAATAGATAAATAGACGTAGCCATCGTATCCAAACGAGAGCTCTACACAACGTGCGTATAAGTGCATAATCGAAATAGTCCGACCCAAGTAGGTGAGAAATCTAGAGATTCGGACGTCGACCCGGGGCCCAGTACAGACTACAACTAGTACCGCGAAAGGTGGAGCAAACGCATAAATAAACCAGATGATGCTCGACGGTGTAGAACGAATCGGATAGCAGCAGTCCCTGTACGTAGACTGATGAACTGGCACCTAAGGCCAACGACACCGACTCGGAGGTACGTCACCCTGAAGCTTCAAGGCTCGAGCAGGACAACGAATGGGGATAAATATGTGGGGAGGATAGGGGCTGCCGCCTATGCGATGCGGATAGGGGCTTCTATAGGATGATGATGGCGATGGCGAAAGACAAGACGACGCGTGACGAAATCGTCACGAACGTCGAACAGTTCAGAAGCTCTGCATGTACATGGTACTAGCGAGGCAACTACATGGATACGAACGGATGAAAAGAGGGAGGGAGGGACGGAGGGGGTGAGGGAAGGTGCGTGACAAAATGAAAGTGGCGGTGGTGGGTAAGAACATATGCATAGAAACATAAGAAGGAGAAAAAACGAAGACTAAATGTTATATACTTTTATTCGTTCCAATCCCGAAAACAGGGCGTATGGAGAAGGGGTCGCGAGTCACCCTCGCCCTCGATCAGCAGCCGTAAGCCACGAAGGAGATGTCCTTGATCACAAGGTAACAACAGTCGAAGCGAACGAAAAGCTGCGAAGGCGAGGCGAAAGAATGACCGTATAAACGGTGATCATCAATAGAGATCACAGTCAGAGGGGGAAGTACTACTCGAATATAACTGTAGACAGAGAAGCGAAAGAACGGGGGCGAGACCAGAGGGGATGATATGATACGAGGGAGAGAAACCAAAAGTATGCAACGTGTATGTACGTAGTGAATCCTGATAGAGACCGAGACAGATAGCGAAAATAACTGAAAAGAGGAGAGATATGGACTAAGGGACGAGATGGAGGTACGCTAAAAGAGGAGAAAGATGGAGAGAATGAGATAATAGATAGGGAGAAGAGACGGAGAGGGGGAAATCAAGACATGTACGACTACTATAGGACACTGTAAACTGTAAAGAATATGCAACCGAAACCAAACCCAAAACGAGCCAAAGCGATCGACAATAATGCAATAGAAACTTAGACCAAGACCATATATCACCAACAACACCACGTAGGTCTCAACGCGGGACACGTCTAGTGAAGAACGAATAAGGGAGTCATTGGCCCCAACATGGAAGCTGTCGAGCCTCATCCCGACTCCACGCCCTCTGACGCCGTACGCCCGGCATCGGGGTCCCCCGTGTGCACCTTCTGATGTTGGAGCAGATTATCATGTCTACTGAACCACTTATCGCACCCTGGAAAGTCGCACTGATACGCTATAATAAAAAAGGCAAAAACACGAAAACCAACCGGTTAGCCCCTATCCTCTGACTTCTTGATGCGAAAAAGAAAGCAATAGTGGAGGGATCGAAGAGGAAAGAAATAAAGGGGAAACGTACGTTTCTCGTTGGTGTGTATACTCCTCACGTGCCTCTTCAAATGCTCTCTCCTCGCAAAACACTTCGAACACCCTTTCACCGTACAAACGTATATCCTCCCATTCGCCCCTCCTGGCGGTGGCGTCGCTGCAGGTGTCGCAGGTGCCTTACCAGTGGTCATGGCGGCAGCTGCTGGAGGAACAAGTATAGGCACTTTCCTACCTCGACTGCGTTTTGTCAGGTTTGGAACAGGTAGTGGTGGCGGGACCCGTGTGCGGCGGTTGCCTGTCGTGAGAAGACTTGGATTGATGGGATCTGTCGGGTTCGATCCGGTGGAAGAGGAATTGGACGGTGGTTGAGTATCGGCTGCAGCGGATGTCGAGACTGAGGCGGACGTGGAAGGTACAGCGCCGTCGAAGTCATATGACGAATGGTCCGACGCAGACGAAGGAGGTGTCGACGGCGTGCTCTCTGCCAGTCTCGAGCTTCCCACCCCACCTCTATACATATTCTCACCCGCATGCGTGCTCGCATAAGCTTTCTCCACGTTCCTCTTGCTCCTCGAGATACTCTTCGGCAGTGATGCACTCCTCCCGGGTAGCGAACTCGACCTCAGGTTCCTCGTGCTCAATCTCACGCTCGCCGCTGACGAAGGCCTGCTACTCGGAGGAGTACCGGCATGCACAGAGTTATTCGAGGTCGACGCGCCCGAAGGCGTCGTACTGTTCGCCCTCAAGTTAGCTAGATCAGCTAAGTTGGCGAGTTTCGAGAGGTTGAAGTTTGAGGCGGATTCGGGTGAAGGGGAGGTCGGCTGGGAATAGGAGTAAGGATGAAGACCAAGGGAACGGTTGAGTCGGCGGAGCTCGAGAGGGTGGAGGTGGAGGGTTGATTGGGGTTGGAAGTGGGTGTTGTGAGAGGAGGCTGCGGTAAAATTTGACGATGCGGGGCTACCGTAGCGGTAAGCAAAGTCTGTCGGGATGGGCGAGCTGTTGTACGTGCGAGGGGCAGTGGTCTGTGTTGAAAGGTATGCTGAGTTGAGATTAATTAATGGATTATGGAGAGTTGGGCGTACGTTGCGAAGGGGATCCTGAGCTGCTGCTACTGAAGCCAGGTGGTCGAGGGCGCTCAAACCCGAGTACTCAACTTCCATGTCCATGAAGGTGGGCGTTGCGCTTTGATGACGCTTCGGGTGGTTGTAGGTCGGTGGGTGTTCGAGAGAGGTAGGTTGCCCCTGGAGGTCAACGGAAAAGGCGGAAAAGGGGTATAAAGAAGCTGCCAGCTGGGACGGGCTATGCCAGGTCGGACCCTGAGGCGAAAAAAGTACAAAGGACGAACTAGAAAAAGACACGTCGCACCGTATCCAGCAAGTCCATTGTCAGCAACCCACAAGCTCGAGGAGAGAAAAGGAGAGAAAATGGCGAATAAAAGGAGACTTACGGAGGTGGTGGTGGAAGACGGGGAAGGAGCGGGAGACAGGGGGCGAAAAAACTGGCCCAAGCTGGAGCAGAGCTGGAGCCCCTGTGTCTCCTTCCCCTTTGGGCGACCTCGGAAGATCGCTCCTGGCCCCGTGCCGGCAACTCGATTCCCCTTTTTGGCAGACCCTCTCGCGTGCCACATCATCCGTTCGTCCTCAGCTTGAGCTTGCTCGGTCTCTTCCAAAAACAAATACTCTCGACGACGTCCTCGTTATTTTATGGGTAACTCGACTGAGCTGGCATTAGCTGGCATCCCGGGTAAGCTCCGAGGTCCAGGCAGTGCAGTAGCCAACTGTGACTTGGTGTGAGTACAATAGTACTGGCAGCAGGTAGCGGACATCAGGAAGTTCGCAGTCTGGCGCCGATATGGTATCCAATGACCCTCAATTGCTCTACATGGAATAATGCAATCGTCGCGCGACGGGGTCTGTAGCTTGTGCGTATAAGGCGGTGGCGTTGAACGAAATAGGGGCAAATGTCCATATGTGGCGTCGTGCTAGCTGAACATTCTTCATGCTTCCATAAAAACATCACCTTCAAACTCAACAAAATTTGTTAAGTAAGGTCGCCACAGCGAACACAAACATATCTGAATTCTTCCATGCGACTTCATGAATCTTCCGATCTTTCCCGAACCTTCTCAAACCCACGTCCTCGGGGCCACACCAGCCTAAAACAGCGCTACGTACCCAAAACCTCAACGCTCAAGCCCACCTCCTCACATCATCCGCACTCGGTCCCTCCGGGTCCTCCGAAGCCGCCAAATTGCACTGATGAAAAACCCTCAATTCATCAGGTCTAAGAGACCCAGTCACGGAATGCATGACCCCCCGGTTATGGAAGAGAACAAGATCTTTCGGGCGCCAGTCGTGTGGGTAGATAAGCTGAGAGTCGAGCGGGATGTCAGCAGGGGTAACGAAAAGAGGACGTGGGAGATGTGAAGGAGAATGAGGACGTACGTTAGGCGCAATGGCGGGTCTCTGCATTTTATACAACAAGTCGCGGACGGCTTTGAGGTCTTTGATATGTGCCCCGTCGGGGTATAGAGCGCCGTCTCTCGGTGCATCAGCAGGGAGGGGGTCGATGATAAGTTCAAGAGCGGCACATGGATGGACCTGCATCGCCAGTTCACCAGTAATCGGGTTCTTCCACAACTAAATCACAGAGCACAAAACATGAACCATAAGCTTCGTCCCCACAAGTCTCGTAAAACAAGGCACCCAAAAAAAACTCAAGAGCGAGAACTCACAAAGGGCAATACCTTAACCCTCTCTTCCTTCCACTCCGGCAACTCCTCCAACGGGACCTCCCTCCCCTCACACACAATCCCCAACCCCGTCTCATGCGCCCTAGCCGTGCTCATCCACACATACGGATACGGCGCATACCTCACTCTCCCTCTCACAGCCACACTCCTCCACTCCCTCTCCAATCCCTCGAACATGTTCTTTCCGCTGATGAAGACGGTGCTGGCGGTGGAAACGTCGAGCGTATCGGGCGTCCCGTCGTCGTAGCGGCATGTTTGAAGGATTGTGCCCGGAGACTCGCAGCCGGGGACGACGACGCCGTAGAGGGTCGTTACTTTGGGTGGGGAGAGGTCGTAGAGCGCGGCGTCGATGTGCCATCGCATGAATCGAGTCGCTCGCTTCCTCTTGTCTCCACTTTCATCGTCTCCACCATCTCCACCCCACAGCTCATCCTCCGCAATCCTCGTCCTATGAAACGTCGTATGCGTCGGATGACTGATCCTCACCTCCTCACCTCCATCGGAAAGCCCATAAGTATGCTCAGGCGGGATGTGTCCGTTGCCGATGAGCTGGACTTGGGGGACATGCGGGATGTGTTTGACTCCGGGGTGGAGGATTATGGAGCGTGCGGCGGAGGCGGAGTCGTGGTCGTGGCCGTAGGAGACTTGGGTCGGGTCGAAGGCCTAGATATGAAAGGCAGGTTAGAAGAGGTTGGCTTTGATGGTGGTCGCTGATACCAATTCAACTCACCTGCGTCAAAACTAACTGCTTCTCCGGCGGAAACTCACAATCTCTAAACAGCAGCAAATCATACTACCACGAACTATAGCTCAGTATCGCTCTCCCTTCCCTCCCCCTAAAGCCTGAAATCGAGATGGATGTAAGAAAAGAAAACACACCTTATACAACCCCTCCTCGATCTCCCGAAACTCATCCTCCGTCCAATCTTTCCCTGGATCGAACCCTCTCACTTCTCTTCCAAATTCAGAAAGTTTCGATGCATCGGCGCTAGGAGGCAATGGGATCGGAAGGAATTCGATCGACATGTTTATTGGAATAATGATCTTGAAGGTCTCGACGCCGATATGGTTGGTGTAGCAAGCTCCCTAGTCTGAGTGAATACTGTATTGGCGCCTGTTATTCTTAGAGGGCGTTTAATCGTTCAAAGAGCCCTAGCACCGACGTGGAGAGCTTAACCAAGCGGGATCGAAGACGATAGAGCCTGTATTGATAGGAAGACGACAAGGCGCTCTTTATATGTAGATCCCAGTATCAAGGTTCAAGGTCATTGTTCCGAATTAATGAGGTGCCACCGCATGAATGCTTCTAGGCGGTCATTGTTCCCAAATAGTGACCCTTCTAGTGAGCGTAGTGAGCGTTGTTGATTACGTGTAAGGCAAGCAGTGAGTATACGGGAATGTTTGGGCGTGAGATGAAATCATTGACATGGAAGGAGGGAACGAGGAGGCTTGCTTCGCCACACTGAGTTGAGCTAATGAGTGTAAAGTTCTCACGGTTTCGAAAGACGTGTGGCACAGGACTGCAGGACTGAGCGGAAATGTTATTCTCACCGTTCGTTTCCAAGATCTTGAGAAAACTAAATGGTACACGGCGTAGTCCCAAAAGCACTCGGTAAATCACTTACATACAAGCAAAGGACGTCGCGCTTGTACGAGTACATACATCATGAATTCTCGGCCCATCCCCCCCTCCGATCACACTCCACGCAGCAAGCACAAAGGCACCACAGGACCCAGCCGAACAGCACACCAGCAAAACTTCAAAAGATGCACCATCCCAGCCTAGCCCTCTCCTTCCGAATCTCAACGTTCAACCGTCGATGCTCAAGCTCAAGCCCACCTCATAACGTCCTCGTTATTCGGACCCACCGGGTCATCGGACGCCGCGAGATTGCACTGATGGAAAGCCCTGACCTGGTCCGGCTCGAATGCGCCTACGACGGAGTGCAGCACGCCGCGGTTATGGAACAGGACGAGGTCTTTCTCGTGCCAGTCGTGGGGGTAGACGAGCTGTGGAGGTTGAATATTTGTCAGTTGGAAGTCCACATGTGTTTGACGGGTTAGGGGTGTGTGGTGGGTAGGCAGGGATGTGTGTCGTTCGCAAGGCGGTGATTGAAGAGGAGTGGAGTGGTAAGACGTACGGGAGGTGAGATGGCTGGTCTCTGCATCTTGTAGAGCAGTTCGCGCACGGTACCTAGATCTTTGATGTGTGCGCCATCGGGGTAGAGAGCGCCTTCGCGGGATGCACCAGCGGGGAGAGGGTCAATGATGAGTTCTTGGGCGCCACATGGGTGGACTTGGAAGGAAAGCTGTTGGGTAACGGGGTTCTTCCACAGCTACAATCCACCCATAAATCGATTTCATCAGTGGATCCCGTCGTCGCAAAGTTTCTCGAGTCGCAGCAGGAAACTCACGATAGGGAACGTCTTCACTCTCTCCTCCTCCCAAGGCGGCAACTCCTCCGGCTTCAGCTCCAGCCCCTCATTCGCGATGCCCAACCCCGTCTCCAACGCCCTCGCCGGCGCCATCCACACATACGGATGAGGCGCATACCTGACCTTTCCTCTAACCGCCAAACTCTTCAACTCCTTCGGCAAAATCTCAAACATCGTCTTCCCACTAACGAACGCCGTCGTCCCCAGCGGAACCTCCAGCTCGTCTCCCGTCCCATCATCATACCTACAAACCTGCTTCTCACCCCTCGGGACGGTGATACCATACAGGGACGTCACCTTAGGGGGCGAGAGGTCATAGAGGGCGGCGTCGATGTGCCAGCGGTAGAAGCGCGTGAAGTGGGCTTGCTCGGAGGGCGGGATGACCGTCTTGTGGAAGGTGGTGTGGGAGGGGTGTTTCAATTTGGCGGAGGCGAGGCCTTCGTGGTCGTAGACTGTGCCGTTGCCGATGAGTTGGACTTGGGGGACGCGCGGGATGGTTTTGAGGTCGGGGTGGAGGATGGATTTCTTGGTGCTTCCGGTCTTGTTGTTACCGTGGCCGTAGTTCTCGGAGGTCGGGTCAAAGGCCTAGAGAGAAGGATTAATGGTGGTTAGAGTCCGGTAGAGCGAATGGTATAGAGGCCGTGAGGTGAAGTACGACAATTTAGTGAACTTGGAGCTCTGTCCGAGCGCAGACACTACTACGGAATTAACGGCGTTGGCGTGTGTCCTCTCCTTGCGGCCTCGTAACGTAAGATATTTAAAGAGAAGGCAGAACGCACCTTCGTGATAGCATACTGCTGCTCCGGCGACAACTCACAGTTGCGGAACAAAAGCGCATCGTGCTATTCCAACATCACCACACCAACACCTCTCTCATCAGCGAGCACATTCAACGTAGATATATTATTATAAAGAAGTGCATACCTTGTACAGGGCCTCCTCAATAAGCTTGAACGTCTCGGGCGTCAAATTCGCCGCATCAAGACCCCTGACCTCCCTCCCAAAGTCCGCAAACTTGGATGCATCAGCACTGGCCGGAAGTGGCAAAGGAACGAATTCAACGGAAGCCATAGATGCGTATGAGCGTCGTTTCAAGGTCGAACGCAAGTGAAGAAGGAGTGGTGAGGGTAGAGAGGAGGTCGGGCGAGGTCGAGTGGAGATACGATATGTCTGCGCAAGAGATAACCGGTGCATGTTTTCCGCGAGGTGTCGACTTTAAATGTTCTGGCTACGGAAGCTTCGAGTAGTATGGATGTGTCGTATGGACAGCTGTCGAACGCGTGCGGACGTCCGCAAGTTGGACTCGGCGGTCGAGACGTGGGGGAGAGCTCTGGGTCAAGACCGGATCTACGTGTATCATCGCTGTGGCGCTCGCACAGCTCCACAGTGGCGTCGAGTAACAAGGCTCATCCTGCTGCGACTTGAAAAAAGAACTGGTTTGAGTGAAAATATGAGTTACAACCGTCGAGCAATAAAAGCATGAGAGGATGTGGCCCAGGTTTTCGTCGTTGGTTGCACTTTAGAAGATGGTGCCACATCGTTAGAATAGTCGGCCCACGGCCTCGAGGCCGCGGCGACGCTTTTCTGCGGGGAACTGTCCTTGACTGTCTTTGCACACGAACGTCATTCCTACAGACAAGTGCTTTCTCTGACCGCTCATCTATTCACCATTGGCAGGAGGCAGGAACGTTTAATGTTTAACGCTCATCAGACTAAGGTTAAGTACATCACGAACTTGGGCGGCACTACCTCAGGCCTCACTCTCGACCGTACTAGGAATGAATCATGTCGTAGACTGCGAGCCCAATATCTTGTCTTGACTGTGATTTTCTCAACAAATACTAGCATTCATACCATGGACTCTCCATTAGGCCCTCGATTCGAAACTGCCTTTGCAATTCAATACAAGTTTTGCCACCACACCCAAACCTTTGCTGTAATTTTATACGAAGAACTGAATCGACAAGTATAGGCCCAGCCAACTTAGAGGTCACTACTCCGTCTCGCACGGGCCTTTGTGCGTATGTGTAGGTACGTTTCGTTCCATGTGTGGTGCTAGCGACTAATTCCCTTCGTGTTTCAATCCTTATATGTACTACTTGTCTCAGACGAGCTTTTTATACGATCCATTCAAGGGCAACCTCATGACTCCGAATCGCTTGCATGATACAGTCAAACGATATCCCCGTCGGTCGTCGTCTCTCAGGCGGTGGGGTATCCACGCTCTATTCATTTAGTAAGAGTCCTCGTAGCGACTGGACTATGAAATCTGCTGACTCAGACCGTCGTAGAATGATGATTTTAGACCTTTATCATTATGCATACAATTTGCGCAGGAGGCTGTAGGTGATCGTTCCGCGTGCTATGAACGGGAGATGGAGTGGAAGTGGACCGCAGCGTGCTGCGACTAAGCTTGTCCCATCCCTTTCTATTAAACTCCGAGTCAAGCTATCCCCATCATTGTAGTCGGACGCCCAACAGGCCTCTTTTAGGAGCTCGCTTACTCACGGTCAACCAGCCTGCGAGTATCAACGTAGAGGTTATTACGCTCCTTCGATGGTTGTCGCTATCTCCTTGACATTCTGTCCTGTCATCCCGCGTCCTTGAACGTTTGAGCCTCCAGGCAACGCGCTCCTTGGTTCGGCCAGCGTGGCGTCCTGCGCGCCTCCGTGATATCTTTGATTGTCCCGATGCTCCAGCGACCGTACCATTCCACTGCGCTAGAATCTTGTTTTTCTCGTACGTGGGTCCATTGCCGGACTTCCCGATGGTGCAATCTGCGGATGCAATCCTCTTGACACCGCCTTGTACGCCGATGAAGACGATGTACGCGTAATGCTTCGAAGCTGCATCCAGTTCTGTCCATGGTACAAAAGGACTGAAGTCGTCGAATAGTGCGCTGTTAGTTATAAGTTGTAACGGTTAGTCGTAATGCGTTTGTTACTCTCTTTACTCTACGCCGCTTCTGCACTGTGTGGTGCCTACGCTGCAATCTATACGGACCCTTCTCAATTACCCGACAGACAGTACGACTATGTTGTCGTTGGTGGTACGCACGCTTCTTTTCTACATTATCCTCCCTAACACTCACTCTTCTTTCATCTGTTTCAGCTGGTCCTGGCGGGAGTGTCGTGGCCCGAAGACTCGCAGAGAATTCTACCGCAAACGTGCTGATCATCGAGGCTGGTGGGCTGTGGGTCTTTGTCTCTGTGTATTGCTTTCATTCTGAGCGTTAAACTGAAACGGAGACGGATTTTCTTGTGATGCAGCCCTGACGATATCGAAGACATTGCCATACCATACCTCGGTTTGACCCTAGGGGCACCTAGGCCTTGGAACTGGTACGACCCTCGTTTCCCGAATGATCACTTTTCTTACTGTTAATCCACCGCTCGACCTTCTAGGAACTATACAACCGCCGCACAAACAGGTCTGTTCTTTCTTGAAGGATGAGGACCTCATGGGCAGACATCTGACTTAACTGTTGTGCCCTTTGTAGGCCTCAACGGTCGCAGCGTCGTCTACCCTCGTGGGAAAATCCTTGGTGGCTCTTCCTGTATCAACGGCATCGTTTGGACAAGAGGGTCGAAGGATGATTTTGATCGCTTCGCGCGGGTTACTGGGGACGACGGCTGGTCGTGGGATTCTCTTCAGCCTTATATGTTGGGGGTAGGTCACGTCATTATCCTATTGATGTCGCCTCTGGAGGTCGCTGAACCGATATTGAAGGTCGAGCAACTCGTCCCCACCTCTGATGGGAGGGACACCGATGGCGAACTTGTGGCTTCCATTCACGGAACGAGTGGTTTGGTTGGTATTAGCAGTCAAAATGTCCTTACGGATATCGACGGTAGAGTGATAAACACCACTTCAGAACTGAGCGAGTTCCCTTTCAATGAGGACATGAATTCGGGAAACACCATTGGCATTGGTGAGTACTTCTGCACACAATGCCTCTTTCCTCGCATGTAATCAAGACCATTGACTGATCCATAACCGATTGCGCGATAGGTTGGGGCCAGTACGCTATCCGAAATGGCTCGAGACAGGATGCGGCAAACACTTACCTCGAGCCCGCATCGAACTGGGATAACCTTGATGTGTTGATCAATACGCAGGTCATAAAGGTTTTACAGACGGGTGAGGAGGACGGGGTTCCGATCATCAATGGTGTTCAGTTTGCGCCGAATTCTAGCAGTGAGTACTGTGTCGGTGTCAAAACGAGAAGACTTATTCTGATATATCACTTGGGGTGTTGAAGGTTCTGTTTACACGGTCAATGCGACGAAGGAGGTCATCCTCTCTGGTGCGTTCAATGCTGGTGTCTGGAAACGAGAGGTGGTCTAATCTCGTTCACGGTATATAGCCGGTTCCATCAACAGTCCCCAGCTCCTCCTCCTCTCCGGCATTGGTCCCACCGCCGAACTCTCCTCTCTCAATATCTCCACCGTAGTCGATCTCCCCTACGTTGGCTCCAACTTCCAAGACCACGTCCTACTCGTCAACAGCTGGGAAGTCAACTCCAACTTCACCTGGGATGACATCAATCGAAACACTACGCTCTACGCCGAAAAACAAGAGGAATGGGAGAATTCCAGGAAAGGCACTTTCACGGCGGCAGAGTCGTTACAGATTGGATGGCTGAGACTCCCGGAGAACGATACTATTTTTGAGACGGTGCAGGATCCAAGTGCGGGGAGTACGAGTGGGCATTACGAGTTTGTTTTCGTGGTGAGTTGTACATAGGCGATACTGCGATGTATATGACAAGTGGCTGAAACGAGGATCCTTCGACAGGACAATTTCGTCGGCACTACGCCCTCCACGGGGCGCTTCTTGAGCATCACCACGAACCTGGTCACGCCCACTTCTCGTACGCCAAATCTATCATTCATCGTCGTCAGATATTGGGCTGAATCACTTTGTCTATGCAGGTGGTTCCGTGACAATAAATTCTTCGAGCCCTTGGGATCCCCCAGTCATCGATCCTGTGAGCGATGCTAGCCACTTCTACCCAGCATTTCTGCTCCATTACTCATGTCACTTACTGCAACTAGGCTTTCTTAAACTCCGACTTCGACATCCATACCATCGTCGAATCCATCAAAGCCGCTCGTCGCTACCTCGCTTCTCCGTCCTTTAGCGACTACATCATTGGTCGGTTACCCCCGGCCCTCCACTCCAAAACTCCCTTGACTTACATGCCCACTCACTTATTCACAGACACAGCTATTCCTGCGAATGCCACCACAGACGACGAGCTTGCACAATTCGCTCGCAATAACGCAGGAACCGTCTACCACCCCACCAGCAGCACGTCTATGTCCGCATGGAACGACACGACCAGCGGTGTCGTAAATCCTGATCTGACCGTCAAGGGGACGAAGGGGTTGCGAGTCGTGGATGCTGGTGTTCTGGTGAGTTTCATCTTTTTCGTCGCTTGAGGCAGAGACAGCTGATCGGGTTTCGTCGGTTTATGTGTGAATGCAGCCGTATGTACCGGCGGCACATACACAAGCTTCGGTATATATTATTGCTGAGAGGGCAGCGGACCTCATCAAGGCTGCGGCGAGGGCATGAACTTTATCGTTTTGATATGTGTCTAGTTTAACATAAATGGATTAATAGGTAACTGTTTCGTAGTGGTGTCTACTATCCGAGTCAGCTCTTTACATTTTAGCTTGTTATAATCGATGATCCTGAAACTCAAGATTGAGGAAAGGTGCCGTGTGGTGCTTTCGGGCATACACGCCGTTCAGCAACCATCAGAAACCTTCAGAAAACCAGAAGCCTTCTATGGATACCTAGGGATACTCTCACAGGTCCACCCAAGGTCCACCGTCAGAATGCCAATCCGTTGGCTTAAGTATAGAATTGCGCAAGTACGGGACATGATAAGGGAATTATCCAACAGAAATCGACCCTTTGAGTAGTTATGCCCATGTCCAAAGTATGGAACTGTTCTGTCCATGGCGGCTGCAGTTCGGAGAACGGGCCACACCAGTGGCACCGTTTGTGCTGACTGTTCTCACGACTGTCACGTGCAGGGACACAAAACGCGTCGGTCGCGTCGCGTCTGCGTGTCCTTGCTCTCCTCCATCATCTTCTCCGCCCTTCCGTATACGCCATAGGCAAAATCTAGTCTTGGTTATCATCTCATTACCTGATACGGTCTTTTGATTGTTCTGTAACTTTCAACGGGCACATCATCTATCCATACACTCGCCAATATCAGTACCACCACCGATACCATGTACTCGTCTTCCGCCGCCACCAAAGCCAAACGGCGCACGCACACTCGGCCAGAGCTCTCTGAGGAGCAAAAGCAAGAGATCAAAGAGGCCTTCGAACTCTTTGATACGGACAAGGACGGATGTGTGGACTACCACGAGTTGAAGGTGGCTATGCGGGCACTGGGGTTCGATTTGAAGAAGGCGGAGGTGTTGAAGATACTGAAGGACCATGATAAGACCGGGCATGGGTTGATGGAATTTGAGGATTTTGCCAAGATCAGTGAGTGTGGTTTTATGTGTTGTCGTTCTTCGTTGTCGTAGGCTGGCGGGTGAGCCATAGGGACATCTGCAGGAGGGTCAATTTACGTGTTTTGTTCGAGAGTTAGTGCTCTCATTTTATACTTCTACTGACGACGGTTTCAATATACCTATACAATAGTGAACGACCGCATTCTGGCGCGTGACCCGATGGAAGAAATCAGACGCGCTTTCCAGCTTTTCGACGATGACAACACTGGCAAGATAACGCTCCGCAACCTTCGACGTGTGGCGAAAGAAATCGGCGACCGATTGGAGGACGACGAGTTGTACGTGGATCCGATCCTTTTCTTTTTCAATGTTTCTCTGTTGGCCTTAAGGTCGTCCTCGACGGCCTTGCGGACATTGTGATTGTGGCAGCCCATCTCCTTCTGAGAACGAGCGCTGATGCATGTGCATCGACTTTTCTGCAGACAAGCCATGATAGACGAGTTCGACCTTGACCAAGATGGCGAGATCAACGAACAGGAGTTCTTTGCAATCATGACAGACGACGCGTAAAATCCACATTTCTTCATTTTCTCTCTGCACCTGTCTTTTGGCTATCTTGACTCTTGCATTGCAGTCGCTCTGCACAAGATGTACAGCCCTCCATCATCTATCGTACATCTCACCTTTCTTCGTTCTTGCATTACCACCGTCTGTCCTAAATTATTCGACATGCTTTCGCCAGCGTACCAGCTATCGGGAAGGCAAGAACGATACTACCACCTTTCATTTCGACTTTCGACCTCTTGATTCCCCTTTTGCCTTGTTTTTCGTTCCACTATCACTTCTGTGTCTTGGCTATCTTAGCTTCGTATGTTTGTATATCAGGTTCAGAATTGTAAACCATCGGTCACGTCGCGTCTCCGCCGTGCGTCTCTTCCTCGTTCAACGTCGCGTTCACCGACAAACCGACAAATCCCCGGCGCGCACTCACAAATGGGCACCTCCTAGCGCCCGAGGACCTAACGAGGGCGCTCTTGCTACGGCGCTACTTTGGAAATTCATCATTCATTTCACTGGAGCGGTGTATGTATTAGGGTTGTCTCGACCAATCTGTTCATCGGAGTGGCGACCTATGGTTGTTCGCGCCTTCCTGCAGTCAGTCATATTCATCTAACCAAAAATCTTTTTCGACGTACTCATCATTCAAGTCCATTCTCCGCAGTTATCATTGAGCAGCCTAGGCCCGTGGGTTGAACTTGCCACTGTATCGTTTAACGAGCCTATACGAACTGTGTCTACCAGAGGTCCAGGGGTATCGAAGCACCCGATCCCACTGGGGCTAGGCGTCAATCATGGTACGGAGAGACCGATCCTTCCATTCCTATGGATATTGCAATACGCGTTTGCTCATGCTAATGCCCTGGTTCCACAAAGTTCACTTCACCGTTCCGTCGAGAAGACAGGCCATCTAGAACTATTCCAGGAATTGGACCATACGTGGACCATCTGGATGATCTTCAATTCGACCGTGCCCGTCGTCCTGGTTGGAGAGTCGCATTAAGGTTTCTTCAACCAATGGTCGCTACTTCTACGGTAAGTGGTAAGACAAACGGCCCCGAGAGAGTGACCTCAAAAAAGTGAGTCACCCTGTGTGATTCGTAGGGATAATTTCGCCCTCGTTCTCGTCGTCGTCAATCAAAACGCTTGGTGCTACTGCCACGGTCGGTCTCAAGTGAGTTGAGAGTGTAGAGCAACGATTGGCCACGTTGAAGAACGATGGTGCTCGTCACGGCTTGGCTGTACACCTGCACTCGAGATCGCGGACCGGTCTTGATGTTCATTCGACCTAAGTCGCTCCATCGTCCGCTCATCTGCTTGTTTATCCTATTTTTATCCTAGCATGTGCTGGGGTCTGCTAAAACGTTGTTTTCAGCTTACGTCGACTGAAAGTCCTCGAGGATCCGGCCGCACCAATTACCACTCACATTGGGTCCGACGTGCAGTGTCTACGGCCTTCCGCACCTGTAACGTTATTTATTCCTTCGAGTCACAGTTCCTCATGCGGTCAGTCGTACCCGCCTGTTCCATTTGCGGCTCGTTACTCAGTCCCGAACCTCTGTCCTAGAAAGGCCCATGACCGTTTCGGAAAGTCGAGGGATCTGCCCAAATCCTTTTTCAGAAAGCGGAAGTCAGTGGTGAGAGCGGTCTTTTATCGAAAAGTCCACTATGGCCAATAGCGCCCAGCGGTATTGTCTCGCCGCTCGATTTTCGGGAAAAAGGCGAAACACGTACGGAGGCACGAATTGCCACACTTTTCCGTCCCTTCTCTGGGCATGGCGGATATGACCATTCACCTTCTTGTGGTACCCATGAGTGCTGTTCTTGGGAGGTACGCCGTGAATACTTGACGAGGTGAGGATTGTTTTCATCGAATCACCTCTCCAGATAACTGATAGTAACGCAATGTATACTGTGTGCGCCATAGGCCATGACCTCCAGTGCAGCGGTCTCGACGCTGCGTGCGACCGACCTCGGGACGTCTAACTAGGTTTCAGGCTCTTTTTTTAGACGGCCTCAGTCCCTTCTCTAGTCACGATCTTCCGCTGGAAGCCTTCAGGATTGTCGAACACGAATGAAGATCCTGCTTTTTGTTGAAACATTGTAGGTGGTATTGAGGATCGTGTGTGACCAGTAATAGAGTCGTAAATTGTTGTTACCGTCTATGCTCACCCAATGTGAGTTTTCCGGTATTTCCCGATCTCGGGTTTGCCACGATCACTAATGGAGCAAGTTCTTCTTACAGCTATCATCTTGGCGCAGGCGCCCATTCTATATTGCAAAGGCTAAATGTGTTTCAATGGATGGAAGGAACGGTGTGGTGCCAGCAAAACCATTCGTTCGTTCTCAAGCTGCCTTCCACCGTTCTGACCGTCTGCTCTGACTCGTACCAGATCCACCGTTGTCGCGCCTGAAACCCCATGCCTTCGCACCATTGCGATCGATAGAGCACTCGTCCAGCCTGCGAGTCGTATTGCATCGATGTATTTGACCATATGGGTGCAGAATTACTGATCACGACGTGACGGAAGTTGCTCTTCGATTTCCTCACTGACAGGGATTTCACATTCCGCCTCCCGCCATAGCGTAATTTTGTATCCCGTTTTGGTATTGCGGCTTGCCAGGCGATGTTCGGAGCTGTATGTAATCCCTGCATTTTAGTTCGGAAGACAGTTTACAACTCATTGCAGCGTTTCTTCTCTTCTAGACGGGCGGAGTATCGACGGACTGATCGCGATAGATCTTCTGACTAGCGCAGCCCCGATGAAGCAGCTCCTTCCCAGAAATCTTCATGACGGCGGATCGACGAACATTGTGTCGCCCACAGTCTCATTCCTAGTTGACTGCATCCGTCGACCTCCAGTGATCGGTGTGATGGGCATTGCCGCTTCAAGTATACGAGTACAGGTGGGCGTTATACGTTGGTATGGAGTGCTATGTCGCTGCCTCTCATTATGATGGCTAGCGTCTGTCCCGGGTCTCGATATGGGATTTCGGTCGATTCTCGCACCGAGCACGAGTGTTTCGTGGTTGTTGATGGGCTATATGGGATGGCTCGCCTTAGCTCTACGAAGGAACCACATTCGCCGAGCTGTTTCATTGATGACATTCGCATCGCAATGATTGTTTCTAGGAACTCTGCGTCCCTGTTACCTATACTTCTTTGACGCGACAGTCGTCCATGGGCCGCGATACTAATACGGAGTTACTCATGGCACCGCTGACTTCTCTGTGGTACGATCATTCCGAAGCGTTCAGTCAGTCGCGATTGTGGTCCTGCATAGCCTCCCGAAGACGCTCTGAATGTCTCTTTCCATGGGCTTTTTTGAAGTAAAACAAATTCGCTGCCTTGGCATTAGGAACCGTAATTGCCTTCTGAACTGTTCTCAACTGAGGGTGCATGTTCTCTTCCTTCAATGTTGGCAATAACACATCCCGAGTCGGATGACTTCTAGGCAAGGTCCATCGTCAATCATGATTCCGATTCTCGCTCTCTCGAGTGCCTACATACAGGAATGCAAGAGATGTCGAGCGATGGTCGGTGGTCGCGGGATTGATCATTGTTTCATAGTCAAGCACGGGTATTGTAGCCCAGCTACGACTTCCCAAGTGTATCTCACCCGCTGATGGCACTGCTTACGCTCAGTCCGCAGTATGCAATGACGGTTTATGGCTTGATTCTTGCTTGGCCCTTGCGCCGAGTCGCTCTGCAGAGGTACCACATCGGTCAGGACGTCAAACTGACGGCGTTGGCGATCTTCCTCGGTCGTAGGTCAAGCTATCCGCGCCTCAAACGTGCACGGACTTCGACCATCTGTTCTCGTAGTGAGTTCGCCGTTTTACAAGGCCCGAAAGCTGACTCATCTTTGTTTCGTTCACCGCACAGTGACAGTCTTCCGTCCCTTGAACTCTACTGCCTGTGCGTTTTATCGGTCTAGTCGGGGAGAAGTTTGAGCGATGGACGCATGGTCTAGTATAATCCAAGTTTACCTCCGTGTCCTCCTCATCGCATGATTTTCTAGGCCGGTTAACTCCCACTACACCTGGCGTATGACGGGATGTGGCCTCGTACGACCGTCGTCGGCGAAATGGGTTCCATGAATTCACGGGGTGGGGTGTCATCGGTGCCCTGTCTTTGTGTTTGGGCCTTGGCACACGACTTCCATTGGAAGAACCGAGAGGATGTGGTCAGTGGTGTACGTTCAATGATCGGCGCCTCTTCGTGATCGACTATTTGTCTTTCCGCTCACGTCTATTGACAGATATTATCTCAGGAACGAGGATCAGAAGTTCAGATGTTCTCCCTTCGAGGGCCGTACAAAGAGCACGTTTCTCGGCAAAGCTGTGTATCGAGGGTATTATCGATACGCAAGTTATCTGCTTCGCTGTGCTTCCTGATCCATCGAGGAGCGGGATCAAAACAGTAGTGCTATCATAGAAGTCACGGTATGTATGTGCAAGCAGTTGCATCATTTTTTGACACCCGTGCTTACGCTCGCTCAACACGCTTTCGGACCTTTCGTTCCTTTAACAGTGGGATCCCTACGCAGTGATACATGGCCATGAGCGGCCGTGACGGTGCAACGGGGTCTGATCTATTGTTGGCGAAGGATGCTGCGAAGCCAGGAACGATGAAATCAACATGGCATGATCTGCAATCTGCAGCCGGAGCGTTGTTCACCGTAGAGCTCTTCGCGAAAATCCGCTAAGCTCTATTCGCTGCACCCAGTTGATCGCGGCCAACACGAGATTCTACGATAACGTTTCGTTGGTGCCACCCGACTCGAAATAATTTCAATGACATATCTTGACCTCGAAACGCCACAAACATGCCGTTTCCTGACGACCAAGGTCTATCGAGATTGTGCGCAAGAGCGAGTGCGCAGCTTGCGGAGAGCGATCATAATTTAGAGGACACAGCGTCTAGGGTTGTACACAGACATCTGCGTCCTTAGGTAGATTCGATGAGGGTAGAGTTTTGGGTCTTGGCTATTTCATAGCAGTCTTAGTCCATGCTCTTTAGTAAATTCCCTTGGTATCCAGCCTGGAATACGATATCACGGAGCGGTTGCACTCCACGAGGACCCCGAACGGGTTCCTCTTCCAAAACTCGATCAAGCCCGAGTGGATGGTGCCGCCCCAGGTTTGTGTCAGAGAAGATCGGAACTGCTATTTTCGGCGGTCTAGAATTTTCGTAAATTTGCTTGAGTCAAAGCAAAGTTAAACCTCCGATCCGTGACAAAATCTGCGTAACGTTGTGGCGCTAAACTGCTCCCAATTTAGAACACAAAGGTAGACGCTGCGACTTATTTTTCTATTTCTTCTCATGAAGCTCATGACTTAAGTGAGTCAACTATATGTTTAATGACATAGGCCTAGCAGAAACCCTGAGGAGAGCCGAATCAGGAACGAGGCCCCGACATTGTGGCGGAGAGTCCACCCAAGCGGAGGAATTACGTGTCACAGCCTCAGGTTCTCTGTCCTTCCTTTCTCTTCGTCTCGTCCGTAGTCGCTTTGTCTGGGCGGGCTGTCCAACTTTTGGTTTGTTGCGTTTCACTGCGAATCAGGTATTGATCTTGCAACGAGTTTGTTACGAAATTTCATGATAACCCGTTGACCGCATTCGGATAAGAGTCACACCCAAACCTTCAGGTTCCCCACTTTGATATTGTTTTTTCTCGTCCGAGACGACGCACTTTTTTCTTCTTACGAGCTAGTCTTGATCCGTACGCCGTCATACAGAGAATCGAGCAATCGGACTCACCCGCCACCCCATTCACGATCACTTCCGCCGCCGATCCCATTTTCTTTTCAATCTCAGCGCGCCATTGACGGATTCCTCAACGTCAAATAAAATGGCGGCTGTATGTCCTTTCCACCCTGATTTCCACGGTGCGCGTTTCCTGACCGAAATGTCTCTCAATTAGCATCCGCCGCTCCCGAAGGAAGTCTCGCCGCCACAGCCAGACTGGGTATATAGGCCGCTTCGACGATCGCTTCCATCCACCTTTTCTTCGTCCACGTTTTCCCCACACTCATCACCTCCTTCCATCGCACAAATTATTATGCCCTCCTCGGCCCCTCTTCCCACCAACCCCAGACTACTTTCTCCTATGCACTACCAGTCCTATGACCCTCACCAGCGAATGTCTCAGTCGGCGCCACACTCGGGCTCATTCGCTGCAGACAGCCAGTCTCATGCCTATTATTCCGCTCAATACTCTCAGCGTTCGCAGTATATGCACAACGGTCCTGACACATCCAGAAACGCCTCTTGGGCCGAAGGTGGGCTTCTCTTTATCCTATCTGGTCAATACTCAACACTGAACGTGACTACTCTTAGTAGGTGCGGGTCTTTTGTCCAGCACTGCCTCAGCGCCGTATACACCGAAACAGGAATTCGGTCCCTATGAATCTTCCGAGAACTGTTTATCCTACGACTTAGTCGACACCATCCGTTCTCCACATAACTCGTCCTATTCCCCTCATCCTCTATCGCGCACCTCCTCCAACATGTCCTATGCCCAACCATCCGTCATGCAGTATCAGATGTCCTCATCCTCCCATCCCAACTACGAGATCGACACAGCCATGTACACCCCCAATGTGGCGTATTCGCAGGCGCAGTCCACGGTCCCATCTCACACCGCCCCCACATCTGACCTCAGACTGGAGCGGTCCTCGGACACCATGCCCATGTCATTCTCTTACGGCTACCAGCCACCTCCTCTCGCTCACTCGCCTACCGACTCGGCTTATTCAGATTCCGTATCCCCTCTCCTGAACGCTTGCGACCCTCGGCACATCGTATCCCCACCATATCCGTCCACCGACGCCTATCCCACTCTCGATACCCGTCAGACGTACGAGCGCCCGGAGGAATGTCTCAGCGGCTCGTATGCCTCAGATACAGGCTCGTCTCCTTTGTCGATGCAGTACCCGATCAGCAACGTCTACGACACCGGAGAGAGCGAGATGGATGATGTAGACGAGGGCGATGACGAGTTTCTTGCAGTCGGTGGCCAATCTCGCGGCCATGTTCGTTCGTCCTCGAGTCCCGCTAGCGCCAGGTCGTCCTCTCGTGGTGCTATCGCCAGGACGGTAGAGCGCCTGCGTCGGGCAACGACTCTTACCGCCCCTGTGCCTGTGCCAAATTTGACGAAGAAGAGCCGTGGAAGGCGCGTTCCTACGAAACCCACGGTGGCTATCCATGATGGGTCTCCTAAGCATGCGAGGACGTATATGTGCAAGGTTGATGGGTGCGGAAAGTGCTTCGCGAGAGGGGAGCATTTGAAGCGACATGTTCGGTCAATTCATACTCACGAGAAACGTCAGTGTTTTGTCTTTGTTTCGTCTCCCTTCCTCGACATCTGCAACGCGCTGACTTACTATGAATTCTTCAGCGTACGCATGTCCCGTCGCTGGTTGTGGGAAGGGGTTCAGCAGACATGACAACCTCGGCCAGCACATGCGCGTCCACAAAGGCTTCGAACTCGATGGCGAAGATTGATGTACGCCTAGCTCTATGCCGTTCCATCTTTCCCCTATTCACATTTATTTGCTATAGCGTGTGCGCGTCCGTTGCACACTGTTTCATCTGACGCCTCCACCATTTCCTTGGCGATAAGCGCCAATCGTTTCCCTTTCCGCGATCTGTCATTGCTGCATCAATCCTCGACTACATGCTCTTCATGCACTTCGTCTCTTATGCTCTACGCCCTAAGCTTTGGAACTTTCGATTACCTATAACATGTGTATTGCTCCCCTCTGTATTACGCTTAGCTTCATTCTTATTCGACTCCTTATTACTTTTCATCCTATCGTGGATATGCATTCCGCCTGTATTATACAATTTCGCATCCGGACTTCGCTGGACTTCATCACCTTTACGACGTTGACGTTCGAGACCCTTCACTCACGCCACCGAGTTCCTGTGGCACTTATTGAACTCCGCCCTTTACACCTGTATTGTAACATCTGTCTAATTCGCGGTCGCCGCGTGTATGCCATCTACATCAAACTCATTGAATACAGCTAACTCTTAATTCTCGCCATTGACCTTGGGCCGCTTCTTCCTTATCCACTATATGGGGTGCATCCAGAAACAGATATGGTCGAATGTGCCGCTCTGCTCCCTCATGGAATCGTCGCCGAACGTTCTCTTGCATTAAGTTATAAATACAGTTATGCAACGTGTGTGCCAGTAAGTTACAAGGATGCTGAAAGCCCGTCGATGTCCACACGCATTGAGTCCATGAGTCAGCTCGTGAGTGTTCGAGTCCTTTCTATGCGGAAACTCAGAGCTTTACGAACCACGCATCTGCCAGGTCCTCCACACTCCCACCTGCCCGCTGCCTGTCATTCTCCTCAACCTCCGTCCCACTCAACGCAAACCCTAGCACACTCACACTCGCATCACTTCCGTTCCCTGCCGAGACGATAAACGTCACATCCGCACTCCCCAGTTCCTCTTCGAACGCCGTCGTATTCGCCCCATAACCCTGCGGGAACAAAGACGTCGCGATGATGGTCGCCTCCACCGTCGTGTTTCCAATCCCATCTGTTGATTCGACACCAGTCGGGACAATTCGGATCTGTGGCGCAAAGAATTTGCCCCAGTTCGCTACTAGCTCGTACGCTTCTTGATCGGATGCGTTGAAGCCTGAGTCAGAGACTGCGTCAACGGCGGAGAAATTAGAGAGGAGGTCGAGGCAGTCGGAGGAAGAAGACGAAGCGGAACAGAGCGTGAGATTGCCACTGTAGCCTCGGTTATAGTACGTTCCAGAGAAGTCCAGGTTCGCTATTGATGAAGAAGAGTTCGAATCCCTTCGAGAGAGAGAACGGTAAACGGTGTTCTTTGACCGCGATAGGCGTTGTAGGATTGGTCCTTCTGCGAGTACGTCTCTAGCGGAGAGATCTGTGGCAGTCGTAGAGGTGGAGGTGGAATTGGCGGCAATAAAGTTGGCAATGATCTGATCTCCGATGTATAGCTGTTGACTATCCGTGATATCGCTATTGATGAGGACAACGAAACCCAACCCGTCTGAGGGCAAGAAACCGAGCGCGGTGTTCACGCCGGGAATACTGCCCTCGTGCCACACGAGCTAATTGTGCCATTGACCGTAAGCTGGATACTCCTTCGCCAGAGAAGGGGTTACGTACGTCATGGCCCTCATAAGACATTCTGAACCACCCCAGCCCTGAGCCCACGATAGACGTGGTGGGGCCGAATGTTGACGTGTTTCCGTAGATGACGTTGTGAGCCGTCGTTAGCTCACCGTATGCGGGCACGATAGCCTTGTTTGTGGAAGGATTCACTCCGCCATTCATCCACATTCTGACCCATTTCGCCTGCCGTGCCACGTGATATGAGTTGGCCGTCTCGTTCTCTCAGTAGACGTATGAAGAAAAGCACATACCAGGTCCTCGGCCGAGGAGATAACTCCTCCAGGTCCTGAGTCTGATGCCAACTCGTCTTCCTTCACCCAATATGGGATCCTGCGTCCTGAACTGGTCCACGTCTGAGTGAACCTGCCGGAGGCGACGGCGGTGTCGAGGGAATAAGTGGACGAGGTCATATTCAGGGGATCGAAAATGCGAGACTGGACGAAGTCGCCAAGGGAAGAATTGGTGTATGTGGAGATGATGAGTGAGGCGATCATGAACATCTGGGGAAGAACCCACTTTAAATCATGATATAAGGATATGAAGGTAAAGGTGCTGACCTGATTGTTGTATTCGAATCTAGTGCGAAAGGAATGAAGGTCAGTTACAATAATTTTACAGTGGCCGCTGAACCTGAATTACCTCTCTCGCAGCTCGAACGAAGGCCTGAGATATTGCATTCTCTCGAGGATATCCGTCATTGTGTCTGCTTCGCTATAGGACCAATCGTGCCTAAGCGATGTCACAGTATGTAAATCAAGGTCAATCCTTCGTCTATCCATTACGGAGGGGGGGAGACAGCGCACCTTGCCAACCCCGTAACATGCGAGAGCAAGTCGTACAAATTCGCCTTTTCCGTGGCAAAGTCGTCCATGAGGTGCCATTCAGGCAATAAATCCTTGATTTTTGTGGTCCAGTCAAGCTTCTTGATAGTCGACGGGAGGGGGGTACTGTTTCTTCCGTTGGCGAAGTCACTGGAACATATGATAAATTCAATGTTCCAGAACTAGAGACGTTGGAAAGGCTTACTCGATGAGAATACTTATGGACGAAGCAGTGAACGATTTAGAGAGCGACCCAAGGTTTGTCAATGTCTAGAGAGCATCAAACGAGATCAGTACTAACACAATCACAACAAGAAGTTGCAAGAAGAATTGCGCCGATACTCACATCGGAGGTCATGTTCACCCCATCCTCTGTCCTCACGCCCCAGGACCCATACTCCAACGAGCCATCCTCATGCACAACCGCCACGGCCACCCCAGGAAGCACTTTTGTGTCGATCTGGTCCTGAATCCATTCGACCAATGCGGGCGTCAGCGTCTGAATGGTGCTGTTTCCTGTCGTGGTGACTCCAGACGAGGCGGCAAGAGTGGTTGTGATTTCACAGAGAGGAAGAGCACATAATGTGAAGAGCGTAACAAATCTAGGATTGAATCGCATGAGGGGTATCATTGAGAACCAAAAACTCAGAGCAGAAACAAAAATGTTGCGGGAGAATAGGGTGAGTGTGTTGTGATTGATAGGCCGAGATGAGTACGAAAATATACGACATCGGCTTGAGTTTTATACTCCCCCCACGGGGCAGTGTGGCCGCCTCCTGTGCGCTAGTTCCATGCAAATCAGAAAGAGACAGTCACCTCCGCACGCAGTTTGCAATGGGGTCCATATTAGAACGGCCCTATACATGAAGGAGACGCGCACCTACATCTCAATCACAACCAAATGAGCATGCCCGAGATCAGGCGATGCTCCCCGAGCGCCACCCACGCTGCGGTTTGATGTGTTTTCTGTATTGTATATGACTTTTACCTGGATTTTAGCCCGTCGATGACGACGGGCAATATCATGGCAGTGGATGCTGTACTAGCACATCAAAATGAGGACGAAACCAGGAGGCATGCTATGAGTCGCGACGGCGATCACACCAAGGTAAGCTCAAGGTGGTAGAAACAAAGACAAGGGGGGTTGAGGACCATTACTTCTGAGGTTCCACCTCGTGAAAGTTCGAAAGTCAGAGCCCAATGGTGACCGGTAAGACAGCAGCGGTTGTCCTCCCTGTCTGAGATACAAAGGATGCTCCTTGAGTGTTGGTTCGAAGTGTTGTCGAAGTGCCGTAGGCTCGCCTGAGGCCTGAGCTCTCCCAACCTATGCAGCATCATTCTCGAGATACTACGCTGTAGAATAAGAGCTGCCAAGACGTCTAGGCAGAACACAGTACGCTGCAAACACGATAGTTGAGCTGACTGTGGTGATGGACAGGTGACAGGGGAACGGCCCGGACGGCGGAGGATTCGGAGTTGCAAATGATGAGACCTTTTTGAAGGGCGCTGTCTATGTATCTTATCTTATCTAAAGTAAGTTATACGACTCAGTGGCGCGCCACAGAGACAATATCTTGCTCTGTATAATCACGACAATCTTATGTTGATCTCATGCTACAGCCATGACAATAGAATCATATACATATGCACGAACACAGGCGAAGAATACAATTCACATCGGTAGACATCAACTCCAGCTCAGGCCTCCCAGCGACGTCTGCTGTCCTCCAGAATCAAGTAAGGCTGCAGAACCGATCGAACCAAGCGTCCATGCTCCTCGCACACTCGTCCTTCGACCACCCTACATAGTACACATCATTTTATAAATGAGCTATGAACATCAAAACCGGAGAAGGTGATCTGAGGGAAGAAAGAGCAAGACTCACTCTCCCTCTCAATTGTCGGGTCTCCCCTCAAAGACCACCCATGCGCGACGCCACCGTACAGCTGTAGGTAATACTCTGGCTTCGGGGCGTACTTAGGGTCAACGAGTATTTCTTCGGCTTTGTGACGGGCAGCGGCAGAGAAGGTGTGATCGATTTCTGTAAATTGAACGTGTGTGAATGTTAGTGGATAATTAAGAGTAGATATGTGCCATAGGTAAGTACATGGTCATATCATAGAAAGTATATGAAGGCAGACATACCAGAGCAGCAGAGTAAAAGAGGTTCTAAAGATGAACCATCGTCAGTATGTTGGAACAGTCGTCCATTCCAATGTAAGGAGGTGACAACGTACTCTTAACACCCTGGAACATCTCCTCTGTCACCATAGCTGGATGAGCGAACGCGCCTTCAGCCATGTGTTAGTTGCGACAACTTGAACTGAAGATGATAACGAGGTTTGAAAAATAAGGGCTTACCTGCGGTGACCCAGTCTTCGGCAAGAAGTTTGAGAACATCCGGTGCTCCAAAACAATATCCTATCCATAGCCCAATTCACACCACACCAACTCAAAAATCAGTACGCAGTCAGAGCCTGCATTCCAAGCTCGAGGTTTGCTGCTCACCCGAACACACCCATTTCGTCTTCTCCGTTCCTACATCCCACGCCACCGCCACACATACCAATCATGAGCAAGCCGTCTCCCCAATCTCACTCTAAAGATAGATATAGAACAGGGGGAGGCAATAGGGGCCGAAGGGAGCAACGCACCATACTTTGCCTTCACGGCTTCAATCCACGGCGGAACGAGCGAGTCCGCGAGCTTGCGTTTGTTCGGTATCCATGTCGAACCGTCAAAGTTCGGGTCGACACCTCTGTGCAGGTATATCGGATCGCCGAGGAAGTAGTCTGGGCCAAGGACGAGGTACCCTATATACATATGGTAGAGGGGGTAAGTGGTCGAAAAGAGAAACACGGAGGTGATGTTGAGAAGATGCGACGCACCTCGACTCGCAAACCAGTCCATAACCAACTTGTTATTCAAGAACGTCGAGCTGAACACATCTGGGAACCAAAGTAATACCCTCTCATACACCACTCCTCCTTCGCCACCACCCTGAGCGTGGGCGTATTTGGAGTCGGCAGGCGGAAGTGAAATGTATGTATCCAGACCGCCTATCTTTTCGAAAGACCCTGCAGGAGTGCCAGTGTGCTTGACGGCGGTCCAGCAGTCCTTGGTACATGCTCCGCTTAGAGGAGTTTCTTTGGCAGTGGACGCGGTGGACATAGTCGGTAGGGAGGATCAAGTTGTGGTGTGTGCCAGTGGTACGATCGCAGCTGAGAGTATGGGATGTGCGAAGGATGTGATAGAAGACGTATTAATATAACCCGTGTTATAGATGATATAGATAGATAGTGTAAGTATTCCCATGCGCACCTTTGCAGTGAACGTCTCATTCAATACCATTGGTCAAAGAGCGCATGACCACTGCCCACGACTGACTTTGAGTACAAACCACTGACATGGAGAGAACGGGCATCCGCTTCTAATTCCGACCGTACATGCTACCATGGATAGTGGCTCCAAAGGAAACGTTGACGATGTGGTGTCAGGCTACTCGCAAGTCCCACAATTTACTATCACATACAGTCTGTTGCTGTCTGTTGTCCATCGCCGCATAACGCTGTTAACATTGTCCAGCGATCGTGGGTGCGCGTAACAAAAGGTCCACTAAGCGCTCGAGTCGGATGCGGTGTGGTCGTCCGAGTGACGAGTCGCGTCGAGTAACAACCTTGGGCCGCTTTGAGCGCTTGCTGGAGCGCTTGCATGATGCATATTGGTAAGATAGGGCGAAGTAGGTTGAACGTTCATAGACGTTGATGCCGTATTTTCGGCTACCGTTTGCAGTGCTTGTTACCAAGTACATAACTGAGCGAAGAGCAAGCGTCCGTCGGGTCGAAGAAAGAATGGTGTTTGAGAGCATTGTATTCGTTTCGTCATCAAAATACTACTGCTGAACATATCTACATACTTATAAACGATATAAGTCAATGGGAGATCAGTGTGCGAAATGTGGTACAGAAACAACAAGTCTGTAAGTGTGAGTACGTGCGTGCTGTGGTTGCTGTACTATGTATGTAAGTGGATTAGGATATAAGGAGAATGTTACATTATACTCACTGATATTTGCTAGTGAGCATAATCTAGGATGTGTTTTGAGAGCGGGAGAAGAGACGTGAGAGGGAGAGAGAAGAATGTAGGAGTAGGAGAGAGTAGAGATGTGATGCATGAACGAGACATAGAGATGTGCGAAGCGAACTAAGAAGGTCTTCTCAGGATGAAATGAAGAGCGTGAAATGGAAAGCGTGAAGTGGAGAGCGTGAAGTAGTGAAATGCGCCAAACGCGGACCCAAAGCGGACGAACAAACAGACAAGATCAAATAGAAACCGACCGTCATGATCATCGACAGAAGTTCGTCGAGATCGACACCCACCGCGTCTAAACCCCCTTCGGACTACCCTTCTCCAAATCCCTCTCCACATTGTTCTTCCCATTCAATGTCTCCCTATCCGCTTCTCTTTCTGCCTCTTCCTCCTCAGCGATTTCCTTCGGATCCTTCTCCGCCTGAATATCTCTCAGGAACCTCTCCGCCTCCGCCGCATACTTGCACCTCTTCCTGATCTGCGGGCCAAACTTGAAGAACAAGAAAGGGAACGGCACACACGCCAGCGCCAGAAACGCCGGGATCGTGCTCGCCCAATGGATCCCCAAGTTCTCGAACATGTACGTCGTGAACAGTGGGAAGGCTGCACCGAAGAGGGAACGCAGGACGGAATTGGCAGCGAGGACGGAGGCGGCGTAGATGACGTAGGCGTCGATGAGGTAGTTCATGATGGAAAGGAAGACGAGGACCATGCCGAAGCCGAAGGGTGCGGTGGCGATGACGGAGACGGACCAGTGGACGGAGGGAGAATTTGTCCATGCGAACCAGAAGAGACCGATGGGGAGGGCGGCACAGGAGATCATGGCAGCGTGGAGACGTTGTTCTGGAGGTGCACGTCCACCAGCCTTCTTGGCAGCACGGACGTAGCGTTTGTTCTCGTAGAGAATGCTGTGGAAGAAGAGACAACAGAAAGGTAAGACCAGATAGCAAGCAGAAGAGTGTGAAAGACGTACACATAGAGGACACCGAACATCATGCCGATGGCGACACTGATGAAGGGAAGCGCACCGACACCTTCCGACCAACCACGGTTTTCTTGGTACACGATTGGGAACGCGCCGAAACACATGTACAGTGTTCCGTAGACTGAAGGACACCGCTCGTCAGCATGACCGCAGGAGATAAGTCGACGAAAACAAGGGGAAACTCACTGATAGCCATGTACAACGAAAGTAGGAAGACGATCGGCTCCCTAATCAACAAGATCCACGGCCTGCTCAACGCTGTTAGCATCGTCTGGCTGAACGACTGCTTTCCTCTATCGTAGTCTAACTGGCTGAGATACACTTGACCAGTCATCTCGCTCAGCTTGGCGGCGCGGCGACGAAGGAGAACGGGAGCATAAGTCTCAGGAATGACGAGTGATCCGACTATCCAGACAACGCCGGTGAAGATGGCCATAAGACCTTCGACCCAACGCCACCCCTCGGTCTCACCAAGAAAACCACCGACGATGGGGCCCATGGTGGGTCCGAGGAAAGGAGCAGCGGAGAAAATAGCCATGGCGAGACCACGTTCGTTCGCGCTGTGGAGTAAAGCTGGTCAATTATAGTCATATGATGGTATAGCGAAGAGAATACGCACTCGAACATGTCAGCGATGACACCACCGGCGTTGGTGAGAGGACTTGAACCAATCGCGCCAGCAAAGAACCGGAGAATGACCAGAGTCTGGATATTTTGCGATCCAGCAGCACCTAAACAATTGGCGTGTGTGAGTATTGTGCAGTTCCGTATAGGGCAAAGTGAACGGAGAATTGAACATACCGGCATTGAACGCCGTCAGCCCGGCGTACGTCGCAAAGAACAGAACTTGCCGCCCATAAAGTTCACTCAACGGAGCCCAGAGTAATGGCCCAATCGCAAATCCAAGCACAAACAACGAAACGCCCAACGTGATGATCTCCGTTCCCACTCCAAAAGCCTCCATCATCTGCGCAATACCTCCCGTGAATGCACTCGAGACGAACGCCACAGCCAATGTTGCAATAGCGCACGTCATAGTGATAGTCCACTTCTTCCACTTCTTCCATGTTTTTGGGTTACGTGGGTCGTGTGGGATGAACTCGATTCGATACGGGTCTTCTGAAGTCCCAGAGCCTGGGTAGGTGTGATGAAGCACTTCATCGGTGACAAGGGATTGAGAAAGAACGAGCTTGTAATGTGGAACTTCTGCGGGTGGTAGGGGTGCTGTCGAGGAATGCGGCGAAGGTTTAGATGAGGGAGAAGGCCCCGTAAGGGTGTGCTGCGAGTGGATTGATGAAGCTGAGCTCTCCATCGTCGTGATTAGCTGTAAACCGGTTGGATTGACTGTCTTTCCGGGACCGGGGATGGGAGGGGATATGGGGGTAGGATGTGCGAAGGAGAACGGTGGGGCAAAGGGCGGGGAGGAGGAAAATCAACCTCAAAGGGTCCCGGTGGATCATCTTATAGCTTTACGCAGTGACATTGCAGGTTTGACTGGTACTCGGTGAACGTACCCGAAGGTCATGCATGGTCTCGTCATAGTGTTCGTTAGTCAGCCGTGAACAAACCGAAACTACCAGAAAGTTTCGTATCCACCGACGACCTGAGTTCAATCCGGCTATGTAGCCTCTCCGAAGCCGGATATTTTACCAAATGACATCTAAGCGAGACAGGTCCCACAGTGCCTTGGCGGATAGCAGAAGATAACAAGGAATTTTTTCGCTCATATTACCAGAGGCGAGCTTAATCTCCAGAGTAGAGTGCATCATACAGGCGACAGAACGGGCCACAGTACTGATTCGGGCAACCAAGAGGACTCGAGACGATGAGGATGGGGGAAAGACGCATAACGTGGGTACTGGACCCGTCAGATTCATACAATCTAGATCCGCCCGGCCCTGTCCCGGTGGAACCTTACCGGAGTCTGCCGGCAACTCAAAATTTGCCTGACTCCCCTGCCGATCCACCAGCGTCTATCGCTCTTTCCTCGCCGTCGAACACGACGCCGACGTCTTGCAAAAACCTATCCTCTTCGTCTTATGGTGGCTGTTCTCGTTCATCGCTAAAATGGTGTGGCCTCTGAAAACTTTGCACAGTTCTCCATCTCTCGGCCGGCCAGTTGCCTGATTAAAGGACTATTGTTTTCTGTTCTTGCTTGGAGGGCACCGACGGTCATCCAAATTGCTTGTTCCTCCGGTTGTCCTCCGGTCTCGCCCTCTTTCTCAGGGGTCTCGGCGGTTGGAGACAGTTGTCTTAATACTCTCGCTTTTCTCCATTTTAGGCCAACCGTAGGCTCGTCGAACTTGCAACTTCTTGCTTGGTCACTACAATGTACTGCGTTGTCTTTGGTGCTCTCGTACCGAACAAGTTATCACTGAAATTCAGGAAGGACCGCCTTTAGTTGACCCGCATATGTCCACTGCTCTGCAAGTGCTACTGCATCCGTCGTCGTCGCGGTGCGTTTTCGTACGGCCGCCGTCTTTGAGGCGTTTCATTGCTCATACACATGGTGGTCGAGTGCTCGCCAGCACCCCGGATGTTCCGAACATCGCATCGCTATGCAGCAAAGCCCGTCGCGCGTTGCTTTCACGCAGTATTTCTTTTTTTCGCTCTGTCCAGATCATGACCGTCCAAGGTCGGATCGCCACTGCCTCTGAGACTTGGCTATCTGTGGTTTCCTCTGAAGCCGCTATTGTTTTTATTTGCACCTTTTTCTTATGCCATCTTCTCGTCGTGTGATGAACGTTATGATGTCGATGATGCTTTGAGGTTGATCCGGTCCTCTGATTGATGGGTCACGGGTGAACCATCATCAGTGCTTGCTAATCAGTCAGATTGTCTTATCAGATAACTTTGAGCCCCTATCCTATGAATTCATCTGCGCTCCATACACTCGTCCTCACAGGGCTTGAAAGCTCCAGAAGAATGTCCACACGACTGATATGGTGCTTTACGGCTGCTCTAAGCACACCGTCAGCATCGTAGTAATGTGTACCCTTCCGGACAGTCTACAGTCACAGTGCACAAAAGACATCGTGCCGACCATCAACCGCATCCTCTGTGCACTCGTGATTGGCATGAACCGCAGCATTTCAAAGGTTTTCAAAGGCATTGGAGTCATAAGGACTCGGAGACGTGCTTTTATATATAGCCGTCGAGCCCCACACCTTACCCTCCTCTGTCCAGCACTCGACCGTTGAACCTCTCTCTACAGCACAGTCCAACTAACCCCTACTACAACATGTCCCGCCGCGACACCACCGTCTCCGACTGGGCCCACTCCGACACTTTTCACAACTCTTTCCTTCTCCCTCCCGACTCCACTCTTGACGCCGCACTTGAGAACACGAAGAAGAACGATGTTCCGGCTATCGAAGTTAGCAGAGCTCAGGGCAAGTTTTTGTACTTGATCGCGAGGTCGATTGGGGCGAAGAGAGTTTTGGAAGTTGGGACGCTTGGAGGGTGAGTCCGCTTTTTCTTCCTGTTTGTTATTCTCTGTGGTGGTGAAACTCGTGCGCGCTCTATCAAGGAGGCGAATATATGTGCCATGAAGAAGAACTGGGTCGTTGGTCGTACTGATGAGTTCTTGCGCTTGGTGAATAGATTCTCGGCTACTTGGTTTGCGAGAGCCTTGCCTGAAGACGGAAAGGTCGTTACGTGTGAGTTGGAACCCAAGCATGCGGAGGTGCGTAATAACGTCCTGCTTTATTTCTACCATCGCTCATCTACACATCCTCCTCGACCCATCATCATCCACATTGCAAACTGTGACGTTGTACAGGTCGCCCGCCAGAATCTTATCACGACCGGCGTCTCCTCGAAGGTCGACATTGTCCTCGGACCAGCAGTCGAAACACTTGCCAACATGCCCACACCTCCCGAGTCAGAGTTGTTTGATTTAGCATTCATCGACGCCGACAAGGAGAACAACCTCAATTATTTCTTGCAGGCGAAGAGGCTGGTCAGGAAGGGCGGCGTCATCGTGCGTAGTCGGACAAACCGTCTTTTCTCTTCCGCTCTAATCTTTTTTTTGGTTCGTCTTCCCCATCATCAACGACACTGTACAGATCGTGGACAATGTCGTCCGTAACGGCAACGTCGCTGACGAGAGCGATACTTCGGGTAGCTCTGTGGGCGTAAGAAAGCTGTTGGACCACCTCAAGGAGGATAAGGAGGTCGAAGCGACGACGATCGCTACTGTTGGGCACAAGGGCTACGACGGATTTTTATACGCTTGGAAGCTCTAGCGGATGGCGGACAGCCCGAGAGCTGTTTAACAGGAATGGTACGATCTACTAGGATGTCCTGTTGAAGCAGATAAGTGAGGTGTATTGTGTACTATCATAACGGTGGATGGTGTATGTAACATTACTATGCAGCGAAGACATATAAACCTATCCAATATTTCGAGAGGTGCCACAGTCTGTGTGCCACATTATGATTGAGCATCCTAAATTCGAGCGTCGATCTAATCTTATCTGAGTCCAACATGATGATGTGGGGTAAGATCCGGGGTAAGCGCTCAGACTCTTTGTTTCAAGGTCCCAGACGGACAAAATATCTCGCGTGCGAGATGCCATTTTGGCACCCGATACTCACCCTATTTGGTAGACCTACCTCATTGGCGGGTGTTTTCCCACACAAAATTCGATTCGGAACTCAAACTCGTTTTCAAACTCGTTCTGGACCTCAGAATTCGTTGGGAATCGTCTCGCCGGCCAATCAGTGCGCGGTGAGATGCAAAATGGGCAGTTGCATCTCCGAAAGGGACCCTCACGCCAGCCGACCCCAGGACACGCAAAAGAAAAGAAAAGAAAAATGATAATGTCACGGTGGCCAATATCCTGCCTCCAGCATTGAGTCACCTGAAACTCTCATCTTTATTAGTTGATGTGCCTACACGGCTGCAACTGGCTCTCCTGTTGGGTGTAGACACCTTTGCCACCTGAAGTAAGTACACCTGAAGTGCCGCACCTCTGGAGTCCGAAAAGTCCGCCTATAGGCCTATAGCGGGCAATTCTTTCCCCGACTGGCGAGGGTATGTCTGCGGGGTCATAAAGTCTTGCACACTCTCTTTGCATCAATTGGCATGTAGAACTGATATTCAGTGGAGTGCCTTACGCTTTAAAGGCATACACGGGCAATGCATGCGCCACCTACAGGATAAGATGTGGCCCCGGCAACCGGCACCTTTGATGCCGAATA